TTTTTTCCTATCTTTACTTCCTTTAAGAAGCTCTATAAGTAATAGTATAATTAAAAAATAATTTTTAATAAACCTTTAATAGAAATTATAGAATCCTAGGAAGACTTAAATCTCTTTATAGGATATAGATTATTTCTATTCCTAGATAGTTTAAATCTATTCTAGATTTATAGAGATATTATTTTAACTAATAATAAAGTTAAGGAATTTAACTTATTTCTTATAGAATTAATATTTAGAGACTTTTGTAAATAACTATACTTCCCTTAATCTTTTAAGTATAAGATAAAGGTATTCTATATGTTCTTTATAGGTCCTAGAGAAGATAAGAATATTATCTAAATATATAATATAAATAATATTAAGAAGGCTATAAAGTGTAGTGTGGATATAGCTTTGAAATGTTGTGGGTGCGTTGGTAAGGCTAAATAGTATAACTATATATTTAAAATGGCTATATCTTATACAAAAAGCTATTTTTTATTCTTCTTCTTCTCGAATATAAATTCGATAGTATATATCTTATATATTAATTTTACTAAGGAATTAAGCCCTGGAAAGGCAGTTAAGAATCTTTGAAATAAGGGATAGAGAATACTAATTTTTAACTAAAATCTTATTTAGACCTTAATAATTAATATAAAGCTATAGTTCTCTATCCTTTTTAGATATAAATAGAATAGATATACTGGCTAGGCTCTTTAATAGTCTAATTTAATTATTTATTAAGTTTTTGTTGAGATACTTCTATAACTTTATAAGTTCTATCTATAAGAGGGGATAGATTGGACTATATAAAGATAATATATCTTCTTTAAGTTTAATTAAGTAGTTAGTCTCTTTTTGTAGTAGTATAATTTTAGAGTTCTATATCTTAAATATATCCTAGAATACTAGTAATTTAGGAGGGATTTAGTCTTAATTTACTATTAATTTATCTTCTTCTTCTTCTAGGAGAAGCTAAACTTCTTCTAGGGTTTTAATAATTGTAAAGATATAGACTTAGTTCCTATATACTTTTATAAACTAATAAGACTTTAACTATTCTATTATTTTTCTATTATGTTCAAACCACCATTATTTCCGCTATAGGGCTAATATAATTTGTATTTCTTAGATAGTTATATTTAATAGTAGTACTAGTGATCCTAATAGATAGGGATCTCTATTAACTATAATATAGGGATATAAAAACTTTTACTTAGTTCCTTAAGAGTTATATATAGTAATTAGAATAGTCTATATATTATAGATAGGGGTATTTTATTAGTCTATTACTTCTAGGATAGGAGTATTATACTTAGCTTAATTAAAATAGTATTTCTAAATAAATTTATAATTAATAAGATCTATCTCTATATAGGTATTAATATCTATATATATCTTAATATTGTTTTAGATATAAATCAGGATATAGAGGTAGGTAACTATTCCTACTTAAGGCTAGGAGTTGGAATTTATAAGAGTTAATTTAATCTTAATACTTTTCTAAAATCTCTTAACTAAGTATTGTTATAATAATACTAGGGTCTTAAATAAGCTTTTTGGATCTTTATTCCTAAGGCTTATAGTAGTAAATAATATTTATTTATCTAGTAATCTGGTTTATTATAATTAAAATAACTATTTAAAGGGATTCTAATAGATAGATTAGATAGATTAGGTAAGTTAGTCTCTCTAATAGGTATATTATTTAGATTATTCTTATTCTAAGAGGGAAATAATTAGGGTTTATCTTTGAATTAAAAGGGATTTAGATATAACTTAGAGTTATTATAATTTAGATTAGATCTAGGATTATAAAAACCCTTTAAGTATAGATTTCTAGAATCCTTTTAGTCTTATTCTATACTATTAGATTAGTTTAGGAATAAGTTATTAGATTATAGGTATTTTAAGCTTAAATTTAAATTATTAATAAATAGGTTATATTTATATATCTTAGCTTTTATAAATTCCTAGGTACTCTATATTTTTTCTACTTATTATACTTAAGTCTTAAGAGAAACCTTTATATATTAGTAAATATATAGTATTAACTATAGCTATAATTTTAATATATAGTAGTATATTTACTTATCCTAAGAGACCTAAGGAAAATAATATTCTAGATCTATAAGATAGTAATAAAAGGCCTTTAGTTCTTTATTAGTTTATTAGTAATAATACTCTATCTTATTATTAATTTCTCTAGTAAAGGTATTTTTATTATATATTAAGATAAAAGTCTATTCCTTAAAGTATTCCTAGCTACTAAAATAATTATTATTATTATCTTTAAGATATCTTTTCTCTATAATCTAGTTATTTTTATAGTTAGAGTTAAGATATTTAACTTCTATAAGAATCTTTATCTCTTTATTCTTATAGATCTTAAGGTTATCTTAAAAGATATATTTAAGCTATAAAAGCTAATTTACTTATTCTTAAAGACTAAATGATTTTTTAAACTTATTAATCTTAAAACCCTTTACTTTCTTATATATTTTAATCTTAGTTCTTTTATAAGCTATAAATAGATTATCTAAGAAAGTCTTAATATTAATTCTAAAGACTTAAATAAAGAGTTCTTTAAGGTAAGTATAAATTATAAAGAACTTTTCTAGATATTCTAGTTTATATCTCTTTTCTTCTAGGATATCTATAGTAATACTTCTAGGTCTACTAATACTTTTAGTTATAAGATTACTAGCAATTTCCTTAATCTAGTCTAGACTAGATTTAGCTAGGTTTATATATTAATCTAGGACTAATTTAATCTTAGGTTATCCAATAATAAGAGGAGAAGGTATAGTAGGCTTAGATTAAATATTATTGTAAGAGGATATAGGGTTTTAGTATATAGAGAGTATTATTATTAATCCTTAGGTAGTCAAAAGAGAAGAATCAGAATTATAATAATTACTAAGTTATTAAGCTAGAGACCTATGACTAGACAAGGATATTAGATAGTAGAGATCAAATAGAATAGTTGATATATAGAACTAATTCTTATAGGATAAGAATTGTAGCTATTATTTATATATTTTAATATTACTAGAGCTTGCTAGGGCTTAGGGTAATTATATATTAGTAGGTATATTATAGTAGATTCGCCTGCGGAGCAGCTATGAATTATACTCGAATCGTACCTGAAGGGATTCAGGAATCCCGTGATATTATTACTAGGCTGGATATATAGCTAATATAAAGTAATATATCAATAACTACCTGATATATAAGTATATAAAATATTAGTAGGATAAAGTCCCTAGATTATTATAACCGCTTCTAATCTCTCTTCGCCTAGGTGAATATCTCTTAATGGATTTCTGATCCTTCCCTAAGGATAAATATAGATATAATATAGTTTTAGTATTTATTGATTGTCTATCGAAGTGATGAGTATCGATTCTGTGCTACAAAACTACTGATATAAAAGAGATAGTGTGTCTATTTATCTAAGGGATTCTCCCTTGGTTAGGTGTTCTGGATATGATTATATTAGATTAGGGACCTTAGTTTATATCTAAATTCTAGATGGAATTGATATATATTCTAGGTATTAAAAGGAAGCTATTAATAGCTTACTATACTTAGATGGATAGCTAGAGTGAAATTGTGAATAAATAGATGGCTTAATAATTATAGGTCTATATAAACTTCTGTTAAGATGATTAGTCTGAATATCTCCTATTAATAGATTATGCTATTACTATACTCCCCTAGGCTAGTATAGGATAATTATCTTTCTTTATAGAATATGGATTTAATCCTAGGATAACCTTTGATTAGGTATTAGATACCCTAGCTATCTTCTTTGAGGATGTATAGTAGGTAAGAGATGTTGCTAATGATATAAAGAACGTATAGGATGATGCTTAGGAAGTGATGGGAGTTATGTAAGCGAGCTAGAAAAGATATGTAGATATATAATATTGTAAGAATAAATTTAGAGTCGGTCAGCTAGTCTTTATTACTATATATATCTAGAAAATAGGAAGATAGAGTAGGAAGCTGTCCAATCAGTAATATAGACTATTTGAAATTGTGAAAAAAGAAGGTAATTCATAGTGTTTAAAGCTACTAGACTCTATGAAGGTATATCCTATCTTCTTACTAGATAAGCTACGCCCTATAGTATGTATAGAGCCTCTCGTCGGACAGATCCCGGATATAACACCGCTAATTGTTATTAATAAGAAGGAGACTTACAAGGTTAATAAGATTAAAGATTCTTATATATACTATTGATATCTACAATATTGAGCATCTTAGATCAGAAATAAGGATACTAAATGGTACCCTGTAGGCGACTTTAAGAATATACTAGAGAAATTGAAAGAATTCTATACTCAATACCTTGATAAGCCGGGGCCTTCTATATACCTATTTATATAGCTTAAGGTAGTAGAGGAGGATGAATTTATTAATAATAATAAAAGCGATGATATTCTAATAGCTAAAGCCTAGAGGCTAGGCTTTTTTCGGAGGGGGGGGTAATGTAACAAACCGATACCGAGTTAATACTAATATTAAGGTTGCGAGGTTGCGGGATTACATGATAGATTATATAATCCCACACCCGTCTGATTCTCCTGTATGATAACGCGTGGGAGCCTAACTCCCCTCTTTCCTTTTTCCTCATCTTTGATACTTTAGTTAAATCGTACGAAAGTTCTTCTGTTTTCTGGTTCTTACACTTTTCCCAAGATGAATATAGAAATTCTGGGAACCCATAGCCCCTCCAACTGGAGAGGAATCTCCCCTTTTGAATGATATATACAAGTTTGTTTGAATCGGTGATATAGGTATGTGAAGAAAGAAAGTAGACAAGCCGTAGGAGGTTGAAGAAGATATGAGATAAGATTATAAGGGAAAGAGAGCCAGGGCGACATCGAATAGTCATGAAGGTGGTGAGCGGGCGTAGGGATTAAGGTAGAAGACATTTGCATAAGCATGAAATATAAGAGCAATTGCAGCCGAGCGAAATAAAAAGGATCGGTGGGTAGCGAAAGTCATCATCGCTTCCATCTGCGATGTGGGGGATCTTCGAACTCATCTTTGCTGGATCGTTCACTTCCTCCATCTGATGGGTATGCAGGCTCTGTTGTAATTTCGATTGTTGTTTCTTGGTACACCTTTCCTCCAATAGGGCCCATTTCAACAGCGGGTTGAACAATGTTGTCTGTTGAGCCATCACGTTCATGCGTAGCATCATCATTGATACCAAGTCTCTTCGACTTCGGATCAGCCGTAATGGTAGTCAAGTGGTCCCCGCGGCGTCCTCCCTTGGTGCTTGCAAATTTGTTGTAAGAGTGGGAGTCTTGGCTAGGCTCGGACTCGATGATAAGGTTTCGACGGGTGAGAGTGTAGAGGATAACATCGACCAGACCGGAACTAGTAATAATTGCACCTTGGTCGAAGTTAGTACGGCGGGTTGAGAGTTTCCAATGGGTGTTCGTTACTTACCGGCACAGCAGAAGAACGTTATAGATGGGTTGTTGCCGTTTGCAGTTGCCATACGCCCGGCTGCCAAAGGCAAAGAAAGCACAATATAGACGGTTGGGTAGATAGTCATGTAGCCGACCACTCTTCGGAGACGCTTCAAGCTCTCTAGCTGGCTGTTGCCTAGGATGGCAGATTTGGCGATCTGCCGACGGAGCTGGAAATACATCACGGCGTATAAGCAAACAGTGCCGAACTCAGCGAAGAAGATCCAGATGTAGTGTGTCCAGAGACGCATGGTTTCGTAATCTTCGTTGATCCAGCACCAAGCACCAGACGGGACAAAGACATCAGCCCCGTAAGTCGCGAGTGGAATGATGACAATTATGGCGATGAACCCCCAAACTCCGCAAACGAAGGCCACGAAAGTTCTGTAAGACATCTTGCGACCCCAGACGACAAGGAGGAAAGTGTGAATGGCAATTGCGAGAACAAATAGACCACTGCCTGGGTCTCCGATTTGTAGCCACAGGCCTTGAAGGAAGCATCCTGCAGTACCCGATTTGATCTTGTCCGAAACAATCCATTTCAGACAGATCAAGAATGCCAGTGATTGTTGAAAGTCAGCCAGTATCAGGTTGTAAATAAGAATAATGTACTGATTGTAACCGATATATCTCGTATATGAACCGCGCCAGAAGATGAGACGGTAGGTAATGAATAAAAGTAGAGATCCTGTGGCAATGAAGGATAGAAATGCCATAATCGCTACAGCGATGAGGCCCTTTCTTTGGGCCTCGGGCAGAGGATCTATGTCCAGGCGAACATCGCTGGTCAAACGAGGAACCAAAGAGTTCCCTGAGTGGCTATCGCTCGCCTGCAGGATGCTCATAAGAGCGAGACCAGACATCGTATGATACTTTCTTGGTGTATCAAATGGCAGTGTTGCCCGGAACTCCTCGTCGTATAAGTAGAATTGAAAGGAATGGCTTACTCCGGTGTATCCGGGGTTATAGGAGTGTTAGCGAATGTCGTCCCTGTTGAAGTGTGGAAGGATGAGGCTTGTAACCCGGGGCAGGCAAAATGTGCGATTTAGCCTGTTAGTAAGAATATCGACCTATTATGCCTGGCCCACAAGTACCTAATTGACAAGAAAAAGTACGAGGGAAAAGCTGTACTTCGCAGTGGGGCATCAGGTTATTAACTTCTTGCCTGGAGACCAGATCCAACGGCATGCCTTCTCCACATATTGCTGTGGACTGTCTTGGGCACAGTGAACTCTAAAGTCGATAAGTTCAATCTTGTCAATAGCCGGATTTGAGAAAAGGCTGATTGCCGTCATGTCCCCTCAGAAATCCACAAACAGGGACCCTTGGCATGGACTTAGCCTAGGATCATCTCCGAGAGGACCCATAAAGGAAGTTTGGGCCAGCTTAAGACAGACTTCTACAGTGGTACATGGTCTTGAGTGGCCCATTATGGCTCCACCTCAGCCAACATTGACCCCTCCCTGAACAGGGGTATGGGTGGATTGAGATGAGAATCGATGAAGTCTTTGCACAAGAAACAATCGAATTGAGGAGGCAAAAGTTTGGTTCAGACGGTTGTATCCACTAAGATCATCGTTTGAGCTGAAGAGTGACCATGCTCCCGAATAGGGGGGAAATTGCTATGGAGGAAGGGCCGCATGCCGGCCTCATTCTGATCTCATTTTTTGGTCGAGCAGCGGGGTGCATGAGCATGGCAAACTCCGCGGTAACGCCACAAATATTTTCTCCGCGCCCGTATGGACAATGCCCTTAGTGTTCTAGGCATTGATAGGCTATGCCGGGTTTACCCCTGCTAGGCTGATGCAGAGGCAAGCTTCTGGAACTCTAACAGAAGACACGGGCTGCTTTGGCCGCGTGTGCGTTTGAGCATAAGTACCGACCACATGTGGTGATGTTGCCTTGTTGAAAATGGAGTACGGAGGACAAAGGGTCAGTTTAGTTTTGCCATCTGGTGGCTTGAATGTGAGGCCTAGCCATACACACTACCGACTAATTACATTCGCTTGCATATTTCGTGCTAGGAACCCTACGGTCGAGATGACTATTCTCAAATAGGACTTTTGGTGGCAACAGGGATCTCCTAAATTCTGATTGACCCCTATATCCCGCACCTGGGAACTCCCAGTTCATGCTTAACCTAGTGACTGGCACATCGATTCTGAAATGAGAGCACATGTGGCTATTCGAGTTATAATTTTCAGTAACAGTGTTGATCGCGGAGATTTGAGTGGCAGAGGCTTGCAATAGTGCTGTAATATTGATGTGGGCAGTGGTATCACTGGGGCGTGAGAGATCCACTATGGAAATCGCCAAGCATGAACACGCCGGCAGACCCACGCAGCGGAGGCCCAGCTTTGCTTTGGACGCCTGAAACTATGGTTGAAATTTTCGCTCTTGCTCGTTAAGGTTTGAGCGATTGAGCGGCGACCAGTGTGGCGTTGATCAACAATACTGCCACTCAACAAACTTGACACCTGAGACATTTCAGAGCCGCGTGCCGTGGATCTTGGACCTCAAAAAGGTTGTGATGCACGGCACGATTAAGGAAATGCTAGCGTGTATGGTGGAACACGGCATGAATTGGATCAACAGCAAAAAAACCAAAGGATGATTATGCAATTCCACCGTTCCGTTCCAGAGCCGCTAGCAGCGATCTAGGTTGCTCTTAATGGTTGCGTGAGAAAAAACGGCTGATTCACATGGGGATTGCTAAACGCTCTCAAGACAAGAAAAGATCTTCCCCGGCGTGGAATGTGAATCCCGACAAAATGTCTCCACACCGCTGTAATGTTACTTCGTATGGGGCAAGCCACACACATGGCACTTCAATATGTTATGGTATTGAGCGGGACAAAACCTAATCATTCCCAATACCTTGGGGTTCGACACCTGTCAACCTAATGCTGCGCAGTCCAAGAACGTGAATAGGGGTGCAAAGAGCTTCAGATATGCCGAGCCGTTCCAAACCCCTCGAATCCATGGTTCACATAACCAAGATCCAAACTCACAGGGCAAACGCTTGTTCCCGTCTACCTGCCCGATCCAGTTAGAATACTCCGTCCAAGACCGCCGATCTGAATCACTATATTGCGTACATTGCGCGTGGTGTCGGTTCTTCTCCCGGAGATAAGCGCATTAGAGCTTGGTCGGCTAATTTTAAATTTACATCGCCCTGGTTAAATGAGAAGACTGAAAAAGAAGGAATAGAGAACATCCAGGGGCAATGGATCGGCTATAATCTTTTATTGGCCAAAACGAAAAATATGAACAAGATAGTGCATCAATGACCAGATTCTTCGACAATCCCAACCTCTCCCCTTCTATGTATTTGAATCTAAGAAGCACTTTACACCCTCACGGTCACGACTCGTGCAAAGTTCAATGCTTGCTCCGCTTGATAGGCTAATTGGCACTATTGTCTCAACCTAAGCGGGCAGATCAATAATTCGAGGGGATAATAAGTCCGTAAAAAGATCACCACGGCGATCAATGAATCGCTTCTTCAATAACAAAAAAACCCTATTTACTCACTTCGTACTGCGTACTATCTATGACTGATAACTGTCAACATCTGACAGACTCGGAGACTCAGTCTATCCTCGGGGGTACTCCGTACATAGTGACGATCCACAACAATATCACACATTAAATGGTGCTCGGCAAATGGCATATCTTAGTTGATCCCCGAGTCCTACACATGCTTTCTAGTGCTGACATGACGCTCCATAATGATCAACTTCACAGCAATCCTTGAGGCTGTACGGATAAGCACATCCAACAAACTATATCGGCTAATCATCGGTCTTAATTAAGGCCATGTTATAGGTTCATCATGGTCCATCGTTGAGATCATTAAGAAGATATGCCAAGAGCTTTTCATGCACCCCATTTTTGGGATCAATCGGCCAAGTATCAGATCCGGTATTTCCAAGAATCTTGAACTTTAAATTTCAACATGAACTTGGCGGCGTTATCGTAGCACGTTTTCCGCTTTTAGGGGTATAATATACAATGACTCCGTGCCCACATACTAGATGACGATCTACATATCATGACTCGGGGCGAGCCTTGAACAACTGAAGCTGAACTTTGACAGGGTGCGGATACTAGCTTGGGAACTTGAGGTCCTCATCGAGTAACATAACCCGTTGATAAGATGAAAAGTAGTAGAGTCGGGTGACCGCGACATCGCGAATCGCGAATCGAGAGATTTCCTGAACGTGACGCTATTGGAAAATACTGATAATTTGGATGTCAATGCATTCCAAGTTTTGAGTTGATCCTGTCGTTACGACAAGATGAATTTGAACCAGGATCTCACCAAGACAAAGTTTTGGAATTTGCCCAAGGTCTCTTCTCAAACTTTGAGTTGTTGAATGCTGAACATGAAAATTGGTGCATTCTTCTTATGGATCGCTGAGGTCTCGCTACCTAGTATCTCCTGGATTAGTCTTTCAGCTTACTGGAACGAAGGAATCCTTAAGAGTGATCGGTTCATATTCACTATGTACCAATCATAAGGTTTGATTGTACATATTTAACCAGGACTCTTCAACAACATTGAGACCTGATGTAAATCACAAATTCAGAATAGAAAAAAAGGAGAAAGTGTTATACGGCTTATGGTATTCATCATCAATCATAAAATCAGGGCGCCAAAGCATATAGCTCGACAGAAAAGAACATAGACAAGAGAGCCAGAGCTACATAAAAGAGACTGACAAACGTATGGAAAGTGCCATGAAGTAGGGAGTGGGTATCATCAGTTCATCAATCAGGAGCGCCAGATGCAACAATATATCCATCTTGCATGGAAATGAAAATCTCAAAATCCTCCCGCAACAATTTTGAAGGCCGTAAAATTCAAGACTGGTCGTTATGTGAGTATTTAACGGCGACGAGAGTTGCGATCGCGCCGGCTGGCATGTGTATCCTCTTCTTCATCTTCTTCCTCAACTGGAGCAGGTGTGCGTCGCTCGGTACGTCTCTTTGGTCGACGACGGCGGTTGGAACTGATGTTACTGGCTGAGTCGTCTGGGGCGAGAGAGCGGTCGTCATCGAGGAATTCGTCTTCTCCGCTTTCCCAGCCGCCGACGGCGGAGAAGGGAGTGCCCATGCGCGCTTCGACGAATGAGCCGCGTCGGCCTTGGTTGGCGACTGATAATCCTGCACCACGTTCTCGGATTGCGCGTCGGACAACCTCGGCTTTGAGATGTAAGGCTTCAAATGCATCCTCCAGTGCTTCCATGCCGAGGAAAATGTCGCGCTCGATCTCTGCCAGGGCGGCGATTTCTGTTTCTTCATCTAATGCGATGGGTCCGCCGTGAGCTGCAGGTGATGAAGGTCCGCCGTTGGGTTGACTGGAGGGTCGGAAGCTGCCATCCATATAGTTGGGGGTTGGGCCTCTGGAAATTCCTCCTGGGGTGAAGGGGGTGTTGGAGCGGCTGCCACTGTAGCGCTGTTGGTTGGGGGAGTACGACACGTCTTCAGCGCCGCTACGGAGGAAGCCATCAAATCGGCCGGATATAAGGATCTCCCATTCGTCGTCGCTGATAGCAGACAGAGTCGATAGGACGTGGTGCAAGCCAGGGTTGTTGAGCATGAACATTGCTGTTTCGGGGTCGCGAGGGAGCGATGAGAGGCGGTAGAGTCTTTGGATTGCCGAAGAGGAAGATGCCAGCGCGGAGGGTTTTTGTCGAGGTTTTTCATCGTCGGACTTGGGGACAGGAGTGGAAGAAGTAATGCCGAGAAGGGAACAGAACAGGGGACGTTGGAATGATTCGAGATGGGTCAACATGGCGAAAGTCAAAGTCTCATCATCAACCTCTTCAGGAGCACTGGTGGCGGAATCATTCTGCTCCGAGAGCCATTTGTCTACAGCAACCTTTGTTTTGCGAGATTGGCGAATGAAATGTTCGCGATACTCCTCTGGCACATCAACATCGAGCTTCTGCATGGGAACATGCTCCTCCCCTGCCACGCCAGAGTCGACGGTAGTTGGTGCCATGACGAATGGAGGCCAGACGGGTAGCTCTCGACGTCCAGAAACCAGCTCTAACACTTCGCCCCAGCTTACTCCGGATGGGCGTTCTTCTTCATCATTTCGTCCACAAAGTATGCAACTGCAAGGCTCGGACGAGATGTCTCGTGCAAACACAGCCTCAAGACGATCCAGAAGTCGTCGCGCGACTGAGCGATATCCTGTTGCCACAGCCAGAGATCCACTCTTGGTCATCACCTTCTGATAGTCATCAAGTAGTCGGTTATATGGGTCGAATAGTCTGGCAGCAACTTGCTGGGGTTGAGTAGCTGATTGGGCGAATGGGTCGTTCGCATGTGGCCCAGTAAGCAAGGTTCGCGCAACTTTATTGTCCAGACCACCGTTTTGGAGCAAGTAGTCGACTCTTGGTATGGTAACGGGGACGACAGGAGGGGGAGGTGGCGGCGGTGGCGCTCCGAAAGCTGGGCCAGGTGGTACATGTCTTCCATACTCGATAGATTCATCGCTGGGAGTATGGCGGTGGGACATGCCGGAGCGGTTTTGTGTGCGCGATGGGGGCTTGACTGGCGGGGAAGAGGTTTTCCGCGGCACTGTATACTGTTGATTGGGCGCAATAGATGTTGCATCAGATCCGTTCAACGATTCAACGCCTACATCTCGGATTGTTATGTTTGATCGCGATGGGGACATGGTAGATCGGCTGGATCGTTTAGGCAGCTTCTTCTCTTCGGATGAAACTTTGATCTTGGAGGACTTGTGGCTGACTCGAGGGGTCGATGATTCCTTTTCAGTCTTCTCCGTTTTAGATGACTTCGACCGTGGGGTTTCCGCCCGCACAGTCTTGCTAGTCCTGCTCCCCTCATCCTTTTTAGATCGAAGACTAGAAGACGAACGATTCACATCCGCCCGGATTTTGATGTTTGTTTTCTTCGACTTGGGCTTCTCCGAACTCTTTTCTTTTTCATCCTGCTCCTCAACCGGTGTACCCTTGCGAGAGGATGGCTGATCAAGCCCCGTCAATGGTGGACTAGGGGGGGCATGATGATTATCGGTCCGTTGGTGCGTGGTTCCATTCTCTTTCTCATCGTCCTCTGGTTGTTCCGTAAGATCGGTCGGGTCTGGTGTGGGGATATTATTGCCCTTGGCTGTGCGAACATCTTCTTTGCTGTGGGCTTTGGAAAAAGTGGGATACGGTAAACTCGACCTCGATTCGAGAAAAGAGGCAGTCCCCGATCGGCTTGCGGCGTCGACGCCTGGCATCGAGGACCGACGTGGGGGTTCACTGTGCGAAGTCGAAGCGGAGGTGGAGGAGCGAGCCGTTGGTTCTTCGGGCTCGGGCTCGCGATCCTTGGTTGACGTGCGGGAGGACCGTACCTGGGATAGTTGGGACGAACGCTTGGGACGTTCTTTCCAGTTCTTGGAGGAGGATTTGGGCTTTTTGGTCCTATCGGTGTTGTTTGGTCTTACCGGGAAAAACATGGCTGGCTCGAGAGAAATCGCAGCCGCACGAGGTGGATCCCTTCAAACCCTGGGGCCCGCTGGTTCATCGGGCTTCCGTTTTTGTTTTACTTTGTCTGTGCTTTGATAGACCCCCCGTTGGAACTTGTCAGAGCTGCCAGTGAGGGGAAGATCGATTTCTTATTTTTTGGGAATTCCCACGAGATGCCCAGCGCGCGTGCTGTGATGCCTGGCGCTTAGGTGTCGTGGATTCTAACTGGTCACGGGGAAGCCGGGGGGAAGAAGGGACTCAGCGCTTGCGTCGATCGCACAGCGGGAACAACCCCGGCATTGCCTTTAATACGAGAGATGGGGCTGATAGATTTCAATTGTATTTGTTTTATAAGATAATAAGGGAATTCGGGAATTCAAAGAATAAGACTGAAAGGGTGAGCATGTGCCAGGCACACAATGCAGGGGGGCGCAGATGTGAAGATGGAGAAGAAAGCGAGAATGTTCCAATGCGGTGAACAGACCGACAAATCAGCCCCGCTTAAACTGACGTGGAGGTCCGCTGCATGGAAGCCCAAGACGTGTCAAGGCTGAAACTGACGGAAAACCTAGATGATTCGAGCAGGTTCGGGGATTACTTAAGAGCTAAAGATAAGTTAATAGTAATATGTAGGGTGAAAGAAAGGGACGTCTTGGTATTAAGCTGCAACTATGTAAAGACGCGGGGGTATCATTTGAATGGTAGAGGAAAGTACTGTAAAGAAAAAAGGACCATATGCAAGTACAAAGTAAGGCCATGACTGCTACTCAGTTCTCTGCATGTAAGCCATTAGCAGCCTTTTTGACAGGCGAAGTCTCCAAGACCCAATTTCCATCCTCTTCGTGCGCCACGCCGCCCATCTGTGCAGCACGGAGTGTCTTGTCACTGGCCGGGGTGAGATCGCCTGTGTGATGATCCCATACCCAGCCTTCCTTGAGCCACAGCCAGGTCAGATATGCACGCAATTCTTTATCCTGGGGTAATACCGATTTCCACTCCGGAACAAACCCATGTGTAGTAGCACCAGTACCTTGCCAGTCTGTGGCCAGTCCGCGTAGTTCGTCACGACAGAAAATGCGCCAACTATCAAGGGAGTATGCACCGACACCTGGTAGATGGGCGACTTCCCACGCCGATCTAGGGTCTTCATAATCTAGCCTTTCCTCCGGGCCAACATCCCGACCATCCAACTTTTGAGGATAGTGGATCCTGCGATAACGTTTGTCTTTGAGTGGGGGGTTCGTCTGCCATGTTTGTGCCAGTGCAATGCACTTCCGAGCTCGCTGGTTTTGGAACCCTAGTCGATGGATTAAAGACACAAACTCGAATTCATCTGCCGCAGCCATGCAATCTATGGTCGGGTAACGCTCAAAGACTTGGAATAAAACAGGCAATGCAACTCCACCCCGCGTGCGATTCAAAAATATTGTAGCAATAAGTAATTTGAATGGCTGGTGGGCTAGTTGTTCTTGTACAAGACCGAAACAGGGACAGTCAATCGCAGGAAAGGGAAGACAAGATTCGGGATCGCGCGGAACTTTCGGGAAATAATGAGATGTCTTCGGGGTTCTGGGTCGTGGGGGCTTGAGATCCTCTGGCGGCAGACACGCTGCAAGATGGGCTGATTTTGTTGGGGTCGCAGGAAGTTTTTGTACATTAAAGTATGGGCTCTTTGCAGGGCTCTTTGCAGGGCTCTTTGCAGGGGTCGGGGGCAATTCGCGTATCCCATCGCCCAACACGAATTCGCTAGAGACATCGCTCAACGGTGAATCAGACAACAAAGTTTCTGGAAGAATATCAACCTCTTGGGAACCCTTATGTACATCTTGCCCAGCATTATTGTCGTTTCGAACAAGAGGAGTGCCATGCACAACGGTTCGGGAAGGTGAAGAATCAAAAACAGGGACAAATGGAAAGTATTTAGACACCACCTCATCACTGGGGGTCACCCCTTGCGAATCACTGGTGATCAAAAATCCATATCCCACTCGGCCGGATTTGGAGACAATGGCCCATAGCGAGATCGATTCCCACTCGTCTTTGACTGTCCCGTGGCTGGTGTTGATGGCACTTGAACTTCAATGGTTGATTTCGATGGAGTCGATGGGCTCTCAGCCACGTTGGTGGATGTTTGAGATTTTCTTCTATCTCTTTTGTACTTTTTACTCGCCCGTTTCTTCTTATTTGTGGACTTCCTCTTCTCCTTCCTCTTGTCCTTGTGGGATAGCTTCTTGGAATTGAGGACGGAATCTTCAGCAGCTCCTTCATTTGGCTTTGATTCAACATGGGACAGGTCCGTTGAATGTCTGGCAATGGGCTTTTCTTTCTTGCGTGTTGCACTCGTGGGTGTCTGTGGAAACGTCGAAACGGCATCGGCATCGTTTTGAGACCGAGTCTGAGGAGCTCCAGTAGAGTGTCTGCGTTGTGTTTCAATATGTTTTGCTTTTGAGGGGCTCTGTAGAAAGAGACTTCTGCTACCTGCAGCTGTTGGAGACCACGAGAATGTAGGCTTGGCTGGGGGGGTTCCATATGTATATTTTGGCTTCTCTCGCGCCGAGCTTTGGAAACCCCACGAAACGTCGGTTGACTGCCTTCTGATAGGATCCTTCTTCTTTCCCATGTTTGCGGGGCTTTGCGGCAAAGAATTTGTGGTCGTCGTAACCGGTGTGGATCGCACGTACAGGCTTTCAGTGAGTAGGCTCTCACTTGGCTGGTCACCCTTCACATTATTATTATTTGACGCTTTCAAGGAAGTTCGTCTTCTTGGAGTAGGGCTAGTTTCAGAATCCAGATGTGGCGAAGCGGGCGGGTTGTTCATTTTCTGTGAATGGGGTTTGGGAGTGGTTTTGTTGCCTTCAACCTCAGAGGGGGTTGCTCTCGCCCGGACTTTCTCCTTACACATGGATGTGCTTTTATCCACGCATGACGCATCGCCTTGTATTTTGTTAGGAGTAGGTGGATGTTGTAATTTGTTGGTATTGACCAAATTCGACTCGTCGATGCTCCCCGAGCCCCGCGTTGCCTCGTTTGACATTCCTGCCGAGCGCCCCGATGAGGTGACAGATGATTCTGGCAAACTGCCATCGTCCGAGCCATTGATTTTGCGATTCCTTTTCTCGAGGGTTCGTTGCTTGGGAAGATCAGGGGATGTAGGATAATTCTCATCTGGGAGCAAGGGTTGTTCCGAAACATCTGATTGTCTAGATCGGCATTTGTGTTGCTTCTTTTTCTTCGCGGCTACTTCTTGCGTGAGATCAGAGCTTCTCAAGCCCCTCTTACGACTCTTTGTAGGAGATGTTCCCTCGGGCGAATCGTCGAACTCGTCGCCGAATGTGATATCATCGGCGTATTCAGATAGTGTGCCAGAATACACGCCCGCAAGATCCAAATAGATTCGACGCACATAATGAATCAGCCCATGAATAGCTTCGTCGGGCATCCCATGAGAAAGAGCCTTTTTTCCTACATCGCGGGTAAAATGGCGTCTGGTCGATCTTCTCACTGGCTGAGTAGGCTCCGCCAAGAATTGGTGAGACACAACAAACTCGAGAATCCTCTGGCGCGCAGACAGATCGACCGATGCAAAGATAACATCTTCCTCGGCGTGATCGGCACTGGCTGGTTCCAAACAGTCTTCTTCCTTGGCGGTGTCAGTTATGCGTCCCTTTCGTGCTGATCCGCCATTACGTTTGTTGTTTATCTTGCTAGCTTTCTGTTGGATGCCAGCCCGGTCGTCCATACTTCCGTATTCTTCGGAGTCACTGGAGATCTCTATGATTTCAATCTCCTTGGTGGCAGGTCGTGCTTGCGGCTGCGATCGCACTTGCTCTGTGTGTTGTTTGGTGGAGGTGGGGGTTGACTTCCATGTGGGTAGGTGAGATGAGGAAACGAAGTGCTTGTGAGAGCTCGCAGGGGAGGAGGGGTTGGATGCCCCTGAAATGCTCTCACTTCTGGCAGAAACACCTGGCATGTCCCATTCCCCATCCACAGGCAGAAACCCTGCCTCCTCGGAAAGTATCTCGTCAAATATCCGCTCAACCTCCTCGGGAAACGGCTTGTATGTAGATATCTCCTGACTGGGAGGGGGTGGAATTATCGCAATTCGGTCGATTATGGCCATGTTTCGAGGTCCTTATTTCCTATCTCCCTTCAGTTGCGTGCGGTTCCTCTCTCTCTCTTTCTTTCTTTCTTTCTTTCTTTCTCTCTCTCTCATCCGAAGTCAGGTGTGGGGATGGGCCTATTCATTTGGCGTGGTTGATCGGAGCGAAGAGTTCAATGCTGTTCTACGGACCGAAGAATTTAGCCTCATGCATATTGCCAGTAGAATATAAGCCAAGGATCAGGTTTACCAGATTAATACATGTTCCTGTATCTCGAAAGGCCGAGAATGCAGCAAGCTTTGGCGTTCTCCGCGACGCGGTAATCGAAGCGTGTCTTGAAGGGGAATAGCCAGCGAAGTGGAGGATTGCAGGAAACGAGGGGTTTCTAAAACAATTGGAAGTCTAATAACAAAATCTAGCAACCAAAATGAGCGCGGTTCCTTGAATGCATTAGTGTCAAAGAGCTCTGAACTTGCGTCACAGGAGAAACTCGCGATTCCCATTCAATGTGCACGGACCACTGGGTTGATACGTCTTATCGGGGATCGGGAAGGATCAATCACTTTCAAAGTGCAGGAACCATCAAGAACTCTCAACCTAACACTATCCATGGATAGTTAACTATACTTTCAGGCTCTTTATAACTTTCTTTCTATTTCTTTCTGTTCTATGTTGACAAGCTCATGTTTGGCCTCGAATTTACATGACATCACGTTTCATACAGAGTAGCCAGCCGAGTTGAGTTGGCGAGGTTCGCCAGCAGGATCAAATGTACCATTGGGAAGAACTCGAATGAGCTGTGCAGTGCTCAGTGTCGGCGCAACCCAGGTGACGTTATGTCCCCTACTCTCCATGAAAGCAACGGTCGAGTTGTCATAGTTGTACTCGAAGGTCACTTGGTTAGGAACCAGTTGATCATGCAAACGAGGCTTGGCCAAGGCCTCGGCCGCTGTCAGCCCCTGATCAATTGAATGAATAATGGTCTGCACGGTAGCCGTTATTATACGGCTGCCCCCTGCACTTCCAGCGACTAGAAAAACACTGCCATCGGGTCGGGTGACGATCGCAGGTGTACAGGATGATAAAGGCCTCTTGTTAGGTCGGATAAAGTTTGCCTCGGAAGGAATGTATCCGAATGAGTTGGACGATCCGGGGATAGAAAAGTCTATTACTTGCTATTAGATTGTATCCTAGATCAGTGTTATCTTTTATGTGTCGGAGACTTACCGTCCATTTCGTTATTCATGATAATGCCAGTCTCTGGTACCATGAGACGGCTCCCAAAAAGGAGATTGATGGTAGTGATCGCGGAGATGGTGAGTCCGGAATGATCAGCTGCGACAACATGGGAGGTTCCTGGTCTGTCTTCTTGGTCAATCTTTGATTCTTGTTAAGATGATTTTTCAGGCTCTTACGTGTCGAGACTCTCAATGCCGTCAGGGTCGTATGCGGACACATCCAACGTGTGAGTGTCGGAAATTTTGCTGCGAATATCATCAACGGTAGACTGTTTCAGCATCTTATGCTCATAATCTGCCATCTCAGGGACAAACTCCGGGTCGCCCATTTGCGTCCTCTGTGAGTTTTGATTGGTATAAACTGTGTGAGGTGTCAGGGAACCAAACTCACCTGGCCATACCCGAATCTAAACGCCTCGCCCATACGGTGCGTACTGAGGTTCACGGTCTTCTCATCGGAGAATAGGTCCTGGTAGGTGTTCAAAACCTTAAGGATGTTTAATGCGACAACGCCGCTCGATGGTGCTGTCGTACTTGTGACTGTGTATCCGCGGTAATTGATCTGCGATATGTTTCGGATGGCAATAGAATAGTCCGTTAGATCTTGTACCTCCATAGTTCCGTTTGAATTTTGTATCGCCTTTATCATGGTCTCGGCGATTGCGCCAGAGTAAAAGGCATCTGGGCCATGATCCGCAATTCTTTCAAGTGTATCCGCGAGACGCTTCCGGGTCATGATATCCCCCAAGCCCAATCGAGTGCCATTAGGAGCAAAGTCAATCGCCCAAGTTGGGTCAAGTGAAAGAAAGTCCTCGCCACTTCCTACTGCGCTGTTCATGTATCGGATCAAATCTTCTGTGACTGGGAAGCCTTCGCGAGCAGTCCGAATGGCTGGCTGTACAACAGTCGACCACGGAAGAGACCCGTACTTCTGATGGAGATACTCTAGTCCACGCAATTCACCGGGCACGCCACTGTGTCGTATGAGTCAATGAAGCGGGCCTTCTCTGTAATATGAAAGGATGTAGCTAACCTTGCCAGGCCCCCATGGATCGCGGCTTCGGTATTATTCTTGAACATTTCCTCAAACGCAGCCGCTGGGGCTGTTTCTCGAAAGTCGACACTCTCGTGGGAACCATCTGGTGCTCTTATAAGCATGAAGCCACCTCCGCCAATACCACTATGATACATTCCTGATGATCATGTTTAGCAAGCATCCCTGTAATTGGGTCCCTGGGCGCAGCTTACCTACGACGCCAACGCAGATCTCTGTAGCAACAAGCTGTGGATATAATTTAGCTCCCACTCGTATCTTTGATATTTGAAAACAAAGCTTTTTCTCTCCTTCTATGATAGCATATTTATGAAAACTTACAGCATCAGCAGCCGTGCCACCCATTTTCAACATGTCAGTTCCATGTCGTGAACAAATGGAGCTCTCGCTAGCAACAGCCCCAAGTTTTCCAGGCTCTAAGTTTTTGTGTATACCAAGACTCTCATCTTGATTCGAGATTAATGGTTTCAAAGTTGAATTTTGGACTTTGGGCAAGTAGATCACCAAAAGCAATACAGATAACAAAACCAATAATCCAAGTTTGGTATTTTGGACCATGGTCTTGATCGTATTCAGCCAAGTCCGAGTCCGGGGAGCATGATCGGCGATCTCCCTAGTGTTCAAAGAAACATGCGAAAGCAACAAGGGCTGTGTCATGTTCATTAGATTGTGTCACACCGCGCGGCAGTACACAGATACTAGTATGCATGCATATGGCAGGAGCTCTTACCTGTTTCTCCACATCTTTATTCGCTGGTTCCTCTTTATGCATAATACCGTGTAAAATCCAGACCTTGGTTCCCTCTCTTTTCCCAGGTCGATTCGTGACTTTGGGCCATCGACCTGGAAAATCAAACTTAAGAAGCTTCGGGATTTCGGCAAGGTCACGGTCTGACTCCAAGCGTGTTGGGGTCAGGAGGGGAAGATAAGCGCAGATCCAACGGGACCGCCTATCTATCTCCGGAGATACTGTAGTGGGAAAAGCCGCCGTCCAATCAGGAATGGCCTGTATAGTCCGCGGAATCTGGATCAATATCATTCCTCTAGAGAGGAAGCTATGGTAACGGTCACAGAGATGTGATGATGATATTATTATCTAGGCTACAGAGAGAGAGATGATAGAGGATGTGTAGGTCACCTAGGCAGTAAGCCCCACCATCCGTCCACAGTTTGAATGAAAATCGGAGTGGTATATTTTGAGTATATAGACGAAGGAACGTGAATTGGGAGAATATGCGAGGGAGTCTCCAGCCAGGGTTCATATTCATGTTCATGTCTGCGCATCCTAGCAGAGGTAGGGCGATGACCTAGTGACGCGATATTGCTGGCAGTGTTGAAAGAGGCGGTGTGAGAGCGGGCCCAAAAGTTTGGTGATGCAGCGGAGCAGCACCTGCGCTGGGACACTGACTATGAGAGCATGTTCATCTCGCTTTTTTCTCAGGGACGAGCATCCCCAGAGTATAATTATTAATTTCCTACCCCTAAGCCCCCTCTCAGGCACCCGGCTTATTGCCTAGGCTAGCCTGTCAAGTGGGGCGCGGGCATGAAATTGGACCCTGCGATATCGGGAACTCCTAGCCACAACATCTCTCCATAAGGATCCATAGGATGTCACTTTTCTCCATCCCTGTCGAGATCTATGCTCAAATAATTCTTTACGTCTCCTCAATTCGCGATCTGGCAGCCCTCTCGCAATCATGCCGCACTCTGCACTCTCTATGCGACATGAAAACGCGCGAGCGATTTGACCGAATTCGTATCCATCCCCATGACATTAGTATTGATAAGAATTTTGATCTGTTGATGGAAATTCTTAAAAAGCCTAGGTTGGGAAACTATGTACGAGAAGTCCAGCAGTACTGGAGACCTAACCATAATGTCGCTTATGTAGAGAGACAAGGGCAGCGCGGTCTCAGGCTCAGCACAGACGAAATGAATATAATCTGTGCGGCTGTGCAAAAGGCGGGATTTTCCAATTCTCAAGAAAGTGATGTGATCAACATGCTCATGCAAGACAGCACAGAAGGTGCATGCGGCATTGCCAACTATTCCTATCGTGGAATTGAGTAAGACAGTCTTTCCCCTCCTAAACCATCGCCTGCTCAACAAAGCACTAAACAAGATAACAGCCCACCTTGGCACGAGGGGATATTTATCGCGCAAGCATTAGCTGCAATTATCATCTCTGTATCGCCTAATATGGAGACTCTAGCGATCGCAAGACCCTTCGTATCATATTCCGACTTCTATTTTGACGCTAAAAAATGGCCTCGGGAGTCAAATATCGACTTCCCCCTCGATCGGTTTCTGCGACATGCGAATGTGGAACCACGTAAAGTCACATACCTTCAGAACCTTCGTAAAGTTTACATGATACTCGACGACGCAGACATGAATGACAGCTATTATGTCGGCATGGACTTCCTCGACTGTACGACACTTTTTGATCGTCTCCCGTCCATTGAATCGATAGCCACAGATGCACTGATAGAAGACGAGAATGCACTGTCACGCCTAGTGCCAAGATCATCCAACATTAGCAAGATCCACTTAAATCACTCCTCCCTTCAGGCACCTTACATCGCCCAACTCATCCAATCTTGCAAGACTTTGCGAGAATTCCAATATACCACTGGCGGGCGAGGCGTCGTCGATGGGTCATTCAAAACATTCAATATCAAAACCTTCATCAAATCTATATGCCCTCACAAGAATACACTTGAGGTCCTGGATATTGATGACGAGTCGCATATGTTCTATTTTAGCAACTACTATTCTGCTGATTGCGAGGAATACGAGAATGTCGAGGAATATGAAACTGTCGAGGATCGGCTTGACCAAGTGATCGACGGAGATGTATCGGATCTCGACCCTGATGAGAATGATGAGAGGCAGCAATTCCTTAGGTCGTTCTGGGGAAATAATGGCTCTTTGAGAGAGTTTCGTGTTTTGAAGCGACTGGGCATGGGCATTGGGTCTTTGCTGTATTTTGCCAAGGGGGTTGGCGTGGGCGATGAAAATGAGAAGCCCGTCAAGTTGGCGGATGTTCTACCCGAGAGTTTGGAACATCTTTGTATACGTGGGTACGAAAGAGGATTGTCTGTAAGGTGGGATGAACAGATCGATGCCTTGAAAGACTCATGCGAGTCAGGCCTATCGAATATTAAAATTGTCAGTGGGATAGAAGAGATGATACCCAATGCCGAAGACGTGGAATGGCCCGATTATGCTGAGGAGGGTGTACTGTGGAATTTAAAAGAAGCGGGATATGGACCCTGAATAAGTGTCACTGAATAGAGAAGGGTTTTGAGTATTAATCCGTATCTGCACTTCTATAGGCCAATATCGTTTGATCTGGTTCAATTCCTTCTTTCATCCAAGATATGGTATCTCGCCATATTGGGGGAATTTCCTCAAGTGGTTGTACAGTTGCATGAAGAAGTCGTCGTCCCCAGTCTCGAACATACCACCGATTAGACATGAGACGCATTGCACTGGCGTAATGCAAGAAGAGAATACGAGCTAGCCAGTCGCCTTCTCGCACCAATGTTATAAAAGCCTCGGCGATGAAAAGAGGCCATGCCATGACACCGCCATGGGCCCCGATCTTGGGCCAGGGCTCAATAGCCTGGTGCAAGAATTGCCATGTGGCTTTAAATAATGTTCTATTTGGAGATGTGTTGGTCTCGATGGTACTTCCCAGCTCGTTGAGAGACTGTATAATTTTTCTATTTTCGATTAGAAAAGGCTTTTGCTGCTCGACATTTTTTTTACTTACTTGTGTAAATCGAATAATTTTTCTGTGTCTTCGATTGGTATATGGCTTGACAAAAATGTTAGGCTTGGAATCTTGAAGCTCCCTGCGTAGTGATAAGATCTCTTACCCTTTATTCTGTAATTTTGAGTCTAGGTTCTCCTCCGTGTCAGGAGTAGAGAGCCAACCTCCTAACTCGCCCTCTATTCCCATGTCATTGAGTTTTGTAAAAATCGTCGCACATCCTGAAATTAACGTGCGAACGGCGAGCACTTGAGAAAGGGCATCAGAATGAGTTTCGCGAGATATCACGGGAAAGCCTTGGGCGTATAGCATGATGAACACAGATGCCACAAAGGCCGGCTCATACTGGTCGTAGGTAATTTCTGCGATCACTTTTCCGAATTCAGCACATGTTTGGGATTGATATCGCGTCGCAGCTTCTATCCAAGTTTGACGATTGTCATCTTCAATTGAGGCCAGATGAAGTGCAGTCAACGCCAATATGCTGTCCAATAAAAATGGGTGAGAAGTGGCCATTTGTGGGATAGTGATAGAGAGATGATGGATCGATAGCCCATCTTGGGATAGCGTGAGATATGTAGAAGTCAAATATTGGTGCCACAGCCGCATTTCTAGCATACGTGTTGGGAGGGAAGCCCCTGGGGTGCGTATTCCACTGTCTGAGCCATCCCTCGCCCCGGAAGAACCTGGGCTGTCAGGATCAGGTGGATAAAGACAGTCTAGCCTGCGCTTAGTGCACAGCGTGCACTTGGGCACTCCTTCGTCACACTATCGTCATGTCAGATTTGTCAGATAGTCGCGTGTATGTATCATTGCTATGACAAACTTGGGCGATTCTTCTCTGGGGAGACTTTTCGGCCCCACAATCCCAAATGATCATTTTGAAGGATGAAAGGTGCGGATAGAATCAAACAGCTTCATCGCTGTACTTACCTTAACATGTCGCCTTTTGCACTCCGAACACCCCTTACGAGATTTTGTGTGGCTCCGGCGAAACGGCATCAGGACCTGAGATTCATCCCGCAACGCAGAGGGATAAGGGTTTAGGCAATGGACCTCGCGAAAACGGCAATATCATCCCCTTGGTCTTAGGAGAGAAAATGGACCTGAGAACTGAGACTCGGCCGACCTCGGTCATGGGGAATCTGCATATGACGTCCTGCTATTGGACGTTGAAGTTTGGGACTGTGATTAGTAACCGCCCACACTGGGGCTTCTTGGCGCATTCGTAGATCCCTGCGGCCTTCCGAGGATGAAAAATAAGTCGTCTCATCGACCCTTTTCTCGAGACAAAAAAGGGAATAGAATCGAAAAAGAATCGTTGCTATGGATTAAAATATTGGATAGTCAATATCCTCTAGAATTACGGTCGACTCAGGCCATCCAACTTCTTCTTCTGCTTATTCTTTTCTTTCTACGCGTAATAATTGACTTTCCCACCGTATTTTCCATTGTTGGTATTGGAGTGGATATAAGCATTCCCAACATGAAAATCCTTATTGCTTTGTGCGACCTCTCCATTCCTTAACCCGGACTATCCAGTCACGAACAAGTGCCTCAAAAAGACCCGTCTCATCAATAGGAAGGCCATGCGTACCACGATCTAGAACAACATACGTCGATCGTGGATAAAGCTCTAGCAATCGCAAACTATCTCGGTACCCCACACTCTGATCTTGCCGACCACATACAATAAGTGTTGGCGCAAAGAACTTGGAACTCTGATCATCCAACGAAAAGGATAGCTGGTATCGACCCGGGTCTTCCCGAATAGGATCCAACGCCTTAGCATCTGATGCTTTCTCTGCAGGGACATAGACTCCCTCATATTTTGACTTGAGAGTTTCAACATAAGCAGGTGTCTGAACGAGAATGTCTCCAAGGAGCTTCTTATCTTCCGCTGATAGAGTCGAAATGAATTGCTCGTTCTCAAGCACCGGTTTGAAAGTATCTAGATCGCGTCTGCTATCCTCTGGCTCAATAAGCGGCACTCGCAAAAATAGACCATCAACTTGGTCGATGTATTTTTGAGCGATCGCTCGTGCAAGGTATCCGCCGCATGATGAGCCGATAAGTAGGAATCTTGACTTTCCAAGCCGAGAATCAATGAATTGCACCAGGCGATGCAATATGTCCTCTTGGTCTTTGATATCATTTGCAGGTGCGTTGCCCATGCCAGGGAGATCGACGTAGATCCGACGAAGACCTGATAAATTGCTGAAAATAGGCTCAAAGTCTAGCGCCTCGACCCTTCCCTCCATCTGCCACCCGTGGATGATCAGAATAGGGAGTCCTTCTCCGATTTCGTTTGAAGGTAGAATGGACTCCATTTTTGGGCTTGATGTTGAACTGTAAGACTCGAGTAGGAATAAAGGTAGCTGAAGGTGGGGAGATAAATTACTCAATTTTTGTCATACATAGTAAACACTAGGGCACGCCATTTTCTGATGCTGACAAATTCAAGCCCCCAAAGCCTGACGCTGAGGGGCAATGGTACATACTCCACTCAGCTTAAGCCTTTGCAGGTTACATAGTACCACGTTGTCTGGACAAGGCTGACCGTTACCCACTTGAATAGTATATGCACAGCATCATGATCTACCTAAACTCTTTTTAATCATACCTAGGTAGTGCGTCCACGGGTTGTTTATTCTATATCCAACTTGAAGTTCAAATTCCATTTTCAATCGGATCATTCGGACTATACTATCTAGTAGTATCTAAAACAGTATATATGTGAGCTCAAGGATTATCAATTTTTAGGGATGGGCGCGATATCGTTTATCGCATGTCTTCGGTTGTGATTAAAATAAAATGCTATGTAAGTGCTGTGCTGTAATTATATATATACTGTTAAGGTAGTGTATATCTATAGATACAGCTGTAAAATCTCTTCGGAATGCCACCTGGGCAGAATAGGCAGATAGTATATATACTCCTAAGTATTAATTATAGTAACATTGAAGCTATTCCTCTTCCTCTTCCTTCTCCTCCTTATCCCTAGTCTTATTATCCCAACCTGAAGATTATAATCCCCTATCAACATCATAATCCGTATCGTTTTACTATTTATTCTACCCCTCCCGAGACCTAAAAGATCGTGCACGCCCTTGACTGAATAGACGCCTAATACTAACCTTAGAGGTAGGGATAGCAAGATAATCTCGTACTGCTACTACTATATAAAGCATCTCCTTTACAGGTTACATAGTACCATATTGTCTGGACAAGGCTAAATCTCTGTATATATCTTACGGAAAACTACTCTGTTGTACGCCCGTTCCGCTAGAAACTGACGCTGATATCCCGGTACAAGATATAGAACATCCAGCATCTGTAGCTTATTTTCCCAAATACCTGTATATCTTTATCTTATATTCTTTATCTATATGCTGTTATTTTTTCTTTTCCTTCCGCGATAACAAAGGCATCAGGGTGACATCATTAATATCCTTCAATGACGGTTATTGAGGAACAAAACACATCAAAAACATTCCTAAAACATTCCTACACCCATAATTGCTCTCTCATCCATGATTCTCCTCTCTGATTGATCTCGAGCCGCCCATCCCAACTGTCACTGAAAAAGATGTCGTATCCGTATCAAAACGAGGATGTCGTGTCAGAGGAAGGGACATGTACGTTTCTCGCGCACCTTCCCTCTGATACTCCCGTCTATCGTTACGCCAAAAAGTGCACAATGGAGAGTCTCTTCCCTCAGTATTCCATCGAGGATCGCTTCATCGTCTTAAAAAACCTTCCACCAGAGAGACTAGCCAAACACGACGAAAAATTTCCCGGACGCTGTGACTACTCGCCATCGCTTCAGATTCTGATCATCACGATGCCTAGCCAACCACACGAAGAAGCGGCGTGCAGTTTCGGCATAATCATTGCGACCCTCGCCAAAGAGATTGAAGTCTATCGACGGATTTCAAATTGGGGATCCACCCTTATCGAGACCCCCGACCGAAGCAAGCAGGCAGACCGGTCATGGGTGCCAGCTCGTTTGCAGAGCGAATTTCCAACGGTGGCATTAGAAGTTGGATTCTCCGTGACAACAGCGAAACTGGAAAGGGATATCGCTTGGTGGATCAATACATCAAAAGGCGACGTAAAAATGGGGCTTACCATCGATATCAAAAGATCTGGCTCGATTGAGATCAAGTCCTGGACGCCACCTTTGATGCCAGTACCGAGCCATGTCTATATCACCGCACACGGTCGCCCTGTTGTTGATAGACGCATTAGTGATCCCCCATCCCCTCGAATGGCCCAGAGAATCTTCATCACGAGAGGCAGAGATGGCTGTAATCCCACGATTGAGGGGGGAGACCTAATTATACCATTCCATGCTCTGATGTTGGAACAACCGAGAGAAGGCGAGCACGATTTGGTGTTGACAACCGAGCTTCTATTGCAGGATTTGGCAGAGCGTGTCTGGGTTGCGATCGACCAAGCCCAGACGATTAAGGCAAAAAATAGCAATACTTTGTAACTCTTATGATTACGAATCGATTCGTCGCGTTCAAGGGGAATGGCAAAGAGAAAATTGTATGTATTCTAGCAGTGATTATCCAAGTAGCTAGAAATGAGTATTTTAATGGAATCAAACGCAATGAAAAGAATATGCTTTGAGGATGTTGAACAATTCGTATGAGGAAAGTCGACCAAGTAATTACGCAGGTTGCAAGTCTAAAACGTCACATTGAAGCGCTTGCTTGTCCTGATGCGCTCACCAAACATATAAAAGATGATGGGAAGTGGGGACAACGCCAGAGCAATGAATCCAAGCAAGGAATTGCCCCAGCCTAGTCCCAGTGTCTCGTACATCTTGGGCCCCGCGAGCGGGAGCAAGGCACCAGCTAAGGACCGGAAAACGGTGTTTGCCGCCATAGCAGATGCAGCATATACAGTATATGCATCAACCAAGTATGTACTGACGGTCATCTGATTTAATTAGGTTAGCATTTGCAATTTTATGAGGTGAAGTTGAAGAAAATGAAGCTTACAAATGCGATAAGCATTCCGACTCCAAGGAACCCAGTCCCAATAATGGGAACAATCCAATGCACTTTGTAATACGCTGTCCACCCATAAATGAACAATGAAATTGGAACAAAGAAAGTTCCAGGAATCATGGGAGGTAATCGATACTCGGGCTTCGAAGTTCCGCCATTCTTTGCAGTAAGGTACTTTAGCAGACGGTCTGATGTTGTGCCTAGTACAAAAAGGCCAAGCAGAGAGCCAACGCCAATTCCAAGGTATGATAATCCTACAGAGCCCTGGGAAAATTCATACTGTGACTCAAATACTTCAGTGAATGTGGTGAACAGTAGATAAAGGTATCCATAGATCAGGGCGACATATAGAGATAGCAAAAAGACAATAGGCGATAAGAAGAGCATCTTGGTAGGACGAATAATTGATTGTTTGAACAGGCGCTTTGGATCAAGGCCTGTGTCGAGAATGGAGCGCAGATTCGGGTTGCCGGTTTCCTTTCGCAGTCTTATTGCTTTGCGAGCCAGTAAAGTAGGTGCATATGACTCTTTGATCGTGAAGAATGAAGTTATAACAACAGCAGCGCTCTAGTCCCCTCGATCAGTATCATGTTTCTTTTGTTTTTACGGTCAATGTCAGCACTTACAGCCATAGCAAGCACCCAGAATGTCCATCGCCAACCCTTTGCTTGAGATAAATATCCACCAGCTACAAAATGTTAGTAACAGTATCGAAATCAGTGCTTATGATCTATTTCACATACCGACGGGTCCAATGACTGGTCCAATCAATGGCCCAATGGCCCAAGCAGCCATCGCACTACCTCGTTGTTCCTGAGCAAACATGTCCGCGATTGATCCCGCACCTATTGTCAGAGGACAACTTCCTCCAATACCAGCAAAGAATCGAAATACGATCAGGCTACCAATTTCAGGAGCAACAGCGCAAGCGATGGTGAAAATGATGTAGATGATGTTGCAGGTATTATAGACGATTCTTCGCCCATACATTTCCGACACCGGGGCAATAATGAGGGGACCAAAGCAGTAGCCGAGTAGATAGACCGAGACCGCAAACGATTCAAGCTCCGTACTTGTCAGGTGGAAGTCCTTAATAAGTTCTGGGATTCCCGGTGCAAACATAGACGAACCAAGGGGTCTTCAAAAGAGTGTTCGATCAGTAAAGGGATCAACTATAAGTGAGGATATACGTATCGTACGTTAAAACCGTGATTAGTGCGATAGAAATTGTCGCATTGACTTTTTTCGCTTTCGTCCAATTCAAAGGGTTTTCAGGATCGTTAGGTCCATCCCAATCCACGATATTTGGATCTTGGGGTTGTTTATTTTGTGCTTCTGGTCCATCTCGAATTATTCCCTGCTCTGCGTCTACCTCGTCAAGTGAATTTCGCTTTTCTTCATTGCCAACATGGTGTTGTATCTCGGGGTCGCTTGTCGTCGGCGTTGACATGTCAACTTGAACTGGTGTTTCTAGAAATCACACGAATATGTTAGTTTGCTGTACAATGAGAAGATGATTGTTTGACATTTTGCTTTTAGATGGGATGACGCACTATCTATATCCTCCATCTTGCACCCTGTATCCAAGGGTGAGCGCACGATCTGCGACCTGTATCTCTTCCCTAAATGTTTTTTTTTTCGGGGGTGGAGGCGTGACACCGTATGAACAAGCTTGTGGGGGGGGGGGGGGGGGACGCTCAGGCACGTTAAAAATTGATTTACGGCGGTTCCAACGACGGATGGGTAGCTAGAAGAGGGGAGAAGGAGCTATGGATGTTATCGAGACATAACACTCGTATTAGGGGCACAACAGGTGATGTGTTAGAAAATAAAGGCGCGAATGGCTCGGAAGAGTTTACCCTACGACTACACGAGGGGAAAGGGCTAAAATTTCCAATCTGAACGCCGGCAGCGGCCAGTTCCGTATCTGAACGGTCTTAAGATTGAATTTGCACCTGCAGGATTTATGCACTTCTTTTATGTACCCACATTGACCTGGGGAAAGTGATTGTGTATTATTTAGCTTGGCGGGGTCTTAGCCCTGGGTTTGCAATTTCGAAATGGGTGCATAAACCTCGTGTTTGCTCTTGTGCATTGGATTATGCATTGCAGATTCAACCACAACTTTTTGTTTTTTTGGGTTTGCTGACGCCCTTTGGGTCATGCGGTCTGCGAATGGCGAGTTTCTTTATCGAAACCCCGCCTTGAAAAGGGGCTATCTCGGGGTGGAGACCCGATGTGGAGGGACGGGAAGCGGGTGCTACCTACGATAGCTCCCCTCGGGGCGAACCCCGAGAGTTGTAAAGGGGAAATATCTACACCGATGGCCTAGACTCGAATCGGTTGTATGTCCTGCAAAAATAAAATGATGCCTTTTTTAAAGGTAAGAAAAATAAAATGCATTACTATCATAAATATTGGCGATATAATTCTTTTCAAGCCAAAAAACGCTGCTCAACAATGCCATCGTGACCTCAGCAATACCGTCAAGCCTCGTTGAAAGTCCCAAGGAATATCCATGGGAGAAGTCATGCGGAAAACACTAACATAGGTTCAAAAAGAAGAAGAAAAAAGAATATAGCCCAAATGCAGAAGAAAAAAAAACAGAAATAGTGGTTTATGAATACTTAACTCCGCACCTCGCTCAACAAGCATGCAGTTTGAAGCATTCCGAGCTCCCTAGCCAAAACAATGGGAATTTTGTGATTTTGCTTTCGCTTTCTGGTTGCCACGGGTATTTCCTGTGTAGAGTCTGGGTGGTACAGGCCCCTTTTGATCTTCATCAAGTGGTCGAATAACAAGCCAAAGGGCTCTCCAAAGATCAGGGTCGGCCTTGCTTGGATCAATGACCGGAGGGCCTCTTCCATGCTTCCGTGCGGCCCCTTGATGATAGTTTTTGACCTTGGCATTGAATTTGTGCAATCCAGACTTGCCTTTCCATGGTAGATCGGTATCAACCACGAGTGGAGCAATCCAAGGTTGGAACAATTGGATACGTCGTTGTTGGAAGTCCACTTCATTGGCAAGATCTGTACCCCCACATGGAAGCTCACTCAGCTGGTTGATAAGAGGTGCGTTTGGATCAATGTTACCCTCAGAATCGAGAACGGGCATATTGGTGATTTGAGCAACGGCCGGAAGCTTAGCGATCTGAGCTATCAATCCGCGTGAATTGAAAATTTCCTTGTTTGCTGTGCGAACAATACCATCGGCCTTGCTCTTTCCCATTTCTTGACTGCTGAAGTTTGCAAGAGAACTGACTGATGCTCCGATCCAGCGAAGCGGGAACAAAATTGGCACAGATGAGAGCATTCCACCCGTCACATCTAGAACTTGCATTGGCGGGCTGTGGCCCATTGCATCGTTGAGCTTATCCAGAAGTCTAAAGAAGAAGTCTTGAGGGATCTGGTGATTTTGCAGCATTGGAGGATATGCGCGAATGAATGGTGCATCCTTATCGGGTGTGAGAGCAGGAATGGCCATAATGTTGCTTGGAGGCATGTTGGGCACAGGTGCACCATAGCCTGGTGCTACATTTGGGGGAGGGCCATAACCTTGCCCTGCATTGGGGGGTGTACCAAAGCCTGGTCCTGCGTTTGGGGGAATACCGTATCCTTGCTCCGTGGGCTGAGGGGAGCCATACGGCCCCGGATTCTGGAGACCATAAGGCCCTGCGTTCATGGGTGGGCCGTAGCCTTGACCGCCGTTTGGAGATGGTGTACCGTAACCAGGCCCTGCGTTGGGGAGAGGATACCCTTGGTCCATGTGTTGAGGGGGGCCATAGGGCCCTGGATTCTGATGACCATAGGGGTCACCGTTTGGAGGGGGAGCATATGCTCCTACATTTGGAGGAGACGCATACCCGTGCCCAGAAGTCGGGGGGGGACCGTATCCTGGTCCTGCATTCTGAGGGGTACCATAGCCCGGCCCAGGGTTTTGAGAGCCACCGTACTGCTCAACACCGCGAGCGTTGAATTCCGGTGAGCAATCCGGCTCAATGCTCGGGGAATGCCCATGACTGGGACCTGCGCTTGATGGAGGTCCATATCCTGATCCAGCAGGCAGTGTGCGCGGTCGATTAGGGTCCAGAGGCTGTGGAATAAGATTGGCCATTTTTGAATCGGAAGGGGCTACATGGCTTGAAGATGCTGGAGGGCTGTATTGAGGAAGGTCTTCATCTGGTGGCAATTGACGAGACTGGCGCGCGAGCTTTTGCTCATGACGCAGCTGCTCTTCGTAAGGGTCTACCACGATTTTTTCGTCCATAGTGAAATCTGGGGGCAAAGCAAAGCTTGAATTTTTTTTTGGACTCTGGATCGCTTTATAAGTTTACCACCCGACATGGAAGAAGCTGCGAGGTGGGGTCCGTAACACGGGCACTGTTGGGGGCCAAATTGTACCAACTGCGTCATCGTCAGCGTTGATTTCCCAATAAGGCCCAGTCCAAGGAATATCTGTAGGGCGGAGTTGTGAATCAAGCAATTTTCCCCAGCCCTACGCCGATCCCCATATCATGTAGAACACGTTGATTCCTGAATGTGTCTTGGGGTCTTGGTATGAATACCTAATTTAACGATAACTGATAAGGATTGGGCTGGTGGCCACCCTTCTCCACTCGGTTCCGCCCCACGTAGTAAACAAAGAAGTGATTCGCTGGCCTAGACAAGTTTGTTAATCCCCGCCGTGGCGGTTGCTCAATCCCACTAATCAATTTGCCCACCCGACCATTCTTGCACGATTTCGATATAATGCAAGTTCGGTTTCTGGTGGTGGAAAGAGAAAGAGAAAGCATAGTAAATAAAATACACAACTGTATAAAAAATTGATGAAGAAAAAAAAAAAAAAAAAAAGCCTTGCCCATGGGGAGTTTCGATCTCCCGACATCCCAGAGGCATATATGTTCCGGTTAGGGAAACCATACATAAGCTGGACGCGTTAACCACTTCGCTACACGGGCAAAAGGTTACCCGGATTCTAAATTTGCTTTACATAAGCTGGGGTATTTTTCCTACATGAAAATGCGAGTGTTCTCGCATTTTACAACTCTAGTACTTCTAAAAATTAGCCTCGAAGTGGTACCTAGCACTGTCCCATATAGAGAGCTAGATGACTTCAACCTTGGAAGTTGATGGCTTCAAATGTAGAGTCCTCGACATTTTGAACATATGAATATTTGAAGCTGGGCCGAAACAGGACACGATATGATTGGCTGGGCGGTGTGGGTGACTGCAGTGAGCATCGTGGAGCAACGACGATGATGAAGACTACAAAGAGCCTCTGAAAAAAAGAAACCCTCCATGCCAGGGATGAAATATTCGAGCATTTCATAATTATTCTCCGACTCGATTTTCCGAGACCTCCACTGGTAGTACCCATCATATTGCATTATGTTCCAAGGACTCCTTGACCAACAGACGTCGCATCAACGCACCCGCATTGCCCGTGACTCGTGTTTTCGCAAGAGGGTGTGCGAAAGAGGGTGAGATTTCAAAATTGACATCTCATTAGGAGGTCTCAGTCAATTCTGACAACTGCCAGATAAACTGTTACCGCGATAGTCTTCCATGCGAGTGGTGTACACAGCATGGCCTGCAGTGTACATTTGACCGAACCCACCGTGGGAATAAGGCCCCTTCGGCCGGTAGGCACGTGTAAGTGCCGATAAGATGGTTTACAAGGCTAAGCGTCAGGAAGAGAGACTAATCATTCAATTCACAGGGCAGTATTCTCTCTGAATGAACCCACTTTCCCCGTGGATGACCGCATAAGTGCGTTTCAATCGAGGAATACCAAGGCGCTTCATTCTCCCCAAGCAGCAGCCTAATCACATGCGGAACTTCTGAAAACTGTTCGCGAACTGGATGACGCGCTTTATGACTGGTACAAAAGCCTACAACTGCCAGATGATCCCTCCGCCTTTCCTGCTCAAGGTGTCATGACCTGGGAAGAAGCTTTCGGATCCTCATTTTTGCTGCTTATGCAGTATCAATACTGCATTATTGCCATTCATCAGATGAGTACAGGGTGCGCGGCATAAGTTGCCGATCCAAGCAGCAAGGCCTTGGGAATCAAGCTGGGCTTAGAGGTTGCGGCTAACGCAAGCCGTGCTATGCTTCAACACTTCTTCGGTGCAAGGGCCGTATTTCAACTAGGTGGATTCTGGTAAACCCATTTATTATTCTTGATACCGCTCCTTTTGTGCACAGAATGAAGAAATGTTGGCTGATAATGTAATTGAACATCGTAGGTTCGCGATGTTTTAGGTCCTGACGGGTGCGATGAAAAACTTCTGTCAAGTATTAAAAGAACCGACAAATCCACAAACTGAAAAAGACTTCAGACTTCTTGATCAGATTTCAGAGCAATTCTTTTTTGCAGCAGGATCACACGCGCTTTCCAACTTGTCTGGTGGCGTTTCCTCGAGAGTTCGTGGCAGAATTAAGCCGGCTTGCTTGATGTGCCACATTGAAAGGAAGGGAAAATATGACTTGATGGGTTTTTGTGCTAAGATGATTGGCATATATTTCCTATAAAGCTTTGCATGTGAAATGGTGAGAACTTATCAAATTATCTAATCGTTTCCCCCGTCAGGAGAACTTGAAGACTCACCTACTCCCAATAGTATATTCTGCTTTTGTTTCCCTCAAAAGCCAAGTTCCCGAGGCCCGAGCCCGTCGTCTTACTATCAGTTCCTTTATTTTCCGTATATCTCTGCTATCTATCAATCCACCAGAACTATAATATAAGAACTACTACCATACTAACAACAAGATAAGTTAATGGGTGAGCAAAATGACATAATGTTGCCAGTCCTGTCCATTTCAGACGTGTACATCATTCATATGTTTGCTCGTAACACAACTTTTTTTGGAAATGATGAGTCATTGCTTTCACAATAACACTTGAACCCTTTTAGACCTTCCTCAATTCCAATCCAAGGCTGCTACCTAGGTGTTTACATATTTCCGGTCCCAAGCATATACACAAAGTTTATCTCTCGGCCCAGAATAAGTATCTACTATCAAAGGCATTTTTCATCACTACAGTACACATTTTCGTCGTTCGTCGTTCGTCTAGCATATTCCTTACATCTATGGCTGTCGGAATCTCAAGCCTCCCTATCGAACTGCGAGTTCTTATCTTGCGACAACTATGGAATATCGGCGACCTCTCTGCCGCTATTGAAAGCGGTCCGTCACTGGCAGAGGCTTTCACGAATAGCGGTGACACAACCGTGGCAAAGGTGCTACAAAATGAGATTGATTCTCGTCTTTGGCCTCTTGCCATAATCATATGGCACATTCGGACATCGAGAAGAAAATATGTCATTTTTGACGGGGGCGATATGTGGAAAGTCCTACAAGACTGTCACAATACCTATGATACCAGTTCCGCATGGGAAGTACTTTGTTGCGTGGGTCTGAGCGAAGCAAATGAACATTTCCACAATCTCAATCAAGCTGTGCAGTACTTCACTACCGACTTTCTCTCCCGAGCTGGTAGGTACTTGTCAGTGGGAACCTGCGGTGAACTGCCTATACCCACTGCGAGTGAAATTTACCGCGTCGAGCGCAGCTTTTACTATCTTGAACTTTTCTGTTTGCTGTGGGGAAGTGGCAAAAGAATGAGCGCAGATTGGCATTTGGAAGTTTCGCGGGGTTTGGCCATCGAGTTGGATCCTTGGATGAATGAGCAGATTGCTTGTGTACGAGTATGCTTTAAGGTATATTTCTATTGGTACAGTATCAACGAAACAAATAAAACAAACCGCGGAAACCTATGGCTAAAACACTCTGACTTATTAGTGCTCGGGGGTATGGCAACCGATGGAATAGACCTTGGACCCAGAGCAATTGAATCGCTGCCCAAGCTGTCTCCAACGGGCAGAAGCAAGGACTTTTGGGTGGGTTCTCTCAGCGGCATTCCTTCCGATGCTATGGTGCTCTCTGAGCTATTACTAAATCAACACCATTGCCTCAGGTATCATGGGGGCTCCAATATCTCTACAAACTCACAAAATGTTCAAATGATACGGATCTGCGCTTCGTGGTACATGGAAAGCAAAGCAAGGAGGGCTCGTTTGTTCTTCGCTCGGCCCTGGAGGAACTCAATTGGAATTATTATTGCGAGAATCCTTTGGATGACCCGGGTTACATGGATAATCAGCGAACGATGAATGAAGATGATTCAAGTCCAGATCCAGCTAAGGTGTGGTGCTCTATCCATTCTGCTGATAATGGCGAACAGTTTGTCCTCGGTGGATTATACCGACCTCCGCCAGGCAGGTTATGTTGTGTGGGATGCCACCCGGAGATCTCAGATTGATATGTTTTGCCAACGCAATGGTATTGGTAAGAGGGCGTCGATATCAGTATCCTTACCATGATTAGAATGCTTGAATCCTTTTAATCAGTTAGTTTCAAAGTCGCTTACTGCTAGTTCTCCCGACTTGCTTTCGTAGAATATACTCGTAAAGATCAAGTCTTCATCGGGTAAGCAGAGATCAGAGTGAGTCTGGGGTGAATGCTGCTGAAAGTCTGCAAATGCCCGTTGTCCAATTCGTATACTATGGCGAGTCGGTGTAAGTAGCCTCAACTAGCTCCCAGACTCAAGCTTTCCCAATTTTTGAATAGAGACCTCTCTCAATTAGCATAGATCAAGTAATACATGATGCGACAGCCAAAATCCCACCCCGATACATAAGATGATAGATCCCATAAAGCTTTATTCCAACATTAAATTGGATGGAAATGTGCAACATAGAAACAAGCAAAATCGCGGGTGCCATGTGGATAGCTACCCGCAACTATTCATCATCGATCTTAAAAATTGACCTGAGCGACTCCGCAAACGGTATGCCGTGTTGGGCAGGGTCACAATTGCGACGCCGAAGGGATGGAAGTGCGCTAGTCCCGATATGGTAGCTACCCGGATCCCACCAATCATACGATCGAACCGGCATTAGTGGATCTGACGTGGGCCCACGCCTGGGATTTCTGATTGGCCAGGTTACAGTTATCTGATGGAGCCTGTTGCTTATCTGATTCAGACTCTCACCACTGGGTCGTACCTGCCAAAGCTCGTGAGGGAAATCGACATCTGGCGTCGTGCAGACTCGGTTAACTGCCCGGTACCTTGGTGGAAATCCTTTCGAAAGTCTCTCACCTTTTTTCAGGGTCTTCTGATCTCCCCAAGTCGTCATAAACTTGTTTGAGTGCTGGTTTTCTTCATCTTCATTGTTCGCATACCTAGTGGATCGACTACCGTGCTAGTTCCATCTTGGCTTAGCGCAGATCATAGCCATCCCTGCGATCATGGGCATCTTCGAGGCCATTCGTGGCCGCAACGATGATGGGCGATTCACGCGGGCACTGGTTGATCAGCAGGCAGTCTTCGAAGCGGAGGATAAAAATGCCCAAACCGCCACCTCAACTGCCAATAATGCGGGGGAATCTGCAACTGAAGACGATGAGCAGCGTGGGCCCACGCACAACTCCGAGACTTCATATGGGCTTCACGGAATCGAAGACGATGCAAAGGAAGCCGGTCGCAATCCCACCCAAGTGACTGACCAAGCTGGACTGGGTCAACAAAAGGCTGAAGCAGCAGCTCTTGTTTGGAGCCGTCCGGCTGTTTTCGCGATTTATGCATGGTAAGAGTGTCTAGTAATACATTATCGAGACTTCATTTGACTGACCCCAAATTCTCTTGACAGGGTCTGGGTTTGCTTTTTCATGCTCGCTCTTCACTCCTCGATCGGCAGCAACCTCATCAATTACGTTTTCTCTGATTTTTCGTTGGCACCACAAGTCTCCACATCATACATACTTGCTACCATCATCGGTGGTGTTCTTAAGCTGCCTCTGGCTAAAACACTGCAGCTCTGGGGGCGTGCTGAGGCGCTCCTCTTTTCGACGACTATCTACATTGTCGGTATGATTATCTTAGCAGCGAGCAAGGGTGCCAGTTCATTTGCTGCTGGGTATGTTCTTTATTGGATTGGATACAACTGCATTTATCTGATCCTGGACATCTTCGTGGCCGACACCTCTGGAATGCGTTCTCGGGCATTTGCATTCGCCTTCGCATCGACACCATTCATCTGCACTGCATTCACTGGACCCCTCGCAGCCACGGCAATTCGGAAAAATGCTGGATGGAGATGGGGCTACGGAGCTTTTTGCATCATACAACCGTTTGTGATCTGTCCTCTTGCAATCGTATTCAAGTTCTACGAGAGGAAGGCAGTTAGAATGGGGGTGTGGGAGCGTAGATCAAGTGGACGCACAAGAATGCAATCCATCACCCATTATATCCATGAATTCGATGGTAAGTTGCGCACATTCTTCTTCTCGGCTGCTCATACTGATTGATCTTAGTGGTTGGTGCGCTCTTGCTTATGGCTGCCTGGGTATTGTTTCTCCTCCCATTCAGTCTGGCCCAGTATGGCAAGACCCAGTACAAAAGCGCTGGATTCATTTCAATGGTGATCATCGGTTTCTGTATGCTGTTTGTTTTTGCGGCATGGGAGAGATGGGGCGCCCGAACTCACTTCGTTCGATACGAGTTGCTACGAAAGCCTACGATTATCGGTGCTTGCGCCTGCTCTGCGATCCTTTATTTCAGCTTCTATCTTTGGGATCAATTCTTTTTCAACTTTGTTTCCATCAATTACAACCTTGACTCGACCATGGCAGGATACATGATCCAAATTTACAATGTCGGCTCATGCTTCTGGTCCCCCATTCTCGGCCTCTTCATCTGGTGGACTCGAAGGTTCAAATATGTTTGTTTATTCTTCGGTGTTCCGTTGATGCTTCTAGGATCTGGATTAATGATCCACTTCCGAGGAAATAGCCATGACATTGGCTACCTGATCATGTCCCAAATTTTCGTCGCCTTTGCCGGTGGGACCTTGGTGATTGGGGAGGATATGGCCGCTATGGCTGGCGGAGGACGAGAAGGCACACCAATCATGCTAGCCTTGATTGGCCTATTCTCTAACCTGGGCGGTGCTTTCGGATACGCTGTCTGCTCCGCGATTTACAACAATGTTTTCGTGAAGACACTCAGAGATAGGCTCCCCCAAGAACTCAAGGCCAATGCGACCCAGATTTACACCGGTGGCATAGCCCTTCAGCTTACGTTGCCTGTTGGCTCTCCAGAACGCGATGCCGTTGATTATGCTTGGGAATACTCCCAAAAGATGAATTGCATTACTTCCACTTGTATACTGGCATTGCTCATTCCAGCCGTTGCGATGTGGAAGAATTACGATGTTGGCAAGAAGTCAAACAAGGGTACCATGGCATTCACCTAAATTCCCATCAAAACGGCGAGTGACGACTTTTCCTTATGATTTTCGGGGCACTTGTATCATGATTTTTAACTCCTTTCATGCCCCCTCCCAGCAAGACAAAATGTTTGAAGCGGGCTTTAAACAGTTGTTTATGGGAACTAAGAGGATGATGACCTACTCTATTGCATCTTCCGATAGCAAAATCCAAAATATGAGCATCCTATCACTCACAGAAATGATATGGCCTTAATGATATTCAAATCGTTCCTTGTAGTCTGACCTCGGTTTCATTCTACCTGGATTGCCGTAAGAATATTTCCCTCGTCTTGAAGAAAGATGAAAATTAAAATTTCAAATTCACCACGCTAAGGTTAGTACTACATATGGGGGGACCATAAGAGACATCACAAAGTTGAGCTTCAAATCTACTGGCTTAAGGAAAATTATCAATAAATAGTTGATTTTCTTTCCTTGTCTTTTGAAACAAGTTTACTAGTCTAATCACAATTATCTGTAAAGGATAATTATTCATTTGCCTTTCTGATTATCTTTCTAACTGTCTTTCTAACCATGTAGAGCTCACATTGCAGATATTGGTATACTAGATGGCACAGGCTAATATAAGGCCAAGGGGGCATTTTCCCGCTGGCCGCTATGGTCCCCGTACACACTAAAGAGAGGAGGCGCGAGCTACATACCCCGCACACTGGGCAGTGACCCTGTATCCCACTTACTAACGCTGCAGGGATGTTCCGCATGTCGATCATATAAACAATGCGACCCTGCAATCTAAAATGGCAACATTCCATTTCTTAGCCAATGCATTGCGACTTCCTTCAAATCCCAAAAATAATTTCAACCAACCCAGAGAGACACACTGACGCGGCAAACATATGATCTCAAACAACATTCCACGTGAATTGAAGAGTCATGTTTCGTCCGCAAGTGAATCTTATAACATGTATATCCATCCTACAACTTCTGCACCCATCTTCAGCCACACAAGATGATCTTCATTACGTCGACCCCCTCATCGGTTCAACGAATGGTGGGAACGTCTTCGCAGGTGCAAGTCTTCCATATGGTCTTGCAAAGGCGGTTGCAGACGTAGACGGTCAAAATACAGGTGGCTTCTCGACAGATGGAAGCAATGTCACCGGTTTCTCGCATATGCATGATAGTGGCACAGGCGGAAACCCGTCTATGGGACAGTTTCCTTTGTTCCCGCAGTATTGTCCTGACAACGCGGTCGATAACTGCAAGTTTCTCAAGACAGCACGCGCAGAGCACTACGTAAATGATTCAGTTATTGCGCGCCCGGGCTACTTCTCTTTGGAGTTGGAGAGTGGAATCAAGGCAGAGATGACGGCTGCAAGACGGACTGCCCTTTACCGGTTCACTTTTCCTGAGAAAAAAACTGAGAATGGTTCGCTGTTGGACCCCTTGATTGGGATCGATCTTACAGATCTGTGGGATAGCCGACAGAACGCGAGTATTAGCATTGATCATGACTCTGGACGGATAATGGGAAATGGGACGTTCTTGCCTAGCTTCGGTGCAGGTTCTTACAAGGCTTATTTCTGTGCTGATTTTGCGGGCGCCACCGCTCCTAGTGACAGCGGAATTTGGGTAAATGACCGCGCTGGATCCGAACCTAAAGAACTATTTGTTACCCGTGGGTTTAATAATTTTTATCTCCAGGCTGGAGGCTTTATCAGCTTTCCCAGGCCGGATGACGGCGTCATTACTGCAAGGGTTGGAGTGAGCTATATCAGCTCCGATCAAGCATGTTCAAATGCGGAAACAGAGATATCCGACCCTGTGAATGACTTCCAGAAGATGAGAGAGGCGGCCGAAGACGCATGGAGCGAAAAGCTCAGCCCCATCAAGGTAACCGCCGGGGGAGCCAGCGATAGCATGTTAAGCGCTTTTTGGAGTGGTATTTATCGGACCATGCTTTCACCTCAAGACTTGACGGGCGAAAACCCATTATGGGAGAGCAATGAGCCGTATTTCGATTCGTTCTATTGTCTGTGGGATGCCTTCCGGGCGCAACACCCGTTTCTCACTATATTGGACCCTCAAGCTCAGTCAAAAATGGTCCGCAGCCTACTTGATACGTTCAAACATGAAGGATGGCTGCCAGATTGTCGCATGAGTCTTTGCAAGGGTTGGACTCAGGGAGGATCGAATGCGGATGTGGTGATTGCAGATGCATACGTTAAGAATCTGACTGGCATCGACTGGGAGCTTGCTTACAAGGCACTGCTTAAAGACGCGGAAAATGAGCCACTGGAATGGTCCTACGAAGGGCGAGGAGGTCTTCAGAGCTGGAAGCGCCTGAATTATATCCCGTACCTAGACTTTGACTACCTGGGATTTGGAACGAACTCACGCAGCATCTCGCGTACAGTGGAATATGCGTACAATGATTACACTATTTCAGTGGTGGGCAAAGGTCTCGGAAAGAGCGACTATACTACTTATCTTTCTCGTTCAATGAACTGGGAAAACTTGTTCAAGAAGAACCAAGCCTCACATTTAGAAAATGGAACGGACACAGGCTTTACAGGCTTCTTCCAACCAAAATATCTCAATGGGACTTGGGGCTTCCAGGATCCAATCGCTTGCAGTGCCCTGGCTTCTTTCTGCTCATTGACCTCAAATCCCTCTGAGACATTTGAATCAAGTATTTGGGAATACCAGTTGTAAGTCCCCGTGCGCTATTCTAGAATGCAAGTCATTAACATTTTACTAGCTATGTTCCTCACGATATGGCATCTTTGATCAAGTTGCTTGGGGGAGCAGATTCATTCGTCTCGCGATTAGACTATTTCCACAAATCAGGATTAGCTGACATCGGCAATGAACCTGTTTTTTTGACTGTGTATGATTACCATTATGCTGGTCGACCCGGTTTGTCCGCCGAACGGGCCCACTGGTATATACCACGAACTTTCAACGCTTCTGAAAATGGTCTTCCCGGAAACGATGATTCCGGTGCAATGGGCTCATTTCTTGCATGGAGCATGATGGGTCTATTCCCAAATCCTGGACAGAATGTCTATCTCATAATTCCTCCATTCTTTGAGTCAATCGATATCACTCATCCGGAGACCAATCAGACCGCGACAATCCGCAGCATCAACTTTGACCCCTCATACAAAAATATCTATATTCAAAGTGCCAAGCTCGACGGAGAACCATATACGAAGAATTGGATCGGCCACGAGTTTTTCACTCAGGGTATGACGCTGGAATTGACGCTTGGGGACCAAGAAAGCGACTGGGGCACAAGCAAGGAGGATTTGCCTCCAAGTCTGAGCGACTCGCTTGTACAAGATGAGATGCGTCATGCATGAATACGGAATTAGCTTCTAGGTATTATGTGCATTGTGCATGGTCATCCAATTAACAAAGTCAATTCGTGGCGGTCTGTTGAACTCTTTTTATAAGCTGCCACTCGGGCCTTCTTATCCTACGGAGAATATCCGATGTGGGTCGTTGATAATGTATGCGTACATGTAGTCAGTGGCCGTGAAATCGCGAACCATGATCAGCACTAAATTGGCTTAGATATCACAAAATTTCGCAAACAAATCATTTGTTTGTGCTGGAGCTGTAAATTATTTATTACCCAGTAGACATAATTAATCAAGCAAGATGTAAACTACCCAGGTGGTGAACAATGACTGGATCCTTGAAAGCCTCGGGGGTTAACTAGATCCTGACTAAGCGCCTGCCGCGACACGTGGATTAAGACTCCCTTCTTTGAAGCTTTTCTGTTCATTCTGCACTCATCGTTCTGCAGATTACTAGGCTGAACCTTCTTTCTTCTATTCGGCCAAGAAACACTGTGCCTATACCTTTCCATTTGGTTGTGGTGACGTCCAGCGAAACCTCGCGCAATTCCCCACTATTCACCCTGCCATGGCTAGCCGGCAAATCACACGGCGCATCGTGATCAGCGCCGCGATCTCAATACTTCTAGTATTCTTCCTATTCATCCGACCACAAGGCCCGCCGAGTCCTGCTATCCGAGCACCGGGACACATAACACATGCCTCGTCATCCGCACCGGGGGTCACCATCCAGCAGGACCTGCTGAAAGGGGCGGTCGTGATGCCGAAGCTAGGGAACGAAACAGTCAAGTAAGAAAGGGCACCAATGAGCGCTTTGATATTCATCAATGAGCCATGCTGACCGATGGGCCTGTGGCCGATCATCTTTACAGAGCTGAATTAGGACGTGCAACATGGAAATACTTCCACACTGTCATGGCGCGATTCCCCGAGAAACCTACACAAGATGAACAGGACGCCCTACGTTCATACATCCACCTATTCGCCCGCCTCTACCCTTGGTGAGATCACAAACCCCCGCATTTTTCTCGTTTGATAAGGCCTTTTCTTGCCTTTCCCGCCACACCCGTGCGACGGTTAATAAAGTAAATGAGGGGCTGACCGTGCAACAGCGGCGAATGCGCTGAGCATTTCCAGGGACATCTGAACAAGTACCCGCCACAGGTATCTTCGAGGAAAGCTGCTGCAGGATGGGCATGCTTCGTTCACAACGAGGTCAATGCGATGCTCGAGAAGCCCGAGTTCGACTGTAGTAAGCTTGGTTCGTTTTACGATTGCGGCTGTGCCGAGGATGAAAATGAAGAGGGTGGCGAGGAGCTTTCTGAGTCTAAGGACGGGCACTCGGCTGCGACCCGTGCAGATGAGCAGGGTAGTGCCTTGGATGCGCACGATCATTTGGCCGTGGAAATCTCAAAGGAAGCGTTAGTTCATTCTGATATCCGGTTGGCGGACGCGCTAGTCTATAGTGAATCATACTGACCCGACGAATCAGGACTACTCGTGGCTAATGGACTTGTATTCGCCTGAGGGTGGATCCGACTCTACACCCTCCTTCATGACAAGAAAAAAAAGAAAAAGACGAAAACCGAAAACAGTCACTACTTCAGTGTCGATCTTGCATGGCGTTCATGGCAAGTGTGCCCCCCCTCAAGCTTATGGTGGAGCTGGTCTCTTATTCTGTACATTACTTGTGCTTTGACGATATCTTTATATATACCCTTTCTGCATGGCGCATGGCGTTGAAGGCCCGAGGCGACGATCCTTGAGCAGAACATCGATAATATATACCCACCTCAGTATATCTGACGTAGACGCATTCGAGTATTGACACCCGCCTTCTGAGCAGTAGTGTGTACACAGCAAAGCATAGACAGGGATTCCGCCTGCCGATCGCCGGGTCTCCCCACGGGTGCATGACCCGAACGCTCGCGCGGCCAGGATCACCCCGATCCGGTGATCGTAAGTATTTTCTTTTGCGCATGACCTGCCGTCGAGTCCAGACTTAGCACGAAAATAGCCACACTTGTTTCTCAAGGTTCCATCGAGGATACATTCCGTAGCACACATTATAGACTTGTTTTGCTTCTTAACCATCCTGTAGAAATCCCGATTCATCAGCGACGATCGCGCGAGGCGACGTCGGCATGTCGCATCCTCGTGATATTGAGATATCCCGTTGCCCTAGTAGCTAGTTGCATATAGCTGAAAGTTTATATGGCGCCCATTTCAAGAAGAGGAAGAGAAGGAACTTCAGAGATCATTGCTCATAATTTATGGAATAAATTTGAAGTTTGAACCTTGGATCATAACTCTATACATTTGAAGCGCATTCGGTATTTATTCATGGGCCTTCCAAGCAAGGCTCTGGCATTTCCAAATATATCATCTGCATAAGTTTCTGAATCCTGGGCCCAAGTTAGAATATACTTATTGAATTCCAGATAGTACGGATGACTTCAGTCTTCAACCAAAAATAGCGGGGCTTACTGGAGGAGGGGTGGGTTATACGGGGGCTATCATAATGTAAGTGCCTTCAGCTGATAACAAATGAAAACGACTGGTCTCCTGACAAGCCCCCTTGATGACCTACAGAGCAGCCAACCATCCCACCGCGATCGTCTATGGGCACGGGGATCGCCCAGTCGGAGTTTGGTCTAGTGTCTTTAGCGTCGCGCGCACAAGAGCGTCGCGTTCAGGCGCGATATGAAACATGACGGAAGAAAGGGGTGTTATTTTGGCTTTATGATCCCGGGTACCCCGGACTCGTGGGAGAGTCAGGGGCTTATGGATGACGAGAGTCGATACATCCAATGACTATATATTGCGAACTAGGCCTCAAGATTCAGGAGACCCTTTTTCGCACTTTTCCTGCTTGAAATCCAGTCCCCCCACATACTTGGCTGCGATAAGAAGAGCCCACTTCTTATCTTCTTATCCTCATTATCGGCTTATCGGCTTATCCACCTCTTTATCCATTATCGATAAACTATACCTAATCCAGTCTAGTATAATTACTAGATCGAGACTAGCGCCCGTCCACGCGCCTTACTTTTCGACGCGCAAAAAAAGAAGAAAAAGCGCTTTCGCTTTCCAACGCAACTCGGCAACTGGGCGCTTCAGTTGTTGTATTCTCCTTTTTCCAGAGGATACTTGTCTTTGCTTTTACTCGTCCTACCTTTGGATTCCTTAACAACTGGAATTTACTCGTCAATTCTACTTTCGCTTTCTCCCTTGGCTCCCTTGTGCCTTGTTAAACCTATAGCCACTTGAACCGACTTTGCGCTAGCGCTTGATACGTCCCTGGCGGGGTTATTTATACATCATGGTGTCTTTCTCCTGTGAGGTAAGTGGGAGTATTACTCGGTCACATTGGCAATTCCCTCTATCTTAGGGTAGGTCATAAGAAAAGTACTCGGCTTACTGATAATATTGCGCAGGCCTGCGGCGATGTCCTAACTAAGAAGAAACTCGATCCCCACCGCGGCCAATGTCGAGGTGCCTCCTACACCTGCATTGATTGCATGGTCCACTTCTACGGAACCGAGTATAGAAGCCATACGGTACGTCCTGGCCGATTGTCCCGTCTGTCGCATTATTGCGGACATCCCTTTGCGATTCGCGCGCAACCCTCATCCTAAGAGGATTGCACTTCTTTTCTTCTATTCGTCCTCGAGTCTCCCGCATATTATTCTTCCACTCTTACCCAATGATTCTATACTGACAATATATTGTTCTCTTAGTCGTGTATGACCGAGGATCAAAAGTACCAAGGTGCGCTGTACAAAGAGAAGCCAGCCAAGGGCCAAAAGAAGGGTCAAAACACCCCAAACAACAAGAACGCAAACGGCAAACCCAATGCGCGCCACCAGCAACCCCGTGTGGAAGATGCATCTGAGTCTGACCATGTCAAATTCGCCGAGGCTCCGCCCCCACCGGCACCTACTCCCCCACCTGCTGGCGAGGCCAAACCCACGGCTGACAGTATGGCCAAAGCCGAAAAGCCCGTGAATGTGTTTGATTACCTGGTGACGGATGAAACACCCAATGCATCCAAGGCCTCACTTGCCGGTCCCAAGGAGCAGATGACCATGGTCGCTGAGGCTCGCTCTTTGTTCGAACCCAGTACTGCGCTAGCCCAGCTGAATGCGAAATCTGACGATGAAGGTAATTACGATATTGCCTACGAAGAAAACGGCTTTTCTTATGGCGCCGACCCTATCCCCCTCACCCTATATCCCAACAATGTCCCTAATTATTCGACAGAGTTCGTTACTCCAGCACCTAAGAAGAGAAAGGATCGCCGCAAGGAGGAGAAGCGTGCCTCTGGCTCTGTTAGCGAGAAGAAGCGTAAGCGCGGACAAGAAGAGAGCTTCAATAGCCCGCAGCAGGAAATTGATACTCCTATGATGGATGCTCCATCAAGTGTTATTAACAATGCTGGCACTCCGATCCTCAACCACTCCGGTCTCACTGGCGGCTTGAATCGAATGATGCGCTCACCCTCTCACGAAATCGATGATACCCCAGCTCACGGTTCCCGCACCTACCAGGACGCCTCTTCCCCAATCAAGCGCAGTAAGCGCAACGGCAAAGAAATTCATGGCAACGGTGACCCCGGCCTGGGAATTTCGATCAAAAATCGTGCCGAGCGCCTAGTGTCCTCCATGTTCGGAGGCACCGGCTCTGTAGCATCGGCTAGCAGTGGGGGCAACGAGCAGGGTACACGTGCTATTGTTCGAACCCGCCGCGGCAGTGAGTCCAGTGGCGACATGCGGCTGGAGGTTCGCAAGAAGAAATCCCACCGTTCGCGCACTGCATCCGACAACCACACCGAGTCTCGCAAGTCGAAGCGTAAGAGCTCCAACCCCGCAGACGTCGATCGACCAACTCGCCGCCTTAAGCAAGCCGACGAGTCGCCCCAGCGTGATAGTCGCCAGGTCACTGTATACAGACATTCCAAGCCTCCCGCCCGGGCCGATGATGTCCTCCAACGTGATATGGCGGATCACTTCCTCTCCCTCGTTTCTCGCGATAGTGAGCGTGGCTGTTCTTTCCACAAGGCCCTGAAGCGTTTTCATCGCGATTTTGTTGATGAGTATGATTTCCATGACGATCGAGAAAATGGACAGAACAGTGCTAACAGTGACCTTCGCAGGGAGGATGAAAGAGATCTCTGGCGTGGACTGCGTCTGCGACGCAATGACCGTGGAGAAATTGTCGTATTTGCTTAAAAAGTGAGTCACTTGGGAGGAATATCAACATGACTACTTTATTTTCTCGGAGAAAATCGGGGTTTTACGAGTTTGAATGGTTTGGGTTTTTTGCATAGCGTTTTACTGCTATATCACTTGTTAGTCTTATAATGTCGGTGGGATCCTCATGCATCTATACTGTTGGATCTGCCCATATGAATGCCAAAATTGCATTAATGTCTACATGGATTTGTTTCAGGTGAACCTGAAACATCATTCTTTCAAAAAGATAGCTTCATAAACAGAAATAGAATTTTTTTTCAAGAAAAAAAAAGAAAAGTCTAACACTGCCCATGTATTCGTTCTGAGACCAACAAAATATCTGGCAAGACCACCTGAATACTCTCACGCTCCGTTGGTCCTTTCGTGAGCCATATGACAGCGTAAGGCATTTTCATTTATCCAAATAAAGATGGACATAGTCCATCACTTTGTCTAAAGTACGACTGAACTCAAAGTGCCTTTCCTGCAAATACTTTAGTTCCATGAGTAGGTATTCTCGCATCGTCTGATCAGCAATGCCACCGCACCATGCCTTTACTAACGTGGCCTCAATATGTGGCTGGATTTCGGATCGCAATGTGTAGGCCTCCCCCATATACTCATAGAACGACTTGTTTCCCTGAGATAGTCGTTGAAGCGAGGCTACCGTCCCAGCTCCACCTTTCTTAAACCACATCGTCAATGGAAACTGAAGAATCAGATCCTTGGCCAGCGTCTCGAATTGATTACTTGTGAGCTCGGCCACAAATTCGGCCGCGCGATCCTTCACTCCGCTTCTCAATGTAGCTACCTGTGCCCTGTTACGCTCTTCGGGACTCAAGCTGATCCCACTCCATGTAAGCCTGCAGAGAGTGACGAAGTCGTCAGCTCGTTAGCCCGGTAGGGCGGAGAACGTAGGATAAGGATAGAGACAGGGATAGGGATAGGGAAGAGACATTTCGCGTTCTTTCACGGGTTTCACGCCTGGCATAGTCAATAAACCTCAAATGGCTTTTTCGTGAGATCAGGGCTATTACCGGGAAACAATGGATTGGATACAGGTGATTGTAACGTTGGATGCAAGCGCTATGAGTTTCTGGTCCAGTGGTTGGGTATCTGAATGGGGTGGCGGGATGTAAGAGGAAGCAGAAGAAGAGAATCGGAGGCATCGTTTGTTCTTTCGTATCATACTCATCCCTCTTATATGCCATTTCATTTATCATGCCCTTCAAATGCCCCACCTTGTATCACCAAGCAACCTTTATAAACAGCAGTCACAGTATCTACGACAGGCACTGAGGAAAAGATGAGTTCTTTACACACCACGTTACAGCGTTTGAGTCTTCAAAGCAATATAACAAGAGCATTAACACTGGAGAAACTACTTAATGAGTTTCTGGCAATGATACTGATGTCCCTTCCCACCCAAGACCAGATTTGCTTCGCGCTGAGCTGCAAACGCGCTTTGGAATACTTCTGCGCTCTTCTCAAAATACAAGGTACGCAGCTTTCCAAGTTGCTTCCACGTGAGAATTAGTCTGCCCTTTGTGTAAACGCGAAGAAACTGCCAATGAATCAACTGCTACTTAATCTCCAGAATGAGCGTTGGGAGTACTGCAGCGATTATTGAATTCTGCACCCGCGCGCTAAATGGGGCTGGGCCAGGCTTCTATCAGCAAAAACGGCATATTGTGCTAAGTGCCACATAATTGGCGAGCAAGGATGCTGTTCTCAGTCAACAGAAGAAATTTGTCTTTGTCCTTGCCTTTCTATGACAGCTCGGGATAAGCTGCATTTATTGCAAGCATGCAAAATATTCCGAGATAATCAAAAAGAGGACGACTAATTCCCGATCTGCTGGGATATGGCATTTCTGTGCATTTCTGTGCATTCAAGGATAATGAACATATGCATGTCTATATTGAAACCAACGGCTGGCTTCACCCGGACAATGACAATTTACGAATGGGCAGTACATTCAAGTTCAGAAGTCACTATAAAGGCACAAAAAACTAAAACTAGCTTTCCTTGTGTACACAATGATAAAATTGATGTTGGAGACTGGCTTGAAAAGCTCTTCCAAGAAGGTGGTTCGGATTTCCTAAAAGGGCAGAGAGCTCATCGTTGCGATTCTGGCTCCTTTTCTTTTTACTCCAAAGTTGATCCAAAATATTTCTGATTTCTTTTGAGAGAGATTCGGGCACTGATGACCGAAAGATAAATAGATGAAATTCTTCTAAGCTGGCCGACCATATGGATCTTAGGGATAATAGGGGCCTTTGAGTTCTTTCTCTTGTGTTACATGATTCTGTTTTCTCCTTCATAATATCCATTGGAAGTTGACATTTTATAAATGCGAATTGAATTTTGTTTGATTGCTCACCTCGAATTTGCACTGGATATTCTTTGAAACGATGACAGTGCGACGGGTACAAACAGTTGACCTCGATTAGTAGGAGGTTTATACTAGTACTTGCCCAGGCAGCTGGATGATCCATAAAGTACCAATCGATACAGCTAAATTTCTCGCCACTTCACAAAATGTTAAGTGCTGTCTGTAGAATTGTTTGCAAATATAGTTGGAAATTTACTGGAAAGACTAGCAATCTTAATAATACCTCCTGTAATGCGGGCTCTATATAGAATTACTATGGATAATCATTCCCTTTGAATCGCCGTTCAACAACTTGAAGTTATTGTATATAATAGTAGTCTGGCTAAAACGAAATTACTGCTTAGTACAAAGAGTGTATTTATGGATTATAAATTCTACTTGACTGGAGGTATATATACTATTTTTGAACTTCCAAGGTTTGAAGAACCTACGTTCGAATATTTCAAGTTCTTAACGAGTAGTAGCGAATCATGATCATGATGTTGCTACTAGTACTTGAGCTATGCACATGTGCCTGTAGCAACATCATAGTAAGTCAATAATATCAAGGGGTGCATAGTAATTATTGTTCTTATCGTACTAGAAGTGGCGTTTACTATGTAATTCCCAATCTACAACGCTCTATACCGCGGCCTTGAAAATACGAAGATATACTATCTAGTAGATAAATACCGTATCTCGGACAACTTGAACACTTTGGAACTTGAGGTAATTTGAGTACCTAGTAATGTGTAGAGATAGTATCTCAAGGCGGCTTATTGAGACATATTAGTAGTATTATTCTGGTACTATTCTAGGATATACGGAACAAATGCTGAGGAATAAGCCACCAGAACAGACAGTAATATAATGCTAAACTTCGCGAGTAGCACAGCAAACAGCAAACAGGAACAGCGACAATGCACCTCAATAGATCCGAGAAATGGAATAATCTATTAAGTAGCCTTTCCTGATGTCTGTTGGGCTTGGGGTTGTTGGGGTTGGGCCGGTTGACCCTGAGAAGTCTGATTCTCTGCAGGTGGATGCTTTGAAGCTACCATCTGCTTAGCTACAGGTTGTACCGCATATGTCTGTCCGTTATGTGGTTTATGCGCAACTTTATTGTTGCAGTTGGTACAAAAGTGAATAGTATCATGACACATTCCTGTTGCTGAAGGCACACATACAAGACATACGCAGACAAGACAACAAAGCAACGCGGCCAACCTGCAAGTATATCAGTATGCATATTGAAATTATTATGATGGGTTAATGTCTTACATGGTAGTACTGGAGTCTGCCCCCTTAACTCGAGTCAATGCTCTCCGTTCGCAAAATGGACAATCAATCCATGCGGGGACTTCTCCTAGGAGGTTTAATGGTGTCACCGTGGCAACAGGAGCAGTTGGTTTAGCCTCCATTGGAGCAGTTCCCCTTGGTTGAGATTCCGTGATTTTAGTCTCGGATGGTTGGTTCCCAGAGGTATCGGCGTTTGGAGTATAAGCTGGTGCTGGTTCGGTGATCGCTTCGCCAGTTGTGCTGATAATGGTAAGTAATTATGCATTGGTGCGTGGTATCGGGTTCAAGCTTCAAAACTTAAAAAGAGACATACCCGACTGGATTTGGTGTTTGTTCTGTGTCATGAACAGCACTTGGGCTAGCACGAATTTCTGAGCTAAATTCAACAGGTGCACTAGTTGTGCCTGTCTCAAGTGGGCCTGGGTTAGACTGAGAAGACTCCATTCTGCGACTCAAAACGTTGAACTGGATTTGACAAAATATTTTGAGCAGTCGTGAAAAGGTGCTCTGGACACAGCTTTTATTTGGCAGAATGGACCCCTTATTTGCAATAGAAGAAGAATCTAGTTGCCAAGAGGAACTTGAGTCACAGTAGCGAGTTGGATACCACCTAGGCAACTTCTAATTTAGAATCTTGGAATACATATGCATTACAATTACCCAATTATACGGGTATTGAACTGCGAGCCAATTATAACAGAGGCTAGCATGTAGCGCATGCAAGTTCTGTTTAGTTCAAATGACAATCGAGGGTCCTACACACCATGCCAAGTCAACTGCCTATCATAATAAAACAATTTGTCCACATACGAGGCTACATGTGGGGCAGTCAGCCCCGAAACCCCATGGCCCTCTTTTGAGCCTCACTTTTCGAAAAGAAAAATGCGGGCTGCCCTCCAGATGACCTCCTTCTTGATACAACGAGCCTCAGACACAAGGAAGACAGCATACTTTACTAAAAGGGCTATTTGATCTCGGACAGGACTTTCAGACACGAATCTTTGCTCATACCATGACATCTGAAATGAGCCACGTCTACTGATTGAGTCCAATTATAACCACAGACGGGCAACTTACACTGTACATGATAATCAATCTCATTTTAAATGCTCGAAGTTGACGGTTCAATTAGCCTACGTATGTGCATTCTATTTTTAACCTTGTAAACCTCATTTCCAGAGAGGGTGATCTTTTCCACTTTTGAAACCGGCCCCCGAGCCCTTGGCCCCCTCACATTATGTCCCTGCACTATTATTACTAGTACATGAACGTCCCCAGGCAATGGCCCGCTTGCTACTGGCAGTGCTTCCGAGGCCGCTCGACGATATATTGACTTTATGGTACCTCCCCTAAATAATGCCATGTAATATCGGCGTACTCTGGTCGTAAGAAGGCCTGAACTCCCAAGGTGTCCACAAGCCTTAGCCTCAACAGGTTCGCACAAGATGTCCCACTTCTTCCTCTGTCGACTGGGTTGCCTAGAAATTCATAGGCTATATTTTTCACTGTTTTTATTGGAAGTGGACTATGAGTAGAACCATGGGTTTGGTCCGAAGCTTAGACAACGCAAGTTTGACGTTCCAATATTTCTTCAGCTTTGTCCTAAGAGCTCTCGTCTCGAATAATCTTCACAAAATCAATTTAGTTTAGTTGAGATCAAACATATGAAAGTACATTGAAAAAGTCACGGTTCCTCCTACCTCCTACCACCAATCTTAAGCTTCAGAGGTTGGGCCTAGGCAGAGAGTCCACACCCCGCGCAAGTCTGCCATGGCTCTCTGAGAACGTATTGTTCGTAAGAGCAGCGCCTGTGCTGATATCCAATGCAAGAGCGAATGAAGCAATCAATCCCGCCAACTGGCCTTTCTTGCCCGGTCCGGCACATTTCATCAACTTCAAGCAAGCCTGCTGGGACTCATAGCCTGTCCCTCCACCAATGGTCCCCACTGGCAACGAGGGACAGTATAATGAGAATTTAAGATCTTTTGTCGCGTAGTCATATTCAGGAACGAGATGTGTCCAGCTTGCCTCCGCAACACTCGCGGCGTCCTGACCAGTGGCAATAAATATTGCAGCAATAATATTTGCTGTATTTCCGTTATCTCCAAATTGGCCGTTGCGGATTCCTCCTTCTTTCCAGATGTTGCACATGGTGTATAGGCTGGATGAAGTGCATCCGAGGACACTTTCACAAACTTGGTTTGAGAGGGAACCCCATGTAATTACTTCGACCCCTCTACAGTTTTTCACACTGCCCCAGGACGGCTTTTTGTCCGAGGCCAGTTGACCTTCGATCATAAAATGCTTCACCTTATGCTTTCCGCCTCGCAGTGACTCTCTTAGTTCATCACAGGCTTTCTGTGTTGCAATGGTAACCATGTTTTGTCCAGAAGCATCGCCGCAATGATAGCTGATGAACAAGTGCACACTTGATCCAATGATATGTGGAGTCATCATTTGAAATTTCAGGTGCCGGCTTGTAGATTCGGCATCTTTTGCGAACTGTTCCTGGATGTTAGGAATAAATCTCGCAAAATCGATAGCTTCTTTTGGGGTTTCAAAGGTGAATACAGGAGCGCGAGACATGCTGTCACCGATGATCTCAAACTTGAGCCCCCCACAAAGATTGAATGCTTTGCATCCCCGAGAGCAACTTGCTACTAAAGCAGCCTCGGTGGTTGCTAGAGGGGCAAAAATATGCCCAAGCGGGAGATCGGGGCCAGTAACCAGCAAGGGACCTGTAATTCCTAACGGCACTTTGACAAATCCAACGCAATTTTCAACCCGGATGTGTGAAATATCCCCGGCATCACCTACTACAGGATTGAGCTCAGAGAGCAAAGGTCGAAACAATTTGTTGTATGAAGGACCCATTGGGCAGAGTTATGTCTATAGAAATGAATATCTGAGTGCCGAAATATGACAGATTAGTATATTGGATCATGAATCAACCTTATTTGAGACGCGAGAGTTGGAAGTACTAACATGTTCAGTTGATTCTGGAATTTGATACGGACCGGTAGGGCAGCCAGATGAGTGTATTGCTTTTCTTCTGTCACGAACGACCTTGAATTTCCTGGATATAACTAGATTAATATACCCCGTAGATAAATCCAGATTTGATCTACTAAGATCGACAGGCGGATTGACTCGGGAACAATGCGCATGACACTGCCTTCACATTTTGCCTTCTTAGACTAAAAATGTTTCAAGTAAGGCGTAACTTTATACAATACTGCACATGTAGACCGCGTTTCTTCTTTTCAGCTCTTCCAAGTTCTAATAAGAGATGCTCCATGAGAGCCATCATTGATTTCGGCGCTACACTCGTACTGCTCAAGAACACATTTTGTGATATAAAAACAAACATCCTACTAAAAGCCTTCGAGGTTTCGAACCGCATAAATAGTAGGAAGCTTCAAATTCAGGAATAAGATTGATTGGAATGATAAAGTGGCGTATGTTTGTAGTCAGTTAAGGTGTAAGAAAAGATATGGGAGATCCATACCAGGGAAGGAAACCTAATTATAAAGGGTCACGAGCTGCTCCCAAGGTTCTGGTTTTTAGTGGTGGCGAGAATAATTATTCCGCATGTACCTAGTAAGCTATGCATGCTATCTAATAAAGTCGTAAACTAGTCGCGCATAAACATGCTTTCCTTCCGCAGATGTGACAACCACTCTACGAGTAAAGCACCGATTCCCGTTTATCATTTCAAACCCCCAAGTCTATTGTAATCAACTGTTATCAGCAATTCTTTTATTAAAACAGCCTTTATAAGCTAGAAAAAGAATCGACTACTCACCTGTTCTGCTTCCCAACCTGAATGTATACTCCTCTCAAAGGTATGTACCCACAATCCCCGACCCCGCGTCTTGCGTTGCCCGCTGTGGATTCCCTCAACAAGGAACCCTCCAAAATGAGTAAACAGCTCACGATCTTCGAAAGTAATTTCACCACTCAAAAATTTCACCAAATCTGAGCCTAGTGACTTGGTTTGTACTCCAAGCTCCGGTTTCACAAGGCCAACATTCTCCGCTTCAGAAGAACCTTGCACAAAGCAACTCTGGGACGTTACAGTCCCGAAGATATAATCCGAGTGGTACCTCACTTCCCCATTTAGAACGCGCTTTTCAGTAGTTGAGGCTAGTTTACCGATTGGTGAGGTCTGTAAGAATTCGATCGTAGTGATGGGCTCAGGTTCGTTGGTGTGAGATGTGGATATTTTGAGGCAAATGTCTGTGAGGGCTACAGCCTTGCGCAACAACCAGTTTATTCCTTGCTATATTCAATTAGTTTCGCATTGTTCTGGTCTTCATCGTGCGCCACTGAGTGGCAGGGGATTCAAAGATAGCCAGGCACGTACCAACTTGAAGATGGGGTCTATCTCAGTTGACAGCTTTTTATTCTGCGGCCAAATTCTTAGTTATTTTCTAGTCAAATTTGATGGATGACTTGTTCGTACCAAAATCCAATTCCCATTGAGTTTATCAATAGTGATTTCGCAAGGAGTGGCCATAATTGCATATTTGATCCACCCAGAAGTAAACGTAGAGCAAGAAGAAGGTATCCTGGCCGAAGGTTGTCTGATGATGGCTATATGGGCGAAAGGATTAATAGAAAGTATCAGTAACTTGAACAACCCTGCGGTCATATGTACGTGGTAAACAAAACAGTACTCAAGTGGTCCTTAATATAGCCAAAGCTCCTGGAATATCCTGAAATATCCTGGCGGAAACAGAGACTCATTGACCGATAATCGGAGTTTTATCTGATTTTTGCTGGCACATATATAGATACCAATGGATATTACATATACCTCTTCGTTATTTTCGAGGCCTAGAGAATATTTGGTCAGCGGTAATACATATGACAGCCCGTATTAGTTTTCTTCTGGCTCCCTGCACCGGTAGATCGTCAACAGCGAGTGCGAAGATGGCCTTGGTGACAGCTTGGTAGCCATTAACAGGGGAAAAGCCCATGAAATCGCTTGGCTATATAAAAATGTGTAGTCCATTTAGTGCGTGATGCCATGGTTCAAACTTCGATAGCATATACTAGGCTTGTGATTGCATCCATGATGATCATCGCGGTACTTCGAGTGCATTCCAGGGCTATGGGTCTGTAAGGGGGAGCAGGTTGATGTTACATCCGCAAAGATTACTATGTAGCTTCTTCCAGAGTGCAGAGTGCTGGGTACATGGAATGATGTTGTTAGTAGCAAGAGAAGGTCGACTCGATACAATGATGTAGAGATCTTTGATCGCCTTTCCTTCTATGGGGGCCCAGATTTGCAGGCTTATTTTGTTTGCATATCACGTAGTATATGTGCAATTCATTATTAGTACAAATGCTCTCTCATTTCATGAAAAGCTCCGCAGAAGATATGCTTGTTTGTTATGCGATATCTGACAGGACAAAAATGTATTCCTTTCTTGCTTTTTTATTCTCTTTGATGGGGCGCTAAGGGTCGACCTCCCTTGAAATCCGCATGTTGCAAAAGAAAGACTTGGAATTTGACGTCGCAAGGATGGTTATCAAAACACTTGCTTGTACCTCGGCTAAGTTCTCCGATTCTTCGACATGTTTTTATCCTTGGATAGGAGATGAATACCACAAATGACTCCCTTAGACTCGAAAGACTGCTCAGCCCACGCCTGGCACTTGCTTCATACGAAAGTAGACCAGATAAGGCAAATCGAGGGCATTGAATGCTGGGGATTACGATTGATCATGATTTTGAGTGGATCGGAGACTCCACCGGTCTCCGCCATGACTCACGACGTAACGCGACTGACTCACGCCCCCACCAACTTACCGCCCTCTTCTCCGCCTAATATTGCCACATGAGGTTTTTGTGTCGGAGCTTTCTAGATGTTTCGCTTGTTCAAATACTTCTCGCCCTCCAAGGGTCATATCTCTTACCTTTTGACTTTTTTTTTACACATTCTCGACCGCCTCATAGCTTTTTGATCTGACTTCGTGCACCTGGGTGAATTCGAGTTCGAAATACTCGCTAAATTCCCCGCATTTCGACCTTGACCTATTTGTTTGTCAATTGCTACCTTCAATTTCTTGCAGTCCTAAAATACGCATATGAGCATATCGTCAGGATCGAACTACCTGTTCGTGAACTCACAGATCATGTCAGATCCTGTACCAGTACAGGCTCCTTCGAATCCCCCTCGCTCCCGAAATCGACGCCGCGGAAGGGGCCCCGCCAATCGTCAAGGCCAGCCAAATATACCAGCTCAGCCTGCGGGTGAACTGCTTCCAGTCCAAACGCCAGAAACACAGCCAGATGCTGGCTCCAGCTCCGCCACACCAAATGATCAAAACAACCCGCGAAGAAGAAACCGTGAAGGACGGGGGTCTCGACCCCGAAGAGGCCGCGGGAATGGCGCACAATCGACAGCTACTACGGAAAATGGAGAACAAAGTGGGCAATCGTCTCAAAACCAGTCGCGTGGAATGCGGGCTAGAGGGTTCGGGGCACGGTTAACGAAGGCTGGCCAAGAACCCAATGATCAAGAACGGGGGACGATAGCTGAGGATGACCAAGGACTCCGAGCCGATGTACCGGATTTTGTACCAGGCATGCCCGCATCGAATAAAGATACAGCATCTTCTGCGCCCAAAGGAAAAGGAAAATCGAAACCTAAAGCGGCACCAAAGCCACCGAAAGTAACGACGAAATCGATAGCCGATGACATTGCGACCCGAATCCACGAAGATATTGCCCACAATTTATATGAGTGTCCTATTTGCACAAGCGAGCTAGGGCGAAGATCAAAAGTCTGGTCCTGTGAGTTGTGCTGGACAGTCTTCCATCTCAGCTGTATCAAGAAATGGTCTACAAACCAAGGCGCAGCTGCCCAGAATACTAGTCGCGATCCAGATAATGGCGAAGGTTCCGCTGCTCCCCGTGCATGGCGATGCCCTGGCTGCAATCTTTCACATGAACATTTTCCGACTACTTACACCTGTTGGTGCGAGAAAGAAGTTGATCCAAGGGCTTTCCCTGGGCTTCCTCCCCATTCATGTGGTCAGACTTGCTCTCGTCAACGCAAAGGTTGCCCTCATCCTTGCGATGCAACTTGTCATGCTGGTCCGTGTGCTCCTTGTACTGCTATGGGACCAACTCAAGACTGTTTTTGCGGTCGGAACTCCAGCACAAAAAGATGTCAAGACACGGATTATGAGAAAGGATGGAGCTGTGGAGAGGTCTGCGGTGATCTATTGCCCTGTGGAGAGCATATGTGTACACTTCCATGTCATGAAGGCTTGTGTGGTGCTTGTGATGTCAAGCTTGAGGCCCGTTGTTACTGTGGAAAGGTAGAAACTGAAATGCTATGTAGCTCCAGAGATGAGGAGATGGACAGTCAAACCATTCGTGAAGATGGGACTGAAGAAGAATGGACGGGCTGCTTTAGTTGCAATGATACCTGCAGTCGCCCATTTGATTGCGGGCTACATTCATGCCAGAGGAGCTGTCACCCTCAAGATTCGCTCCCAGCTCATTGCCCACGTTCACCGGATGTCGTTATACGGTGCCCGTGTGGAAAAACCAAACTAGCCGACATCCCCGAACACACACCCCGGACTTCCTGTGAAGATCCAATTCCTCACTGCCCAGAATCATGCGGCAAAATGCTTGCATGTGGTCATTCATGCGACCAGGTCTGTCATACTGGCCCATGTGGTTCTTGTCTCCGTCGTGTACCTGTTGATTGCCGATGTGGCCGTATTACTGCAATGAGTGTTTGCCATCAAGGTGATCTTCAAAATCCCCAATGTATGCGCATGTGTAAGGCCACGCTACACTGTGGGCGCCATGCTTGCACAGAGCGATGCTGCGCGGGAGAACAGAAGGCCATTGAACGCCAGGCTCTGCGCCGCAAGCTTAAAGCTCATCTCCGTCCTTCCGATGAGGATATTGAAGCAGAGCACATTTGTACTCGGATATGTGGTCGAACGCTGAAATGCGGAAGACATACATGTCCGGAGCTTTGCCATAAGGGCGCCTGCAATACGTGCCGTGAGGCAATTTTCGAAGAAATTTCGTGCAATTGTGGAAGATCCATATTACATCCACCCCAGCCGTGTGGAACACAGCCCCCTCCATGTTCCTCTCCTTGTGAACGTCCTAAGTCGTGTGGCCATCCTCAAACTGCACATAATTGTCACGTCGATGACGAGACTTGTCCCAAATGCCCTTTCCTGACCGAAAAGCAATGTCTCTGCGGCAAGAAGGTGATGAAGAATGTGCCCTGCTGGCTTGCAGATTCACGCTGTGGTCAGATCTGCGGAAAACCCCTCAAGTGCGGCTCTCATTTCTGCAAGAAGGATTGCCATCGATCCGGAGAATGTGAAGATGCCACTCAACCTTGTCAACAGGCTTGTGGTAAAAATAAGACATTGTGTGGCCACCCATGCTCAGATGCCTGTCATGCACCATATCCATGTCCAGAAAAGACCCCATGCCCGACTATGCTCACAATAACATGTGGTTGTGGAAGGTTACGCCAACAAAGACGCTGCAATGCCGCCAAGGCCGTTACTTCCAAGGGCCAACTTCAACAACCCGAACGTCTACCCATTCTTACTCCCCTGACTTGTGATGATGAGTGCAGCCGCTTGGAGCGAAATCGTTCCTTAGCATCTGCCCTCGGTGTTGATATCAACCAATCGACAACCATGCAAGCAATCTCCCCCACCAACCTTCCATACTCCACCGAAACACTGGATCATTATATCAAGCTTGCATCAACCGTTTCACTATCGACTCTCCAGACATATGAATCGACCTTGCATTCCTTGGCCACCGACTCATCAAGCCGATCAACACGCTTCCAACCCGCCAAATCCACACTTCGTCAATTCACACACTCCCTCGCAACAGATTGGGGCTTTGTAACCGAAAGTCACGACCCAGAGCCACATCGCCACGTCTTTGTTTTAAAACCATTAGCATGGACACCACCAGGCTTCGGCGTTGGCAGCGGCTCTTCCATCGGCATTGGCGGGATGAGCGTGCGTGAATGTGTAAAACTTCGTGAACGCGAACGCACAAAGGAACGCGAAGCCCAACGTACAGCCTCATTGGAAGCTAAGGCAGCTCGTGACGCTCTTAAGGCGCAATCTGGCGTAAGCGGAGACGGTTGGGCGCAAGTTGCATCTCGAGCCAAAAAGCCCGGTGAGATCAGTGGTCCCAGCACGAGAAGTACCACTCCTGTCCTAAATCCATTTGGTAATCGCACTATGTTCTCTGCACTTTCTGGGGAAGGGCTACCAGATGGCGGGTCTAAGAAGGAGCGCCTGGTTCTTCGCTCGGGTATTGGTGCGGGCAAGGCATTGCGCTCACAGCCTGCTGCGGAGGTTGTGGATAGCTGGGAGGAGGCGGAGGAGAAGGAAGAAGAGGTTGAGAGGGAGCAAGAGAGTGCAGTTTCGGATGGAGAGCAAGGACTGTCGGATGCTGTGGCTGTGGCTGAGACGGAGACCCATGAGGAGTCTCATGAGAAGCCGTCTGGAAATGATGAACTTCCCGTCGCTGATGTTACTGATGTAGTGGATTGAAATTTGAACGGCATCTCCTAAATGTTATGACTCATGATACTGAGAAAAGCGAAATTTGTTCTAAAGTTTTTCCTTTCCCTGCATATGATACCCGGGTGGCATTTGAGGACCCCCGGGGCCTCCGATCTGAACATGTGATGCTTCAAGTCACCTTGTTCTATATACTTTGAAAAATGAAAATAGATCAGTGTATGAATTCTTTTATCATTTCTTCATGCTTGTTATTGGGATCTTACACTCGTTTAGAATTGAGTTGTAATATGTGAACCTGGCATACCTCGTAAATGCATGATCAACCTCGTCTCTTCTCAACATTCGAATTAAACAATGGCACAATAGATGCTCTCTGGTCGTAAATATACCAATCATAAATACCAAGGCTTCCATCATCTTCTCAATCAAGAGTCCAATAATCTCAACCCAGTTATAGAGAAACACCAATCTAAGATGTATACACGCACAACCTGACAACCACACATCTTCCAACACCCATAGACGGACACATACATCAACCAAGCCCATACACACAGCCACATATACACAAAATCAACATCACTCAGCACTCATGCCCGCATTGATCCCCCGGTAAAACCTTAACAAACATCAAACACCCCTCCTGCGAAGCCCTATACGGCCCATGCAACATCCCCGGCAACCGATACGCATAAGCCCCAACACCCCAAGACTGGTTAAGTGAAAGATCCTCTAATCCCCCTTGCAAGAAACATACTTCCTCAATAAAGGTATGTGTGATTGGTTCCTCTGACGTAGTGGTGTTTGGTTCCCACCATTGTAGAACGGATTTGTGCATCTGTTCATTGGATCCATTCAGGAGCTGTTCCCAGATTCCGGGGGCTATGGGGGTCCATTGATTTTGTGAAGATGGATTTGGATTTGGATCTGAAGCTGCAGTTGAGTTTGGGAGGGGTGGAGGCGTTGTGAATTCTTTTTGGATGAATGGGGATGGCATTGTCACAATGTTTTAAAACAAGTTTCAAGGTTCTTGGTCACTAATGATGGTATGTTTCGGGTTCAATGTGGATAGGTTGGATAGATTGGTTGAAGAATGTGAAATTAATTGATTCGATTGAGTTGGGGTTCGTTAGGAAGTGTACTAGACGTTTAACTTTGAACTCGTCTATATCGTTCGGTGCCGATCTTATGCTGACAAATTTATGCTTTCCAGTTGGGGTAGATGGAGAAGCTGTGAAAATACAGTGCATTCAACAATCTTCAAGTTGGCGTCTACTAGTAACAAGCTATTAGCTTGATTATAAGGGGGTATTGCAAATTTCAAGTTCTAGAGGGTGTCGTTGGGGTACCTAGCACCTCCTATACTATGTCAGTATCCGGGTAAAGGATGGGCAATAGGGCACCCAAGTCAAACTTGAATACACCTCGCAAGATTTAGATTAAATGGATTACTTAAAATTACTGGGTGTATAATAACCTACTGAGATTTGAATATGATAAAGTTACAGATATACCAGGCTAAGAAGTTCGTATATATTAACAGAGACGGAGCACTGCCTATATCACAGCAAGTCCGAAAACGACATGTTGAGTCAGAGCCAACGAGAATACAACAAGATCAGACCTGACAAAATCCAAGAAATAAAGACAAGAAGAGGAAATAGAACAGAAAAATAAACCAGAAAGCCCCAAGAATGAGAATATATCACATCAATCCCAGATGGATATCAGTGCGACCTTGTAGGTATCCGAGTTTTTGCGACTTGCCGATAGAAGAAGCCAGAAGGAGCTATATTGACAGCATATCAGGCTAAGAAAAAAGAAAATACAAATGACCCTCATCCATGTCGTGAGAGTGAGAGTGGGTATCATGGTGGTATTTGAGGCCTGCTGAGATCAGGCATCATTGACGTAGACATAAGGGATCTCAGCAACGACTACAGTTAACGTTTCTAATCATCCATCACTTCTTCGGTAATGAATCCGAGGACGTGTTCGAAATAGCCTGGTTCGGCTACAGAGTCATTATGAGCGCCGTTGGCTAGGGTGCGCCAGATTTTGGTTTCTGATTGGCAGAGAGCAAATAATCCGGTCATGTGCGAAGGTCTAGTATTCATCCGATGTTAGTACGTTCTATATAGTTTAAATTGATTCAAACTCACGGTACAAGTTCATCTTTTAATCCACTTAGGAATAGGATTGGGACTTTTTGGATCTGTGGCAGCCAGTCTTCACTTTGCCAGGTTTGATGGCAGAAGCGGGCTAGATAGCGAGCGGGAGGAACGAGTCTGAAATGACATGTTAGCAATATTTTTTGACGGGTGATGTTCAGCTGCAAGGGACACTTACACTGGAATCAATTTGCGAATGCTAAGGAAGGTATTTTCCAGTATCAAGCCTGCGAAATGCTCTTGATTGGTGTTGACCAGATTGATAGCCACGGAGCCGCCTAAGCTTTGTCCATATGCGACAATCTTTGTGTCTTTTGTGTCGGCGCGTTGGAGCAGGTAATCCAAACCAGCCTGAGCATCAACCTTTAATCCCACTTCATCGGGTGCACCAGTCGATTTTCCATAGCCTCGGTATTCTAACATGAAGACATTACAATGCAGGGTGTCTTGGAGGGCTCTGGCGATGGGAACACGATGTCCAATGTTTCCAGCATTGCCGTGGAACATAATAATAGTCAAGTTGCGCTTGAGACGACCCTGGGGCTGGGGGAAGAAGTATGCATGGAGTGTTTCCCCGTCCGGTGTGGGGATCTGCAAATCTTCAAAGTCTTCGATTCTAAACTGGAGAGGACTTGGAACGTTGGTTCGGGCATCGGCAGGAACACTACGGGGATAGATCGCTTCACTGGAGCCTGGTTAGTATTTGGAGCTTAGGTGTAGCAGATCGAGGGCAAGGATCTTGATTTACTTCTGCTTAAAGTAGAGTATTCCACTTGCGACCACGGCTAGACCGGAAGAGGCGAGTACTGGCAAACGGAGAAAGTTCATTGCGCTGTTGGCCATATTGCCAATGGTCCAGGATGGAGGCGGCGGAGGTGATTCGGACATAGTGGTAGCTGGCCACACGAGATGAGTGGATACGTAGACGGGCTGCTGTCAATGGAATGAGTGGAAAGAACACCAGGAATAATATTTTAGAGAAAGTCCAAGTGTAGCATGTAGATTGGTGTCCAACGAGTGAGACTCTGACGATCTGAGATGAAAGAGAGTTCGAGAAGAGGCCCAAGGATCAAGGTGTTTCATTTGCGGGGGGCTGGCGATAAACCCGATCAGCGTCAGTGCTGGCTGCTCACCGCCCAAGCTGGACGCGTTGGAGCTTCTGCCTTCTTACAGCTTCATGAGAGCATCATCCTACCTCTTCAATTTCCAATAAACCCCCCATCTCTCTCCGTTGCTGTTCTTTTTTAATTTTATTTCTTCTATATTTCCAATCGCAGCTAATCGATCAAAATGGTTTCTTCGCATGGCGTATCTGGCATGCTGGGTGAAGGTGAGCTGAGCTATCGTCATCGGCTGGTCGAGGAGAGCTAACACTGTCCAGATGGCATCCACGTCGACATGAACCACCTGAAGAGCGGAGAGGTCAAGTAAGTTCTTCCCTTTGGATTATCTTCTCTACTAGACTTGGGAGAAATTGAATACTGATTTGTCTTCTCTTCTTTCCTTTAGCTTGGGAACTTCGATGTGAGTGCATACCGGCGCTTACCCTATTACTTACACCTCGCACGAAATCGATATCGATATTAACGAATCAAAATAGCATGGCAATCAACTTCAAGGACGGTGTTATTCTCGGTGCTGATAGTCGAACAACCACCGGAGCATACATTGCCAACCGAGTCACAGACAAGTTGACACAAGTGCACGACACCATCTGGTGCTGCCGATCGGGTTCCGCAGCCGACACCCAAGCCGTCGCAGACATTGTCTCTTACCATCTGAACATGTACGGTGTGGTCAACAACGAAGCCCCCAGTACCCAGGTGGCAGCCTCTCTCTTCCAGGAACTTTGCTATGAGAACAAGGACGCACTGAGGTGAGTTTTCCCCCCACCCATACCCCTCTTATCTGCATCAGAGGCATAAGATGGGATCGGGTACAATGAGATTAGAATGAAGCTGATTATGATTAGTGCGGGTATCATTATTGCGGGATACGATCCACGACACGGCGGCCAGGTATACTCCATACCACTGGGAGGATCCCTACACAAGCAGTCGTTTGCGATCGGCGGATCCGGCTCAACCTACATCTACGGTTATACCGATGCGCATTGGAAAGAGCAGATGACAGAGCAAGAGGGAATTGACTTTGTGCGCAGTGCTCTGTCAGAGGCTATCAAGTGGGATGGTAGCTCTGGTGGTGTGATTCGAATGGTTGTTCTGACTAACAAGGGTGCTGTGCGGCATCTGTATCTGCCGGACAACGGCTACACTGGGCCCGGAGTGACAAATTAAAGATGTACGAATAGAGCATGCGTTTTGGTCCTCGGAAATGCGAATGGATATCATGATATAGCCATATTCAGTTTCAGTTTTGTCATTCTTTTGAAATCGCCTTTCTCGTTCTGTTTTCTGTCCCCGAGTATTCGAATGGGGTGCTAAGATCAGGCAGTAATCGGCTGTCATGTCCCAATGTCCGCATAACTCCGGACCCTGGGGAGATTAGGGCGTTTGGGTAGCAACTTTCCAGGTTCTTCAGGGTTCAAATGCTAGTGTGGATTTGATATGGGTATTAGAAAGGCATTGTGAGGATATATGTCGTTAATAGTACTGCTTGTTATCATAGCCATTTAGGCAGTTGATGTACGGGCATATTCCCCTATTACATCATAGCTGTTGTGCTGCAGAGGAAGTATGGAGATGCATAGAGAGTATGCAGTGTATGTACTCCATGTATAGATCATCCTCAGTAACTTGAATCTGAATGAAGGTTCCCAGTTCTGGAGTCTCTCCTATATAGAATGTGATCTATATAATAAGTATCACCTCCTCTTCTCCTCTTTTTCTCCTTCTAATCTATCCGAAATTCAATTGCCACCAAACCCAGGCCACGGGGATGCAGATCGGGCTGTCATTCGTCCGATATAGACTCACACCGTCTTTCTTAGCAGTCCTGTCTAGCCTCAGGGTGAAATGCGGAGGATTGATGTTATCTCTACCGGTTTGTTGGAAAAGGCTGTGAACCTGATCTGCCTTTCTTCTGGCCCTTAAGACTCGGACCTTTCGTCATCGAATGTAGCGTGCAAACTGTCCCCCACTCCCTTCTCCTTTCTCCTCTTTCTCTTTCTGGTTTCCACTCCTTTCATTTGATTTTCCTGTATTATTTGAAAAAACCTGTTGAAAAGTCTTGATATAATCAGTGATATCTTCATGGATTCCTTGATGGGAGAACTAACCGGCACTAGTTAATAGCGCAAAGAGATGGGATCCATTGTTGCGAACCACGTGCCGTCCAATCCGATCGACACGATGTTAGGAGCCAATACGGTCAACTCGGTCAACTCGGACGTTTATTCTCACGCTACACTCGACGCTCGCTCTAGATCGAGCTCCAATAACACCACCCCCACCTCATCTACCACCGCCCCGCCACCTGTAGGCTCAACTTGGCTTCCCGCGCATTCGAATGAGATCCCCGCCTACATCGCCTCCCACCACTCAAACTCCTCCAGAGAAGAGTTCCATCCCCCGCCATCCATGACCCCCTCCAACTATGCCCCTCCCTCCGATTATTCCTATTCCAGCTCTCACACCACCCCTCAACATCCGCCTGGTCATGTCCCCATGGCTAACATGAACCCAATGACCTCCTCCACTGCGCCGCCATATACCCAGTCTCCGGACTCGCCGCGTCTGCAGCCCACCCACCTGCAGTCTTTAGGCGGCTCAGAGGCAAATTCTCCCAGTCGCATTCGCGTTCGAAGTCTTTCCCATATCCAGAGTTTAGCCAGTGAAGAATTCCTGGCCCCACCCCACCGATCACATCTCCAAGACCAACATGGTGCACCACAACGGCAGTTCGAGATTAGCTCCATGCCCGTGGGCGATATTATCGAGATGGTAGCCGGCTTGCTCACCAAGATCACCACAACCAATGATTTGCAGCATGAACATGGTAATCGCCAAATGCCACCACCAGATGGGACGACCAATCTGAGCGCCCAAGCCACAAGTGTTCTCGCTTTTCATGGAAAGAATGTCCCCAGCATCACTATCCTCAGTTACCTCACTCGCATTCATAAATACTGCCCCACAACCTACGAGGTCTTTCTCAGTCTGCTGGTGTATTTCGATCGCATGACCGATCTGGTCAATCGCGGGCAGCCGGATCGGTCGCAACCTCAATACGAACACACTGCGGGCGACCATCAAAGGTCCACTTCGCTCGATCCTATGGATACAACCGCGGACAGCAGGCAAATGCATGACCCAACAATTGTCACGCCGCCATCTTCTGCGGGTATATCTGCCCAGGATCCCAATCCCAATTCTTCTATTTCTCCCGCGCTGTACTCGCAAGGAGAAGATGATAGTCTCTCCCATTTCTTTGTCGTTGACAGCTTTAATATTCACCGGCTGGTCATCGCCGGCGTGACCTGTGCGAGTAAATTCTTTTCAGACGTCTTTTATACTAACTCCCGATATGCAAAGGTATGTGACCCACCTCTTAAGAATCTTGTTAAAGTTCAATCTCACTAACAGTTCCTTTCCATAAGGTTGGTGGTCTTCCACTAGTCGAACTGAACCATTTAGAGCTTCAATTTCTTCTATTAAACGACTTTCGTCTCGCTATCCCCGTCGAAGAACTCGAATCCTACGGGACAATGCTCGTAGAATTCTACGCCCGTGAAATCGTCTCGCAACAACAAGCGGCCGTCCCACGACCTATCGTCGGATCAACCTCAGACACCGACGCAATGTACATGCGGTCTTCTCGCGAGAAGCGACGAGACCCCACCGAGCTCGGTCAAACACCCACACCACCTTGATTGAACTATATTGATCTCATCCTTATTTTCAACTTGGGTTTCGTCCGGAAGCTGTTTAGTTCATTCATCCTAAACTTGAATAACAGTCTACCTACTACATCGCTTGTCGCGCCTCACATCGTTTCGCACGCTGAGCATCTCCATGCTTCGATGGTGAAGGCTGCAACATCTCAAGTTTATCAATTCTTTGATTGTTTTTGATTTGGCGCCACATACCCTCTCTGCACTCTTATCCCCTACATATGCCTTGACTTTTGACCCGCATTTACACATGATGGCCTGTATAGATTTGGATTGTCAGCTTGTTCGCTAGCCGGGGTTTGTTTCGATGTGTTTCTGATTCTGATTCTCTGTCGCACTTCATACATTTACATTTATTGGGTTTTTAATGTCTTGTCCGTGTTGTGTGGACTATTCTTTACTTTACTTCTCGCTTTGCTGGTTTATCTCTCTATTTGTCTATCTGTTTTTCCACCATAGTTGGGTGTCTGGCGTTAGATTGCATGGCGAGTTAAGGGCTTTTAAGACTCTAGTCTGTTTCATATTATGCTTTTTATCCCACTACCTCTTCCCTGTATACAGTAGTGTATGTAAGAAGATGTTAAAGGTGGTATTGGTTCAATTCTTGATCTCACGCCATGTACTCAACCGTAGCTTATAATAGAAAAAATTGCAAGGAGCTGTCCTTTACATAGTTACCAGGAATGTTAAACAAAATGATATGCAGTCCGCCGAAAGTACCAACATGGTCCCATCCCAGCATTCCTCAAGCTCCCGGTCATCTAGCCCAAAATGGTATAAGGTGCATGAAGAATCTGAGTTCGGAAATAAAGTACCACTACATCTCTGGAGCTTTCATTAATAAAGAGCTACCCATATCTATCCCTTGGTTCATACAACCACTTCTATGCCATTGAATTGATTCCATATAAATATTCACCAGTAGATGTTGAGTCTATCTCATATAAATGCAAGGTAGCTGTATCTTCAATTGCTGGAGAAAATCAATGACTTCAAGTTCAAGTTCAGGTTAAATTTGATATATTAGATAAACTTTGAACTAGGTATCTCATGCAGAGCTCGGAGAAAAACACCATGATCCGGTAAGTCTCATTCCTCCGAGTCACGATGTGTGCATAGTAGGCTTCGGGCCGGATTCCGAGGATGTCGAGACACATTCTTTTTGATATACTTATTTTAGCTATCATTCTTGGCTAAAGAGTTTGCAATGCATATACTCCGTGCTATTATCTCCATGGAAATGAGTTCTTTATACCTATATACCTACTAGTATATTAACCTACCAATCTAACTTTTGATTTCTATAGACTACTATCTGACATAACATAATTTCTACATTGATATTCCAAACCGTCATATACACTATCCACATTCTGACATCCCCCCTCGCCATGCCTCGCAAAAAAGACCTATTGCTTCTTTCAGGCTTCCTCTTTCAAAACCTTCCAGCAATCCTTGCACATCCCGCCCCGGGTCCGCCTGGAATCTATTCTTCAGAAATACACATCGACAGTACAGCCAGATACATCGAAAATCCAAGTCTAGATCGCGAAGAATCCAGCCCAAGCTCTATCCCATATGCCGGCTATATCACTCCTGTGGATAGCGTTGATGAGAACAGTGGAGGGCAAGGAGGAGGGCAGGGTTCATGGGGAAATCAGGGTCAGAGCAGTGGAGATAGTACTCTGTCCACGGTGACTGATAACAACTGGTAAGTGGATCAGTTTATGCCAACATGACATGCTTTATTTATTTATGTACTTCGATACTAATGATGTTGTCTAGTCCGGCCGGCTCTACAGAAACAACAACCGTAACTATCACGACAGATGGTAGCGGTGCAGACACAGCAACTATTACAGAGACTGCTACCGATACCATCACAGCGCCCCCTATACCAAGAACCGACACAGTAACCATAACGGACAGCGCAATACTAACAGAGACAATCAGTTCCTGCACAGCAACAACCACAGACCTAACAATGCTCACGACGAATGGCCCGATAATAACCTCGACAATAACTACACCCGGCACAACAGTAACATCAACAACAACCGAGACAACGACAACAACCGAAACCACAGCAGCAGAAACAACAACTCATCTCATAATCCTAACTCAAACAGAAACAGAAACATACACAACAACCAAAACTGATACTTTACAAATAACAGTAACAAGCACCGTCACATCATCACCCTCAGACTGTTCAACCGCGCCAAACAACGGAACTCTAGACAATGGCTCCTGCACAGATCCAACAATCAAATACGAGTTTGGACTTGACGGTAGGACCGAATATTCTCATACGACGAATAACCAGAAGGATTTTCCGTTTGGTTCGTCGCCTACCATTGACTCTGTTGCGGATTTGATCTGTAATCGGTTGAGGAGGTCTTGTCATGCGCCCCAGGAGACTATTGATCAGTGTTATGCGGCGGAGAGTGCGGTTTCGGGACTTGAGGGGCAAGAGGCGGCTGATATTTGGAATAAGCTTATGACTTGATTTCACTTTTCCATGAAGTGAATGTTCTTCTATTCTTTTGTTTTGTTTTCAAAGTTCTGGGTCAGACTTGGCATTTGGGTTGGGGACTTGAATGATTTTTTTCCACGACTTAATCATGTATTTAGACAAAATAATACTATTCAACAACCACGTTTCGAATCAACCTTGAACTTTACTTTTTATACCCTTCATACTTTGAATTGAAATATGTTAAATCAGTAACCCAGGTGAAGGATACGAAAAGTATATCGCAAACAATAAGTACCAAGCTAGCCGCGAAAAGGAATAGCTGAATGTTTAATCCAATCACATTACCCCATCACACGCAAACATGCATATTATTTACAGTTCTTTCGGTCTAGATCAAATACACCTTGTAACGCCCAGTCATGAACCACTTCTCATTACCCCCGAGTTATAAATAACTCCCTTGCTCCACACAGTTAATCTTCCAGCCTTGACCCCACCGATCACAGGTGCCTCCAGCTATCAGGGGCCAGCGATGCCAGTGCTCACCACATTCCGTCGACTACGTCGGGAAAGCAGTAAGTACCTACCATAAAAGGCATTTCAAGTTATTATTTAGCCTAGGTTACGGTCGAAGATACTAATAACAATACCAATCAGAGGAGGCGAAACTGAAATCTAAAACACACCCTGCATCTAACCCTTCTCAGAAGAAACATTATCGCCCCTTTTCTTCTATTGATCCTCAGATACAAAGTCCTCTTTTCAGTCTACTCCCATTGGAGATCCGAATTATTATTTACAAATTACTCTTTGGAGATCGCTCACGGCACTACCATTGTGATTGGGAGTGTGAGACACAAGAATGGCGTATTTATTCTTATGGGTGCTATTCTCGAACGAAGAGACTAGATTGGGATCATTGTCCTGCGGATCTTTCATATGCGCCTAATAAGGCGAAGGGTTGGGGTCTATGGATTGATATTGGAATATTGTCCTCATGTTGGAAAACGTAAGTGAGATATGATCTGACCCTACAATATAGCCCTCCATAACCAGCTGCATGAGCAGCTTTGGCTTGAGTCGTTTGAACTCCGTGATAATAGTGACTCACGCTACAAAAACAGATACATCGAGGGACTCCCAGTGCTCTATAGCTCAAATAAATTCCGACTCTCCAAGCAAAGAGACTTATGCAGCACGCTTCCCGCTCAAATTCCCATTCTGGGCCTTTCTTCCATCCGCCGTCTAACGTTCTGGTGGCCCCTTGAACCCTCTATCCAACCACATGTTTCTAGAAAGAACGGCAAAGACTACGATACAGTCTGGGGTGTTTTAAGCCAGAAATACACTTCGTTAACACATATTTGCATATTCATTGATTGTGTGAGTTTGGCGAAGTTCCAACTGCCAGAGTTATTTGGGGAGGGAGAGGAGGCCAAAGAGAAGTATATTCAGGATAAATGGCTGGATGGTATGGAGAAGATGATTGAGGGAAAGAAGTCTCTGGAGGTTTTTGAGCTGCATCTTGATAGTGCTGTGTATCGGGTGTTGAGATCGAGGGTTAAGTATTGGTTGAAGGAGATGACACATCAGCGGAGGGTTAAGAATAAGAACAAAGATATTCGTTATGAGACGTTTAAGTGTGGAGATAGCACTATTACATGGCAGGGATGTCCGGATGGGAAATATGATCGGCCGTATAGGGGGGGTGGGAGCTCAGATATCTCGATTTGAAATTCAATGTCATATCCTGACAGTCATTGATGGAAGAGGATTCGTGATCGCCAGAACAATAGCATTCAATACTTGATATTTGTGTAAATATTCTCTTTACACGCTCGGATACTACCCTTCTCTATATACAATTGCTTCTGAATTGCGACGAATATAACCGCAGCAAACTCGCCCAGCTAAAAGCTTTATAGGACTCCGAGTCTGTGCTGGAATCTCGTCCGATTGGAGCTGTTTAAGCGTGAACATTGCCTCAGACAAAAGTTTGCTAAAGGTTTACTACAACGACAACCCCTCCCCCCTAATTTAGCCCGAGCACAGATCGACAAAGAGGTTGGCGGGGATCTTTTCAGTCTCTAGAGATAATTATTGGCCATAGTAAAACTTTTATGAAAAAGTGCGAATGACCCAAACGAACGGGCCTTCACCATAAACTTGAAGTGACACAGCATAAGCCCTAAACCTGTTTTTACTCCCAAATTAAGAAACCCATACATGCCCAAACCTTAATTCTCAAAGTTTTGCCCCTAGTGGAAGAAGATGCCCTCGACTAACTTGTTTACGTCTTGTATTTATGATTCTATCATAGCAGGAAGCATATATCATTCTGAACATATGACCATCTACCTCATTACCACTGTGCAGTTCCGGTTATAAAAAGACTGAAGACGAAAGTGTTCAGATATCAAATTCTTTTCTTGCCTCTAGTTGTTGATACAAAGGGTCGCAGCTCAACTCAAAATATCAATACTACGTCCATTTCCATTACACCGTCTCAAAAGAGTCCTCATGCCTCATGCCATAGAAATATATTGTTTCTACAAAACATTCCTAAGCTCAGTGGTTTTACTTCTAGTGCTTGGATCGTCTTTCATTCCTTCAACAATGTGAGTACTAGTATATTACTACTGTCATAATCATGAAAGTCCTCCAGAGAGGCTTTGAATGACATTTACTTAATTGAAATTGAATTTATGAGGTTCATTGGTTATTTCACCACCCCTCCGCTACATCCGTCTGAACTTTCAATGAAATTCGAACAAGCTTTCACGCTCAGAGCCGAAATTTCAAATCAAGGAATGCAGGAGCTAGGAATGGTCCGAGACAACTTGCACCGCTACATTGTGCCTGTAACTGGCGGAACACTCAACGGCTCTGGGATGGACTTTCACATTTCAGGCCCTGGCAACGATTGGATTCTGCTAGATACCATCTCTGGCATAGCACACCTTGACGTTCGCACTCAAGCTCAAACAGCGGAAGGAAAGTCAGTTTCTATTCGGTTTCCAGGCACCGTGAAGATGGATGAGGATGTGGCTCTTATATTGCGATTTGATCCAAAGGCGAAATCTACCAACCCCGGGGATCACTATTTTTGGACAACGCCTACATTTGAGACCAGTGAACAGTCATTTCAATGGATGGAACAGCATTGCTTTTTGGGCATAGGTTATTTTAATGTTCAAAAGAGTAAGATGACTATTGTCTATGACATATACAAGCTACTCTGATTCGACAATCATGCTCGCAGGGTAATGATCATGAGACACGGAATCATGCATACTATGTTCAATGTGGTTTAATTTCGGATATGACTTCAAGCTTTTATTATAAGGGGGAAAATATCAGGGAGTCTCATTTAATGGCATATTTGGAAGCTGAGTATATCGAAAGCGGGATCAAAGATTGTGACCCAAACCAATGGTTCACGGCACAGACCATAACCTTAATTCATAGTGTTCCCAGCCCTTTGGATCAAGACGTCAGATGTATCAGAATGCCTGAGGCTCTTTTGATTTATTGTACTTCATGCAATTAATAAAGTCTCATTTTTAGCTAGTAATGGGTAGTTTACGAGCACCGGGTTCGAATTGTGGATGCTTGCCTGCGAGACAGCCTGCAATCTTTAGATTCCGCATCAACCATTACATTGCTAGTTTCTGGCCCATGATTCTCCTTCTTGTTGTTGATATCCTGGTGATCTGCGAGACTATATGTTCCAGATGTCGCAATAGACATACAGTCTTCCTGGTATGTCGCATCTATAAAACCAGATGATTAGCTTATTGAAAAGGCCAGAATTGGCCCAAAGACACTACATAGTAGATATAAGCTTACCATGCCGAGTGCAGCAATATGCCTTGTAACTTATCTGTCTCAGGAAATTCTCTTCGAAACAACTGGACCCATCTCGAAGACTTTGCGCCTGAATTGGACCTAGAGACTCTTCCATCCCCTGAACAAACATCCTCCAATCACCATTCCGTTTTATCATGCGTAGCTTCTTGTGACGCTCGTTGTCTGCCTCTGACTCCGTGCTCTTTTTGAAATGTTCCGCCAATTGGAATCTTTCATGGTATCCTTTTTTACAAGATGGACACACATAATCCAGCTTGTTACTGCGAATGATTCCCTTGTACCAACGCACATCATGGAGCAGCTTATGGAGATCCAATATTGCTTCGTCGTCTTCCGATACACTTCTCCCATTCAAAAGTATTCGAGTTGGATAAATCGGTTGGACGATTAAAAAGGTCATTCCCCCTCCTAGAAGTGCCGGTTGTTCCACCCAAATCGACTGCGCGGGACTCAATATCACTCCGTCCACCGCAGGCGCCTCACTAATTTGCAAAGCGGTATAAATCGCAAACGGTAAGTTCTGTGGCGTCTCTGCCGGTCGCGTAGTCTGTATCAGAGCATATTGGGCACACTAAATTATAATCCAACCCGTTTAGCCTTGAACAACAAGTAGGTTTAACTTTCACTTTTCTTCCTTCAAGGTTGACAATCCACTTACTCCCTCATAAATCAGTCGCCGAATCGCTGATGTAGCTTGATCAATTTGATCCGTCCAGATGGGGATAATTCCATTCTCATCGGCATCCGTCGCTTTCGCATTACCGTGCAGCCAAGGCTTGAGGCCATTCAAAACATCCAAAATCCGCTTCTGGTCTTCCAGACTCCCAAGTATCTGAAGATGCTGAAATGTGCTCATCTTTCTTATAATTTGAGTTGACAGGAAACTTCTTCCTTATTTTTCCCAGCTGTTTGGATAACCCTAGTACCTCCCCACTCTCCACCGCCATTATGAGTTATGTCTGCAAGTGAGCCTCGCTTGGCCGGAGCTCGAGCACCTACACATACATATACCCTATGGATCCGAACCTATCACCTTGAAGCATTATATTGCCGCTCAGACAGTTCTCGTAAAAAACCTGGAAATCGAAATCACTTAGGCGTCCCATCCCTTTCAAAGTGGCCTGCTCGGTTGCCTGCTGTTCATGGCTCTCACCGGTCTATCTAACTTGCATTCATTTGCTCAAATTTCACCTTGAAAGGGAAGCTACATATACTTGAGAAGGAAATTATGGACTGATCGTACTTTTGTCCGGGGTATGTGAGTGCGGAGTACATGACACTACCCCTGCCCTTGTTCTGCTAATTTGATGAAAGAGCCTCTCATCCCCACCCTTGATACCCCGCTATCAAGATTATGGGTGAATGGGCATCTACTATGTCTCTTATCATGATGCGTTCAATTTCTTATCTCTTAAATCATTTTAGGTAAAGATTTGAATTTGAGGGGTTTAATGTGCAATGAAGCTAAATTTGACAAAGAGCTTGTATCCAGATTTAACCGGCCTTCTCTAGCATTGAATGTAGACGCCATCGATCAAATACGAAACTAGAAACTCGACCATTGGCCAGACCAATAGCAATCCGGTCACCTTGTACATCATAGCACGCTGGCTGCATATGGAAAGGCAGCCGAAAAAAGAGCACATCTCCATAGCATATCCACTGATCTGCAACAGAAAGGCCCGCTGGATCATTTGAAATGGCCACCCGCTCAGCCTCAGTGCCATCTTTCAAGTTGATTTGTCCATAATCCGTAATAATGTATCGACCATCTGCCGAGAATTTCAGACTTCGACGTTTGAGATGACTACCCGAAAGCCGCGTGAAATTATTACCGTTTGAAATGTTCCATATCGTAATGACTCCAGTGTGAAGGCTCAAAAATGCGATACGCTTGCCATTGGGTGAAAATACGATATTTATAACCGCCTCTAGGTGCCCTGCATCTGTATTCTGGGGTTCACCTGTCGCGATATTCCACAGTGTGACCGTTCCCCGGTCACAGCCTGATGCGACATGTCTGTCGTCGGGCGAAAAGGCCACAGAGTGTACGCCTGACCTGTCTTCTAACGTATTTTGTAGCTCGGTCGTTGTAGAGTTCCACAGCTTGATCGTTCTATCGGAGGATCCGGACGCAATCTGTTTGCCGTCTGACGAGAATACCACAGCATTGACCGAGTCCAAGTGTCCCTTGAGTGTCTTTTGCGGATTGCCTGTTCTCGCATCCCAGATCTTGATCGTTTTATCATCGGAGCCTGATGCAATTTGCCTACCATCGGGAGAAAGTGCAATACATCTGACAGTCCTTGTATGACCTTCCACAATCTGTAAAAGAGAAAGTCGATAATCCTGCACCACAGGGAACTTTCTAATATAGCCTGGAATTTTGGCCATATTTTTCTCCCTCACAAGATTTGATTCGGGAGTGAAGATAAGACAAGCACTGTAGATTTGCAATGGCCAAAGATGTATAATACTGCGATGATGCACTAAGAAAGGTATAGCATCGCGCATAAGTGCCAAGGTTGAAGGTTCTTCCTTTGGAAAGGTGTAAGTAAAGAAAGGGTATCTCGCAAAAAGCCACTAAATACTACTAACCTTCGCCATATCCATCAATATCTCGAATAATCCAAGGAGTCTATCATCTATTCTATCCAATAGGCTGAGGCATTCCAACCACTCCAATAAATTCATGTGGAGAAAGTTCCCAATGGGTCCTTGATCAATGAACCCGCTGTGTTTGACCCTAGGATGGGCTTTCTGGAGATGCTGCACCCAGAAGGACGCTGGATAATCCAAGGAAGATAGCTTATCACTTGTGAAAGATTTTCTCGTGGAGTCAAGTCGTGGGAGTCCTATAAGATTGATCTTCAGCCGTTTGGACAAATGTGCAAGACAACCTAGCACAATATCGTAGTGTCCAAACTGTGTATTAGATTCAAGAATAGACATTCCACCTTCCCCGGCTAGGTAATCTCGAGCGGATTGATGAACAAATTCAACATAGTTGTCGTGTAATCTGACAAAAGACGCACAGCGATTGACTAGGATCTTGATTGTATCATCTCCTAGGCCTGTTATAACAGATACTTCTTCGACTTTCAACGGTCGGTATGCTAGTATTATCGCCTTCAAGAGTCGTATTTGTTGTTCAATATCATCCAGCTCGCCCGTACTCAACTGGCGCATTATGCGATCATAGAAATGCTGTAGCCCTGGTGGTAACTCCTCAATGGTAGCTAGAACCTCCTCTTGCCGAATACCCTCAAGCCTTTTGCAAACCAAACTCACCCATAAGAACGTACCCTCAGCTTTCAAAGAAAGGCTGTCTTTCAATTGGTCACTCAGTGCTGCTTTATATCTGTTTCGGATACTGAGCTCGTTCACCTTATAATGAATGTAGGACTGAACAGACTCGGAGACAAATTTTGAGTTCAGCTCCAGGCTAACTTGTATCTGATCATATCCGACTAGTAATACTCTTTCAGCGGCATCCAGGTGTCGACTTGTGAAGAGCCATTTGATTCGCGGGTTATCAAGCCCATTCCGAACAACAAGTGTAAGGAATTCAGCCATTTGGTTATCCTGGGACTCATCAAGAGCATCGATAACGATATAGACCTTTGAAAGGGTACAACCGTCTAGCATCTCTAAAAGTATGTCCCAGAGACCTCGCCACGAGGCTATATCTATATCCTTTTTGAAAGACTCGTTTCTCTTATCCCATCGACGTCGTAAAGACTCTTTCAGCTCAGTTCGCTGGGTAAGCAGCCTGAGAATCAAGCCTTTAATGAGTGATTCAAGGGTATTCAGCTTATTATCACCATTTTGAAAGAAGAAGTATGTCACCACATTGTTGTCTTCTTGAGAGAGGATTTCAATGAGGCCGATCGACATCATTGTTTTTCCTTTCCCAGCTCCACCTTTGATCCAGAGCAAACAGACAGTATTTCCATTTCGCCAGTTGCGATACTCCGGAGTCTCGAGGACCCATTCGAATGATTGGCGGAGGAGTTTGTCCTTGCCTTCTTTTAGGCGGTTCTTAACAACAAGTGTGTCTGGGCATCGAAGGGCTTGTAAGCACATGTGATCGATCTGTTCGGTGCTATATGCTATATGTATTCAAAGTGTCAGTTTCATGATTCAGCGGCTTACCTGCGCGATCAGACCTACAGTTGTGGAACTGCGCTGTGACCGAGCCGTGGTTATCCCCGATTTGAACTCCATGGTTGTTACTATGGAATGTAGCTGATGTCATTATGAAAAGTCATACAACATGGCATGTTTTGGATCGTACATGACAGATGTATTCGTGGGGTTAGCTAGTCCCAGTAGTAGTAGCTCAGCCTTGGACTCGGAGCTTAGTGAGGGGCATCCTGCAGCTTGATTATCAGGTGACTCGTACTCCTATTAGTAGTACCTGCTATCTACTTGTTGTGTAATAGGTAGATTCACTCAAGCTAGTGGGCCATCTTAATAGTAAATGAACCAGGGAGATTTGAATTGTGTAGAAATGTATGATTGAAGACAAAATCCATGTATGCATCGCTGGAAATGAATTAGGTCACATATGCTCACTATGATTATCTGTTTTCTTACCGTATATATAAAGAAAAGGAAGACACAAAGAATAAAAGAAATATGTATCCACGAAAGTTAAGACATAAACAGGCATCAACTCGTTATGAAGAAAAAGTAAACTCATTCAATGCGCGGCGGGCTTCGAGATTTCTTACCCATAGGACTCCGACTCATACTCGTCCTAAAACCAAAAGTCAGTATCAATTGATCGATCGCCTCCAGAACCAAAATAGAAAAAAGAACAAGAAAAGAAAAAAAGAAAACTCACGATCGTCTCCGCTCCCCCTCCTTTCTAAATCCCTCAATAATCTTCGTCATCTCCTTTCGTCCCGCAGATGCATCAACCCTCCTCCCACCAAGACTCATACTAACCTTTTCATGCGCAGAAGCCATCAACAACCTCTTAAGAAGAAGATGTCTCATATTCAAACACACAAATACCCCACAGTCACTTCCCCCATCTTGCTGCGGCGAATCTTGTAGATGTAAAAACCTAATGGGTATATTCAGGAGCATGCTGAATTTGTTCGTCACATCATTCGCTTCCCAGTGGTTTCCTTGGTATAACGAGTCATAGTGGAATGCGATACGGTCAACGACTGAGATGAGTAGAAGGGACCAGTGCGTGCCGCCTTCTGCTTGCGTTACGTTTCGGCAGTCGTTTATGGGGAGGAAGACGTGGGTTGCGCGGGAGAAGTCTGGAAGGGCGTCGCGGAGGGTTCGTGGGTCTCGTGTTTGCGCGAGCATGAAGGACATGCTTGGTCGCAGGAGGACGATGTTGGAGGTTTTGTATTTGGCTAGGAATTCGTGTTCGAGGTATCTGGTGATTATTAGCGCTGTTGATTGGGATTTGAGAGTTTGTTTCTGATCTGTATTGATGGGTGGCTTACTCTTGCCAGAATGAAATAAGCTATGTAGGAAAGATTGGTTAGCTAGTTGGTTCATCTGGTTCGCTGGAGTATGGAAACGTACATTATCGTTGAGCCAGTCGTTCTTGAGGTTTTGCATGTCCTCTCTGGTCACTATGCACTGTTAATTACCGAATAGAAACGCATTGGGTGAACAAAGTCATACATCGAACGTCATAGTCTATCCGCGCGCAAAGTTCGTTAGCACATGAATGGACAACATGCAGAGCGCAATGCTCAATGAATTTCAAAACTCACAGCTTAAGAAAGCATCTTCTGGCGTCAGCTGCGCGAAACGGCATCAGAATTGAGTCCCATGTATCCAGATTGGTCTCAAAAACCCACCATATCACCTAACCTCCCTCGCATCTTCTTCTGCAGTTTACCCAATCCGCCGTCCAACATGTCGCCGGCTTGCCAGATTTATCAGATCAGAAGCGAAAAGACCCAAGAAGTATGTATAGTCGACAGAAACTTCTCAGCCTAGCGGTACAGTACAGTATGTCGCGAATTGCCAAATTAGGCAGACAGTATGAGCTCAATCTGTTCTGGCTTGACTTGATCGGATCCAATCTGACTTGGCGCAAGGATCGTCGCGAAAAGAGTATTTAGCAAGCGCTATCCGTACACTCCGCCAAAGTTGCGCTTCGGTTCGCTCGAGGAAAGATTATGTATGACTCGGAGTTGAAGCACAGCACAGCACAGCACAGCACAGCACAGCACAGCACAGCACAGTGCAGTGGCTCAGTGGCGGGCCCGGAGCACAGCGCAGCCGAATGATTTACGCGTTCTCCCCGGTTCTGCACTTTGAGTGGAGACCGTTCGGATAACACTCCGGATTGGACGATAGACTCGGACGAAGTGGCCTTCGTCAGCCTTACGGGTGGCGGGTGCGACAGGCCTACTCCGTGGCGGGGATGTATGTCTCAGTTGAGGTTTACGGAGTAGAGTATGCACATGTGTAGAGGCAGGGCCAAATGGGTGGGGTCGAGTCGAGTACGTACAAGTCCTTGCTGGTGAGATTGAGGACTGGTGGGGGTGAGCTTGGGTTTTGGGTTGGCGCGCCGGGAGAGCTGCTACAGGTGGACGGACTGGGAGGGATAAGTTGTTATGAATCTGCGTGGGATTGTTACCGATTCTTAAGAGGGCCAGGCACCAGACGAGTTGGATTAAGGCTGGGTCTTTTCGGATGTTGGCTTGTGTCACATGGAGTCACGTGGGGCGGTTTTGGGTCCGTCATCAAGTATGTATGTTGAGATGACTGGCTACAGTAGGTATTTGGATTTGATTATGTTTGTGAACGGTTTAATGCATCTGCATTTACGACGAGTTGTCGGGATTAATATATGCAGGGATGATGTCTAAATTAATCAGTTCTAAAGAGAAGATTTACTCTGCAATGGAATAAATGTTTTGAAATATTCATCAATAATGAGGGGTATCTAAACATACATCCCAGAGCTCCATAGGCATAGGGTAAACAAAGTGATTGACAGCGATGGGGCATGAGAGTAAGTTGGAAGATTGCACAAGAAAAGAAAAGATAGAATGACAAACAAAATCACGCTGAATAGGCAGATCAAGATGAAAACAATGTCATAAACCGGTAGCCATGCCATATCTCAAGTGGGGTACCCATCTTGAATATTATCCTAGCTGACATGACAGGCATACCCGGACGTAAAATAACAGATATTGGTTTCCCTTTTCCTTCTTCCCGCAAGGGGACGGGTAGGTGAACGTGTAGGTGAATGGGTGGGGGAAAGGGAGATAGGCTAGGTGGCTGGCCATGAACCAAATCCTTGAGATAGATAGATTAAGAAGACAACTTGGCGAAATGCTTGTTCCAAATCCACCCAACTTGGCTTGAGGAGTCGTCTTGGTTGCGAGCAAGCCATAATTCGCCCTTTTCACCGATCACATCGAAGATCTCTCCTGCGACGTAGGTCAAGTAGACATATCCTGCCTCTCGGCGGGTTTTGTCAATACTGAATTCGTAGAGACTTGCTGCAAGGAATAAAACCTGAGGCGCCTTGGTATTGGCAGGGTTGGGCAGATTGTTTTGCGATGCATCATACTCTTGCTCGTCGGGGCCATCAGTCATCGGCATTGCAGACGAGAAAAAGCCAGAGTATCTTGACGGGGTCGGTGGCCGTTCGTTGTCAGTGGACGTAGACGTAGCTTTCAGGATATCAGCGAGGAAAGGCCCATCAATACTTAATGCAGGTAGTAGGCTGGGAAATTCCTCAGAGCCGCGGGTATCGGATGTACCAGACGCGGATGGCTGGGCTTGAGTCACATGTTGTAAGCTGCGTGAGGTATCTGGAGAATCGGATTGTCCACGTGCAGAGAAAGTGGAGCCAGAACGGTGTCGATTCGTAGACGCAGCTGTAGAAAAGCTGTCTATGCGGGGAGACTGGAAGAGCGAGGTGACGCCAGTGTATTCTTGGGAGACATGTGGTGAATCATCTGCAATAGATCGGCGGTGGGTAGAACTGTTGGCAGTGGATGTTCGCCGAGCCGAGCTGAAAGAAGGTCGTCGAGGTGAATTAACACCGCCTCCCACTGTAGGTGTATTGAAGTTGACCAAGTTCACACTGTCGGCGAGAAGAGACCCGTTGGCAATTCCGAGGGAAAAGATTTGAGCTTCAGCAAAGTTGTAGTCGCTGCTCCACTCGCTGATCACCTGTTCCCATTCCTCAGGGAATAAATCCACCTGTGGTGCAATCTTCTTCTGCATAACGTCCCAGAAGCTGGTGCTCACTTGGACGAAGTTCTTGAGGCACGCGTCCATCAGCTTGGCGGTGAGTTTAAAGAGCCTGGGTAGCTCTTCTTTCAAAGTTTCATTCAAGGCAATGAACTGTTCACCATTCTCAGCTGTCTTCTTATCGGGTTTATCGCCGCGGTCTGTGATAGATTTGAAGCGTCCATAGTCAAGCAAACGTTTGTCTCGCTTTTTCATCACTCGTTGCGGACCCTCATGAAGTTTAAGTAGCGTAATCATTGGTTGAATAACAGTTTCTCGAACCAATGTAATCTATACAAACATCACGTTAAAGGCCGCAATTTAGTTAAAACATAGGAGGGAGGAAACTTACATGTTCAGGCAAGGCAACAACAGTGACATCCTTTGTCGCAGCCTTGAACTGACGCCACTTGCTCTCCAGTTCGGGATAATTCGAGGGTGAGACATTCATCATGGCCTCAATTCCAAGGATGAAGGAATTTAGTTGGCCCATACAAAGTGTCATCTCCCGTGTATACATTTCCACGTCACGCATAACCACTTGAAGATGGAAAAATCCTTCGCCGAAGGCTGCAGCTAGCATGTCGTAATCTCTGTCTTCAAACATATCCACAATTCCGACCTGTTGGCGGAACTTCTCTGTTCGACGACCGAAAGCCTTGGACAGACCAGCACGAACATCAGATTGATTTCGTTTGCGGCCAACCACTTGCTCCACAACATCGGCACGTCTCTTCATCTCATTGATTCGAACGGATGCATTGGTAACTTCAGTTCGCGCATTCACAAGTTGGACACGGTCAGGATGATCGACTGGCGTAGCCTCCAGCAACTCGTTTAGAAGGAGAGGGTATTTAAGAATTCGCTGCACAGGCTTCACCAGTAACGAATCCAAATCCCAAGCGGTAGTCAGATCATCCGCCCATTGTCGACATTCTCTCAGCCAAATAACAACTTTCGGGTTTTGCTGGAGAGCCTGCAGTTTCTTGTTGGCAGAATCGTAGTTCTTCAGGTACTCGGAATAGACCTTTTCCATATGCATCATGTGAGTGACAAACGCTTCACCGATCGAGGTGCCTCTATCTTTCTCAAGGTCTGAAACACCTGCTTCTGGCAGACTCTGCTCCTCGACAGCCTGGGAGGCAGGACGATTAGTGTTGCGTTTACTGCTAAAGCGCTGGGACTTGGGCATGACGTAGATGCTTTTAGCAGCATGCTTGAGTGCGTCTTGGAAAGTCTGAGAAAACTGAGCAATTTCTGCGGAGTTGCTGAAAAGTGTTTTCACATCATCGGGGGAGAGATCCAAGCACGATCCAGAGGTGCCCTTGTATATATCTTCCACGACCTTCATATCTTGGCCAAAGGTATGTTCGGTATCGACCAGTTCCTTGATAACATGGCGGCGTTTCTTCAACTTCCTTTGTTCTGGAGAAGGAGATAATTTCTTTAGCTGCTCAGCTCTTTGATCAGCCCGTAGCAGATGCTCGGGGGCTATGCCTAGAGACGTAGCAGAAGATTCGGCTTTTTCGGAGTGGCTATGATCAATCTGCTGCAGCGAGGAAGATTCACTACTCTCTGCGCTATGGGCGATTTCGCGTGGTGCAGACGGAACCTGCTGCTTCGGGGGGATTTGAGGCTGCACGTGAACATTCTTCCGCGCAATGGAAGGATCCAGCAAAGCTTCATGGTCGTGGTGATCATGTGAATGGCCATGGCCATCGGGCATAAAGTCCGCCCGTTCGTCTGCTGGCGTGATTCCATCGCCCTCAGCAGCAACCTGCATCCAGTCCATAATGGATGGTGAAGCATCTTCCCAATCATCCGGTCCAACTAAGCTAGCCGTATGAGAGTTTCGTGCAGCAGTGACATTAGGTTCCTGGAACCTGGGGACCACTACTGGCTCTTCTCCTAGGTTATTTTTTGGGGGTTCAACATGCATTTCTGGCACCTTCACACCGCGCAGGATGTTGTCTCTGCTTTCTTTCGTCCTAGTATAAGGCTCTGGGTGGTAATGGTGCTGGGCAGGTGGCTCTGGAACGGATGGAAGGCCGGGGGATGGACGCGTTGCTGATGGAAAGGCGGGAGAAACTCGAGTTGCAGCTAAGCCAAGGTCGGCTGCCCTGCCTTGAGTCAACTGCTCCAGATATAGTTGTGTTGCGCGGCGTGGGTCCCATTTTCCCTTCTTGGCTAAACTTGGAGGCGTGGCGAAGAAGTTGGCTGCTGCGAATTGTTGTTTTTCCATGGTAGAGGGGCCGGTCAATCCCAGATCCTGGACGGGTCCTTCTTCATGCTCATCATCTGCAAAAGATGCCGGGCGTGTGGAAACAATTGAGCTAGATTCTTGTGACGGTTCCTCCTTTGATGGTGTTGGTCTCTGGAGAATCAAGTCGTCGCCGCTGTCCTCTTCATCGCAAACAGAATCCTGATTTTGGAGGGAAGATGACCAGGAGCTCATGCTCCATCTGTTATCGGGTGGACGAGCGACGCCTTTAGAATGCTCCATAGCGGCATGTGCAGCTTCTTCGGCATTCACGCTGCTCGAGGTTCTGAAGTACGATTTCCCACCAAGCATCATCTTCACCGACTGTTTTTCTTCATTCTCAGAGCTGCAATCATTCTCATCACACTCACTGCTAGAGCTTGATTCCCGAATCTGCATAATATGGTTTAGCAAAGTACGGTGAGCTTCAGCCGCGCTAGGCTTTCGTGAAATAAAATTGGTTTGCGGCTCGAGATCGATGTGAGTGCCATCAGAGCCTGCTGAATCCGGCGTGGGGCTTTCGGGGGCGTTCGAGTGCTGTGCACCATTTGATGATCCATCCGGCAAGCCGAGTGTCGGCGAATCCATTGTTGTGTTATGGACATCCTCCTCCGGGATCGGGACAGACGTATTCAGATGAAGCTGGGGTGTGGCATAAGGTCCCCTCGCCTCCTCCATCGCAGGTTGTGTGGGTTTCGTCACTGTGGTGGACATTTCTGCGGATAATGGAATGTTGTTATTTGTAGTGCTCGGTGTTGTCTGATCATCCTCGAGATACTCAGGCACCATGTCCACTCGTGTACGGCGTCGCAATTCGGCTGCCTCCTCTTCCTTTCGTTCATTCTCTTGGACGGTTCGGTTGAAGGCCTGCTGAATACGCTGTCGACGAGTTTCGAAATCCACGTTGCCCAATTCGGGTAATTGGCGGGATCGACGAGAATTCCGGTCTGTGCTACGGTCGGCAACTTTTTGTAACGAAGACAATCGCCTCCCAATTTCAGGAGAACGTGGTGTTGGCGGGCCAGCAATGGAAACCGTTTTTCGAGGTCGTGAACTGCGCAATGGTGGTGACTTTTTAGGAGGAGGAGCGGAGACGTAGGCTTGTAAAAGTTTACTTTGGTCAGGTACCGATACCGAGTGACGGGTTCGGCCAATGGCCATGTCCCGGCGGCCACGCGCTGTCATTGCAAACGAAGCGGGACCATCTTCCGTCATGCGGGGAGGACTTATAGTACCAGAAGCCGGTTTAGGTAGGCGGCTGGTGCCCTTCGGCGCCAGTGGAATGGAATTTGATCGGTTGCTGAATGTGAGATTGGCGGTAGGTGAGAGAGGCTCCGTACCGGAACCAGAGCTGAGGCGGTGCGAGGAAACTGGAATGCGGGATCTGGAATTCGGACTGCCCGGGGAGCCGTCACCAGGCTTTCCCTGCTGCAAGGGAGCTGAGACCGCCATCTCCGGATTCCACGGATCGGCAAGGGATTCGCCGGCCGGGCTCACAAAATCACTCCGAGATCTGCGGTGACTGAGACTTCTATTCGCGTTCGATTGAACTGCCTCAAGAGAATTCGCTTTTCCAAGATACCACGCGGTAGGAGTTAAAGGCGGCTGAGCAAGATTTGCTTGATTTAAAAAGGCCGGGTTCGGACTCGCTATGCTTCCGTCAGAGCCTCGACGTCTCGCGTGCCCAGGAACTCCTAGTCCTGGGTTGTTGAATTGCGTATTGAGAGTTAACAATTCACCGAATAGCTGTCTCCGCGAATGAGGTTCCGTGACTCGTTGGAAGAGCGGAGGGGGGATCGAGGTGGTCAAATGGTTCGGCGGTTCCTCGCTCTGAAGTGACTCCACCTGCAGCCTGGGGTTGCTAGTATTGAAGGAGGATGGCAGAGATTCGCGCGGTTGACGACGTCGCGACAAAGGATTGGAGCGTTCGGATCCGCGATCACTACCAGTTGGACTCGCTGTGCGTGATGTGGTTTGAGAAGTAGTGGGCAGAGGGAGCACTGAGTCAGACGTATTGTTGAACTTATTAACCAGGTCTCTAAAGGAAGGCTGCCTAGATCTGAATGAGGGGCGTGTCGAAGACGCATCGGCCGAGGGACCACCTCCCAAAGTCGGCGAATCAGATATGGAACGAGGGATTGGGCGTCTTGTGCGTGAAGGGTCTAGGACGTTTGCTGGCACGGCGGAGACTCTCTCATTTAGATTGGATGGGGCCGCAGCCATGCTGTACCTTGCATCCATCACATCTCCGAAGCTTGCCTTAAGGGGTGCTGACAAAGGACCTGTTTGTCGATAAAAATCGTCGGGATCGGGAGAGTCACGCCCAGTTAGGCCCTCGGTTTGACCGCTAGAGGGAAGGTGGGTTGAGGAAGCGGCACGGGTCGAGTCGAGGCCCGATCGGCGGGAGGGATACGTGGTGTTCGTCAAGGTGGTAGAGGGGGGAAAGGTGTGATCGGTGAGACCTCAAAAGAGGAGGACGAACTATGAGCATCGGATGGGGATTGGCCATAAGTGGGAGCTGATGATTGTCGCCCAAACGGAGGCGGCTGGGGATGCCGGATGCCAGAAGACTGTTCGATACCGCTGCCAGACATGTTTGGCATGCCCTGAGCCGACGTGGACAGCCTTTCGGATGTCTAGGATGGAATTTAGTCACTCGCGCGCTCTCTCCCTCTCTTTTAGGATGTTGATGCGTTGTCCCGCGGAGGTGGTGGATATGTATGGTCGCCCAACCAGGTTGTCGCAAGGTAAGTTGACTCAGGCTACAAAGCAATACCGGGGTGATTCACCCCCATTCACCATCATTATTTCAAAACAAGAAGAGGAGGAAGGAATAATGGGGTGTTTTTTTTCTTTGTTTCGTTTTTTTCTTTTGAAAGTTGATTGTTTCCTTTTATTTCCCCTCCTTTTTTCTTCTTTCCTCGAAGGAGCCGAGGGAGATGTTTGACTTGAAGACTCGCGTGGATGGAAATGCAGAGATGGGGGAGATCGACCCGATCAGCTGTGTGGGAGAGCACAAGGCGCCAGACCGAGCGATGACGAATGAGAGGGCCGAGGGATCAAAGTGGACACTGACGTTGGTTCGGCGTCTTCCATGCACGGGCTGTGATAGGGTGAGTGGAGAGGGGCGGAAGATGAAGAAATCGGGCTAGAATGGATGCGACGACTGGAAGTCTTCAGATTCGGGTGTAGGGGTGTTGTAGAAGGTGTAGGTTGTAGGGGAAGAGGGGAAGAGGGGAAGTGTAGAATTGGAGATGGTCAGATGGGAGCCTGGTGATAAAGAGAAGGAGGAAAAGCGAAAAAGAACTTGAACACCGATTGCGTAGTTGCCATAAGAAAGATCGTGGATGAAGTAAGATGAGGGGGAATGAATGGAGTCGGGAACAAGTTCTGAAACCGTGGGAGATGGTCACTTTTCGGGGCCCTTTGTTTGGGGGTTATTGTTATTATGATTAAGATTAGTTAATTAATTAATTCTGATCTTAATTCTGGATTTAGTTCCGAGTCTATACATTATTCATTAAGTTGTATGCTACAACAACTATAACTATAACTACTAGGCATTCCCTACTGTATAGTACTGTACACTGTATAACCCCCAATCGAGTCAAGCCCCAGGAACACAAGGAACAAGACTCCATTCCCCTCTCAATTATCGAAAATAAAAAGTCAAAATCAAATCAAACGTGGAACCGTCTGACGCAGTGGAGACGCAATTCCTTCGCAACGGCCTTTCTAGACCGACAGTCTTCTCGATCTGTTCCGTGGTTCGCTTTGTCTCAATTTCCGGTGATTAAGCATGATGAGCATTGACCTTGGAGGAGATTATGTACATGTGCATGTAGTCCTTGTATAGGAGAGGAGATAGTCAATAACTGTTAATTATGTTACTATGTGAATAGATTCAGCCTCGTTTGCCGAATCTATTGTTGGAGGGTCTTAGCCCCCAATCTACCATTGGGGGCGTAAGATTACATCTACTACTACCGCTCCTACTATTTACTATCTGGCATTGCTACTGCTACTACTAAGGGCTATTTAGGGGATATTTAAAGGCTACCTACTACTATTCTGTAGTAGTAACTTGCATAATCTCCGTACTTAATGGCCAATCTGCTGCTATGATGTACACAATTAATACACCTAGTATCCTAATAATGAGCAAACAGAACAACAAGTTCTAATTTTGAAAATATTTCAAACATTACAATATGCAGGATATTTGAATAACTCAATTTTTCGACTTTTAGCTCGTTTGTTTCATGTAGTTGTGATCCATCATAGTTCGACCCCTTCCCGCCCCATCAAACGTCGCGAACGCGTCGAACATCATCAACACCAACACCAACATTCAGAACCCAATCGCCCACTCAATGATCATGTAGACCAGGACAACCAAGAAACCAGAAGTAAAGAGTCTACTGGATTCATTCTCGGAATCCATATCCCCCACCATGGGCAAAAAACGCAAGAGGTCCAGCAACAGACCCAGCAAGACTGCCGGTCCCACGGCCTCGTCTCAGTCCAGTATCACCGCAGCCACCGGTCGTTTCAAATCCTCCAAAGGCCCCGTTGCGCGAGACAACCACACATCGCACCCAGTAATCTCACTGTACTACCGCCAACTCCTCCCACTACGACAATATCTCTTAAACCAACTCCCCATTTCTTCCAAATTGCGACGAAGACGCATCACATCCATGCGTCCTACACCCGAACGCAATGATCCCCATTTCCAACCCTTGGCCGATCTGCTCGATTCCACCTTAGTCGGTGTTCTAAAGGAATCATCCCCTACTATCAGCTCCGAGCGCCAACGCGACTATCGGGCTTTCACCCAGTCGCAATCGCGGTCGGTCCTTATCAGCACGGACACGGGGCCGACATCCCCCCAATCTGAAGTATGAGTTGCATTGCAGGAATTCGGAGCTGTCCGTGCGCGTCAAACGACTAATGTTTGAAAATGTCTAGGTGGTTGATTTTGTGATCGGCCAACTTTTTAAGAAAAATTCGAAACCGCAGCATGTACTAGCTCATGGATTTCAGAGACCCTCTATCGGTAATGATGACCTCGAGAGTAACATTCCGGGTGTCGCTATTCGTTTTCCCAATCAGAATGTGTGTACCCTCAAGGATTCACCTTGGACGGAAGTTCTTGGCCTTATGGGCCAGAATGGAGATGAGATTATGCTGCGATTGTTGTTTGATTGCGGTGTCTTTGTTCCCATAGATGCACAAAGGGGTGTTTACTATCAATTAAGTGGTATAGTCGTCCTCCCATCTCTAATATCTTCTATTACGACCAACCTAAAATCGCTTTTTTACAGGCCTGCCCCTTTCCGAGCTCGAGCAGCTTCACGAGTCATGCGCTAGACCGAATGAGCCAACCGAACCTGCGGTGCAAACCTCGAAGAACAAACGGGCCAACGGTCAAAGTGAGACCCGTAGCCCCAGCAGCATTGTTTTTCTACGTCGTAGCATGCTGTATAGCAGACATGCTTGTTGGACAAACGGGAAGCTGAAAGCCGGGCTGGGGAAGTCCCGTAAGTTGAATTTTTGCATTATTTATCTCATTTGAATATCTCTGACGATAGCTTGAACAGACGTCCTCAACCGGTTTGAAAATGTAGATTCTGCAGCTCACACAATCCATGTGATGATGTACATGTTTCCTCGTCAATTTCGTCTTCGAAATGTATTCGTCCCAACAGGAGAAGCCCATGAACAATTTACAAGTCATGGGCATATCTTCCGCGAAGATGAGATATTTGCTGGCGATGAACATCCAAAACTCCCCAAGAGACTGGGTGGGGAAGCTGCTGCACTTGCTCTTAAGCTTCGTGTCCGCCATAATCGATCTTCATACCATGAATTACTGAAATATTATTGTCCTGCTGAGGTAAGTACGTCGAACAAGGTTTAAGTAAGCCGCCACTGACAGCTGTAGTCAAATGGACCCTGGAAACTAGATCTTTGCACTCAGACCCAGAACAGTCAAAATGAAACCAACCAACCGGGATCGTCTAATGGGTCAAATCTGGTGACTCAAATACCAACCAAGCCGTTTACACCCATTCTGCCTTCAGAAGGTCCCGGGGATAATGAGTCGGTCCCTGAAAACCTGATTCGAAAACCCAAAATTGGTCTTACCGACTATGCCACCCCAGCTTCTTCCGTCTCGGCCTTTTGTCGAGCTGTGCTTTTGAAGTTGCTTCCTTTCAGGTTCTTCGGCGAGGGTACAGAAGGAGCATCTAACCGAAAGCTTATCATGAAACATGTAGATGCTTTTATCAAGATGCGGCGATTCGAAAGTCTGAGTCTACATGAGGTATGTAAAGGCTTAAAGATCACCAGCATCCCGTGGCTTGCTGGACCCTACCTCCTGGATTCGAAGGCCAAAATTTCCCTTACAGACTTCAAGAAACGTACGGAACTACTTCACGAATTCATGTATTATGTCTTTGATGCGATTCTTATTCCTCTTGTTCGGGCCAACTTTTACGTTACTGAATCTCAGACTCATCGCAATCGTCTCTTTTATTTTCGCCACGATGTATGGCAACGCCTTATCAAGGAACCGCTGATGGACCTGAAAAAGAAAATGTTCGAAGAGGTTGAGACCGACAAAGCTCAACGTCTACTTGCACGAAGATCACTAGGAGTCGGTACATTACGTTTGCTGCCGAAATCAGCAGGCATTCGACCCATTCTCAACCTGCGAAAGCGTGCTCTTAAAGAATCAACCTGGGGCGGGAAAAAGAGACATTATCTAGCAGCGAGTATCAACTCAAGTCTCACTCCTATCTACAACATGCTATCTTATGAGCGCAAACGAGCCCCTGAAAAGTTCGGATCGTCTTTACAATTCGTTGGCGACATTCATATCCGATTGAAAGATTTCAAGAAGCAGTTAATCGAGAACGCACCTGCGACCGAGCCTCACAAGTTGCCTCAGTTGTACTTTGTCAAACTTGATATTCAAGGCTGCTTTGATACTATTCCCCAGAAACAGCTTCTGAGTCTGATAGAAGACTTGGTATCTGAAAGGACTTATCACATTACCAAGCATGTTGAGATGAATCCATCTGCTTTCGATGCACGAGGAAAGCCAATGCGACGATTCATCGGGCGCGCGGCGCCAATCATGAAACAGCAGCATATACCAAATGTTCTGGCTAGCGAAGCGCAAGGCGGAAGGGCTAAGACCGTGTACATCGATACCATCAACCAAAAGCTTCATGGGGCCGAAGACCTACTAGGTCTCCTTGACGAACACGTTCGGAATAATCTCGTCAAGATGGGCAAACATTACTTTCGTCAACGAAGTGGCATTCCACAGGGATCTTTATTATCTAATTTACTTTGCAACTTCTTCTACGCCCAACTAGAAGAAGAAAAATTGAGCTTCTTGCGACCTTCTGACTCTGTCCTCCTTCGACTTGTCGATGACTTCTTACTCGTCACGACTGACATACGCCAAGCCATGCAGTTCTTGCAGGTCATGATCCCGGGTCAACCATCCTACGGTGTTCTAGTCAATCCGACCAAAAGCATGGTCAACTTCACCGCTACAGTAGAAGGAACCCACATCCCCCGACTAGAAGGATCACCTCTCTTCCCATACTGCGGCATGCTCATCGACACACATACACTAGAAATAGTCCGAGATCAAAGCCGTCTCCTAGAAGGAGGCGATTCAGCAGCAGCCACCATCTCCGACACACTGACAGTCGAAACAAATCGTAACCCCGGCCGTGTGTTCCGGCGCAAAGTCCTTGGACCCTTCCGACTACAAATCCATCCTATGTACCTTGACGACGCGCATAATTCGCGCAGCGTGGTACTTTCCAATCTCCACGCTAGCTTTATCACTGCCGCGATGAAAATGTACCGGTACATGAAATCTCTTCGGGGACATAGCCATCCCGGCCCGCCTGTTATCATTCAAACAATCCATGACCTTATTCAGCAGACGTTTGGCGTGATCCAAACACGGCGTACATCGACGACGAAGCCCTTGTCTTGTTTTGTTCAATTATGGCATTTGCAGTATCTGGCTGCTTCTGCATTTCAGTTTGTGTTGAACCGAAAGCAGACGCGATATGTGGCTGTGCTACGATGGCTGGATACATTGGGAAAGGAATCAAGACCCAAGTCAAATGCGGAAGCTCTTCGACTAAAGCAGGTGGTGAAGCAGGGCACAGCATTATTTGAAGAATGGCGTTTCTGATGATTGTGAATACAGTCGCACCTGTATAATTTACCATTTACCTATGTGTGTACATTAGCTGGCCCAAATTTATTTACTGGCAACCCTTCCAATGTTGGGAAAGCCCATACATTTCTACTGTTCCTATCCAATCAGGGCCTCGGCCCATTGTCTGGGCATCAAGTCGACCGCGGGTCTACTGTTCTTGGACCAGCACCCGACTGGCTACAGACCTCGATCTCCTGGAGTCTCAGGGGAAAATCGATCGAGTTCTGGTCCAAGCAGGTATTTAGGTCGGAAAAGGTTTTAGAAATGTTCTCTTAGAGTGATCTAGCGCATCTTATGGTTTGGGAAAGGCATGTCGATACTTTCCTAGTTAGGGATGATTTATAGGGGATCGGGTACTTGACGGTACATGTCCCCTCATAGTATAGTGTCCAGGCACAGGTACCCCCAAGTACCCCCTTTTGGCTATTTGTTCTCGGCCAGACCGAGCGCGGCATCTGCACTGCCTGAGGCTCCACTTCTCCGATCAACCTTCGTTTTCAGTTGGATCCTCTTCTTTCTTTTGAACGCGACAACACACTCTCATTTCAACCCCTCGTTTCTTGCTTTTGATCTGCTCTCATTCCTTTTCAGATTCTTTTCTTTTGCTTGCTCTTTTTTTCCCACTTCCTTCATTCGCTCCAACTCGCATCTTCTTACAACTATCTTGGCGGCCCCCATTATCTCGCTCCCCGTAATTCCCGGGCCTCTCCTGATTCGATTTACCCTCGACGTTTTCCACCGGTTATACGCTAGCCTATCTGCTAATCAAGCTGCGGCTGTGCCTGCAATTTCGCTTCTTGGAACGAAAAACAAAAAAGTGAAGGAATAGAAAAAAACAACAACAAATCGCCCGTTGATCGATTGGTTATTTTGTTTTGTTGTGTTTAGATCGTGTGTCTGGAACCACCTGCACCACCCCCTCCGGAAACATCTACTCCCACCCGGAGAGCCTTGCGTGCGATTTCGAACCCCTTCCCGCCCACTCATCGATTTGTTACCCATCTTGTACGCTTGGATGTCGATGAGATTTGTGGAGGACTACCGATTTTGAATACAATTACATGAGACCATGACCACCGTCTGTTCGACACCCAATTCCCCGCCCGAATTGTCCGGGTCCAAATCTTCCAAATCCTCCTCCTTCCATTCCTCGCAGATCGACGGCTCAGATAGCATTTTTACAGATGTCGGAAACTTCGAAGAGATCGGTCTGGAAGATGATTCAGAACTTCAGATCGCCGCCGATCCATCTACAACCCCTTATGGTCGTCCCGGTCTAACGGGTCGGTCGCCCGCCGCTGCTCGACTCTCTAACAAGAGCCCTGCCGCTACGACACGCGATTTGACAGCGACGCCAAAACCGAGACAACGAAGTCCTCTTCCTCCTATCCATAATCAGACTAATGGCGCTATCAAAACTCCGCAATCCGCCGGTTCCCTGTCGGCCCGGTCTCCGAACAGGAGAGACTCATCTAGCACTGTTAACTCGGCTAGTTTGACACCCTCCCAACCGCGACGATCACGATCAACGTCTCCTTTACGGCCTACGTCGAGTCGGTCTGCTTCGACTACTAGTCTTGCGCTGTCTCCGTTGTCTGCTAGGACGCCTACGCAGAAGCAGACATGGCAGCCGAATCGCAAGACGTTGAAGGATTTGGAAGAGGAATACCACGACTCGGATGATGAACTTCCTGATGATGCTAGTCTTTGGAATATTCCTATCTCCCCACGCCCAGTCCAAGATCGTCCACAGTCACGGAATACCAGTCCCAGTGGCCGGAGCCCTGGACCAAGACCGTTACCCATATCCCATACGACTTCGGAGGCTGCTGTTGTGCCGTCTACGTCTAATGCGTCTAAAGCTGCTCGTATGAGACGGGCCCCGCAACGGTCTAGCTCTGCTGGGCCTGAACGTGGTCAATTATCGCCTCGGAATCCTCGCGCCTATTCTTATAACAGCTTTTTGTCTGATCTATCGGAGGAAGCAAGGATCATCACTGAGGCTCTGGAGCATCATGCTGATGAGAACGGTCGTAAACGAGAGGATGCAGTGCAGAATGGGACATCACGGCGGTCAAGTTCAGAGTCACCACGTCCATCACGTGAGAATATCGAACTTCCACCGGTCCAAAAGTCCAATATTATGATCGATCCTTTGCCCATTAGCAAAGAGAAGGAAAAGGTTCTTACGCGGACTCGTCCGAGCTGGCTACCGCCGAAGGACCAGAAGGAGGAAAAGAAGCACTTGAGACAATATAAGGAAATGATGGCTCAATCAAAGGAGGCTGGTACGTTTTCTTGACTCATTATCTAAATCGATATGTTCAGCCCACTAATTCATACTCTAGATAAACGGAAAGCTGCGCGGGCTGCGTCGGCTCAATGTGAAAAGGATACTACTCGCGATACGCTTCAAAACATCTGGGATGAGTACGTTAACCCCAACTGGGATCGGGTCGTAAATGAATCTCGTACGCGAGAACTCTGGTGGCGTGGTATTCCTCCCCGCAGTCGAGGATCGATGTGGCAGCGTGCTCTTGGCAATGAGTTATCTCTGAGCGATGAATCATTTATCAAGGCACTGCAACGTGCTAAGGATTTAGAGTCTAAAACCGAGGCAGAGCCAACTGAAACTAAAAAGCGACTCCTTGAATGCTTTGCGGCAATTGAGAAAGATGCTTCAACGGCATTCCCGGACTTGAACCTTTTCCAGGAGAGCGGTCCATTGCGTGAGACTTTGATCGACGTCCTGAAAGCATATTGCATGTACCGCAGCGACGTGGGATACATTCATGGACTTCATGTAAGTTTGATCCTTTTTTTTTTTACACCTTCCGTCTAACATTAACTAAAAATCCTCTAGACTATTGCCGCTTTACTCGTTCTCCAGTTCTCTTCCCCCGGTTCAGCATTTGTCGCCATGGCCAATGCCTTGAATCGACCTCTTCCAGTCGCCTTTTTGACCTGGGACCGTGGCGGCATGACGCGCACCTACCATCTAGCGACCGACACCCTCCGTTACAAATTCCCCCGCCTAGCAGTGCACCTGCACGAAACACTCCGCTTATCAGATGAAGAGATATGGGAACCCATCTTCCGCACCCTTCTCACGAACGGTCTCGACCTGGAGCGAATCTCACGCGTATGGGATTGCTGGGTCTTCGAAGGCGACCGTATTATGATCCGTTCCGCAGTCGCAGTTCTAGGATGCCTCCAAGCACAGCTATTCTCGTTCCATCAACCCGATGACCAGAGCCGGATCACTGTGCGCGACATCTTAGGCTGGGGGCCCCGCCACATTGGTGCGAATAACCAAAAGCCCAAGGATCGACACAGTGCACCTGCAGCTGCTGGCTTTGGTGGTGGTCAACTTGAAAATCCTGGTGTGGCCGATTACTGGATCCTGACCGCTGCAGGCGACGAAGATGGGTTCATGTCCGCAGTGCGAGAGGCTGGAAAAGTCCGACAACAAGAACAACAGCCCCCTACTCCGACTCCGACAAATTAATTAATCAGCATTACGCTATGCTTATACTATGTTGTCCGGCCGCCTATACTCTGTTTCCATCTGTTCTGATTACAGCTTACAACTTTGACAACCTTTTCTCATGCGTCTCTCTATTTCCTTCGCTGTGCAATTACCTTACGTTACTGTTACTGTTGTTCCTGGTGCTGAGTCTCATTCCAACCCAGACACACTTAGATGGAGCGACATTGGTGCATTTTACTACTATCCGCTCGTTGATTTTTGAATACCCAGAGAGTACGCATGCATGCCATGATTGATTTTTTCTTCTTCTCTTGTTCTTTTTCTTTTGCTTCGTATGGCTGTTAATTAATGATGACGGTGGCTGCGATCCACCTCAACGCCGATTTGTCCATTTGTTATCTATCACTTGGCCCGTCCGTCTATATATTACCAACAATCGCTGTCTTGTTCAAGTTCAAGTTTCTTTTGCTATGCTGTGCTGTGCTGTGCTTGTCGATTTGTTGAGTCGTCTTCTCTTCCTCTTCCTCTTTTTGCTTCCTTTCATTCCAATTCTTTATATGTATTTTTAGATTATGGACCTCTGTGCATCGAGTCCTGTCATTCGGAGCGGTACACGTAGCAATCGAGGCACATCAGTTCTGTATGTCTTTCTTTTCATAAAGGTCCGAATTAAGAACATGATTGAAGTAAGGTGGTATGTCTCCTTTCTTACGGTATTCAAGTTCTTGAAAGAGCTCTGTGATGTGGTGGATTAGGTTCCATGGTACCTCACTCTATTTCTTCCATTAGCTATCCTTTATGTTCATTCTTCTAAGATGAATACATGTTGCAACGACCTTTGACTAGTGAATGTCGAGTTCTCTTAGATCTGTCTTTTTCTTTCATCCATCGATCTTTCACCATCTTAATGAAAGGTATATCAGCCAATCAAAAGAATTATCGCCACCTTCTCGTCCACGGGATATCTACCTATCAAAGAAATACTGTGCATATTTAGAAATAAACCTCTTTACCCAAGCCCATATGATACTCTTTCTTACATGAACATGGACCAGGTATCTAAGATACCTTTCTGCAGGCTTCACCTTTGTATTACCAGTGGCCAGTTGAACTAGAGATAAAAAGGCCTATGATTCCAGTTCAAGTGAGATTTTCAGACTCGATCTCCGGATCAAGATCTCATCTACCTACTCTACTCTTCTCTATTCTACTTTGCACATACATGTGATAGGGCTGGATCTCGGATACTTTCATGTATAGACAGTCGGAGGATCTTGTTGATTGATCTATGTACGGCCTCATCATCTCCGACCATGGGGATCGTAGCTCTCAAAGTGACTCCTTGCCTGTTTCGCAGATTTGGAATTACGATGATGGAGTGAGAGATGGGGTGAGCGTTATTTTCAGGTTTTGATGATACTCGCTCAACGGTTCCTGTACCTAGATACTTCAGATATTCTGGCGTGATTCGTGGAGGGATACGAGTTATTAGGCTTTGAGTTCAGGAATTCAATGTTCGGGGCTTATTGGAGCTTTCTATGTGTCAGATGGACACTGAGTGTTGGAAGAGTGTGCATTCATGGACTTGGAACATGTATTGATGGAGTTGGAATTTGTTATGTCAGTGGGTGGATAGAGGCTTTGGGACTCGGACTGCCAGGTTCATAACACTGGCAGTGCCTCTACATATACCTAGACATACTTGTATGTACCTAGGGGTACACAGATAGATGCTTGGGTATAAAGAGAGAACGAGAAAAGGGATAGGTATATAGTTGGTAGCTATAGATACCTTGTAGACGCCGGCATTTCCCATGAGTAAGGTAGAATGGTAGAATGGAGATAATGTTTTCAAAGAGAAACGTAGAGACTCATGGGAAATGCTGTGCGTTATTTGGATCTATAGTTAGCCAATTATATCACTAGTGTCTCTAGCGCAAAGCTTCAAGATGGAGGACTTGATTCCTCCCACGGTTGTTCAAATCCACTTATAGGCGTAAAATGTATAGAAATAACGCTTCAATGTAACCAGTTCTATCTTTACTTAGTCTCAGCGAACAATTCCTTGATACCCTCCCTATCCACCGGATTCTTCAACAGCCATCCAATATTCTCAAGAACATCCACCTGACATTTCCCAGACTGTTTCAGCTGCGGCCACATAATCTGATGACCATGAGGACAACCAGGATAAACATCCAGCTTCACATCAACACCTTCCTCTCTCAAAGCCCTCGCATAAATAATACCATCATCCCTCAACGAATCCATGCCATCAACCTGAATATAAGTCCTCGGGACCTTAGAAAACGGAACATCCAAATTAAACGGAGAATAATCCTCCGAAAACAGATCAGGCTTATACAACGAAGAAATATGATCCATAGCCTGCTTCCCTAGAACAGGAGACTCACTATTCTGTTCCCTCGCAAGCCACACATCCCGATACTTCTCTGGCACAATCGGATCCGCCAAAGTACCAGGTACATTAGCGAAAAGACCAGTCAGCGCCGGAGAAAGTTTCTCCTTCAGCGCACGATGCGTAACTGAAACAGCAAGCGTAGCACCCGCAGATCCACCACCGACGACGAATCCTTTCGAGGTATCCGCGCCGATTGTGGAAGCATTAGCTGCGAGCCATTTAATGTTATCCCATGCGTCTTGTTGGGGGATGGGGAATGGGTGTTCCGGTGCGAGGCGGTAGGATGGTAAAGCTACTGTAGCGCCGTATAGATAGGCGGTGTTACGGGCCCAAACTACTAGTTGAAGGTTTGTGCCGTTGAAGAAGCCTCCGCCGTTGAAGAGGACGAGGAGTGGACTTCCTGATTCAGGTTTCTTTTCTGGGTGGACCACGCGGATTTCACTCTTGTGTCCGTCGCGGAGGGTGATTGTGTGAATGGATTCTGTGGTTCCGCGGGTTGGTGCGGCATCTGCAGCTTGCTTTTCCATTCCTGCTACGATTGTTCGCACCGTTTCTGGTGAAAGGGTCAAATCGAGCTTGCGGGGCGGGGTAACTTTGAGTAACTTGAAACTTTGTCAATATTCTGAATAAATATTGGGTAAATCGTTCATTCTCAGGATAGGATGGCGCATAGATACCTCTTCCAGCTCTGGGTCAATAATGCCCAGTTTGAGGACAGCTTCTGGGGTACTGAATTCATCGATTGGATCTAGATGTGCTGCCATATTTTTGTTGCGTCGGATGTATCCTTAGGGTGACTTGTGAAGAATAAAGTCCTCTACTGGAGATATTTTGTCGTCTTTATACTGATTTAGTACGGCAGATGAATCAACAACCTTGGGATAAGCTCAATCCAATTGAATGGACCCCGCCCTGCTCGCCTGAGACATGACTCACGGTGACTCCATCTGACAATCGTCATTGGGTCGCCCAAGCCCACTCCGAATACGCACCTGCATATTGTAGCCCCACAGTGCCATTGTAAGATTCATGTTGCGACAAGCCGTGATTGGCTGATTGGCCGGATGTATAACCCCCACACACCACACATATAAAACCCGACGACCTTCTTTCTAATGTCAAATTCAAGCTAACTGAGACATTCATCATTTCAACTTTCAAATATGGACACCGCTCAAAATTCAGTCCCTGCCGATCAATTTCTTATTTTGACCCCCCGACTTATCCTACTCCCCACCCCTATCGCGGTGTCCCTGAGCGCATATAGAAAGCTATACGTGGAACTATATGCCGATGCGAATTTCTGTGGAATGGGCTTTGGACCCCATTTCTTGCCTAGGAAATGGAGTGATGACGAGGCACGGGAAATGATCACGACGCGCGATATTCAGCGCTCCTGGGAGAAATATTCAATTGGTAATTTCGCTGTCGCGCTACGCGATCAACCAGATGAGTTCAATATCGGCGTACTCAAAGGAAAACCATTTGAGGATTTTGTGGGTCCTGATATGGCTCTTTTTGAAGATGTGAATTTGAAGTGGGTTGGATATGCTGGGATACGTGATGCGACGACAACTTCCCTTCCGCATCGGGGAGTCGCTGACACTGCCCTTCCACCGTGGCAGGAGATGGTGGAGGTTTTATATGGTACTTCGCCGGAGTGTTGGGGGAAGGGTATCGCGAAGGAAGCTGCTGAGGCGGTTATGAAGTGGGCTACTAAGGAAAGAGGGGTGAGGAGGTTTATTGCTGAGACTGAGCGAGATAATCAGAGGAGTGGCAGGGTTTTGCAGAAGCTTGGGTTCAGTCACAGTGGAACGGATTATTGGAAAGAGCCTAGCGAGGTCGAATGGGAATGTGTTGTGAGGTAGATGGTATGCATAATATGTACATAGTGCTCTAATACAACTATAACCAATGCCTATCTTCCTCAGGCTATCATCGCTCATCATCTTCCATACATTTTCTTGGTAGCCTCAGTATGGAGTTGGAAGCTCTGAGACTAATTTGGTTCATGATGGTTCGGCTGTTACGAAAGGAGCATGATGGGTTTAAAATGTCTTTATTGATTCAAGTATAGAGTTGATGCACTTACGAATTTATATATGGTTCTCAACTGGGAAATCTTTGCAAGTAATGAATCGCTTGATTTAGCTAGAAATTGCGTTGCAATAATATGTAAAAATCCACTTTAGAAACCAGCAGCAAATTTCTTAAACCCGCACGCACTCTTCGCTTTTGTATGCATCATGATTTGAAGTCATTATCTCATTTCAAAATTCCATCTCTCACCAAGAAATCCACGCCACAGGACCATTAGGGAACAACCGCACAAGAACCTTCCGCAGCTCATCCATAACAAGAACACCCAGTGCTAACGCTAACGGCAGAAGCCAGTACTTGATAGGCACCGATGCAGTAAGGAACAACCTTTGAAGCCCAGGTTCCTCAGTAACAAATATAGCAATAACAAGAGAAATAATCATAGCAAGAGGAAGCCATGGATTGCGACGAGCAGGACGAACAGGATCCGCCTGAAGAAGAGACATGCGTTTACTCCGAACAGAGAGAATGTTTCCCCATTGCATAATCACCAATGTAACGAAGTAGACGCACTGACCGACGTAATTGAAATGATTCAGTTGATCCATTGTGTAGCCGTGGAATCCATCGGAGTATTTTTCAAAGGAGAAAATGAGATCATGAAATGGGATACCTGCTGCGTCGTACATGTATACGAAGAACATTGCGTGTGCGGCGAAGGCTTCCATGACACCGACAAAGAGGTAGGCTTGTCCGTAGATGCGTAGATTAATCAGGTGGTCTTTGCGAGGGTTTCGAGGGGGAATGCTAAGCAGGTCGAATTCTTCTTTCTCCATTATGAGTGAGAGGGAGTTGAAGAGATCGGTAAAGACACAGATGACGATCATGAGGAATGAGGAAAGTGGTGAGGGGCAGCCGAAGAAGACGTTCATTAACACGGGCCAGATTTCAGAGAAACTACCGGCTGGCAGAAGGTAGGCGATGACTTTTTGGAGGTTCTGGAAGACTAGACGGCCGAGACGAATTGCTTCGATTATCGAATCGAATCGATCGAGTAAGACGAGGTCGGCTGCTTCGATGGCAACGTCGCTGCCGCCTCCAATTGCGACTCCTACGTCAGCGGCGCGGAGGGCTGGGGCATCATTCACACCGTCACCTGTTACGGCGACGTAGTTTCCTTTTGCTTGGAGCTCTGAGACGATGCGGAGCTTTTGTTCTGGACTGGTACGTGCAAAGACGATTTCTTCATACTCGCAAACTGTAGACCATTCTTCGTGACTCAGGGATGAAAGACTGGTACCTTCAAGAAGCAAGCTGCGTCGAGAGGGGATGGACTTTTCCTTGGAAAAGCCTTCGCGGAGATCAGTGATGGTATCTGGTTCAGCTTCTCCTTCAAAGATGCCGATGTCCCGGGCGATGGCCGCAGCGGTCAGTCCAAAGTCGCCAGTGACCATGAAGAATCGAATACCCGCACGTCGGCATGCTGCGACAGTTTGGGCAGTTTCCGGTCGTGGTGGATCAATAATGCCGAAGATACCAAGAACAGTTAAGTCTTGAGGACCGGATTCAAGCATTTCATCGTTAAATCCATTAGTTCCCAGGGGGTGCTGGGGGGTATAACGGCGCTGGCAAAGAATAATGACACGCTCAGCGCGGCGCGAGAGTTTGGCTTGGAAATCGGAGAGTTTCTGTCTGGCATGGGTATCAAGTGGTCGAATGGCATTATCGACAGCAGACCAGTAGGTTGAACAGCGACCCAATAAAACGTCCGGTGCACCTTTGACGTACAGTATGTATTCCTTTGTTGAAGCAGGATCCCGGTGCATGGTAAGCATCCATTTGTTTTTGGAGTTGAAAGGAATTTGGTGGACACGTTCATAAGGATCAAGGTTCATTGCCGAGGTAGCGCCAACGCTATCAGCGAGTCGTAGGACAGCTGCGTCGGTAGCGTTTCCGTTGACAGAACGCTCATAAATGGGCAGGCTCAGGGTCTCCGGGTCGAAAGTAGCATCATTGCAGAGAACAGACGCGCGAATAAAATTTTTCAACCCCTCTGAAGATTCCATGCCAGGCACTAAATCGTCGATGCTGTATTCCCAGTCCACCATACCAAGTGACTTGACGTACATCCGGTTTTGAGTCAGTGTTCCAGTCTTGTCCGAGCAGATAACATTAACACAACCCAGTGTTTCGACTGTAGCCAATCCCTTAGGCAGAATATTTGTCTGCTTCATGCGACGGGCGATCATCATGAGCGTCAACGCAACGCCAACAGGAACACCCTCTGGGATAAAGGCAACCACGCAGCCCATAACATTGTTCAACATTGCTACCACGCTCATGTAGCTAGGATGATCTTTGCGAAGCCATCCGAGCCAAGTGAAGAGGATGAGCAAAGCGAGAACAACAGTCATAGCAACGATGATCATAACAAATCGGTTGATTTCCTTCTGAATTAGGGTTGGCTTCTGCTTGACACCAGCTGTCATTTTAGCAATACGGCCCATAACCGAAGAGCTGCCTGTAAGTACTACTATGCCAGTAGCATTGCCGTTTGTGACCAGAGTTCCCATCATAGCGATGTTTCGAGTTTCCAGAAAGTTCGCATCGGTAACATCAGTGGCACCATCAATTTCGTCAGACTCGCCAGTAAGGATCGCACGATCAAATCGAATATCTCCGGAGGTTTGAAGCAGACGCATATCGGCGGGGACTTTATTCCCCACACTGATCTGCACGATGTCACCGGCCACCAGCTCTGTAGCTGGGAGACGCATTTGCTTTCCATCGCGCAAAACGAGAGCCTCAGCAGGGAGAAGGTTCAAAATCGAATTCATCACTCGCTTGGTTGACCAGTCTTGGAAAGCCGAGAAACTGGCCTGGAGGGTAATAACAATTATAATAAGAATAGCCATGGCAAGATTGGTAGGCGAAGGCGGATTGCTCAGTGGCTGCCAGCAGATAAAGAAGATAATGACACCGACCCAGAGGACGGAGCAGAAACCACCAAAGACATAGAAGAAAATCTTTTTGAGGTAGTTCTCGCGATGGTGGGAGATGACATTCTTGCCATCTCGTTGCAGACGCATTGCAGCTGATTCAACACTGAGACCAAATCGTGGGTCCACATTGAACTCCTGGCAGATCTTGTCTTGTGGGATGTTGTGGAAGTCCAGGCTCTCGAAGTAGTCTTGGTTAGGGACTTTGTCCTTGGGTGGTTCATGGACGACTTCTTTAGGACGAGTCTGGGACTCGGATATCTGGATGGAGAGAGTACGGAATTCGATGGGGATGCCAGTATTGCCGGAGTTGCTGTGGGTGCTGTCACGACTCATAGAGCGGGTACGTCCGAACTGAGCTGGTTGGTAGATGGAACGCACGCCTTCGACATCGGTGGTCTCGGAATCTTCAAAGGTGATGCGCTGACTGCGACCCATGCGCTCATTGTCTTCCGCGATGACATCCCCCGCCATGGTATCCTCCACGGTATCATCTTCAGGCTCGACAGCCATGTCAGGCTCGTCGTGGGAAGAGATGGGCTGCATTCTAGTGCCTTTTTTTCTCTCTCTTTCTTTTGGCGATCGGAGTAGATGAAGAACGGAGGGGAGTGAGGGAGAGGGATTAGGCAGACAGCCAAACACCAAAGACACTGTAAGGAAACCGGAAGCGAGTCACACGATTGAAGAAGGTAATATATAATGAAACGAAGAGGATATGAGGAAAGAAAAGGGAAAAAGATAGATGTGTGCGACCTTCTTATGTAGTTTAAGCAGATATCAGCTAACCCAGATGGAGCTGGTCTATCCTGGAGGCCACCACCTGACGAAAGAGGAAAGAGAGACGATCGACGGATCTTTTACGAGAAAAATCAAATGATAGGCAGGCTATGACACCGATGCAATCGGCGCCACGCGACTGTAGCCACGAGGGAGTAGAGGGTTTGTGTCTACATAGCTTCTAGGAAGGTGGATCCATGCTAGATCAGGGTAAGGGTAGCAAAAAAGACGCGCATATAGTATGGATCCAGATAGCAGGTACAAATACCAAATACGTAAAGTATCATTGGCATTGACCAACAAATCTCTCATATCAGCGACTTAGGTGAATTCAGCTAGGCAAGTCCACGATGATGAGAGCAGGATGAGTTCTACTCCGTACTAGTTTCCAAACTGTCCGCTGTCACTCCACCTTACGATATACCACTCCATACCGTAATATTACATTCTAAAGCTTCCCACACCCAATCATTAATCCCCCTGGTAGAACCAGAACCATACCATAACCACTTCTAGCCAGTTCTTCAGCCCTAAAATTTGAGTTTTCAGTGCCTCCTTTCTGTCGAGTTCCTTGGGAAGAGAGAACCGACTCTAGAAAAAGACGGAAAAAAAATTAATGAGCGTACATCATAGTGACCGTCATGAAAATGGCGCATGTAATTGTAATTTCGGTTTGGCATAGCCACCCCGCAAGCGTCCACCGTGGTTGTGGTTGTCCTTTCACCTAGGGCATGCGCGATTTTTCCTCACCACCGATTCTACCTACTTGTAGTGCGACTCTGACCCTTTTCCCCTCCCAATACCCCAGGCCCCCAATTTCACGGGCTAATGATTTATGAAAATTTCAATGAAAATTTTTCCAGATTACTATTACTAAATTAAAATGGATTTGCCATTTCTGTTTCTTTGACGGAGATAAATCGCTCAGCCACGGGTTGTTCTACTAGCAGATGCGATCATCGTGAGCGGTTTGCTTGGTCCAATCGCGGCATTTTCCCTACTATATACTCTTCCATCACTCTACTCCTCGTATCTAGTATCGAGTATCTTGATTCTTCCACGCTGTATCTAATCCTTCTGACGCAAACATTCAATATCCTTTATTCTTTCTTCTTTCTTGTTTATTCTTTTTCTTGGATTTCCCTCTTTCTACTCAATGGTTCATACACTTCAAAAGACTAGGGGAAAGCATCCATATCTATAAGAGCCCGCCCACCGCATTAAGCCAGGCATAAACTGTCCCATCCTTTACCTTTAACTTTACTTGACCCGACTTGAATTCACCTTATTGCTTGCTTTTTTCTTAATCAAATTAAATCCTCTTTTTGACTTTCTTCCCTCTTCTTTTCTTTTTCCTACCACCGTACATCTCACTAGTTATCCACTAGCTGTCTATGAAGGATACTCGCCGCCTCCCAGACTCTTGGACCGCTGTCGCCGTGCACGATGGCCCCTCGGACCAGATCACCCACCATCACTACGTGACGCATGCGAAATGGTCTCGGGCTTATGAATCCTCTCACGATGCCCATGACGCCGGGGCAGGCGTCGCAAAGCGCGGCTGGCCCGTGTTTAGAAAGCCCAGTCTACCACTTGCATCTATCCCAACTGAAGAACGGCCATTGATGAGGTCAGAAATTACGACAGGATCAGAATCAGAAATAACAGGATCGGAATCAAACCAGCCCCAAATTGATGTCCCAGTGCTAGAGCCTTGTCTTCCCTTTACAGACAAATATGGTCGCTGCCTGGACATCCTACACTACGGCACCAATAGTACAGTCCGCTTACATCAAAACAAGACATCCATATCTCCAAAACCCAGCTCTATCTCTGACTCAAAATCAAAATCAAAATCTTCTCACCTCGTCGCTGTCAAAGTCTACCGATACAATATCTTCAACTCATCACATCATAATACACCACATGCGGATGCATTCACACCCTCCTCCTTCTCCTGCTCTGAATCATCCATCTCAAGTCTCCACCCCACCCATCCAAACATCCTCTCAATAATCGACCTTCTCCACAACGAACGTCAAGAGCTCTGTCTCGTCATGCCCTTCTGCGCAGGCGGAGATCTTCACGAACTCATCTCCCGCTCCGGCTCAACTCTCCCAAAAACAGAAGCAGACTGTATAACAGCTCAAATCCTTCGCGCGCTCTCATTCCTCCACGCTCATGATACAGCGCATCGCGACATCCGTCTCGAAACAATTTTGCTTACAGAGCACGGCGCAGTAAAGCTCGCTGGCTTTGGTGATGGCCATATTCGTCGTTTATGGTCTACCTGTGCTACAGCTACAGCTACAGATGAATCTTTTCGTCCTCGTTCACACTCTTATCCTTCAACCTCAACTTATACTTCAACTCCATCTCATTCTTCATCTTCGGCTCCCTGGTCATTCTCACTACCCTGGCTATTCGGTTCTTCATCTCGTACACCTCCCACCAATGCAAATATCTCCCGCCCAATAGACGTGGCAAATACCTGTTCCACGGCCTCCTTTCCAGGTATGAGTTTACCTTATATTCCTCCTGAAGGATTCAAGTGTCGCTCCCATACTGCGCATACTGCGTCCAAATTACGAGAGCACTCAGATGAAGAGGATAATGATCCTCGTCCGGCGGATATCTGGGGTACTGCTATTATTTACTTAGCGCTTATTACGGGGCGTTTGGCGTGGAGGACTGTGAGGCCGATGGGTGAGGATCCGCGGTATTTGGAGTATTTGAATGGGAGGAGGTCTGAGGATGGGTATCCGCCTATTGAGGCGTTGGGGAGGGTATGTTTTCCCCTTTATGTTTAGATCTGGATCGGGATAAGAATTTGTTTTAAGGGTTTTTCTAATTATTCTTTTTATAGAGGCGACGAAATGCGATTTATGGAATGTTACATCCTGTTGCTAGGAAGCGGATTACTGCGGTGCAGATGTTGGAATCTGAATGGATAAGTCGGGTTGAGGTTTGTGAGGCTGGTGAAGTGGGGTACTGAGATTCTTCTCCTTTTCTTTCTATTGTGATATTAGATTGAATGAATATTCTTAGATATGAAGTTACGTGAGAATACCGTGGACTGCATTTCATGTCGCTTCAATTCAACAAAGTCGAAAAAGCTTATGTACATATACACAAATTACAGACTTCTATCAGGCCCATCACTATACACTGCCTGGTATCTCACAGCTTAGACTTGGGTCCTAATGCCTCGCTCATCGGAGCAACCTCCACCATCATCTTGCCCGTATTCGCACCAGCATACAGATCAACAAGACCCTGAGGAGCTCCTTCCAATCCACCCAGAACAATATGTTCCTTACGCTTGAGCTTACCCTCCACAAGCCAGGAGGCCAGCTCCTGCAACGCAGACCGATACTGCTTCACGAAGTCGAAAACGATGAAACCCTTGATAGTAACCCGTTGCGCCTATACATTAGATAAGCACAAAGTCCCTGGACAGAAAACAAGACCAAGATCGAAAAACAGAAGCATAACTCACAATAACCTGCATAAAGCTCGTAGGCCCCTGCGGCTTCGCAGCATTATACTGACTAATAGCACCACAGATAACGAATCTCGAATCCCTCGCCGCCCTAGCAAGACAAGCATCCAAAATCTCACCACCAGTATTATCAAAAAACACATCAATATACTCCGGCGTCACCTCCTTGAGCTTCTTCTTCCATTGCGCATCCTTATAATTAACCGCAGCATCAAATCCCAACTCCTCAACCAAAAACCGACACTTCTCCTCACTCCCCGCTAACCCAATAACCCTCTTTGCACCCTTAATCTTAGCAATCTGTCCCGCAATACTCCCCGTCGCACCCGCAGCACCAGAAACAACAACCGTATCGCCTTCCTTCGGCTTTCCAACCTCCACCATACCGAAATAAGCCGTTAACCCCGTCATGCCTAGGACCGACATAGCATCCGTAGGCCTGCCACCAGGTGGAAGTGTGACTTTTTCAACCTCTTTCTCGGTGACTAGGGCGTATTCTTGCCATCCTGTTCCGGCTACGACCCATTCGCCGACTTTGTATTTGGGGCTGAGGGTGGATCCGACTTTGAGGATCTGGGCGATGGCTTGGCCGCGCATTATTGCGTTTAGGGCGACGGGGGCGATGTATGAACGTTTGGCTGTTAGCCATTGGCGCATTGCGGGGTCGAGGGAGAGGTAGTGTGTTCGGACGAGGAGGTTGTTTGGGGGGACATCTTGGGGGATTGGGATGGTGTTTAGGCGGAATGTGCCTGTGTTGAGGGTTGGGTCGATTGATGGTGTGGGGGTTTTGTTGTAGAGGATTTGTTTGTTGGACATTTTGTTGATGGGATGGGGATATGGCTGGCTAGAGGATTCGGGAGGTTATAGAGAAGATAGTTCAAGTTAGTTCAGAGAAAGGGGTAGGGGAGGAGAAAAAGAAAAGAAAATAAAGATGACGGATCGAAGGATCTTTGGAGAAGTAGGATTCGGAGTCGCCCCAGATTAGGAAATGCTCCATGAAGAAATTAATTGGACCTCGGCACAATCAGGTTGCTTGAGTAATCAGAGTTCATCTGGATTCAAGGATATACAACTGGAAGATAGAAGTTCCTAGTCTTTGTAAAAGTCCCATTATGTCCTTTCTAACAGTATACCCCGTATTGCTGGAGCTTTTTTTTCCCTTTTCCCCAGATTTCCACTTTGCGTTCAGCATGACGTCACGACATGAACTACACTGTACTCTTTCGCCTCAACCGAATTAAAACCTCGAATTGTTTGTCTCTCTGTACATATTTCATATTTTATTTTATTGTGACATATACTATCCAGTTCACTTATATATACCGATCACAATGACCTCTGAAACTCGTAAATCAATACGCTCAGGCTCCTCAACCGGTGCCCCCGGCGTTCCCTCTATCTCCAGAGACCAGCGCAACCAGTACGATCCCGCTACTACAGGGTACAACTCTGCCACTGGAGCTGGATACAAGATTCCATCAGCTAGTAGCTCCCATCCACATAAGAAGGGGACAGAACATGGACAAGAACAAGAACATTACCGTCCCATCACGCCTACAAAGGGCTACGATGCGCCTGCCGGAGACGATCGTATCAGTCACGCACCAAGTACAGCCGACCGAGTAAAAATGGAGCGGGAATTCGAAAAGGCACAGAAATCTCGATCACATAAGATGAGTGAACATCTAGGTGGGGGTATTAATGGTGTTGCTGCTAGAATTCATGTGAGATTCCCAATACCCTTTACTTAAGCTAAGCTATTTAAGTTTAAAGTTTTTTTTCCGGGCCGAGCGGCTATGAGGCAGTACTTGGGGCTCGCCTTGGTTTGGCTTGGATTGACTAGACTAAACTAATTCTGTATAGGGCGCGGGAGAGTCGCTGCGTGGTGCGCTTAATGCGACCGTTGATCGGGCTTTCGGGTCGCATGAGAGTGCTGAGTGGAATGAGGAGATTGCCAGACGAGGAGAACATGAGTATTCGGCTAAGGAGTTCTCGGAAGAGGTGCCTCGTCGTCGAGAGTAATTAGTTTATAGGAATTATCTACTGAAGAGGAGGATCCTAGTACCTATATCAGAAATGTGCAGAAAAACACCTACCAAAATATCTATATTATTTCCGGTCAACGTAAGATAACAGTACTATATAGTAGCAAAATATCTAAAAGAAAGTATAAGAAATATCTTCCAAAGGTTGGAGAAGACGCCAAGGGCCCCCTGTTCAAGTTGGCCCCAGTTTGGCCCCAGCTACGCCTCAATCAATTGTTTTCTTTTTCTTCCCTCTTTTTTCCCTCGCGTATTTGCATTCTTTATCTAAATCCCTTGGCTGCAACCCCTGTCAGATTCGACCATCGGATCTGTGCCTCAGACAGTCAGTAGTACCACAACATCTTATATCCCATTTACAACTCCATGGACCGCACTAGCTTCCTGCTCCAGTCTGTACTTAGGTGGAACCGGCTATAACACCTACGGCTCCGCTACCCTCGACTACCTAGTGGCATATGCTCCCGAACATGGAGTAATTTACAATATAATTATCAGCTGTGTGCCACCAGAGGCGGAAATGGCTTATCGGATGGAGGTAATAAACCCACGATTCATGGTCGTTGAATATGGTCTTTTCAGTTGTCCCGGGTCATGCCAGTGGTTTGAGGTTCATACGGAAGTCGGGACTTCGTCCAGTTCTACCACAGTCTGCTGTCCGTCGTAGGTGATTTACAGCGCTGTTGCTTATCGGAAAGCATACTGATTGTACAAAATAAAGGCTATAGTTTATTAGTAGGAACTGAATGGGGTGATGCGACCATTACAGCGTGCTCACCGATGGTGATTCATGAGACGGTTACGTATATTTATTATAAAAACGGGTCAGAATTCATAACCAACACCACAGCTCCATCCGTACATACTATGCCTGTAACGGCCGAAAATATGCTGGGAGTGAATATCGCATCTGCAACAGCTACCTCAACTTCTTCATCGGAGAAATCCTCATCTAATCATTTCCTCGGCGGTGGCGCTAAAGCAGGGATCAGTATCGGTGTTGCAGTGGGTGCCATTGCTATAATTGGGATCTTAGCCTTTATCTATTTAATGAATAAGCGTACTCAAGAAATGTCAAAAATATTGATCCTCTGCGCTACATTGCGTGTCAACTTTGCCGTAATCATCACAGAGTATAATTTCTGGCAATGAGTCCACTGTTGGTTGCGCTTCATCCTCTTCGAGTGATACGCACTGACAAGAATCGCGCGCGAATCCTGGTCCCAGTTGGTGTATCGACGAACAATACTCAGTGCCTGGCCATTATCCGTTGCTTAATTGCAGCGTAAAGAGCGCATATAGAGGTCAAAAGATAAATCCCCGAAAAAATAATGGCCAGGGTTGCAAAAATAATGACCATCATTAGAGCTGGCCCGGCATATGTGTCAACTTCGTCTTCCCTTGGGAATATCGTAGACCCCTGAATGACGTGGCAAGTAAAGTAATACGTAGGAGGGATAATCAAAGCGCAATGCATCAATCTGGAGATAGATATTAGTATGGCACTTCAGCTTGATAAAACTAGGTAGTTTGTCCAAACATACATCTTATGGATCACGAGACACCAGTCCCTCACAATTTTTAGGATATACCAGGGTCGCGAAAGTTGCTGAGCCGATGTATCGTACTGGGAAGGAGATGTTGTCGGCAAGAGTGTTGTCTTTGATTCAGTGGACTTTGCGAATATTATATTAGTCTCGGCAGCTGAGAGAAACCGCAAAAACATAGCGAAAAATGGAAGACGGAAATCATTTCAAAAACGGGAATTTTTTGGTTAGTTTCTTACCTGGGATGTCGCAAGCCGGGTCGTTCGCAGCATATTACCTCTAATCCACAAAATGCAAAAAGGAATAACAAGGGAAGGATTAAAGTTAAAAGAAAGAGTCAGCCAAAGCCTCGCAGTGTATGTCATATCTTTATCGAATAGCTGAGGGTCGCGGCAGATAAGATGAACCTCCCACGCCGAACAAAAGGCGATGCCACCAAAGACGAGATTCGTTAGCCTCTTTATACGGCGATTCAGGACATGTTCCTCAGCCGAGGGGTGTATCTTGTGACTCCAGTACCAGTATGAGCACCAGATTCCCAGGGTGAATAACAATATCCTGAGGGCTTGTCAGCTTCATATGTCAAGTGTGGAAGTTCCAATAGGCAAGGAACGGACATGAGATGCATCTTCGACAAAAGCTGTTAATACGATATTCTTTCACTGATACGCCGATTGAGGTCGGAGTAGGTTACCCGGTTTGGCAGATATGTGGAAGATGTCTGAGGGTGGATGGTAGAAAGAAGATTGGAGTCAGAACGTCAATTCTATTAACTAGAGGGAAAGCAATTATTAATCCTGAAACATCTAACTAACACAGCCCCTCTTCTGCTGTCGTTGTTGCCCAGGGCTGCGGCTCAAGCTCGGGGGCCAAAGACCCCTGGGGCCATGCTTGTCCGTTTCAGAACTAGAGAAGCGGTACGTGCGTTTCTCTTTCCAAGCTTCTTCGACTAGCTTCCAGGTATGTTTTCTTATAACAGACTAGGTCAGGATGGAAAGTTAGTACTAGTAATTATAGCTTAGGACGACCCAAGGTCAGAGTGCCTACTATGTGGGAACCTCATGATATTATCACCTTCAAGTCGCTTTCACCCGACCCCGTTCACTAAGTATGTCTTGTCGCTTAAGTACAATTGAGTGGACGAGAAGCCCTTTCCTCCACATCTGCCAGTGTGGCGTATTTACTAAGACTGGTAGTGAGTTTCCTTTGCCCCATATCTAGCAGTGAAAGGAAGTCCATCATTCAAGTTATTTTAAAGAGATGGAATCTCGACCTGAGATAATACATCTCTCAGCAATTTCAATGCTTCCCGGGCGAACGCGACCATTCTCTGCTCTATCATTGCTGCTCGTCTCAAATTCTCGGGTACACACACACACACACACACACACATACACAATTCATTAACGCCCGGCAGCTGAGCCGAAATGGCAACTATCGCTAATCTACTATACATGTCATAACATTTACAATACTATGTCTCATTGGAGCCCATCCATAAAATCTTGCCTCATGTGTCATTTCCAGCACGCAGTGTTGCAGCGGATCCTCGTGAGTTGTAATTTGGTAAGTAAGCTGGCTTGAAGGCGCTTCTCCCAGTGTTCAACATCCTGGGTTGCCTAAACACCCCCTTCAATGCCTCGTGTCTCAGGCTTATGCCTTACCTTCAAGTTGCTCCTTCACATCCTAAATCTCTCGTATGCCTCCATAATGATAGAGGTCAACGCACTAACATGTCCAGAAAGGCATTTCTATAGGGCTACTCTGACAAATAGCTTGGATATGGGAAGATGATAATACTATTGTGATGTGAAAATTCCGATACCTAGTATGTAGTCCAATTGTACAGGCCCTGTATCTTAAGATACTATATGTTCAAGTTTAAGATATAAGCTCTTTTCTTTTCAAATAACCTTACTACAATAATCTAAGGTATTTATAAAAGCCAATTCTTCATTTGCCTTTCTCTTCCCAATTGTCTTTCTGTTGATGTAGAGCTCACGGTACAGATAAGGGTGCCAGGTGTACTACTAGTAGTAGGCGGGAAAGATTTATAGCGCCAAATTCAGGTCAAAGATTGTCCCTGGTGGGCGCTATATATAGCCCACTAGTAGGATTCCCCACCGCGGCTGAACCCATTCCCATCAGCCTTACTCAATAATACGCCATATATACACCTATATACACAGGATTTTGTCCGCCGGGTGGGGCTTTCCTGTCTGGGCTACCACCGCTTTAATAAGGTTGATCAGGCTTAGGCTCAGTAAGTAAATATCAGAACAGGCTTATACTCAGTGATCAGGTCGGTACACTTATATAATCAATCAGTAACCAACCATAGATACTCAGTAATAGCTAGATAGTAGATCAGTAATCATTAAGAGATACTCAGTGATAGCTCTATAATCACACTACCGCTACTTACTTACAAGTAGTACCCTTTTCCTTCAATATTAGACTATACCCAAAAAGAATATACCCCGCAAGATTAACTATTCTATATAAACTAGTATATAATTTTACATATAAGATCTTATTCTTAAGGTTATCTTAGGTTAAAAATCTAACCCACTAACTCCAACCAAATTAAAGTAAGATAGATCATACTATTCAAAATTATATAGTTTAAAATAGTTATTATAATATTATATACTATATACTATGATTCAACCTATAAAAAAGGCTTTATCCTCCCTCTATCTTATTAAAAGAATAGTATTTATTTATTATTTATCTCTTAAATCTAACTCCTTTAAAGATCCTAGGCTATAGATTAAAAAGTTTTTTCTTAAGATATAATAAGAAGACTAAAGAAAGATATTATCTTTTGTAATAAAGAAATAACTATATTCCTAAAATCTATAAAAAAAAGATATTATTTAAAATAAGAATAAGAAACTTCCTAGGACAAAAAATCTATATTAATAAACTCTAGATCCCTAGCTTAAATATATTTAATAGATAAAAAAGAATTATTAATAATAAAAAGAGAAGACGCTCATGGGACGATGATAATGCAAATTTTAGGCCTCAAGCGTCACTTTTAGGCAATTGAAGGAGAGAGGAAATAAAACAAAGGGGCTAACTAGCTGAGTAGTCTCAATTTTGCTACACATTAGTAGTTTTTTATACTTGCACCTTGTACCAGGTCACGTTTTCGTTATCCATGCTCAAAGGCGAGAGTAGAACACTGCTATGTACGTTGAAAAACCCCATCCATTAGAATCAAAAACTGAATGCAGATAATTCTATGAAAACTTCGTTTAACCAGCAGCTTTCCCCCAGATTTTGCAAGCTCCTTTCTACAATACCTGGATTATTGAAAATACAGTGCGGTTTCACCGCTCGCCGTTCTCTTCCGTTGACCGCGTTGAAGCCACAATTAAACTGTCATTTGGGTCACTTGGGTCTAGGCGTGCAATGTAACAGAAGGCAAGAAAAAAAGACGTTGATTAAATTAACGGTCAATTAATTGCGCATCGATCGTCGCAAAAGACTTTGGTTTTCAACCGCTACGGGCTGGGTCTCTCAAACTGGGGGTGCAACCTAGTTCGCCAGGCAATCACGAGCAGCCACACACAACAAGAGATAACTAAGTTGTCCTAATCCTGGACGTATTTAGCTAAGCTTGTTATTGTACGCACTTATGGTCTGCAGTACAGGGGCTAGGTAGGCAACCACTGCCCCTTGTTTTCCTCAATCCAGGCATTGAAGTCCTTCATCCCAGGGTACATCTGGCGGCACGCAGCCACATCACCTCCGTATCCTTCACGTTCAAACCAATTAAACATATCGCCCACGGTGCCCTTTAACAAGAACTTGACCGTAGAAGCCACAGGACAAGGAGCCAAGGGCATAGAGGACCCCACAACAGCCTTGAATGTAGCCTCAGCCTCGGTTTGGGTGAGCTCATCACCTACCAGTGTTAGGGCAGTGTTGCGATAGTCAGAGGGATGCATAAAGCTGTAGGCCGCAATCCGACCAATATCCCCGGTCGACACGAACTGCAGCTTTTTGTCTCCCATTTGTTCCCACATGCGCGCGAAGCCCTTCCCGTGGATATCGGGAGTGAGGTTTTCGAAGAACGTTACCGGCCGTAGGATCGTGTATGTCATCTGTTGGGGGCTGACTGTGGCCCTCTCCACCAAGTGCTTCTCAACGCAATACTTGGCAGCGAAATTCTTGACTTTTGTAGGATTGACAGGCGACTTTTCAGGGCCGCCGCGATCACCTGACGAGTAGACGAAGTGCCGCACTCCATGAGCAACCGCCGCATTGACCATGGCCATGCCCTGCTTCTCCTCGGCGTCCGAGTTGATCTGCATACTGTACACCCCCCACACAGGCCCGACTTTTTGGAAGATTGCTTCAGGCTGGCCGATGTCTCCATCTACAACAGACACATTGAAGTTCGCGCCAAGCTTCAGCGCGCGGGAGCTCGTGATGTCGCGCGTTACGGCAATGATATTGAACCCAGCCATGTCGGGGACGGAGAGAAGGCTCTGAATGAGAGCGCCGCCTTGCTTTCCAGTAGCGCCAGTAATTAGAAGGGTCTTGCGTGAGTCAGACATTCTCAAATATATTAGGTAATGATGAGATGACTGAGTAGTATGAATGCGGATGTCACAGAAGCAATGCAATTCAAGGGCTTAGAAACAACGCTTGCATGGAATGGGACAAAGGTTGGGCGTACTTATAGTTCTAGGGTCAATAAAGCTTCCATTGTTCCGAGTACACGTGGTGCTATGCTATCTCCTAAATATAGTTTTAGCTAGTGGGGGTTGAGCCTGGGCCCGTGGAGAGGCCCGCGGAGAGGCCCGCGGCCCTGGGGCGGGGCGAAGGGGCTGCTTAATTTTATTTTTTTAATAGCTCCACCCATCTACAGCAGGAACACCTCACACCTGACGGTTTTATCCAGTTTATTGTCGGGAAGGGACAGTAACTGCATTTGCCGTATAGTTTTGAACGTGGCCATTCATCTCAAGCGAAAGGCTCACAAGCCTCTCTGTCGACTACAGGAGATCACAATAAGATTGACACCTTGAATATTGGAATTATTGCTAAAGTAGCGTTGCTGTTGGTACACTCAAATGGCCAAACCCATTCAGTGCGGTAACTTGTGAGGCTCCACACGAGCCTCTCGTAAGCACTAAGCAGCGTCCCACAGGGCTAAGCTCCACATGAAGACGGCATAAAATAGAGTTTTTAAAGGTACAGTCAGCGCTAATTAGTTTAAGTGTTATTTGGAATATGCTGCATACCCCACTGATATTTCTGACAAGGCAGCCGTACTGAGAGAGCTAGAGCAACTGGCTAAACTCAAATGACTCGACAAGAAAGTTCTCTCTAATAAGGAACTGCGCAACCTAATCAGTCTAAGGACACCGTGCCACTTGCTGGACTCTGAGCAATCTTCTAAGGTCTGATCAGCGCTAAATGCTGCTAGGATTAAGATCCTTCGCGGGTTCGATACCTCGGGGCTTTGCCGGGTCTAGCAGACGAGATGGAGCGGAAAAGCGTTACTTTTGCAACACTTTGACAATTGTTGCTTGTAGCCTCGTGGTATAAATTGGTTCAAATTCCCCGTGTTGGACTCAATAAAGAGCCTACAGTTACAATCATTCGTCCACGATAGTCCTCGACGATCATTTCCCATTTACCATCTTCACAATCTTCTAAAGATGCCTGCCCCAAAGATTGTTATCATTGGCGCTGGTCCCTCTGGTCTCCTCCTCGCCCGCCTTCTCCAAGTTAATTCCATCCCCTGCATCATCTACGAAGCCGAACCCTCTCCTCACGTACGCAACCAAGGGGGTACTCTCGATTTGCACCCCAGGGCCGGACAAGCCGCGCTCAAAGCGGCCGGCCTCTATGATGAATTTCTGAAACATTCGCGTCCGGAAGGGGAGGCCATGAAGCTTATCAAACCCGACGGTTCGGTGCTCTGGGACGACAACCCCATCGTCACCTCTCAAGCCACTCAGAGTGAACTTGATGGCGAAGGCCGCGATCGTCCCGAAATTGACCGCGTCAAGCTTCGCGACATGCTGCTGTCTTCCTTGGAAGAGGAGACCGTAAGATGGGGCAAGAAGATAATGCGCGTGGAACCAGACCCCTCCACACGGGGGAAGCATACCATCGTTTTCGCGGACTTCACAACAGATACGTCGATCGATCTGCTTGTCGGCGCTGACGGCGCCTGGTCAAAAGTGCGCCCGCTCCTGACGCATGAGAGACCGTTTTACTCCGGTATCACGACCATCGAGCTCTGGGCGCTGGATGTTGACGCCCAGAACCCGTGGTTAAGTGAGTATATCGGCAAAGGGTCGTGCTTCATGTTTGACGAAGGAAGGGCGCTGCAGTGTCAGCGGCAAGGAACGGGTGCGGTGCGGGCATATGCTTCGCTCAGGGTCCCTGAGGGGTGGCTTGATGATTGTGGAATTGATTTTTTGAACTCTCAGGGTACGACGCGCCAGGAGATGATTGATAAATACTGGAGCGATTGTTCCGCGGACGTGAAACGGGTTATCCTTTCTGCGAAGGACGAGCTCATCCCGCGGAAGCTCTATATGCTCCCGGTGGGAATCCAGTGGAAGTCCAAGCTTGGTGTTACGCTGCTGGGCGATGCGGCGCATTTAATGACGCCATTCGCCGGGGTGGGAGTCAACGTGGCGTTGGCCGATGCAATGGATCTGGCGAAAGCGATTGTGAGGAGGAAGGAGAGTGTGGTGGCGAAAGCAAGAAGTGATTTGTATAATATTGGAGTTGCGGTGGAGGAGTATGAGAAGGAGATGTCTGAGAGAGGTAGGATGAACGCGGAGAAGACGAGAAAGAATCTAGGCCTGCACTTCAGTGAGAGAGGGGGCGAGGAGATGGCAGCACGATTGAAAGCACATGCTGAGGTAGCAAAGGCCAGAGCAAATGGCAGATAACGTTCAGATCGCTCTGAGCAGGATCTGGAGAAGGATCGGCAGTGACAGGGCGGCACATAGCAGTTTCGATGCCATTCACCTTAGAGAAGAACCACTCAAATTCAACTGGTGTGAAGCAACTTTTTTGCATCAAATGGCTTTCCAGCGCCATGCTTTTGAAGTTGATCGTGTACGGAGTCGTCGGCGTTGTCCGAATCCGACGCAAGAGCTTCATGGAAAGTATTAAGCGGGTTTCGATCTACTGAAAGACAGCTAAGTGTAAGGATATTCTGTAGATAAACATGGACATGCAGCGCATGGAATTTTTTGGACTATTCTCATACGACAAGATTGCATGTTCATTTCTCGTAGCCTGTTACCCAAGGGTCATCATACTTATGCCCTTGCACTCGGTATCGAATGGCCAAATGCAAAGGCCTGTCGCGATTCTCGTCTAAAGCTTTAGGATCAGCATATCCTTTACGTCGGTGCTGGGAGTCTAAGGAACCAGTGTTCTAATGTAGACGAACTGATTTAATAGAAGAAAATTCTGCGGGAGCTGACTCCGCCACTGTTGCTATCCGATGATCTATGATGATCTGCGCCCAGAGCCTCAGCACCCACTCGGCTTCGGACCGAACGATGTGGGACTCGCGAGCAGTCCGCACTATCATGTGGAGATATTGGAAGTTCTGCTATGATCAGCGATTGCTGCGAGATGATAATCGATCTGGCAGTCTGGAAACAGTCAATTTATGAATGGTTGCATTCATCTGGCCTGCCTTACACAAAGTTTTGATCGATGTTAGAGGATTGGACAGGTAAATCTTCCAATTTTTTGGTATGAACTCCGAATGTTTGCAACTCTATGTTCATTGAGGCATTGGCAGCTTCCAGATCTTCGGTCTTTCTCTGCTCCGATGATAATATTGATTTTAATTTTGATCCAGCTGTCTTCATTTGGTCTATCATCTTGTCCTTCTCTTTCAAATTGGCTTGTAGTGTACTGATATCCTTCGCTGATTGAGAGACTTTAGCGACCTCTTGCGAGCAAGTAGATTTCAAGTTTTCTATTTCCTGCTGCAGAGCCACCAATTTCTCCTCGATACTTCAGTAATCCTACTATTCCTCTTTAACAATAACATGGAGGGATTCGATATGCGTAGCTTAGTCCTTATGTCTTGCTCTTTCGTTATCGTTAGCAGTAAACATATCGTTGACGGCGCTTCGATTTGTCTGCTAAATATGGAGTATCTCCTTTCGGAGTCTCTTCAACTCTTCATCTTGGGTGTGGATCTACTCACGCTATAGTGTAATCTCAGCAAGCACGGCAGATACAATTGAGATTCTAAGCTTGATGGCAATATACCCATATATTTGGTAAAACCTTCTAGGCTGCCACTATTGACCAAAGGTAGGTAGGTCATCATGCTTACCTAAATTTGAGGATGATGAATTGGTGGGGGGCATATTGGGAGTTGGCGTTCTTAAATTATTTGACGGGGCCCAGAAGGGTTGATAGTAAATTTTACATAATGTCTATCATAGGTATTTGGCAGCCACTTTGACGTGAGCGTCGCTATAACCTCATTAATGAGGAAGATGTTCTATTTATGATTTTGCCATGCGCAAGAAGCTTTTTCATGGATTGTGAATGATAGAAAAAAAGAAAGAAAAAAGAAATAGGGATGAATTAAAAGCGGGGCGGGAACAACACACGACACCATAAAAGCGCGATACAATACAAATGGAGAAAACATTCATGGGCGGAAAGTAAATTTATATGCTGGTACTGTTGGAGGATATCAAGAACATGATCAACTTGCGCTGTCTCCCTAATAGTAGTAAGCCGATAAGGGTATGTGTGGCAAATGGCTAAATAGGACTTTCCGGCCAAATCGCAGTTGTACACAGGGCGAAAAGTATCCCATGGGCTCTCATGGCGGACAACTACTGTTTCTGATAAGTTTTTCTTAGCTTTAGTTGCCTCTGCCAAAGCCAGATTTCTGGTAGGTCCGCGAAGACTTTTTTTTTTCTGGTCTGACAATAGCTGCATGGTCGATTTTGTCTTCATGGGGCTGTGGACGAGGGCTGTGATGTTCGCCATCTCTCAAATCAGGCTAGAAATGAAAGGATCAACCCGTGCAACATATGCTGACCAGACTTATGGATTCCAGTTGAACTAGTCCATAATAGCGCGACATCTGGACACTCTATAGTATTAAGTAGGTAATATTATGATTGTTGTGACATCTAGATTTACCATCCAGATAAGAAAATTCACTGCGAAGGTTTAAATTGTACAGGATATGATTTCCGCTCAGCGCGATCCAAGAATTGAGACGCCAAGGTGGATTAGGATTTACATAGTGCATAGTACGATCAGATCCCTCGGCAAGCCACCAATTACTAGTATACGAAGTACTAATAGATTAACAGTTGGAGCGGGGTGATTGGAGCACGAACCTCCCCGGATTATGAGCGGTACTTTTGAATCCAGATAAGAGATGACAAAAGCTTGACTGGGCAGTAGTAATTGGGCGTTAGAGACACTAACGCTACAATCCAACGTGGATGAGGCTGGGGGCGGTTCTATTAGAGGCAATTCTGGGCTCCGATCTCCCGGCTTTAGACCACGGTGATGGGTGATGTTCGCCGATCATCATGAAAAGAAAACAAAGAAGCCTGAATTATTGGGGCCAAATTAGTTTAGTTATAACTTAACTAAAGACTGGATTCCCTTAAATATGGAACATTTTGAATATTGATTCTCTCTCTTTCTATCGAATCTGATTATTCACATCAGAGTTTTTGCTTCCTTCCGGTTAACCCGAAGGCTGTGTTGTGGAACCCTGTCTGTTTCCGGTTTCCATTGATTTAATAACCATCAGTTGTTTCCTGATTCAAGTTCCTTGCACATCTCAACTTGAAGACGTCAGGATTAAATCAAATTGAAATACCCCAGGTTTATCTTTCTTGTACCACTTCAACGTTCCTCCCCGCTTGCATCATCCTACATCCTACAGGAACCCACTCTCCCGGTTTTTGAGTGGCCAAGCTTTTTTAACTTTGGGATACAACTTGCTGTACGACCTAATGCCCTGAAACTTGGCATTCGAGCTTGTCCATTGTTTCTTCTATTTCCTTTTCTTTTTGTTCTTCCTCCCTGATCAATCGGAATTTATGCCATGACATCTCTCCTCGCAAACAAGCCAGACCCGTTAGGTTCTGTGCCGAGGCGCAATTATGCCAATCAGCAATCACAGCAACAGCAACAGCGTCAATCAAGACAACGACAACCCCCAACCCAACAAGAACCCTATTCATCCGAATCCTCCGGTCATGCAATCGCTTCCGAAACTCCCTCCCAGTACTCCTCCTTCTCCAGCTCCGACAGCGACGGCCAAGCCGCCCATTCCGATAGCGATGTCGACGAAGATACAGCTAGTGATGTCGTCGGCGTCAGTATCGGTCCCACACAGAGCCGCATGAAGGCCCGCGCCACGCCCGCCGAAGAGAAGAACAGAATCCTAGAAGACCACGGCGGCTACTTTACCGCAATCTCAGACACAATCCCGGATACTGTCGGCGAAGATGGTCTTTTCGTCTCACAGCTGACGGCTGAGCCAGAATCAGTCCCGGTGGGGCGTAATAAATTGGGGGCCCGACAGGAGGATGCTTCCATAGCCGAACCGACGACTCACGGTGCTGGGACTGGGGCTCCCGCTCCGCGTGTGCATCCTCATGCGCAATCATTGCCGGTTGAGCGCCGAACGCCGCGCGGTCCCCACACTGATGGCCCGACGCCTGCGTCGGTCGACTACCAGGAACCCAAGGATTCAACTGTTGCGAATAACAATAACAATAACAATAATAATACCCATCGTTCAAGCTTTACACGATCGCTTTTGAAGACGTCATTGCCTCGCAGACCGCGGGCTTGGTCGGGAGAATTGAAAAGGCTTCTTCCGGATTTGAATCTGGCGTCGTTCGCGGCGAAACGCCCGTCTCTCCCGTTTTTATCTGGGAGCAATTCTCAGAATCGTGCTCGCAGTCAGACTATTGCTCCTGTTGCTCCTATTGCTCCTTTACATAAGCGGAACTCCTCGCTGCTTTTGAGACGGACTTCCTCGTTGGATAGGGGACGTCAACATCGGGACCAGTCGCAACAATCTTCGGCTGAGGCTGTCAATATTGTCGGCCATGATTCTGACGAAGGACATGATGCGCGGCATATTCCTGAGCTGCGATCTTTGGAAGCAAGCTTTGCTGTGAAGCATTCGTTTGCTAGACGTCCTAGTACGGCGATGCCAAAACGTCCGCCTAGCATTAAACGCTCATCGTCGGATCAATCATTGTATTTGCGTGCATCATCTACGGCGTCTTCTTTGGAGCAACGACCGCTGTATGAAAATGTACATTCACAGGTTAACAGCCGGTTTAAGGCGATTAAAGACTCCTTGCAAGATTCCAGTAGTCGGCTGTTGAGTATGCCGGCGCTCAATTTGCAGGATATACGTAATGATTGGACTTCCAGACCCTTTTTCAATGATTTCGGTGGCTCTTCAACTTCTACAAATGATAGAGGAATGAAGAGCTCGGTGCATCGGGTAGCAACACCACCACCGCCCCCTAAGAATCCACAGTCTACTCATCCGATCTTAGAAGAGGCCATGTCTGAATTAACGGGAGATATTGTGATTCTGGGAGGTTATCGTGGTTCTATCTTGCGATCTGCTAAGGCGCCACATCGTCAATTATGGGTGCCTATGAAAGTGGGACTGAATCTACGAAAGGTCGATTTGGAAGTTGGCTTGACTCGAGAGGATGAAGAGCGCATGGAAGAAACTATCATTCCTTCTGGTGTACTATCTCATGTTGGTCCAGTGGATGTCTGCAGACGGCTGATGAAGCGATTGCGAAAATGTGAGAATGCCGTTCGTGGTGATTTGCGCGTCTGGGACTACGGCTACGACTGGCGACTGAGTCCGGATCTTCTTTCTAAAAGATTAATTGAGTTCCTCGAAGGTCTACCTTCCAATCGGCCAAATAGCGAAACTGGCCAAAGACGCGGTGCTTATGTGGTTGCGCACAGTCTCGGTGGTCTCATCACTCGTCATGCCGTTAACCAACGACCTGATCTCTTTGCGGGTGTTGTATACGCCGGTGTCCCACAGCACTGTGTGAATATCCTCGGCCCACTACGCCATGGCGATGATGTCCTTCTCAGCTCGCGAGTTCTGACTGCCCAAGTCAACTTTACTTTCCGTACTAGCTATGCTCTCCTCCCAGAAGATGGACATTGCTTCATCGATAAGCAGTCCAAAGAAGAGTTCCGAGTTGATTTCTTCGACGCTCGCTCCTGGGCTGAATACCGTCTTTCCCCATGCATCACACCTAATTTCCCTCCAACAACAAGCGGAAGTGGAAGTGGAAGCGGAGGCCTTGGTGGTTTCAAAGACTTCGCTCTAAACAGCCGAAAGCGATTCTCTCTGGGCCCCGCGAGGACTCCGACAATTCTATGTCTTATTCTCATGGTCAAGATTCTTCAGATCTAGATGGCCACACCCAAACCACAGAGGAAGACCTATCATCCCGCAACACAACCCACTCTACAAATTCACTACCTTCCATTTCTCCCAGAGCCGTCTTCGAAAAGGCCGAGGAGAACATTCAGCTTCCCGTCGATGGTCTCGTTGGCCCTGTCGCCAATCCACGTGGAAGTGTCGGATCATCCAAGGCTTCGACAACATGTACCATTCCCCGCGCCGCAGCTATTGAATACTTGCAACGCACCTTGTCAGAGGTGAAGCAATTCAAGTCTGATCTTGGATTCCAGCCTTCTCACCAGTCTGATAACAAGTATCCCCCTGCTGCTGTTCTTTATGGTAAAAGTGTGCCTACCGTGTACGGTGCCCGTGTTAACTCGCGCGAAGCAATTAAGCATGGAGACGCATTTGATGATCTGGCTTTTGCAGCAGGGGATGGTGTCTGTCTTGCTTCGGCGGCGATGTTACCTTCTGGATATCGAGTTATCAAAGATGGATTGGTGAAGAGTGATCGTGGTCATGTTGGATTACTCGGTGACCTTGAGGGAGTGGGGCAATGCTTACGAGCTATTGTTCACGGAAGGAAAGAGGGTGTTGGTATGGGAAGTCAGGTCTAGTTTGTCTAGTCAGACTAGACTAGACTTTCATCCCAAATTTTTTCTCTACTCTACATTCATGGGATGCCCTGAACCTTTTGCATTGTATACATAATGCATGTCTTTTTCTTTCTTCTCACTATTCATGTTGTTCTGTTTTTTGCTTTCCATTCTTGTCATGATACCACTTTTGTTACGACTGATGTTATGATATCGGTGATACGTCTTGGACATACACTTTCAAGTTCATTGTTCATTGTTCATTGTTCATGTATTATATGCACAAAGACACTTCCGAGTTACTTAGAAAGATTAAACTTAATGAATTAGATCATTTCATACAAAGACATTTCAAATCCTTTAGGTACCTAAGACTCGCTATATAACTTCAGAACCCAATGCTCTATATACCAACATCTTTTTGTCTTTGCACCGTACAATCGCAATTGCATAAAACCAATCATGAACATAATCATATACGAAACTGAATCCATCAGAAATCAGAAGAAAGCAAAGATCCCAGCACCAGACTGAGCCTCGTCTCGCCTCACGCAAGAATGCCAGTATCGACTGACAAGTAGTAGGAGGGTAGAAAGGCAAACAGAAATCGAAAGAGGAACAAATCAAAGTAGATCGAACATCTCAACCCTCTCCCTAATCAGTACGAGAGTTCGCAATGTTCAAAACCAAAATATCCGTAGCCCCAACCTTAATCAACTCATCCATAACAGTAGCGATTCTCTTTTTCTCAACCATAGAACTAACAGCAACCCAATTCTCCTCCTCAAGAGCAGTAATAGTAGGCGCCCGCTTACCAGGTGTAATCTTTGATGCGGTTGCCAGCTCCGAGCGAGGAATATTATACTGGCACAGCACGAATTTCTGGGCCGTGATAACACCGCGGATACGTGAGGTGAGCAGGTTAAGAAGCTCGTTGTTTGAGTCTCGGGATTTGACGAGGACGGCTGTGCTGGTTACGACTGTATCAATTGCTTTGAGACCGGCGGCTTTCATAGTCTCGCCGGATTCTATAATATCAAACACAGACAATTAATAAACCTGCACCGAAGGTAAGGGAGAAATAAAAGAGGGTAACATACCAACAAGATCAACAATACCATCCGCAACACCCAACGCACAAGCAGCCTCAACACTACCACCCACATACTTAATCTTCGTACTCAACTTCTTACCATCACTTACACCTTCCAACCCCGCAAAAAACTTCTCCGACAACGCAGTAAAGCTAGTCACGACATTACGACCAACAAGCTGGCTTGCCTCGCTAATGTCTCCCTTCTCAGGAACCTGAACTTGCAATTTACATCCTCCAAAGCCGAGATCGAGAATCTCTTCAACGCCACTTGTTTCGCCGGCGGGAAGTGTGGCGTCGTGCTCGGCGACCTGGTCACGACCTGTTATTCCGAGGTCGACGCGGCCTTCGCCGACGAAGGTGGGGATATCGGCTGCTGGGAGGAAGATTAGGGCGATAGGAAGGTTTTTGACGAGTGCGATATCGAGGCGGGTTTCGCGGCGGAATTGGACGTCGCAGCCTGCTAGGAGGTCTAGGGTTGATTGTTGGAGACGGCCCTCTGAACTCTTTAGTTAGTAGGGTTTCATTGGAGGTCGTTTATGTTTCGTATGGAATGTCTTTGGTGTGTAGGGTATGATATGCATTTGGTGGTGGTGGGTTGTGTGACTCATGGGTATTTTGGGTTAGGGGACAAGATGAGATGGGACTTGCTTTTAGGGACAGCGAAGAGAAGTCTTCCTTCGAGGCTTTATTTCAATTGAGTCAGTTATTGGTTTTTTAATCCATTTGTAGCTTTGTTGGTGACTCACTGGTTGACGAGATCCATTGCGATTGGCGCGGGGCACGAAGCGACTTTTTTAATATATGTACTGTTGTTGGATGTGATGGTGATATTAAGATCAAAGATCTCTGAGTTTCAATTGCAGTATGCAAGAACTTGCGATATTGTCGCGAAGTAACTGTTCAGGTGTAGGGTAGAAATGGTTGCGGGCAGACCGGAGCTCTTTGCGGCAGAAATTGGAGGGGCAGCGATTGGGTGGCTCCGATATGCCTCCGGTGTGACGGGTGGACTCCGAGTCATAGAACCTTGGAAGATAGACACTAGGTACGACAAAGGATATGGCGGGATATACGCACGTGGATGGATGATATGGAAGAATTTGTAGAGATTGGATTTCTTGATTTCGGACATGTACTTATTTCTACAGTAATGGCATTAATAAATTGTTAGTAACAATAATGCCCATACAAATCAATACCCTATGCATACTTCGTTCCCCTATGTTAATTGACTTTGCGGTCTGAAGATGATGACTAATAGAATCGAATGATTTGGTTGCCTGATTTCTTTTAAGGTGTCGAGGTGTCGATCACCCGCAGAACTACATGACTAAGCACATGCATAAGACTCTCTTGATGCCCGACGGGTCAGGTGTCGACAGCCCTGAGCCCTCGCGTAATTTGAGGAACCCACACAAGGCAAATTCATCTTCACATCCGCCTCTTCCTCCAGTCCACCCAAACTCTCACCACCCTCGTCCGAGCTCTCCCTCATCCCTCCAAGATGGATTCCAGCAAGCAGCCCGTCAAGCTCGTCAAGGTGACCCGTGTCCTCGGCCGCACCGGTACGTGACCTCTCCTACATCCCACACGAGAACAATTCGAGATTCCCGCAATATTTCGAGATCCCCGGAGGTCGAAACAACCGTTACAACCTCCGCAATCGCCAGGATCATATTGGAGGATGAAAACCCGATTTTTCAGAGGACAGAATGCTGATCTGTGATTTATTATTGAATTATAGGCTCCCGTGGTGGTGTCACCCAGGTCCGCGTCGAGTTCATGGACGACACTTCCCGTTCTATCATCCGTAACGTCAAGGGCCCAGGTATGCGATTAGATTCCTTTCTTTCTCTTCCCTTTATCACGCCGAGGATGGATCTGGGTATCAAATAAATCTACGAAAGAGGGGGAATATTGCAAAAAATTGAAGATCCAAACCAACCACACCCAACCACACTCAAAAAAAAATTCGGCACCGTCACATCGAAATACTTCAAACAACAAGGCTAACCAATTGCAACAGTCCGTGTTGACGACATCCTCTGCTTGCTCGAGTCTGAGCGTGAGGCCCGTCGTCTCCGTTAAAATCTCCAAAAACAACAATTCACTCGCGCTATGTCTTTCGTCTCTCTTCGTCTCTCGCATATCCCTCACGTCCGGTTTTCCTTAATCGTCTTCGGCCAAAATTGTGTCCCTTTTTCTTTTTCGCCGATTCTTTGAATTCCCCGCCTCCTCAACCTCAACCGCCGCATCGCCCCTTTCAAATCACCTCTCGAAGTTCTCGTTTTCCGATGATCCACTAGAGGTGGTTTCTGAACTGGGTGTATGGGATTTTTTGGTATTCACATATCCAGAAAGTCCTTGAAGTCGTTTTTGGGAAAATCACGAGAGAGAGAGATGGAGTGAGCGAACAGATTCAACCCCCTTGTATGAGAAATGAACTGAGGTTGCGCGATGGATGGCTGGCTTGTGGAATTTGTGGGATGGTCGGTCTGGTTTGGTCTGGTGTTTTACTATCACACGTCCATTTGACGTGCTTGCATGGGCTCAATGCGACAAACGAGGTTGTGATGTGCTTCTCTTCTTCTCCTTTTTCCTTTGCGCTGCAAGGTGGTACTAGAAATGGGCACCGAGATTAGAACCAGGTCTGATCGACTAAAAAGAACTATGGGAATGTATAAAAAAATTTGAAACTTCCTGTTCTGTCATGTCGAAAGACTGGGGTAATGTAGTGTAAGACAGCGCCAATCCTGAGCTCTGTGGGGTCTTTGGATATGTAGACTTGAGTTCCTAGATGCATGGTTTACCAATCTTAGGTCTCATAGTGATTTTTGACTTGGTCTAGATCTCTGTCTTGACATACAACGTTCAGCAGACTCCACCTAGGCAATTATGGGCATTGCAATATAAAATTACTTAGGCATGAAATATCGGTGCTGCCACCTGGGCATGCTCTGAATATCGACATGTCTTATTTGAAAGAATATGGCAGTATCATTTTCTATGAATATAATGTACAAGATCTTTGAAGGCCCATATAGGACAGCATTAAATGAAATAGCCTGGAAACTACAACTGCGCAACACTAGCAAGTAGCCGTTCAAGCATCTCATCATCACCAGCCGTCCCCTCAGAACCCTTCTCTTCAACAGCTTTCCCAACGGCACTAGCAAGCACCGCCAATCTCTTCCTCTTAATAGACTCCTCCAGCTCCGAACTCTTCTCCCTCGCCAAGTCAATAACAGACGGAGGCAAATTCGCCAACCTCGCAACATTCAATCCATAACTCCGGTGCGCAACTCCCTCGCTAACCTCATACAAAAACGTGATATCTTCATTCCCTTCTTCGCCCGATTCCGTGAACCGCATATGAACGTTCCGAAGAGATTGATCAGGGAACGATTGAACCATCCGTGAAAGATGTTGATAATGTGTAATGAATAAGGTAAGTGAGCGAATCGAACGAACCATATAATCTAATACAGCCTGTGCAATAGCTACACCGTCATGGGTGGAGGTACCACGGCCCAGCTCGTCGAGAATCACGAGAGAGCGCGGACTTGCTTGTTTGAGGATATCGGCTGTTTCGGAGAGTTCGACCATGAATGTTGATTCGCCCGCGAGCATGTTATCGAATGCACCCATCCGGGTGAAGACTGCGTCTAGAAGACCTAGACGAGCAGAGGAAGCGGGGACGTAAGACCCTATTTGTCCCATTATTGCGATGAGGGCGACTTGACGGACGTAACTGGATTTACCACCCATGTTTGGTCCTGTCACGAGTAAGGCGCGGGTAGCGTCTGTATCTAGATCGGTGTCGTTTGGAACGTAGGCGTCTGTGAGAAGTCGTTCAACCATTGGATGACGGCCTTGCTCGACATGGAGACATGGATGATCTGTGTACTCTGGTTTGACGTAGCCGGGTTGTTGGGCGATAGCTGCAAGAGAGAGTAAACAGTCTAATGTTGCGAGACTCTGGACGCAGTCACGGAAGAATTGGTATTGTGTTGATATTTCGGCCAACAGAGCTCGGAAGGCTCTATCGCAGGCTGCTGCTAATGCTTCCCTGTACTGGTCCCGTTGGCGTATGAGTTGAATCACCTCGGGAGTATGGAATCGTGAGACCTTCTTAGTGCCGCTGACTTTGACCCAAGAGGCGGGCACCTTTCTGATTGCAAGAGAATTGTTTTCGATTTCAATGAGGTATTCGATTCCTGAAACTGTTGCATATTCCACCTTTTTTCTTTCTATGCGCTCCTCGGCTACCTTCAGATGCTCTTGTAGTTCATGCTCGACGCTGCCGATTCCGAGCTTTTGTTCCTCGATATCTTCTGTCTCTTCTTCTTCGCAGAAGAAGGAATACTTGTCGTCAGTTCGGGCAGCATGGAGATTTATCTTTTCCAGGAAGCGGGTGACATCTCCTTGGATGGTAGGAAGAGATGCAACAGCTTCACTGATCAAGGGCGAATCAAACTTGGTATCAGCAGGAGATTTGACTTCGCTGAACTCCATGGAGATCATCTGCATGGTTTGCAGAACAGTAAGAAGCTCTGGTCGAGTGCACTTCAAAGATTTAGTAAGAGAGAATATCCAAACATATGATGGTTGACTCACCTTCCCATAATAAATACGGATCAAACTCCTTTCCAGGTCACTCTTGATTTTACTCAACAGTCCCTTGATACGCTCGACAGGAACTGTCCGAGCAGGATTCGTCAATTCTTCAACGGCATTGGTACGTTCCTCTAAGCGTGCCTTATCAAGCAAAGGTCGTCCAACCCACCGTCGCAGCAGCCGCTGTCCAAATCGCGTCTGCGTACGGTCCAAAGTCCAAAACAGGCTCCCTTTCGCCGAGTGATCTGTCCCATTCTGATAAATTTCAAGACTAACCAATGTATTTCCGTTAAGCAGCATGTGTGAACGAGCCGAGAACGGTTGGAAATACTTGGTCAAGTCAAACACATGCTCCAGTCCATAATCAGACATATGTTCAATCATAGCAGATAAGCAGATTGTAACATGTTCCGGAAGCCCAAGGACGTTCTGAAGTAATTTGGCCGCTTGCGCATCCTCTTCCGTACCTGTTGCTTTCATTTTACCTGCGTAAAATGTTGAAACATGGCTATGTGCCTCAGCAGCGGCTGTCTTCTTTTTCGAAGCCCGCTCAACTCGCACTGCATCACCGAAAACATTCGTCTTACTTCCTGATAAGTGCTGTACAAGTTTTTCGCTAGCACGAGACATCTCTCCGACAATCACAATCTCACAAGGCGCGATGTGTAGTAATCTCGTCTCGATCTCACTTCGCATAAATCCATCCTCAAAATCATCGTAGATCACATCACCAGTGGCAGGTTGGACAGCGACAATACCGACGTTAACACGCTCGTCGTTGCCCATGCCTTTGGCATTGGCCTCTGTAATACACAACATGTACCCCGTGGCCGGCGAAGAGTTCCCAGCAGCAGGTACAGAGCCCTCAAGGCCCTCCACATCGTCAATGTAGGTTCCTTTCGTGTAGAGATTCGTCAATTTGCGCACAAACGGTGCATTACGATTATCACCCGCAGCTTTCAGGGCGGCTGTCTCAATTTGTCGCACGACACCGACCTTATGCCCTGCAGTAACTAGTCGCTTCACGTGAACATGTAATCGGTGCACAGGAATACTAGCCGAAGCGAAACGGTCGTTATGAGCTTCGGAGGGATCTGCAAGAGAACATTAGACGGTGAACGGAAATAAAACAAGCAACAGTTGCACAATGCATAACTTACGTTCATCGAATCTGAACTTTCCAGGAATACACACTATTCCCAACTCTTTCGCCGCAACACGAGCGTCCTCTCCAAAGAACCGAAACTTGTATCCAACCTCAACTACAAGCACCGTATCCATATTCTTGCGCTTGATATCGATAACCTGTCGCTCCATTGGTGTCAACTTAGTACCGCCCTTTTTAGCGGCGCCTTTCCCTTTCTTCGGTGGAGGAGCAGGCTCATCATCAGCTTCGGCTTCTTCGCCTTCCTCCACTTCTCCAACAGCGACGTCATTGGATACATTCCGTCCAATACCAATGAGACAATCTGCACCTCCGAGCTTCCGAACAAATTTCTGGTGTAGTTGGTCCTTTTCTTTTCTCCTCTGTGCGTCTTCCGAATCATCCTCTTGGGCAGGTCGGGCGGAAGCCTGCGAGCTTTGATATTTGAAGATGTCTGTTCGCTGGCTGCTCTCTAGTTGGGTAGCTGGGTTTGGCAAAGCCTCTGCAGATGGTTGGCAATCATTTGTAGGGGCTGAGCCGTTCGTTCGAGCTCGTTTAGTGGGTGGTGCGACGATGTCATCCTCCTCATCGTCTTCTTGGATATGATTTGCCTTCTTAGGTGCTTGTTCTGTCTTTGCTCCTGGCTCGGGAGAGGCAGGTCTCTTCTTAGATGGTTTTGGTTGAGACTTCTGGGGCGTACTGGTTCTAGAGGTAGGAGTGGCTTTCGGGGTTGAAGATGGCTTTTGTGTAAAGAAGCTTGAGATAGTTTGCTGCTTGCGCTGTAGGGACGGAGATGGTGCGGAGGACGGTGGCGAGGATTGGGGTGGCATGGTGGCTCGATATGCTTCGGGATGGAATCTCGATAGATACGGATTTTGAATTTTCGGGACTCTCTATTTGTTTGGGGGATGAAGAAGCTGTGCTGCCTCAATTGCCCTCCAGTTGACCTGTCGAATTCGACGCGTCTTGTACGCGCTGGAGTTTAATTGGTTGCTGAGTCATCTTCTTATCGGCGTCATTGGATAAGTACATGTACGGGTATAGCGCCCAGCAGGGAAACCCCCATATTTGACTTGCTTTTCTACTTTTTCTACAATTTATGGACATATTTAGAGTACACAGTACATACAATAGAGTATTTCGTACCAGGTGGTAAGTTAATATATGACCAAGTACGCTTTCCCTGCTGGGCGCTATAGTTCCCCATAGATAAATCGCCCTAATGCTGCATGTTCGGGGGATCTATAATGAACCATTTTATACTATGTAATAAATCACTGGCATTGGTCTCATGAAAGCTAAATATAATGAATCGATTCAATTGATTACAAAACTGTCAAAACTCTGGGTATTTATACTATCAATAATTATAAGACAGTCATGAAACTTCATCACCGGAACGACGGAGAGATACTTCATCCACCTCAATATGAAGACATGCTTGATGTTGCAAAAAGAATAGGGGTCCAACCATGGTCATGCTTCTCATGGGTCAAGATGCAGGATGGTCAGTCTAAGTCATGAGAGGGTCGACCGAGGACACGATCATGAATGCGAATTTCGAGCGTTATAGAAGATTAGTCTGCGTGTGTGGCTAAATATAGCTGGGCAAGATCATGATGATCTTCCTCGGAGATGGTCGCATTTGAAGATGCATGATGTAGAGAAGCTGTCCAAACTCCGTGAGCCATCATTATATCTTGTCCGTATGAGCTGGCCTCGTAGTATTCCATTTTTGAGCCCGGCGCCAGGAGAGGGTTGGATCGGTATGCAGCAGTTTCGGATCCGTCGTCATGTCCAAGATCTCCATGAGACGGCTCATCATAGTAGTAACCTGGCGTATACCCTGCATTGTCCGTATCGTTTCGTCTTGGAAATGGCGAGTGCCAACCATGCAAGCCAATTCGGCCTTGGGGAGCCATCATCGGTTCAATGTTTTCTTTATCCAGTGCCGATGGGCCAGGGTTTCCTACATGATCATTGGAGTCATGCTTGCTGTTCAGAACCAAACGAGCTGGTGTCAATGTTTCCCGAGAGGGCTTAGAGTGTGCAGGCTGATCTTTGTATCCCGCTTTGCTCCGATCATCTTCGTCGGCAAATATGGTAAACGCATTGCGGGCTCGCTTTCCAAATGCCTGCACAGCAAGACCAATTTCGCCGTCGTCGGGAGTATATGATGTTCCGAGGTCTTTCAATCCTCTATCAAATTGAGGTGGAGAACCAGAATTGGCACCATATGCCGTGAATCCGGTCTTGTTGCGATTGCTGTTGACAGTCCTTTTGGACCGCCTTCGGTCTTGGGCTCGTGGTCGATTAGGGTCGGCTCGACGAAGAACCCCTTTCTTGGAGCGAGACAGTCGTCGCTTTGGGATCGGCGTCTCTCCTTTCAAGGGACTGTTATCTTCAACATTACCAGTGATCGTGCGCTGCTTCCTAAATAGTCCCGTTGGTGAAAAAATGAGCTCAGTAGGCTCCACCTGCAAGGATGTCATCTCCATCATCCTCAGCACATTCCCGTCCTTTTTCTGATTACGCTTGCGCCGCATTTGTTGAGTTGCCGAATCAAATATATCCATCCCGGGCCACAGTATCCCCTTCAGCCTCGCCATCTCATCTGCTCGCTCCTTATCAGCTTCCATGTCGTTTGAAGCCCCGGAAAGCCTTCTGTTGTCCACAAACGGATCTACTATGTCGTAACCCATTGCTGAAGGCATGTCATCCGGTCTTTCTCTCGTCCGTTGATGCTTGGGTGTTTCAGGAAACGGGTTATAGGCATTCTCGACACGACTGCAATCCTCCCCATGTTCTCCATTGTGATTCAAAACCCCCATAGAATGTGTTATGCTCATTCTGAGATGAGCCTCTATCTCCATGATAGGATGGCCATCAATAGCCGTAGATGTGGCTGGGGTTGCATAGCATGAGACGAATGAGACATCCTCGGACTTCATGTTATGTTCCACATTCTCTGCACCATTCGCCAGACGGGGATCGAGGTATTCGGGAAGGGCGGGGGCTGTCGACAGGCTATGATCTTTTGTACTCGACCTCCGTGAGCTTCTCTGTTGACGCTGAACACTGCAACCGACTGGTCCCTTCGGATGTGACTTGTGCTTTTTCTTCCGATCATCTTTGGAGGTCATTCTGTCGGACAACAATTGTGCGAGGTTGTTGGCGCTGTACCACTCGTCATATTGTTCGAGGAGTTCGATCGCTTGAGTCTCTTGGTGGCTGCGGACTTGAAGCTTGAAGTAATAGGACAGATGAGATTTCGAAGCAACATGGGTCAAAAGATGTGAAGCATCACTGAATCGAGGCTGTCCGGGACAGATGATGCACTGCAGCATGGGGGTGTTCATTGTACCGAGGGGATCGGTACATCCAATCCAGAAGGAAACGGCAAAAATAAGAGCCAAACAGACAAAACAGAAATCAAAAGCAAGTATAACTGTAAAAAGTAGAACGCTGAAGGAGCGATGAAAAGATCAAGCTGGAGCGGGGATGGGGAAGGATGGGAGCTGCCTTGACATGGTCGGAGTATGAGCGTATACACCCAGCCGCAGGGGAAGGCACGCTAATCGCCGCAGCTGAGGCAAGCACCACTCAGGAGTACATTCGAGTCTTCCAAAGTTCACATTATCATTTGTTTCAATGAGTCTTGAAATGTCTAAGTCTATAACACTTTTTTTTTAGCAATTCTTAGATCAAGATAAGGGGTGAATGTCATTTGGTATCTCATTGTCACGTCTTCTAGCTGGTATCTATGTACTATTCAGTAATGTGCCACGATGTCTTAACAGCCACTAGGCTATTGTGGGATGGTATGAAGCGGAATAAGTCAAAGTGAACAATTGCTCTCCTCCTGCCTTGTATCCCATGATCCATGGAGAAAAAGAATCAAGGGTTATTAGATGGCAGGAGGGATTGAAGAGAAATGGATGTGATCCGACGTAAATTGGTTTCAAGATTTTGCGAAAACGCGACTAATCACGGATTTAGGTAAACAGCTAGTTCATGGTTAGCAACATGGACATGAAGATGAAAGAATGCAAAATGCCACTTACTATACTGGATCAATCTCTTGCAGACCTTCAACACCAAGAAGACTCAAGCCCGCCAGGCCAAAGTGAGTATGGTAAACATCAACCATGTTCCCAGGTCGGTCAGCTAAGCCACCACCTTCAGAGTCCTGCTTGGAAGTTAGCATCAAGATCCAAGAATTGAAAGTGATTGACATCAAACTAACCTGACATTGCAAGACAAACCCAGCAAGCTTCTTTCCATCAATCCACTGGAGTCGATCAATCATAGCTAAACTTGATCCAACCCACCAGGTGTAGCAAGAGTCTGGCAGCTTTTCAGGCCGCCCGTTAAAGCCACCCTTGTCAATTTGGCGCTCACTAAGCCAGGCACCGATACGATCTATATTCACAAGATCTAAGCGGCCAGCAATTGAAAGGGCGCCGAGGCAGGTGAAAACCTGGCCGGAATGAGACTCAGCGCCAGGAAAAAGACCATAAGCACCATCCAAATTCTCGCAGCTTTGGATGTAGGCGACGGCCTTGGGGACATCGACTAGATCCATCAGACCTAAAAGTGACAGTGCATTGAATGCGCCGTAAAGGAACCGAGTATCGGTCTCACCCCATTGATCTCCCATGAAAGAGCCATCTTCGCGGTTTTGTAGACTCGCGATGACTGTAATTGATCATGTTAGTAAAGAAAGCAAGAACATAGGATTTCACAGGGAAACCGTACAAGAGCCCACTTTCTGTTTGCCTCCACGACCTTGTTTCTCCAGCTCATCCACTGCATCAATCATGACCAAAATTTGGACAGCAGATACGGTATAGAGCATGTGAGCGTCGTGGCCTGGGGCGGCACCAAATCCTCCGTTGTCCCTTTGACAAGAGAGTACGAAGTCAATGGTTTCATCCCGGGGCAAAGCATCGGGATGACCGAGTAGATGGAGAGCCGTCAAACCCCAGTAGACCCCATTAAGTCGTAGGTGCTCGGTCAGCCAGTACTCCAACTCATCTTTCCTCTATTGTCACCGTCAACTGTTGCCCCGTTTATATGTTCCTAAATATTCGTAGTGAGAGAGAGCACGCACAGTGTCTAGGTTCTTGATGTAAGCGACATGCTTCAGAATGTGCAGTTCTTGATCTAGCGAGGTACTACCTCCAGCCCTGCCTGGGCCAGATACCAAAGCCATTTCTGCTGTAAGGCGGGGGAGGGGTATGTATGGATGTAGTCAAGGGTCTAAGGTAGAGACCCTGATTGGCCCTAGGTTAGTAGCTCCGTAAGGGAGAAAAAGCTTGTTGGGCGATGCCTGAGGGCGTTTGAATACAGAATTGAGCACGTAGTTGGTTAGATCATGCTGTCATCAAGTCATGCATTAGAACCAGTGCCACTAAGCGGGCTGTGCAGAGCCGCGGGACTAGACGGAGTTCTCCCGCGAAGCGAGAAATTGTGGCTTGAAGCTAGGCTGGTTATAGTGGGCATCGCGGTTTTTGAAGGGGTGTGAGGTCACGTGAGACACACGTGATTTATAAGGCGAGGCTAAGCCGCTTTTGTCCAATCCCCTAATATGGATCAAATATAGTGGGGTTTCTGCTCTCTGCCCTCCGGTTCATTCTCTGCCTGTCGCGTTGGCGCTTGCCCCGTGCACCCAGGGTGACATGCCCAGCGACGCTAGGGACGAATTCGCATATATGTTTCAGAATGAATGGAGCAGTAACCCTCAATTCCCATCTATTTTGGAAAAAGATTCCTATGACCATGCCTTTTCGGGGCAGGGTTCATATTGTACCCCTGGGCTAAAATGGAGCAACTTAAAAAAAAAAAAGAAGGGAACTAAAAGGAGCATGTTAGAAGCACATGGAAGTATTGCTGCCCGGTTCAGATCCACTATCTGCCAACTTTCTGAATGGTCTGTACTCAGATTGTTATCTTCGGCTATACTGTATGCAGATAGCTCCCACAAAGCTAGGGTCTTATTTTCGGTCGGCTCCAAATTTTTGGGTTTGATGCCGGCTATTGATGCCCAATGTTTGTATCGAGCTTTGCAGTATGGAGTGCAGCAAGGATTAGTCCAACAATATTCTTGGAATCTTGGAACGTGTATACGTATATTAAATGTTGACAATCTAGATCTATCTGTGTACTAATACAGTACAATAAAACTAAACGGATACCCTTTAAATATGATAGGTTGTCTTCGCTCATCCTCCCTCAACCCGCCCACTATAGTTGCATTTACAAGTAAACACCTCGCCTCCACAGATGGACGAAATAATGTCTTCAAGAACACCAAAATAGTCAATAAAAGACACCAAAGTCCCCCTCCAGCAAAAATAACCCGCTCATATGCATTTTCGAGCTCATCGAATAACAGCCATTCGGTGCCTCTTCCTTCATGAACATGGCCAAAGACATGTAGCCGTGGCTGCACTCGCCATAAATTTCGTAGCAAATGCATACATCCCAACTTCATTAGATCAAGGTGCCCGCGCGGTGGCCCATGTGTGATCAGTACATCAATACCACCTGGGACGATTGTAGTCCAGATATCTTGACTGCGAGGATATTGGAAGGCCCAGTTTCCATTTTGAGGTGAATGGGGACTGCCATAGATTCGTAAATGCCGACCATTCTCACAGATAACGGGCGCTTCCTCGTTTTCCAGATACATAATATCGCTCCAGTCGAGTTGATCGCGTTCAGAGAGTTGGACTTGGACTTCTTGGTTCGCGGAGGCTCCAAGTTTGTGATCATTACTATGGTACCCTGTGTCTAGTAATAAGTCGTGATTACCAGCGACAACGATCTTAATTGCATGCGCCTGTGCATTTAACCAGGTAAGCGTGGTCTGGAGTTCATGTAACGAGCCTGAATGTGTAAGGTCGCCTGCATGGATGAGGATATCTCCATCTGGAAGGCTCGGCTGAGTGTTATGGTCTGAGATACAGACAATGAAAACTGGATTCGTGAGTGGTGCAGCTGGGATAATTTGATGCCAAGTGTAGAGTTTCCGGGCAAGGAACACGCAGGGCTGCTCCAGGAATTGCTCCCAGGGTCCTAGTCGTTTCCGATTTAGTAGTTCATCTAAGCCGGAGCGGCGCTTGGTAGTAAATGGCGACATTGTTTTTTGGGTTTTGGGTAGGCAGCATGTGGTACCTGGGTGTATCAGAATTTCAAAGATAGATTCCGTCAAGTTCAAGTTTTTGTTTCAATGTTGGACGTTGGACGTTTGAACGTTTGGGGCTTACAGGTACATGTTGCGGCGCGGCTGCCTAGTAATACGGACACGGTCATCATGATGATAGATCTCCGAGTAGATACACAAAAACCTAGGTTTGAAGCATATCGAACACATACATCCAGAAGTTGAACTTCAAGAAGGTTGAGTTTGATAATTCAAATGTTAATATAGCAAAATTGGCCTAATTAAGAAAACCTTATGAATATCACAAAATCAAGTATAATTCCAATGTATATATACACTACCACTAATTCACTTGAACATCAAACACATGTATCAAGATTTTAAAAGGCTTAAAACGCAAAGGGCTCATGGATGTATATATCCATGGATATATTTATTCAGAAATGTACTAGCCGTGCCTTGGCCGTATGCACGGCAGGACACCAAATGCACTAGCCGCATTTGGTGTCCCGCAGCGTAATGGAAATTCTCACCGTAATGGAAAATTCTTCTCAGTGCGCCTTCTCTGCTTAAAAATACTACCTTAACTATGGCCAAATCTACTGAAACCGAAGTATCTCGTGTAAATGAGGCTATAAATTATGCTCGAGGGCAAAAAAAGCCGAATTTGTCCGCTATTGCCAAAAAATATCGTGTTGATTATAAGCTGCTTTGGAGGCGTGTGAAGCGGAATATGAAACCCAAAACAGAGAAAATCCCGGTGAATTATACGTTAAATTCACGTTAAGAGAAGGCCTTAGGCTTCTGGATAAACACCTTGGATGCAGCTTTTATTCCCCTGACGCCCAGTATTATAGAATAGTGGGCGAATGTTACTCTTGCCCGGTTAAAGACACCCGATCGGACAGTCGGAAAGGATTGGGTATATTGTTATATTAAGCGATTCCCTGATATAGAAATGAAGCTCCGGAGGTAGAAGGTTACTGATTCGAAATGTCTGGGGGCTGGAGATGTGTCGGAGTTGTATTATTGGTATGATTTGTTAGCTAAGGCTCTCGATGGTGTGTCTCTGTGGTTAGTTTATAACTTTGATGAAACTGGGTTTTATATTGGATAGGGACGGACTTAGTGTGTATTTTCCAAGTGAGCAAATAAAGCTTAGTAGCTTGTAAGTAATGAATATGGAGAAAGAGTTATAGTCGTAGAGTGTATTGTTGCTGATGGCTGGCGAATGTAGTTGTTGATTATCTTCAAAGGACAATACCGAATGGAGTTATGGTATGACTACCTATTACCCGAAGAGTGGATGACTGCGACTGTAGAAAAAGGGTATATTATTGATAAGTTTGCTGCCCTTTGGATTCAAGAATTTGATTGTGAAACACGCCATCGGGTCAAAGAAGGAGAGTAATGCTTTCTTCTTGTTGATGGCTGTGGCTTATATCTGATATATGAATTTCTTGATACTGCACAGAAAGTAAATATCAAGATATTTGGATTTTCTCTAAACTGGATGAATTATCTTTAGCCTCTTGATGGAAAACCCTTCTAAGCTTATAAGGCTTATTTTCGATCGGAAAATAACTGTATATCTCAATGGGGAGGAGGCCTTCTTGCTTTGAAATTATCCTTCCTTCACGATCTTTATACCTTCCGAGATAAAGTTTTTAATACCTGTGTTTGTCGGGATGTCTTTAAAGAGTGAGGAATTTACCCTCCTAATGCTAAAATAGTTTGTGAGGTACTTGAAGTTGCTTTTCCTTCTATTCCGGATATTGAGATTGACCTACGGGAAGAGAAAATACCCTCTCTAGAGCTAGACCTTTTGTCTTTAAGTTTTGAAAACATATCTTCAAAGACCTTCAAAGATGTGGAAAAACGACAAAGGCATCTCTCTAGCCTTCTCGATCGATCTGATATAACACCTAAGCAGAAAAAAATACTCTCACAGGTCTTAGAAGAGCAAGAATTCTACTTTAATGTACTGGCCAATACTACATCTACTATAGCCGAAATGGCTAGATATAGAGCCCCGAGAGAGAGAAAAATTACTAAACGGCGATTATTGGGTCTTGGAGATGATGGAATTCTCCGAATTAAAGATGCAAAGCGTAGCATTGCTGCCAGGAAGGCTAAAGAAGCTGAAAAAGAAGAAAAACGCGTCACCCGGGAGATGAAGAAAAAGTATGGTTCTCCTACCTTACGCCCTTCTGATATAACTCAAAGTCAGGCACAGGCTGAGGAGATCCGTAACGAGACGGGGGAAGTTATTGCTTTTGTTGATAAATTTTGATTTGCTTAGAAAAATGTATGTAAATGCCTTTTTTTTCCATTACGGTGAGAATTTCCATTACGCTGCGGGACACCAATTCGGCTTAGCGCGAATTGGTGTCCTGCCGTGTATACGGCCAAGGCACGGCTAGTTGTTAACTTGAATGTACTTGGGTTAGTATTAGCAATGCCAATGTGTTCAACATTGAAGACTGGTACATTGCGCACGTGCTTGGGATACTCCGCACTTCGGCTGGCTACAGTACAGCCCTGAATGGCTTGGTATGCCACTCACCGGGAATGTTTCTAAAAAGAAGTCAACCTCTGCTCCACAGTTAACCAGGATTCCAAGGCCAAATGGTGGAGGGGCAGCGGGCACTTCTCCAAGACTCCGGAAGTGCAGTGAATGTCAGTGGTCAGAATCTGAAACTCGGGTTAATTAAGACACTAACGGGGGTAAAGGTGGGTCAGGTCAAGCGCCGTGCACACGTTTTGTCTGACGACTGCACCGGGATTTGTGTAGGATTTGTTAGTGGGCCTGTCAGGATTTTACCCCTGACAGGCTGTACACAGACTGTATGCAGTTCTGCTTCATTCATTTTCGTTAGTGGGTGGTTGGGCTGTTAGTCGGTTATGGCCGTAAAGGATCGCGGTTTTTTTTTTCTCAATCGAGGTATTAGATCGGGACAATTGTATGGAACTCTGGTCAGGTACATTAGCTCTGATTTCCCAGAAATAGGTTATCAGTGGTTCAGCCAGCAACATTCATGCAATTGATCCGAGACCAACGGAACCATGGACTTCCCGACAGGTACACTGCCGCCGCTCAGATTCGCGAATGACAATGCTTTGGGTTCCACTATCATCGATTGATCGACCAATCAACAACGTAAGCACACCATCTCACCCGTGGTTTCAACTGCCAGGCCCAGCGGCTTCAAGTACTTAGCGGTGGGGAGGCTCCGATCGGTGTGGACTGCCAGTGTGATCCTTGTGTACAATCGTTTTAGTGCAGTTACTAGTAACAGTACCACCTCATTCCATGTCGCCCGTATGATATATCTGCTCCTCCAGAAATCCGGAATAAATTCTACTAATCAATGACTCAGTCCAACCCTGATCGAACACTGCAAGGCTTGGACCCCAACAGACAAGCGTAAAGATGTACTCTACAATCAATATTAAATGATGGCCCACAACGCCCCGGGGAGGGAATGTGATTGGCATATGATCTCATGGATATGACGCTTTGCCTATCAATTACTTTGGATTTGGACCATTCACGAGGGATCCTTGGAACCAGTGACATTTGAGCCCCTCAGGTACTCGAGTGATTTACATGGATTTACATTGTATACACTATATTAGTGTAGGAGTAATCAGATATGCAATCAAAAACACCAGACTCCACCTGGCGCTTTCCAAGACTTTTTTTTTCTATTTTCTCTTTCGCTCTGACCAGTGGATCCCTTCTGGATATTCTCCATATTTCTTAAAAAAGGAAACCAGCCCAGAGAGTCAGAGACCTCTTGACCTTGCATTAAATCAGTTGTCAGGAATGCGCGATCGTCATATTCTCTCTCTTTCCCACATTTGTTCGATTTTGAGAACTTGCAACATTTGTTCGATCGGCAATCTCACGTCGTTACGCTCCTAAGGATTAGCGTGGAGTACATATACAAGTGCACGGTTTCGCTGCTAACGAAGCCACTAACTGTTGACACTAAGTTCCGCTAGGGGACTTTTGTACCTCCAACGTCCGCGACTTTCACCCCCTGGACAACAACTCTCTTTACAACCTTGGTCTTTTTTTTTCTCTCTCTCTTCTTCTTCTTTCGTTCTTTTCTCTTTCTTATTTTTATTTGGGTCCTCTCGTTTCATCTGTGTCGTCCTCTTTGTCTTTCATTTCCGCGATCCTTGGGTCTCTTCATCCAACACACCTGGAAGTGGGCAAAGTCACCCGAATCCTGTGCCGATCCTCGAGCCGCCGAAAAGAGGGGGGAAACAGAAAACAACCACGAAATCCCCCATCTCCAACATCTTACGTCTCGGAGAAAGTGCAGAAGAGAGATCGTGTGAGCAGATCATGAGGGGAAGATTGGTGAGTCGTTTTACATTAAGGCATCTGCGGCCAAAAAGAACCACTTTGCATTGTTTGGTCCCCCCCCGGGCCTTGTTGATACCAAGACATGGCTTTGCACCTCCGAACCCCCCCCTGCATCTGTCACCGCCGGTGGTTTCACTGGTCTTTTTTTAGACGTGCATTCTCGTGGATCTTAATGACTGACTTGCGTTTTATTGGATTTTCCAGATCACATCCCCTCGATAACCCCGTTCCAACTTCAACTCCCCCTCTCCGTCGATCTTCCTCGACCAGAACCCCGGTGGGCTGAACTTCACTCCCGGAAGCCACGACCGAAGAGCTGAAAAAAGCCTCGCATTGTAAGATCACTGGTGGTCTGCTTTGATCAGGTACTTCCTTGCTGCAAGTTCCAGTCCGTTTTCCACCCCATGCTGACCAGTGCCCTTTTCTCTTTTCTTTGCAGCCGGTCAAAACCCCCGGTTACAACAGGGCGTGCACCACCCCACTGGACCTGTACTACATCACATTGGATTTCAAGAATTAAAACATTTTTTCATCCATTGACGCCCAAAATGCCGTCAAGACACTCCGCCGTGCCCAATTTGGACTTCAGCTCGCTTAAATCCGACTCGAAACATGGAAAGATTTCCTCTCCCCTCTCCCCTGGTGGTCAGAGTTCCGACGGTCTGAGCCCCTTAACACCGCGCTCGCCAAAATCAGCCTCCAGTTCACCTCTTTTCAAGGGTGCGACCATTCGTCCCGTCACCCAAGAATCGAGTAGCAAGGCGACCAGCCCGACAACACCAGTCTCGCCGGGCAACTTGGCCGCCGAGTCCACCGAAACCACGGCCGAACCTCTTACCCCCGGCATCACAGCCATTCCGCAATACTTTCCTTCTCCCAAGCCCTCTTCTAAACACTCTCGCGAGGCGTCCAAGTCATTTTTTGGCACCCTCAAGGCACCCAAGTCTTCACACCGAACACAGCGCTCAGATAGCTCCGGAGCTTCAACGGAGCCTCCAAAGAGTCGGGGTACCTCCAGAGATAGGAAATCTTCCATGGCGCGCATTTTGTCCGAGTCAACACCTGATTTGCCGTCAATTATTGCACACGCAGAGGAGGCAGAAAATAGTGGGTTTTCGTCCAAATTATTATTTTACTTTGGTATTGTTGTGCTAACTGTTATTTTTCTTGCCCAATAGACAAACCCACTTCCAGCGATAAGACTACACAAAAGACAGGTCACAGGAAAGCTAGCGCCGAGACCGATTCCGCGCCCGTGAAAAAGAATAAGCGATTCGCAAATCTCTTGACCCGATCACGATCAATTCGAGTTGATGAATCGTCTGGGAATAGGGCGCCAGGACGACGGCCTTCGACTGGTCTAGCCAAATTGGAGGAGTTCCACCAGAGCGACTCACAGGCACCCCCACAATCAGCCACGGTGGCATCCGAAAGATCGACGCGCGTCCCAGGAAAACAGACTGAACGCCATGGTGACCTTGCCCCTATCACCAAGCAAAAAACAGCAGGCTCAATGGTCCAGTCTAGCTCCTTGAGCCAGGTCTCTGGAACATCAGCAGCTATCTTCAATAACCTGAAGCAGTCATCAAGTGGTGCTGCGGACCGTTTGGGGAAGGCAGGCAAAGGCTTCTTTGGGAAAATTACTCGAAGCGGCAGCACCAATGAACGCGAGTTGATGAATGATGACTCTTATGTCTGTTCTGTGATCAACCTTCCATTGATTGAACAGGCTAGGAAGACCCGGATTGCGAAGAGGCTGGAAGATTGCCGGGATAAGACTGAGTTCTGGATGCCCGCTCTTCCATACCGTTGTATTGAGTTAGTGTCTTGAAATCTCCAATATATATAACGATCTAATGCTAACAACCCTTCTCTCTAGCTATCTCAATTTCAAGGGCTGTGAAGAGGAAGGACTTTATCGAGTACCTGGTAGCGGCAGAGAGGTTAAACACTGGCAGAGACGGTTCGACACAGAGTTGGATGTCAGTCTTTTCGATGTACCCGACCTTTACGACATCAACACGATTGGATCTTTATTCAAAGCTTGGCTTCGTGAATTGCCAGAAGAGCTCTTCCCCAAGAGGACACAAGATATGATCGCTGAAAAATGCGAAGGGGCCACAACCGCCCCGCAACTGCTCAAAGACGAACTCTCCAAACTGCCGCCCTACAATTACTACCTCCTCTTCGCCATCACCTGTCATCTCAATCTCCTTCACTCCTACGTCGATCAAAACAAGATGGACTACCGCAATTTGTGCATCTGTTTCCAACCTTGTATGAAAATCGATGCATTCTGCTTCCAATTTCTGGTTTGTGATTGGAAGAACTGTTGGCAAGGCTGCTGGACTGAGAAAGAGTTCGTTGCCAAGGAGAAAGAAATGGATGAGCAAGAAAAGAAGGTCGTTGAAGAGAAGGAGAAGGCTCATTCCGAAAAGTCCGAGAGGTCTTTAGGATCGCAACCATCTTCTATCCATGAACGAGCTGTTTCCTCTGGCTCTAGCTCACCTGCCGAAGATGAACGACCCCGTCCAGAAACAGCTCGAGGTCGAAAGAAGGCCAGGCCAAAGGACATCGAGACAAGTACCATCCATTCTAGGAGTATGTCACAGCTTCCTGAACTTGGACCCCCTCTTTCGCCCATCAAAATCTAGGTCGAATACGACTGGCTCTTATTCTCGGTTGACCCGGTCTATACTCAAATGGGGGCTTCGAGTCTTGAGCTTTGCTGCGAAAGGCGCAGTTTCTTGGATCCCTCTCTTGATTCGGCTGGTCCGACTTGATTGTGATTGATTTTGTGCCTGCCGAAAATTCGCAGGATATGAAGAGCCGCTTGGCATCGTCTCTTGTTCATAAACATTTCATACTTTCGCATCCTCTTTTTTGTTTTGCTTTGTTCGATGATGATTCGGCATTGTTCTGTCCTATCGGGACTTGATTTCTTTCTTGTCAGAGTGCATCCATTGGCGTCTCCGGTATTCAGTTTTCCCCCATCATTTCATCTTATCTTCTCCCATATGTATATCTTTGTTTGTTTCTCAGTACACTCAGCATCAGGACAATTACGGCTTTGATTCCTTCGTTCTTTACAAGCCCATTCACTCTCTTTTCAATTTGCCAGGCGTCGGAATACTCTTGGCCAACTCTGCTTTCATGCTACGCTGTCTTTTCAGATATCCCTCTCTGGTTTTACAATATTGCGTCACGTTTCTTGTTTACCTTGCTCCATTCGACTGGGCTACCATTGTTTCTTTGTTTTTGGCGTTCTCATCGTGAGGATTGTACAACAGCGGCATGGGGATGGCATTCTTTCGGAATAATGAATACCAAAATTTTGGTTAACACAGAATATACAAATGGCTAGACTGTTTCTATTCAACATCATGAGTATGGTTAAAGATATGTAGATGGATAAAGGGACTTGAGGTAATACTGTTCTAAACAATGCTTTTAATATGATCTGAATCGACCGTTCATAAATGTATGTAGTCAAGCCTGACTCCAACCACCAACGCCCATAGAAACAAACATGGATATGAAAAATTGCACCTCAACGTACAACCCTCAAACATTTGAAATAATCAAATCAAGGAATCTAGTTCCCACCCTTCTTACTAGACCGGCGATCATTCGCCCGCATCTTCCTCTCACTCCTCTTAACTCGGTCCTTGCGCTCCGTACGATTCATCCCACGAATATTTCCACCCTTATCAGCAGCATCTTCTTCCTTCTTCCAGTTCTTCTCATCAACCTCAACAAGCCACTGATCCTCATTTGCCTTGTTCTTTCCCTTGTATCCCCATCTTGGGACCCACTCCCCAGACGCCTCATCATACACAAGCTTCTTGCGTCTCTCCTTATCCGCAATCGCAACACCAGGCTTCTGGCTGTACTTGCCGATACCCTTCTTGCGGGCGAAAAGCTCCCACTTGGTAGGTGCCTTGGGGGTAGGCAGTTGCTTGTGTCGGGGAAGTGCGGTATTAGGTGGTGGCAGGGAGAGAAGGACGCCGTTCTCAGCGGACTGTGTAATGTTGCATGTTGTCAGGAGTTGGTTGAGGAGACATTGGGCTCCGTCGCGGGCGGCGGCTTGTAGGGAGTCGTCGAGGGGTTCACCCTGTGTAAGCTCGAGAGGGTTAGGGTCGTTGGCCATCAGGTGTCCCAGGTCGAAGGTGTAGGGGGTAGGCTTGTCGACTGTAATAGGACTATATCAGAAGAAAAATCATGTTAGTTTGAGTTTGATATTGTTGATATTTGTAGATTTCGGCTTTTAAAAATGATGGGAAATGAGGGGAGGTGGATCGTACAGTCTCTCAGCGTCAGAGCTAGAGTTCGCCATCTCGACTTCTGTCATTTTGAATGGTTTTAAATGACACGGTGCTTGAAAGTAGATCGCAGCGTGGAACAAGATATCAAGCACGCCGAGCGAAGAAAAAAAAAAGTTGGTTATCGGCGGTTCTCATTTTCTGCCAGAGTTGACTAAGCATGCGCCCACCGCCATCCTAATCGAGCGACATGCAATCCCATATTCAAATTATTATTGCTCTCCTCTCCCCGAGTCTCCAATTGTCTTCAATCCCACCACGCTCCCACCCACCAACAATTCCTCCACAAATTGCCATTGCTCGACACTGCGCCTGGTGCCAGTGTTCTTGACCAATGGCCTCCGCGTGGTGCTGGAGCTGCCTCTCCCGACTTCGTCCAACACCAAGAGCCATCCTTCCTTCTCCGTCGGCCGGAACCCGCATTACGAGCGCCCCCTTCCACTCAACTGCGACTCAATATGCTCAGCCTGTCAAAAAGAAGGCTAACAGCCTGACGCAGGTGAAGTATCGACAGGGTCAGACTTTGCGAAGGAAGAAGAAGAAGACTGTTGAGCGTTCTCGTCCCCCGGCTGTTGGGGAGCGCAAGGCGATGCGGAAACGTATTGTTCTCAGTAATCCTAATGCATTGGAGGTTGAGGGGATGCAGGATCTTTCTGCTGAGACTATGATTGATGCTCGTTTGAGGGGTTCTGTGCTGGGTTTGCCTGTGCCTATGCTGGACCAGTTGAGAGCTGTGCAGGCTTTCCAGCCCAAGCAGGGTTGGTCTTTGTTTCGTCGTCCGGGTACTATTTTGCGGAGAGATGCGGTTGAGATGGGTCGTCTCTTTGCTAAGATTTCGGGTTCTGGTGAGGAGGCTGAGAAGGGTCAGGTTGTTAAGAGGGTTGTTACTGGGTTGAAGGGATCTGGTAAGACTGTGCACTTGCTTCAGGCTATGGCTATGGGCTTTCTGAAGAATTGGGTTGTTATCACTGTTCCTGATGGTAAGTTTGTTTCACTACTTTATTCATATTGCATAATCGCTTATTTTATGATGGATGTATAGCTCGGGAACTTGTTTCTGGTGATACTGGCTACACTCCGATTGAGGGTTCCAAGCCAACTCAGTACGTTCAGCCCAACGCTACCTCCGCCTTGCTGAACCGCACCGTCGAGGCCAATCGCGAGGTTCTGGCCACTCTCCGTGTCTCCCAGGAGCATTCCGCTCTGAAGGGTCTGAAGCCCAACTCGACCCTGGAGGACTTGGCTAAGCTTGGTTTCTCAGACGCCGCGCTGTCCTGGCCCGTCTTCCAAGCTCTGTGGACCGAACTCACAGCCACTGCTCCTGCTCCTGGCCTGGAGAAGAACTTCCAGACTCGTCCCCCGATGGTCGTGACTGTTGATGGTCTTGCGCACTGGATGGGCGAAAGTGCCTACCGCGCTTCTGACTACACCCCCGTCCATGCGCACGACCTTGTCTTCGTCAAGCACTTCCTCTCTCTCTTGGAGCCTGGTTCCTCTCTCAAGAACGGCGGGGTGGTTCTGTACGCTACCTCTACATCCAACAGCCCCTCCAGCTACAGCTTTGAGGTCGCTTTGGACCAGATCACTGCCCGTCAAGAGGGCGTTGAGGTCTCCTCCCCTGAATACCCCCAGCCGGAGCCATATAGTAAGGCTGATACCCGCGTTCTGGACGTATTCAAGCCCCAGAAGCCTTCTGGCAAGGAGGGTGCTCTTGAGCTGCAGAAGCTGGGTGGTCTGACCCGCGAAGAGACTCGCGGTTTTCTCGAATACTTCGCTCGCAGCGGCCTGCTGCGTGAGGACGTTAACGAGAAATGGGTTAGTGACAAGTGGAGCTTGTCTGGCGGTGGAATCATTGGCGAGCTGGAGAAGGCGGGTCGTCATCTCCGTGCTCCTGCTGAGCGTATCCCTACCGCAGAGGCATAGGATATGAACTGAACCGGGATATCCTGTCTTTCTTTCCTTCCCTTCGCATGAAATACCTTGGTTTTCCTTTATTGAGCCTGGGCAGCTAATCCCTGGACTCATTTGTATTGTAAATGGAAATTCTGGGGCTTTGGTTTTATGCTTCTTTTCATGTACTTTACAACCATTCGAATCCCCCGCTGCTTTTGTTTCACTTGTGTATGCATATAATGGATTTTTATCTTTCTTTATCACTATTTCCTGCTCCTTCGTTGAATTCCCCGAGACGCTAATCAACTAGCAAATACCGCATTAAAATCTCATAACATCAGTGCATCAACCTCAAGCCAATGATTCTTTCTTCCTATCATGATCCACCACTACGTATAATCGGCTCCGCAACTGTCTCCCCTCAACTTCAGTCTCAGGTTGAGTCACAGGCTTCTTCCCTTGCTTGCGTTGAATTCTCTCCCTCTGCGCAATTCTATACGCAACCAATTGCTCTCCCTTCAGCTTCTTGATCCTTTTTTTCCCTCTGCGCTTTAGTTTCTCTCGGTGGCCTTCGCAGCTTTTCAATATCACTCCTCCACTCAGAATGATCAGAACCACTATGTTGTGAAAATCTTTTCGAGTAGGTTTCTCTCTTCCTCTTATAACCTGGTGGAGGATTTGAGTCTTTCACATTCTTATAAATCGAAACACTAACACCATCTACCTCTGCCCATTCCTCGCCATTTCTACCCGCAGTCGCTTGTCTCTTACGTCTCTCGTTGACTTTATCCTTGTCTCCTGATGATCGATTTTTCTTGTCAACTTTGCCTCCTGCTGCAGGGTAAGAGCCCGGGAGAACGGGGATATCCATCGCTGGATCTGCATAATTCTCATTATAGTACTGGTCTTTAATGGTGATCTCTTCGCCTCTTTTTATATCCTCTGCTGCCCATACTACTATTCGATTTGGTACTTTTTCGTTCTTGTCGAATCCCCAATGTGCGTTTTCTATTGGGACTTGTTTGAAGAGACTAAATCCTGAGAATAGATAGAGGTTCATAAATGATGGATCCCAGTCTGTGAACCTTTCTTTGTCTTTAATTCTCTTGTTTTGTTCCTTTGGGAGCTCGGGTGCTTTGTTTTTATCCTGTGGCTGAAGCTCGGGTTCTTCATTTCGACGTTTAAGATCATATGGAACAGCATGGGTGATTAGTTTGCGCATGATCTTTTGAATGACCCATGTGTCGAATGTGAGGTCTCGGAGTATATCCACGCCTAGATATGTCAAGATGTCGAAGGGGACAGTTATATTACCTGCGTATGAGAAGGGGAACCACTTCTTGCCTTTCTGATGTTCCCCTGTGTCGTCAAGTATAAGTAGCTCGTTCAGTTCCAGCGGTGAAAGATGGTGATCGCCCTTTACGTTGCGGCGTTTTAGCGTTATTTCAAATATGTTTCGGAGGAGAAGACTGTGCATTGTTCCGTAAATGTCGTTCGTTTGGATCATGTATTCTTTCTTTTCCCATGTTTTGAACACAGGTCTCATGCAGTTATATAGCCATGTCCAGTCTTGACCGCAGGTGTCGAAATGGTATAGTTTACCGGCGAATACTCGACAAGAGTTGTTACGGTCATCTTCATTGGGAGAACAGAATACCCTGGTGTCGGCTTCGGGTAATTCAAGTTGTTTTTCTGGTGGAAAGCATAGGCAGCGTTCGTATGTGAGAGCTGACGAGGTAGGTTCTACGTATAATTCATACTGGTCGTAGTTGATGCGTGCTTGGCAATTTTCACAACTCATCATAATTCTTTTCTTTTTGTCTCTCTTCATTCGGGAAGGTGAGAGATGGCCTCGGATTTTTGGTTCTTCGTAATAGATCAGTTCGCCGGCTTTAATGTCTCGAGTGGCAAATACTGAGATTGATTCGTTTTCCCTTGCAGCTACTTCACATGGTGTATCTGGGAATAGTTCAAAGCAATTGATGTTTATCTTATCCAGGAAAACATTCTCACACCGGTCTATATCTGTAGATTCGTAGGGATATTTTCTATCACCAGAGACGCGGCCTTGGAAACGTTCGTGCCAGAATAGTTCTTCGTTGTTGGCTATTTCTTTTTGGTGACTTTCTCGTACTGCTTCGGTTATTTCTTTGCGGATTTTCGGCACGTCTGAATCGCGGTCGTGACGGATGAAGCTGTAGCTGGGGTTGCTGTACTTTGGATCTAGCTCATGCCAACAGCCTAGTGCTAGTAAATTGAGGGTTACTATGTTGTTGAGTGCTTTATTGAGACTGTTTACGAAGTATACGGAACCTTGTTCTCGTAGACGTTCCACCACAGGCTTTAACTTTAGCTTCCCATCTTTCGCTCGTTCTTCTCGAGGAGCGACGAGTATATGCTGTTCTATAGCATGCCATACCCGTTTATAAAGGCCTGGTTGTCGACTGCGCTCCCTTCCCTTAAGTAAAACATCGCAGAGAAGATTTGCTCGGTACGCGTCTCCAAGGGCTAAATCAAATAAACCCTGCTGATAATGGCAATATGCTCGACTTGCCCAGTAGGTGGGATTATAAGGGCTCAAATGAATGGCAAAAGTGTACATATCCAACGTAGATATAAAGTGATCATTCATTGGCTGGATAGTATACTTCTTCGGACGGTCAATCTTCCATTTTGTCAAATCACTCAGCGGCATGACCCCACAGTATCTTTCCATTTCATCGGTTCGGGCTCGCTCCACGAGTTCCTCTTTATCACCCTCTGACGAAAGCCCTCGCTTCCAAAGTAACTGTTGTATACTCGTTATCTCCCATGACCCAATGTCTCTAATCTCGCTTTCATTCAGAATATCCCACCTGTGATGCTCAATCAAAGGCGCCGCATCCCAGGTTTTGTATCCATCTTCTGCTGCGAACTTTTCTTCTGCTTCCTCTCGAGCGACTGGGATGATGGGATTACTCATTATATGCTCGTAGACATTATACACTAACACGTGTGGTAACGGATCATTCATCATTCGAGGATACGGACGGTTTTTGTGTGCCTTCCATGCGATTCCGACCTTTTTGTCGGGAGCTAACCATACTTTGCAGGCTAGTTTGGCATTTACCCATGAAACATGTGGTCCTAGGGGTGCCTCGTCGAAGATATCTGGTCTAGGAACTCCTTTTTCGTGTAGAAGTGCTAGCATCGGAGCTGGATCTTGGAAAGCTTTGTCGATCTTTCGTGGTTTGTTCCGTCCACTTTCACTTTCACTATCGGTACTAGTATTACTATCATGTCCATGTCCATTTTGATTTTGGATGGGCATTTTGCCTCAAGCGAACAGATGAAAAGATTTGATGGCTCAGATTATGACCAATTTAGGTGCATTTATAATCGGGAAAATGGGTGGTAAGGCTTAGAGGTGTTCAATATGGCTGGTTGAAATATTCTTCTAATTCAGCTGGCTCTGGATTCCTTCTCCTTTTAGTAAGTGTGAATAACAAAGGAAAGTGACGCCGGGGAAAAATGTATGTTACAATAAAAACTTTTTAGTTTGAAGTGAAATATGAAAGAAATTATCGACTTCATGGTCCTTACCTTTGGCTGCCCCCGAGATCACATACAAAGTATCTTCAAAGGGAACCAACCGCCTCAAAAGTCGAGTAGTAATTTCTTTGATTATTCCACTACATGAAATCTTGCGCAAGGGATTGATCTCTGTTTTTAAATCGGCTGATCAGTTATCACATATCTGCCCCACACCCCCCATATAGATTGGACTCGTGACGCGGTTATCTAGTAGTATACAGAGATCATTTGATTCGGATTGTCATACTTAGTACATTGTTTATTTATAAAAGATAATAATCGTAGTCACTTTATATTCCACGAAAGATTCAAATTCATCTTTTATTTTGACAGGGAGATTACTATCAAAGCTATTTTTATCCGCATTACGCTAGCACCAGCATCGGTGGGGCGATGAGTGTCCCCAAAGTCCCGCTTTTTGCACTTGGGGAGAAAACACTGAGCACATCGCCTTAAACGTGTGACCCCGCGATTTCCCCCTAACCTTTCAACCTTCCGAGGTTTTCTCCTGTCTGGCTCCTTTTCGTGTCAAGAGCAGCCATGTACAGACCGGACCAAACCGAACCCTCACAGCTGCCGGAATGGCGCCTGCCACCGCGTCGCCCTATACCGTCGCAGAATGCGCCGCCTCCACCGCCACCACAGCCGCCAACAGGCAGTGGATATACTCCAGGAGCTTTTGGTCCGATGTCACCCACACCTGGGGTATCGACAATATTGCCGTCGCCAGTGTCGCCGATGGCGGCGCAGAGCTCAGATCCGCGAACATGGGGAGTGCAATACAATAAGCACCAGATCTATGCTCCTCCACCTCTTCCAGTATGTTTTGCATGTTTGTGCTGTTTAAGGTGCACATGTTAAATGTAGATACTAATATTTCCCAAAGCCTCGGCCCTCTAGCACAAATGAACAACCCTACAGCTATGCGCAATCACAGCAACACCAGCAACAACAATACCCGCAGCCTCAGCCGCAGCCGCAGCCCCAATCACCCGTTTTAACCACGAATATCCTACCTGGAGCGCCGACCCCAGGATCCGAAGCCTTTGCAGAAGCTCAGCCAGGATCGGCCACTAGTATTCCGCCGCCGTATGATTTTCCACCTCGCCCAAGTCAGCCACAAAATCAACAGTATCAAGATACCAATGTTCCACCGCCACCCCCTAAGATCCCCCGGGATCAGGATTCAGCTCCTAGTCAGGTTTATCAACCTTCACAGCCGCCAGTACATGCACAAGGTATCAGCCCAGCAGCTACACACGGCTCGCATGGATTTCAACAGAATGCTTCCTTGAACCCCAATTCGACTGTCACTTTCTCCTCTGCGCTGGGTCCAGGAACACCTTCTGACTGGGAACATCTTGGTCCCACAGAGGGCGATTTTGATGACGCACCATGGTTTCCACCTAGAGATCCTCCCCCTCCCACCCCCCCTCAGCCAAGTCAAAGCGTCCAGACACCCCCGGGCTTCTCTACGGGAATATCAAACTCCGCCACGTCCCCTGTTTCGGCCAACCCTGTGTCACAAGAGAATTTCAGACAGGAGCACCTGGGAGCCATCTATCGGACTTCAACTCCCCAACGCACTGACTCTATCTCGCCTATCAGCCCCTCTACAACGTATAGCGTTCCAACGCTACCACCTCCAAATCGTGTAGATAGTGCCGGTTCCAACGACTCTTGGTCGCGTCGCGCCGACAGTATTGAGAATGTCATCGACGCTTGGGTCAAGCCTCTAGAGCCAGGACCGAAGCCAACTCAGCCTGAGCCTGACTCTGTGACTTTAGCATCTCGCTCAGACTTTTCTTCTCACAGAAATTCAATCGAGACCACAACCCCCGTGTTATCTCCTAGTCAGGATACGAGGCCCAGATCAACTACGGGCACTCCTACGGAAACTAAAGGCAGTGTAGCGGTTGCGCCTCAGATGCGAAATCCAGATCCATATGAAGACCTTGATCCGTGGTTCAAATCATCTCTAACACGCTACATTGCCATGTTACGCAAAGAAGCAGTCGCAGACTCGGATGAAGAGCGCTACAAGATCTTTACAGCATTCATGGCCAAGGAGACCAAACTACGAGAGATTCTATACAACATTGAACATGAGCCCGTGATCGCAAAAGAGGAGCCCCGTCTATCTACCGTAACTCAAGATCCAATTCCTCTATCACCCAAAGAGCTCGAGGAACCGAAGGAACCTGAGAAGCCCAAGATACCTATTGAGTCTGGTTTGATTCCCGTGGAAACAGAAGAAGAACGCGGACCATCTCCAGCGACAATTAGCACGGGTGTTCCAGATAGCAATGATGGCGAAGATGCAGGTAGTGAGTATAGCGCAGGAGGACGCCCAATTTTGGGCAAACAGGCTCGTCGTGGGTCGACACCGTGGCAGCCCAATCTTACAATGAGCCTTTCGGAAGAAAAGCCGCCTCTTGAGCCCCTCATGACGAATCCACCCAGGCCAATCTACACTCCATTCCAGTACACAGAGGGGCCACAGCGTGGCTCGGATGATCTTAAATTCGATCGCCCGGCACATCAAGCTTATTCGGATTTACGACAAGCATCAGCCATAAGCGGACGAGTCATGTCCAACTATGGGCCTCTCACGTCTGGTTTACCCAGAATTGCCCCTTTGAATCCTTCTACCCCGGCTCTCAATGAACACGATGAGACTTTTGTCGGTCTTATTCGCCATAAGAGCAATGCCTATCAATTAAGAGGCGGAAGGAGCGAAACGCCTCTTTCGTCCTTACCAGAATCTCTTCGACAAGGCCCCCAGGCTCGCCTGGTCGAAGAGCTACGTGCAATGGTTTGGACACCTCTAGACAAACAAACAGAGAGCTCATGGCACATCACAACTAGGGAAGATCTTGAAAAGTATTCAGAGGATTTTTCATACATTCAAAATACCATTGATGAATGGGAGAGAGCGGAAGCAGTTCGACGGCACAGGCTTGATGAGGATCGTGCAGCCCGACAGGAGAATTCCGAAAGTCAAATCGATGCCCTCTTTGATGGAAAGGAAATCGGCTATGCTGATATCAATACTCTTGAGGAGGATTTCCGACAAACTGAAGCCCGTGCTCAGCTTGATGAAGAACGAGAGGAAGTTGAAAAATTTACAACTGAAGTTTTCAATCCTCTGGACGAGCGTCTCAAGAACGAAATATCTGCCCTTCGAAAGTCTTATGATTCGGCACTCGGGCAGCTTGACCGAGACCAGAAGAGCAAGAATAATTCCTCTGATCGTCGCAGCCCATCCGTAACTATGAAGATGGTTAATGAAATCCACAACAGACTTGAGATTCGATTTCAAAAGCGACTCGAGCTCGCCTTGGACTCCGAAAGACGTCGGAAGAGAGCCGAACGTCGCCCACTAGTCTTCATGGGAGATATGGCTAGTCTTCGTACTCTGGACGGGGACTTTGACCGCATGGAAAAACGAAATGTTCTGGAGGCCGCTAAAGATACCGATGAACGTGCTAATCGACTTATGGACTCATTTGACGATGCAATTCTGCACGGTCTAGGCATGAACCAAAGTCTTCTAGACGAGCTTTCATCGAAACTCTCTCGGCTGGACTACGCGACCATTCGTGCTTCCGGCTTGACGGATTCTGAGCTTGAACAGATCCTCAAGTCAGCGGCAAAATTTGCGTCATCGCTTCGTATGGATTCAGAGACAATTCTTCGCTGCTCGGGAGTCGCAGAAAGAGCCCTCAACGATGCTGATTATTCTATCTCTGTTGCCGAAGCGAAATATGCAGATTCAGAACCTGATATTTTCGAAAGACTCGAGAGTGAAAAGAAAAAAGAGGACTTAACGCTTCAAGCTGACCTGGACTCGAAATTACAGAGTATCCAGAAAGCCCCTCAAGATCTTGATAACATTATTGAAAGACTCACTGAGGGCTTGGGAAAGGCCCCCAAATTCGCGGTTCCTGCATCTCCAATCACGGATGAGATGAGTCCCGTGAGTCAATCCCCTGATGTACAGGCTTTGAAGCCGCCACCTCTCGAACTTCGCCCGGCAACTGTAGTTCCGAGTCAGAGTCAGACTCCAGCCCCGTCAACCAAAACTTCGGAACTGGGAACAGAACATCAGGAGAGATTGCGCAGGGCACTAGAGGAGGCAAAGAAGCGCAACGCTGCCAGAGCCAATGAATAAATGACGATTCTTGGCGTCTTTGCATTTCATCTGCATTTCATCTCGGATCCAACTCGTTTCTGTGTTTTTTTTTTTTTTTCTTCCAGGGCTGCCCCTGCTTGGATCGTGGTCATTGAACATTATCGATTCTATCTATCACATTGCATAGCCTGCTCATCCATCTCAGCGCCTGTCGTTTCTCCCTGTTTATCGCTTTTCTAAAGTTTGATACCCTCGTGTTTTTGCGCAAGATCAATGTAGCGAACTAGCTATACTTGTGCTTTTGCATCCATTATCATACCATTTACCCATAATTATTGTTATCAACTTATTATTATTATTATTATTGCGCCAGGCTAAATAGACGATGCTTATTTCCTATGGTTCTATTTAGAACTATAATATTCATATGAGTAATTTACTAGGGTAACTGTGCCTATGATCTACGCAGGCGTTCTTGCCAGTCAGAATCAACCTTGCCGACATTATTCTCCATCATTCATTTAGCGCTTTCCGATTATTTCAAATAGAACAAAATCGAAAACCAAGAAACAACAACACTGAGTGATTTTTGAGTAATTTTCCCGATCCGCGATCTCGGCAAAGAGACTTTCAAGCTCTTTTGATCCTGTTCGTTCTCCAAAGAGGCTATGTCGTACTTTGGCATTTCCTATCTTCTCTCCGCATCCAATCGCGCCACATTAAGTAGCTGCGCCAAACGCAGGGGCCAAATATGTCAAGTGATTAAAGAGAACAAAAGAAAATAAGAAAATAAGAAAATAAGCACAGACAAATTTTGTCGAACCACACTTTGACATGGATCCAAATGATTCATGATTCAGTGGATAAAAACCATCTTCTTCCATGTGGACTACATGTGAAATTGCCTAGATGACCTGCATATCTTAGGCGCCCACCCACAGCAATTGGTAGCTATCAGCCAGTCCTGTCCTCGATAGACGCCAGCTTTTATTCATCGAGCCGGGTCTGCACAGTTTGCACAGCGATAGGATACCTACTTGCCACCAGAAGAGAGAAAGAAAATGGCCACGATATTATCGCTAGTGGATGTGATGTGCATGTGCTTGGGCCTGATCTTGCAGGGATCAAAGTAATCTCCAGACCCAATATCCAGGCCGGCGGGTCCTGACTGTGCGGCACAGTACTGTCTAGGCGTGTCCGATTTGCTATGTCCCTACACTAATCAACAAGAGTGATCATAAAAAAGCAAAACCAAAAAAGAAAAACCAAAACGCAAAAGAAAAAGGAAAGAAGCCGAGATTTAACAGTACTGTACGTCAGTGGAGACACTGTGCACAGTTCGGGCGCAGCAGCAGCGACTTTCCCCTCTTTTACTGTCTGTACGGAGTACTTGACTCGTGGAGGACTCGTGGAGGACTCGTGGACTTAGTTCCAAGTCATTTTGATCGCTGAGCTTATGCACGATGGCTCGTTGAATCACCAACTGTTCTGACTTCTGACCACCATGGACCACTGACAAAGTCGTGCTGCGGCGTTTATAACTTTGATTTTTGTGGTTCATTTTTTATCCCGCTTCTACCCTACCCGAAGTTGCATTGGCCACTCTCCCTTGTTTATGAGGAATCTGGTATTGCATTGCTTCCATTCCAAAGACTGTTACTTATTTAGGAAAGAGATGGAGTCAAGCTGCAGGTCGTGTGAATTGATCGACGCTGAGCCCCTTGCTCGTTTCTCCACGTCAAAGCTCCTCGTGAGAACCTGTCATTTCACAGATAGAAGCTCCAGTCATGTGTATAAGGAAATGAGGATACACCAAGTAATCTATTCATTCGTTGTTTGTTTGCTTTTTGCGGCGGGGGGCACTAATAGAATGCTAAATAATTTGAGTGGCCAACAGAGATCAAACAAAGGTTTACTAGTATGGTGCGGGTCAGATGGAAAGGCTGGACTACGGCGATCGCTTTCTGCGCCGTGGCGGCGAAGCAAAATGATATCACCTCGCTTAACTAGGATCATTTTGCTGTGCCTTATGCCACAGCTACGTTTTCTCAAAATTATCTGTTTGAGCTTGCTATAGGTCAGTCTCTTTTACCAGCTGAGGAACTATGAACCATCTGACGACTGTAGTGGTTTGCCAAACTCGCCAATGGCGTCTACTACGCCCTATTTATCGGATACGGGCACATGGAAACCCCCATTGATTTCGCTCTAGCCTGGTTGATTGTAGAGCCGATCTACCTGTCACTGGCAGTATCTCGGTTATGCCTAGCAGCTTGATATATGCTCAAAATCAGCCTTGCAAGAATCCATATTGTATACTAAAAACTAAAATTAACACCGTCGGCAAGACCTGCTTGGCTTCTGCTTGGCTGTTGGCCCCCGCAGCATCGGGAGGTCACGGTCAAGGTCAATCCCAGGCCTGTTAGGGGGGGACTAGCCAACAGACCCCATATCTCTCCATTCCACACGGTCCTATTAGTGGTTGTCTGTGCGCTGCGATGATGCGGATCAATTGACTGTGCCAGGCATAATCAAACGGTTAAGCCTTGTCAAGACATCACCCCTTCGAACCCTCCTGCGCATTACCCTTTTTCTCCTGTCATGTTCCCTTCCCCCTTTTACTACCACAGCTAGACCCTTTGTCCGCTTAGGCGCCGTTGGAAAATTCTCCTAGGTTGACTGTGCCCATACTGGGTCCATATGAATTATTATTTTTACTCCATCCTATTTTCTAACTGGATCATTTGCCATTCGGATCCGCCGAACTCTTAGTATTAATTTTTTTCTCCATTTTTTCCAATTTTTTTTCTTTCCCTCCTGTGCGCGAAGATCACAGTTTGGTTTGGTTGTTCCCCGTCTCCATCATGCACCCAAACCGGCACAGTGAGGAAGGCACAGTGACCTGGAAATGACGAAAAGCATCTTGGGTCGCTCTTTCCCTCTTTGCACCTGGGATTATTTAAAAGCGGGCGCCAGGGAGTTTCGTTCCATGGTTCAATCTGTACCCGCTCCCGTCCATGGGTCGGAAGAACTCTCCAGTGATTCTGATTCTACTTTTGCCATCAGCACAGCTCTTGTGTGGAAATACACCGTTGAAATTCACTTCGCCCCTCGTATTTCTACTTGTTCGTTTCGTTCCATGTTGCCTCCCTTTTTGATTCTTGACTCTCTTCAATCGGATCATGTCTGCCCCGACAAGACAGTTAAACAGACTGTCTATCGGTCAAAATATGTCTGGGACTGGGGCTCAATCTACTAACACAACTCGCTCGGAACGAGAAGACCCTTCCGACGACAACGAAAGTGATCGCGAGAATGATAGCTCTTCTTTGACGGGGAGCGAAAGTGATAGTGGAGATGATGACGGCGGGAGTAGTGATGAAGAACAAGAACCTAGTGGCCGGTCTACTGTTCGTGCGCGGTCTGGGATTACCTACGATTTAAGCAGTCTCGATGGGGAGTCTGGTCCGAATGCGTTGGTGGGTTTGAAGTCACAGTTTGATGTTGTCAATTGTCGTGGCTCAGATCATGGCTATGATTTTCAATTATTGGATCGGGCCCATGTACATGTTGGATCAGATTCGACAACGTGTACTTGTTCAACTTTTAAGGCCATGCCACAGGTGGCTTGCCAACACATCTTTGTAAGTCTGATCTGCTTTTCCTCTTCCTCATCCTCTTCCTTTTTGCTTCTGTTTCGTGGGGTGTGCTTGCTTTCTTCTTGGAAGTAATTAATTCTTACGGAAAGAAAATTCATGTCTAGCACACAAAACCAGCCTACTAACAAAACACAATGGCTTAGTGGGTTCTTGATCAGCTTCACTCACATTTCCATCCTAACCCCTCCGCAGCGAGGGCGGTTCTCAGTCGCGACGGCCGCCCTCAAGTCCGTCCTCGCATCGAAGAGCTCCTCAAGGAAGATGGCACCTTGGAAGAAGCCGCAGAGAAACTGAACTGGCAATGCTTACGAGACGATGGCGATGGCGATGGCAAACTATACGGCATGACGCGCACAGAAAAGGTCCGGGATGTCCTTTCGGCCTTCACTCCAAAAGTTCTCCCAGAGGTTTTCCGCCAGGATCTGGTGGAGACGGTTCTTCGGAAGCGCACCGCAACAGCAGGAGAGTGCGTGGTGCAAGGAGACTTTGAAGCAACTATGTTCCGTCTTGCTATTTACGATGATAGCGTCTTCAGCAGCCTTTGCAAGGTAATGCCCTCTGGTGCCTGTTCGGCGATCTACTTCGACAAGATCCAGGTGCAATCTCGTCGACTTCTCTCTGACTTCGATCGATACTGTGCGACTGGCGAACGGCCTACAGATCCGAGTAGTCCAGGTGGAGGCATTATAGAAGTTGATGAAGTGGTTGATCATCTACGTCGCGCCGTTTCTCGTATCCAGGCGAATATTCTTTCTCGCGCTCCCCACGGCTCGGAAGGCGCTGCCAATGCCCTCGTGTGGATGCTCGAATCAATCGCTTCTCGAAATAAAGATCCTTTGGATGGCAATAATTTGGGAAGGAGCTCGTTCCACGGAGAAGATGAGGATCAACGAAATCTATACCATTTGTTGATTGGTTCGGAGGATATGGATTTGAAACCAGATGAAGACCTCTTCGTCCTCAGTGCTCTTGAATCGCTCCCGGCTTCCTCTCTCTATCCACGGGTGCAAGAGCTTCGCAATATCTTACGCAAGATTGAAGTGAATCGCGCGCCAAGGGCTTATCTTCTCAAACTCGGAACATTGATTCGTGCGGTTGAGTCCGCGGGTGCCGCTGGTGCTGGTTCATCGGCAGCAACAGGGCTAGGACAGAAACGGCCTGCAGCCGGCAGTTCAGGAGGATATTCAAAACGAAGTCGATGATCCGGCTTATATTTTTTCATGGCATTTATTCTTTACATTCCGGGATGCATTTGCGATTTCATCATTGTCATGCCATGAATGGGGCGGACTACTTTGTTCAATCATTTCAATACCCCCTGCATTTTCATTTTATTCCTTGTTCCCAGCGACATAAATAAAAAAGGAAAAAAAGAACCCATTAGGTATTTCATAATATCCTTATTATCTTCATCTTCATTTTCATCTTCATATTCGTCATTAGCCAATATCCAATTTACATTATGACTTGCATACATAACCTGATCCGATCTCTTATCCGATCCCATATTCCTTCTACGTTGCACCTACCCACAATTGTGGCTATTAGAGTAAACTGAAACCCCACAGCCTACAGTGCACCGAACAGCGCCGTAAAGAATCATGAATCATATCTTTAAAATCCTACAAGATCTTGATCCTCAGCCTCCCATGATCCACGGAACCAAGTCCCAGATTCATCTTTTAACTATCAAATACGAAGTTTCCGACATTTAAACATAGCCATCATGGCGTCATGATAACCCAGTACTCCGGACTTGGGACCCCGTGGCCACGGTCGGGACGTGTCACGTCGCCAGTCACCGGTGTGGAATTAGCCCGATTCGACTGCTGGAACGACGAAACCATGGACGGGGAGAAAATGGTAGACCCACTCGGTGGATTTAGTGCTGATTTCTTACAGGGAATCAAAATCAGGGTGTGGGGATAAGAAAACCATTTTATTTGAAGCCTTGTCTGTATCCGTTTTTTATTTGGAATTAATTTTGTTGTCGCTTTGGTTGGTACTTCAATGTCAATTCAACTCAGAACTTGGAGTTGGCTTGGACTTGGACTTGAACTCTACTTGGAACTAAGCCGTGTAGGCTGTGGAGTTTGTGGAGATATGGCTTTATTTGGCTTTGCTTAGGCGAGGGTTACAGTAATAGTGTAGCGTGTCTTTCCGCACAGACCTTTGAATTTATTTATTCTGTATAGCATAGATTCGGCATGTCACTAAAACACGTGGAAAATATACGGGGCTTTGGGGCTTCTAATCCACTTTCTCTTTGTTATACTTTAATGGTGGAAGCCACTATCGGGATCGGTCGGAGCTTGGTTTTTTTTTTTCTCTCTTCTTTTCTTCAGCTTATCTTCATGGTTTGTGAATACATCCATGTATACTGAGCTATGTACTTTGAAGAATCAAATATGAGTGCATAAGAGCAGCGAGAACTTTATCTGGGAGCTCTTTTTTGTTCAAGGTTCATGATCGTCATATCAATTATTTACTTACCGACCCGGTATACTGTACGGAGCGAATTACTACTTACCAACCCGGGCACCCCCAGAAAGCCTTTGTGGGTGAATTTTAGTCCTAGATGATCTCGCCTACATGTCGTGCCGATCATACGGCTATGTTCCGAGAAATGGAGCCTCTAGCCCTGTTCTAGCGTTTGGGTGCGGAGGCTATGTATTCAGGTTTCTTCACCATAAAGTTTTAGGATGGTGAATCGGGTCGTGAACATATTATTGTCAATGTTGGCGATTGATAATGACAATAATGAAGTGATATATTACTGTGGAAGTTTGCATTTATGGTAGTTTCTTGAGTAGTCTAGCAATTAGGTGTGGAGTTATGTTGAAATCAAATTGTCTAGCTCTCTACTGGCGACTGCCCAGTAGAAAGACCCTGTGAATAGAATTGTGAAACATACGGCAACAAGAGAATATTGGAACATCTCAAGAAGAGGAATGGCTTGAAGAAGATTCTTATTAGCTTGTGGGGAGATTAAATTGATTTTAATTAATAATTTGCGAAAATATTTGCTGCTGTCAGTTTGATGATGATGTACTACAGATGTAGATATATATTGATGAACTTTTTGAATAAATTCTTGATGACTTATCAAATTAAATAACGTAATTCCCGGTCGGGCTGTACACCCGGCCGAGCTGTACACCCCATCAAAAATCACATCTTCCTACCAATATACCAACTTTAACCAGCCACTATGCCACCAATTCGCGCCCAATCGTCTCGAAATTCTGCCGGAAAAGAGGGTAGGATCTTATTAGCCGTTAAAGATATCAAAGATGGCCGTATCAACTCTCTCCGCGCAGCAGCAAAGCTATACGATATCCCCTATACAACGCTAGCTACGCGCGTCAATGGTGTACAATTACGCGTCGATATACGTCCAAATGGCTATAAACTAACACAATTAGAAGAGGATTCACTTATTGAATGGATAATCTCTATAGATACACGTAGAGCAGCGCCTAGGCTAGCTACTATACGAGAGATAGCTAATATACTACTAGCTGCGCGTAGTAGCTACCCTCCACTAATAGTTGGTAAAAATTGGCCATCAAGCTTCATAAATCGACGCGAAGAGATTCGATTACACTTCTCTAGGCGTTACAACTATCAACGCGCATTAAATAAAGATCCTAAATCGCTATAAGAGTAGTTTGCGACCGTACAACGTACTATTAACAATAATAATATCTAAATAGAGGATATCTACAACTTCGATAAGATAGGGTTTACAATAGGTCTTATTTCAACACAGAAAGTAGTTACGCGGGCTGGATACTACGGTCGGAGAGCTATATTACAACCAGGAAACTGTAAATAGGTTACTGCTATTGAAACTATTTGTGCAGATAGCTATTCGCTACTGCTATATATAGTTTTTAAAGGCTAAGTTACTATAGCTAGTTGGTTTGATAATCTACTAAAAGACTGGCGATTTAAGATCTTAAATAATAGCTAGACTACTGATAAAATTGGCCTACGTTAGCTACAGAAACTATTTATCCTATGTACAAATTTGTACGTATATAGCCGGTTTCGGCTATTGATTCTTGATAGCTATAGTAGCTATCTTACAGCTAAATTTAACCAAATCTGCGCAGAAAATAATATTATACTACTTTGTATACCTACGCATTCTTCGCATTTATTACAACCGCTTGATATTGGATGTTTCGCAGTACTTAAATATATATACGGTCGCTTTATAAGTGATCTTGCGCGTATAGGCTATAACCATATTAATAAGTTTAATTTTCTAGATAACTACCAACGCACAAGACTAGAAGTGTTTAAAAAGCTAATTATTATTTAAAATAGCTTTATAGTTGTTGGTCTAGTGCCTATTGATCTAGAAAGAGTGCTTTTGAAGCTTAATATCTCTCTACGAACACCAATACCCCCAGGAAGCCGACCAAGTAGTAGATCTAACCAATTTACACCAAAAACGCTGAGAACTGTCATTCAACTACAAAAACAAGCTTCTATAATAAAAAATCTATTAAAACAACGGTCAAATAGCCCACCAAGCCCATCGAAGACTATATTAGATCAAATTATTAAAGGTTACTATATATCGCTACATAACACAGCGTTACTCACACAGGAAAACGCAAATTTACGTACAGCCAATGAGAAAAAACACCAAAAACGCAATCGATCAAATAGGCAGATACCCTATGATACTGGCCTAACGGTCGAAGAGGGCCTACAACTAGCTACGCAGCTAAATTTACTAGATGAAGCTACTCCGGTGGATTCGAATACACAGGGTAAAACGCCTATTCAGCCAGGTCAGCCAGCCAAAAGGGCTCCGCCTCGGTGTAGTGGATGTGGGAATATTGGCCATAAGATCAATCGATGTATAAATCGCGTTATTTAGCTAAATTAATATATGTTGGCCAATATATATCGATTTAAATTTTTCTAATGGGTTGGGGTGTACAGCTCGGCCGGGTGTACAGCCCGACCGGGAATTACGTTAACCTTGGAATCATTGTTAGCAGAAGTGTTCAATTAGTGTACTTAGGAGACTGAAAAATCAATGTTTGAAACCTAGATAAATATGAGAAAGTTGAACAGGCAATGAATTGCAGGTAGTTATCGTACGTTTCTTTATTAAGCGGATGCGATCAAAAACTTCCAGGAGAGGGTTGATTTATTTGTTGGTGGTAATTAGCATAAAATTCATGGCAGGATCATGTAGCCAATAATTTCTCATGTTTTCAACAAGGCCGGCTGGCCCAATGGCAAGGCGCTTGACTACGAATCAAGAGATTGCAGGTTCGACCCCTGCGTCGGTCAGTTCTTTTTTTGTATTTTTGCATTATTATCTTACGAATCAACCAGTCAGGATCCACACTTGCCTCGATCGGTTATTTTTTTCTTTTTTTGAATGACCAAATTGAATGTCAACACAAGAAGGGGATTTAATTTATAATTGGAATACATTTCTGTCAACCCGATAGGTCCAGTATAACACGACCTTGCACTTTACCCTCAGCCATGTCTTGGAAAACAGATGTCAGTGCATCCATCTTTTCAACCCGATAGTGAGCCTTAAGAACTCCTCGCTGAGCAAATTCTAGAGTCTCAATCGCTTCAACCCGACTTCCAACTGCAGACCCAGTAACATTATACTGTGAACGGATAAAGGCATTCGGGTCGGCAGTAGCAATGGGCTGAGGCTCATTCTCAGGGATTCCAACACAAACCAATGTGCCGTTGAAACGCAGCATTGGTAAAGCCTGAGCGTACGCAGCATTCGCAGCAGTGCAGACTATGACTGCGTGTGCGCCTAATCCATCGGCAAGCGATACGACATGCTTCTTCAATGCTTCTCCCTTATCGTCTTTTGGGAACTTCGTAATGTCGACAAAGTGCTCGGCACCGGATGCGTTAACGACTTCCTCCTTGCTACCATGATCGATTCCAATAACGCGCATCCCCATTCCCTTACTTGCTAACTGGACTGCGAGATGTCCTAGGCCGCCACCAGCACCGGATATCACCACCCATTGTCCTGGTTTGGTGTTACTGCGTTTCAGCGCTGAGTAGACCGTCACTCCGGCACAGAGCATAGGTGCTGCAACTGCTGAGTCCAGACCGTCAGGAATCTTGGTCACATAGTTGGCTGGTCCTGTAGCATATTGCTGGAATGTGCCTGGGGTATAGTAGCCGGAAACCGTTTTCTTGAAGCATAATCCATCTGATCCTGCTTGGCAAGGGACTAATACAGGTTTATCCATAGTTAGCAATTGATTCTCATTGTGGATCAAATTTGAAACATAGAGCTTACGGCAGTTTCCGCATGCACTTGCGATCCATTTAATTCCGACTCGATCTCCAACTTGAAGACCGCTGGATTCAGTGCCCGTGCCAAGCTTGACAATTTTACCCACACCTTCGTGGCCGCCAACTTGGCCTGGTTGAGTTGGATAAGGGAGCAAACTCCACTATGCTATGTCAGAAACATTGAAGCGGACATAAAACCCTCGTGTACGCATTATCGATACATACTGTGTTTGTCATGATTCCCAAATCAGAGTGGCACACACCAGAATGCGTACTACCTCACTAATTAGCCCAATGCCTTAATATTCAGACAAAAGAATCTTTAATTACAGATTAATGAGGACTTCCCCGGATTTAGGCTCCGGGACATCGATTTCCACGACCTTGGTCGACACAGTGCCAGGCTGGTCGTAAATAACGGCCTTTTGCTTCTTTGGAATTTCAGGAGCGGCCATGATGAACGGTTATGTGAGAAGGGATAGAGTATTGAAATACAATGGCCGTATATGACACAGCTGTTGATATGAAAGGTTCTCCGAAGGCTTGGTTTAATAGTGGTTTAATGGTGCTTTTCGAGCCTCCTGGAGAGTGTTTGGAAGGAGAAGAACTGCTTATGCGGAGTGGATGGCGGGGTTCAGATCGATTGTCCTTCTTATGTAAACTAGTATCGGATGATTGACAATGAATGCCTCGGCGCCACCAGTCTCAATCAATATATGACCCTGGAACTTTGTCGGGGTAGGGGCGTATTGAAGAGGGGAAAAATGTGGAGTCATGACGAAAGGACCGAGGCTGCACACGAGTCATCGCGAGTGTGAAAATGGATGAATCTCGGAGGGTTAGAAAGGGTGCAAGATGGCTAGATAATGAGATTTGACATGGAAAAGACCATGCACTAACTTAAATACCGTCAAATTAAATGAAAGGCTTACAAGGTCCTCACCTTTGAGGATTAAGCTGTTCTGGCCCTGGCTCCTTGCATCTTGCATCATATCGCGCAGCCGTCAAGTGGGGCTGTCAAATACGATTGTAAGGCATGCGAGGTATGAAAATCAAATATAGAATATTGTTGTTGAATTATTTCAATTATTATTCCCAGCCTTGCATGAATCTTCATCTTTAATGCTGCTCAATTATGCAGATTGATTGTGTTATACAAGGGATATCTGAGGGTCTGATCATTACCCCGCACTCCCCGCAGTTCAACAATCAGATGGACAAAACCGAGACCCGGAACCATCCATTTACATATTAGGTGAGCCAGAAACGGCGCAAAATAATACATCGAATCGGTAATAGAGTCTCGGCTAATAAATGACTTATGATAATGCGATTTATGAGGCTCACGTGGTGACATTATAGCGTGAACTCAAGTAAGTTGCCGGCATAATCACGAGCAAAGAAACGCTTAGGATATTCTTTTCCTTGTGTACCTTTTAAAATGAAAGGGAGTCATTAGCTAGGCCTAGAAAGAGGAAATTCGGATGAAAAAAGATATGCTTACCAGAATCCATCTGCCCAGGTCTATCAGCAGCCATTGGCGCCGACGGACCCCCTTTAACATGGTGCTCATGAATAGCCTTCTTCAAACCCTCCAGCTCATCGCGCGTGTTTAGCTTAAAGCATGGATGCCGACTGTGCTTAGGATCCGTTGTACCCTCGTTGACATGAATTTGCTGTCCACTCGAGCCGATATCGAACCTATGACCAGATAAACAGTGAGCAACAAGATCAAAGCGGTCCGCGAATTGGCATCCCCAAAAAGTTACTCCATACCATAGAATTGTTCCCCTTTGAAGCTCTGGGACAGGACTTGAGGTTAATCCTAGAGTTTTGCTGTAGAACTCCTCGGCTGCGCCCAGTGTCCCGGGGTGGACTGTGAGGTTAACGTGAGCGATACTGGCAATCATGATGAGATATTATGTCTTTCGCTTTGTCGCTTGAGTACTTCAATGTTGAATCAGCGCGCACTCGTGGGCGACTCTCTGGTGGGGCTTGATGACCTTTTATTTCCCTGAGTGGTATCATCACCCCCACGCCGCTCCGGGTGATCGGAAACTAGATCCCGATCGCAATTGGTTTAGCTTTGGTCCAGCTGACATCATCTCGTAGACCTTTTTTTTCAATTGGCTTCATGGATATAGAATTCGTGACTCATTTTTATCCCCTTAATATCGGAATTCACACATTAAAGTGGATAGGTTTTTCAGAGAGATGCGTAGGTGTATAATGCTTTTGTCTTTGATTCTTGCTTTGCCGACTCCATTATTTACAAAGATGCAATAAACAAGTTATTTAAATTTCCTGATTGAGAAGGCATCGGCGAGAGTTTTAGTGTCCGTCGTTCTTTCTTCTGGCTCTCTCTTGGTCTCACTCAAGTGCTATAACCGTTGACCGTCAGGAAGTTCAAACTGTTTGATGGGGGTTGCATCGATAAATCAATTGTACGATTCTGCTGTGTACCCGAAAGAACCGAAGGTATTTGTGTAAGTTTTTCTATTGTATTTGGAAAACAAGAGGCAAGAAATTATTCCTTGTTCAAATGGTAAACTGACTAAATACAAGCTCTATTTAGGTTCGTTTGAGCTAGATTATGGACCGCAAAAGCCTCATGGGCGCCGCCTTGAAATAATCACCCCAGGTGGCATACTCAACCTTAGGTGGAAGGTCGACATCAAGCACCCCATCGCGCATGCCGGTATAAATGTCCATATCTTCAGGTCTCATAAGCCAGTACCCACGTTCAAGAGACGGGTCCTTGTTGAAGGAAGTGTATACAATCCAGGCAAGGAACAAGAAGAGGATAACGGGCGCAGCAAGGTAGTTTTCAAAAAAGTCACTCGCGTTCATCGGATATACCGACACGTAAAATTCGGCAATCAAGCAAAGAACATTGAGCGAGAGGCCAATATAGCTTCCAATCACACCGAGGGGAGCAGCGTAAGCAAGTTCCTTGACATCACGACCGTTGTGCGCCCAAGCTTTGCGGAATTGAATATGCGCAAGGCAAATACTACCCCAAAGAAAGAAGTCGGAAACACCAGAAAGAGCCAGAAGCCAATCGAAAATAACGTCGCCAGTAGAAGAAGCCTCGTTGATAAAAGCTAGCAAGCCAAAGGCGATCTGAAGAATAAGACACCAGACAGGCCGTCCCTGTTTGTCGATGTATGCCATCCACTTGGGCGCCATACCGCGAGAAGCCAGAGCCTGAATGGTTCGACTTGATCCGAAAGTCGCCGAGTTGGCAACGCTGATAACCGATATAGTAATAACGGCATTCATAACAGATGGGAGACCGACTATGCCGGCTTCTTGGATCGAAACCACAAAAGGAGAGTTCTTGGTATTGCTATTCGATGCACCAAAGAGATAGCTTGCGTTGTGTGGCACAATCAGACCGATAATGAAGGTTCCGAGAACGTAGAAGATCAAAACACGCCAGAATACTTGCTTGCATGCTTTTGGGAGGGATTTGGCGGGATTTGCAGCCTCGGCAGCAGCAAGACCACTCATTTCAGTTCCACCAAAAGCAAACGCTGCAGTTGTGAAGACGGTGCAGAACCCATAGAAATCTGTGAAGGCACCAGGGTCATGCCAATAGCGCGCACCGATGTATCCGCCCTTTGGTGCACCGCCGCAGTCGATCACTATACCGAGGATGATAAATCCGATCACGGCAGTGACCTTGATAATTCCAAGGGCGAATTCAACTGCAGATGATAATGCATTAGTAACCACAGTCGATGAGTTACTTAAAAGGGATTTTTACCTTCGCCATATCCTCGAACACCGAATATTTGAATGCAAGATAAGACAACTAGAAATACAGCTATCCAAATGCCGATATTCAAGTCATCACGCCAGTACCTAATAGTGATACTAGCAGCAGTGAGCTCAAATGGAAGCATAATTAGCCAGCTGATTGCATAGTCCCAGCCGACCGCAAAACCCCTTATTATTCACAATTAGCCACATCCATTCGGGGTTTTTGGAGACAGAGACTCACCAGGCAGGATTGATGAAGCGGACACAGTATGTGAAGAAGGCACCGTTTGTTGGATAGAGGACGGCTAGTTCTCCGAGCGCATGGATAGTCAACAAAAGCATACAACCTACAGTCAAGTATCCGATGAGCTTAAAAAAAACCGTTATTATTCTGTTTGCCATTGAACCATTCTAATCTCCTGCATTGCTTACCAGAGAGCCAGGACCTCCCTCTCGCAAAGCACTACCGGTGCTAACGAACAGACCAGCACCAATGGCACCTCCTAATTGGGGTAACACAATTAGTCGAGGAGATGGGTTGTTGTACATCAAGAATTCTCATACCGATGGCAATCATTTGCATGTGGCGCCCTTTCAAGTTTCGCTTGAGAGCATTCTGGCCATTCTCAATGTCAATCGTTTCACCGACCACAGCCGCATCGTCATAAATCGGAGGTGACCCATCAGACTTAGTCTGAATAGTGGATGGGAACTTCTTCTCAACTTCTTCCTCAGAAGAATTCATCTTGAATATCGAATCAAATCAATGAAGCTCTATTCGATTGAAAAAGAAATATTCCTGCGGCCCGGAAATGGCTGGGGATTTTATAGGATCGGCTACAAGATAACCTGCACGCCACACCACGTTTCAGGGGGAACGGCTGGAAAAGAGTCTCAGACCTCGCGATACCAGATAGCGGGCGGGGTCATGCCATCATGCCAACCTGATTGCGAGATAAGCCTCTCTGGGCGATCGGTATTCCGGTCTGGGGTACCCCTGCGATCAATCAGGCTTGAGATAATGTCATAGACCAAAGCTTCATGCGCCCGACAAAACAGGGCAACCCGGACACCCCGAGACTCACTTAAAGGTCTGGGTTTTTGTTGGCATGCATCATGGTCTGCGGGGAATGTTCTCAGCTGGAGTCCCTTGCACCACCAGACGTTTTCGAGTGGGCCGTCGATGCACGGATAACATCTCGAACGCACGGAGAGTCACACAGTTGAGTCTGGACTGACATAAAGGGGGTTCAATCGGCATTGAATTCCCTCTATGTGCAAATGTAGAAGTGAAATCGAGCCCGATACTGGATCCGACGTGACGTTTTGGGGGCATTTCTACGCGACGAGATAAGGAATAAGTACACACTAGTCGAGGTAATATCCAAAGACGAAGCTAACACGAGGACGGCCCATAGGCATGAGCTACGAATATGTGGCGTTGATAAGTCGAAGGTTAATGAAGATCAGTTGCGTGCGCGTCAAAGCAAGGCTTGGCGTTTGATATGAACGCTTGTGCTCTACGTCGAGTGCTTTATCTTCGACCAATGATATCGGAAGGGATCCACACAATTTCGCCATAAAGGAATGTAAATAGTTTGGCGTGTAAAATTAAGATATCACAGAGTTTGAAAGAGCAAATTAAAGTCGTGATAATAGTAAATCTAAAATTAAACATCGTTATCTAGGCAATAGCGGAATCTATCCCGTCCCGTGCATAGCTTTCAGGTGGATATGCATATGCATTCTGATTGGGCCTTTGCCTAGGAATATCATGATGTACATCTATGGATATTTTTCGCGTTCCTTTGATTAAACGAGCTTTCCTATTTTTATTAAGATTTCTTAAGGAAGTTTGATCTTTCAAACAAGACAAAGAAAAAGAAGTTCAACTTGAAAGAAACTAGTCTATATTTTTAAAAAAGCGACAGAAAAGAACACAAGATTAGAGCAAATCTGGGTTAGAAATGACAAAGAGCATTTGCAAGCAATAGTTTTCAGGATCCGCCCAGGTGCATATTTCAGAAATGAACTTTGTTCCTGATTCGAAGCCTCCAATGACAAGGGCTGCAACGCCTCGGGCATTTGGAGTAGACAACAGAGCCTGGTATTCAGGGGTGCCATACTTCCAGCACAAGGGCTCAGGCCATTTTTTATCGTTCATCTCATATACGCGAAGCACAGTACGTACAGTGACACTGTTCACAACATCCACACGGAATACATACCTCAAATCCTCACTCTGATAATGGCGATAAGCAGCTAGGGCGATCTCAGACCAATGCCATCCATGTGAACGTCGACTGCTCAGAGAGAATAACACCCGGTCCAGTTTGCAGAAAGTAGTCATTGACCACGAGGTGCTCATTGCTTTTCAAGCTGCCGTATACCACCTTTCTTACTGTTTGCTTGATAGTGACTGCCTTGTACCGTTTGTCAATTGGAAGATTTAATTCCACCATGACTGGCCACAATCTCGGCGGAGGCGGATACATGAACTCAGGTGAGCCAAATATATCATCACCTTCGTCGATAGTCCAGCCGCAGAAGAATTTCAGCATGTTGATCGTCAAGCGCGCACGCAAGATTGGACATGATTTATCGTCCGAATCATATTGCCATTGTTGCCATTTTTCGCCATATGCCTGCTCTCTCCCATATTTACGCGTGGACTCAAACGCTTGAGAGTTAGCCATTATTTGATCTTACCTTGCTGAAATAGGCTTGCTTGGGATGAATTCTGCTGTTAGTGCAACATGAAATTATTTTAAGTTGATTGAAAGACAGAGAAGCATAACGAGGAGGTACGGTGTATTTAAGAAGAATCTACCAGAGACTCTAGTCTTAGAGAGTCTAAATCGGGGCAAATATCAGGTGAATGGGTAAAATGAACAAAGAAATGGAAGCAAAGTATTCTTAGTGACAATGGAGCAAAGTAACCACCACAAAGAATAAGAAAGACATCTTGAAAGATGCTATATTAGATAAATATAGAAATTCTTGAACAATGAGCTTGATTTCAGATAATAATACAAGGCCATTCATGAAACAGGATCTTGTGGATACTTCAGTTCTAATGGAACCAAATTGAAAGACATTAGTACCTCAGATATTAAAATTCTCATTATTCCCCCACAATAGATGAATCCCCAGAATAAAGAGAATCGTTATAGCGATCGGGTGATTCCTACACTCTTGCTGGAAATCGAAAAATCCTACATCCTCAGAGCTTTGATTTTAATAAAATTGGAGTCAATTTTAATCGCCCTGAATCCCTGGGTAGTTCGAAGAGGACTCAAAAGCCAAGGCTGATTGATGCACCCACAACCTTCTTCCCGCATTTTGTGCACCCCCCTCAACTCAGAATAGCTATATTCTAAATTTCCCCACCATTTTCTCGCAAGCCAGGTAGATTTGTGATGGAAACAAAAGATCCCGCTTTCTTTTACCAGGATTTCCCGTGTCGTGTGCTTCGGGATCCTATACCACAGAGTGGGGTACTAGTATCCGTATCCCATGCCTAGTTTTCCCTGTCTTTCAGTCTTCGACTATATAGTGATTTAGGTGGAGTTATGAAAAGCAAGTAGCTTTAGCAGGTTATTCTGTATACTTCTCTCTTATTGGTATAGTATCACCTGCGGGTTGCGGCAGATTCAAAGAACAGTGCTCGCACTTTGACAAGCATATTTCATGTTTTACGGATGTCCTGACGGCATTAAGTGGCGTTAATTTATTTTGGAGTTTGCACGAGACAGTAGGCTAATTCTCTTTGAGTATCAAGGTTTCTTTGATTTGCGGATTTTGATATGAGAAAGATCTATATGGCATTGCCCCGAGGTAGCTTATTGTCGCTTGAAGTCGGTTATATCTGTTAAACGTTAGCCACGAATCATCCTCGTATCTTATGGCAAGGCACCTTTGCTTTACAGAATTAGAGACTGGGCCAATTCTCTATATGACTTGAATACACGAAGTCCGAAAATATAGAATCTTTTTGGGTTCAAACTTCAAAGCTTGCGCAGGTGGATTCGGATGGATTGATTGGTACGGAGTAGTCATGAATGGACTCATCTAATGATTCTCAGTAGCACGTCAGTGAATAAGATCAACATTGGATCCCCAGACCCTAGCATTATATGCCAGTGTATGTCGTACAGGATCGAAAAAAACTATATCTTTTACTCCCCATCCTGGCAGTTTAAAACCGTGATTGTTGAGAACTTCAATCTCTAACTATGTTTTGGAATTCAAACTCACAGAATCAATTGGAAAACATCATAATGTGGCCCGCCTCGCCAGATAAGGCATTGAACGCCTACCTATTCATCCCAGTCTTGATCATTTTCTTCAAGATTTTCATGATATACAAGCGTATTATCAAGAAAAGCAAGATTTCCAATCTACCTGATGTGGGCGTACAATATTACTTACGCATATAAAGATGGAAAGCGCATTGAAACCGATCCTTGGGACATAAAACTCATATTTACAGCAGCGACTGAGTCATTCACAGCCTCCTTTCAAGTCCGAGACTGGAAGAAGCAGGATATCATAGAAAGGGATTGGAAAACTGTATGTGAAGATAATACCGGGATGTTGGAAAAGATTCGGCCAAGAAGGCACTCTAAAAATTACGATTTGGGAGAGAGCCCAGTAGGTAGTGGAACGGCAAGCAATGAAGGAGAATGTGGCGATACCGACCTCCGGGAACATTGTATCTAAGCATCAACAGGGAGAGAATCCTCGCCGGCTTCAAGCCTGTTTTGACCTTGACACCATGAAGCCCAAGCTAAGCAACAAGTAAATAAAGCATACTTCCTCGCTATAGCCTCAGCTCTGCCGTCCCCCACAGTGTTTTTCATTCCTTATCATTTACTTCATTCTTCTCTACTCTTGTCTCATAGTAAATGACTCTGCAAATGACTCTGCATAAATTGTGCCCGACAGTTGCAGATGCTGGTCGAGAAAACAGTTTGTAGATTGGTGGGTTGCTGCCCCAGGCACCAATGTCATCCACTGCATTTCTCACTCCGTAGCTTCCCCACGCATCTTCATCTTTGCTGATCGTGTCCCATAGCCCATTCCTAGAAATTCGATACTGCTCCTCCCTCCCCCCATATTCATCTCCGGGGAAACAATCAGCCCATGGTCGCAGATGAAGCGTTGTACTTTCGGTGCTTCACGGGAGAGAGTATGGCCCCGACAACTGGATTCGGTAGCCCGTTGTGGACATAAAACATGTCCAGCCCCGTTGATTCCGTCGATGCCGTTGGTTGGCCGGAGAATGCCGACGCCCACGCTTATAGGGTGACAACCATGAGAAGCCGCTCAGACAGCCTTAACCCAAATGGGAATACGGTTCCCGCCTTTCAGCGTGCTGATTTCTCGCGATGTGGTCTTCCTTCTTATTCGGGACCTGAATACCTCTATGGGTATTTGAGAGGTTATCTTCTCCTATGATGCAACGAAATTCCCCTTTTTGTCCCCAAACCCGTTTTCTGATCCCCACAACTCAACGACGTTGTGGATGTTCAATCGCGGGTATCGCTAACCGGATTGGCGAAGAAGCGAAAAAGTGGGGAAAAGATGGGCCCTAAAGCGTCTTAGCGGAATAACTTTGGCCTCGGTAAAGGGCATTTAAAAGCCCCTCCAGCTCCTGTTTTTCCATCCCCCTGCTGTTTCCGAGTCCTCAAAATTCGTCCTTATTTGTGCAATTTCACGCAATCGTTCAGCCTCATATCCGCACTAGGAAATTTATCATGCGAGGTGGTGCATAAGCGCCTGTTCTACTCACCCTCCTCCCTCCTATCCCCACTCGGAAGTTAAAGTACCTTTGTACTTTCCGTTAGGGCGGCGCCGAAAAAGAGAAAAAAAGAAGAAGAAAATAAACTTTTCATCATGAAGGTCGAGGCTGGTTTAGAGGCGACCGACGATCAGGCTTTGGCCCGCCTGGGCAAAAAGCAGGTGCTTAAGCGACGGTTTGGGTTCTTTTCGATCGTCGGCTTCGCCATGGCTGAGCTGATCACATGGGAGACTGTCCTTACTCTCTTTTATGAATCCGTGGAGAATGGAGGCCCGGCTGGAGCTTTCTACGGGTATATAATTGCTTGTCTGTCAACCTTGTCGACATATACTGTCATTGCCGAATTGGCTTCCATGGCGCCGATTGCTGGTGGGCAGTACTACTGGGTTTACATGCTCGCTCCAATGCGATGGAAAAAAGTTTGCTCATATCTCATCGGATGGCTTACCTCCCTGGCATGGATCGCCACGATCGCCACGGAAACCATTTTTCTCGGCACCATGATTGAAGGACTGATCACCTTGAACAACCCGGATTTCGTTCAACAACGTTGGCAAAATACCCTTTTAGCTTGGGCGAGTGTTGCTGGGACCTTCTTCATCAACGTCGTTGTCCCGAATATTCTTCCACGCTTTGAGATTGCCATTCTGGTCTTGCACTTGGCTGGGTTCATTGCTATTACTGCCACGCTGCTGGCAATGTCGCCTAAGAAGTCGGCCGACTTTGTTTTCCGTACATCATTAAATGATGGTGGCTGGCCAACTCAAGGTCTTTCGTATTGTGTTGGCTTTATCGGAAACATTGCAACCTTTGTCGGTGCTGATGCTAGTGTGCATATGGCCGAAGAAGTCGCCAATGCCGCGACTGTGATTCCTCAGGCCATTATCACCGGAATGACTCTCAACAGTCTTCTTGGATTCTCAATGATGCTCACGGTTCTGTACTGCCTGGGTGATGTGAAGTCAGTATTGGGTTCATCTACAGGATTCCCTTTCATCCAAGTGTTCTACGACAGCACACACTCCTACACGGGAGCTTCAGTTATGACTGCGATCATCATGGTACTAACGATGGCTTGCTCCACCGGTATCACCACTACTGCATCTCGTATGACTTGGTCTTTTGCCCGTGATCAAGGCCTGCCCTTCTCCCACTATCTGAAAAGTGTGAACAAACACAGCAGAGTTCCTATCGTATCTGTCGCCGTAGTCTGCGGATTTGCCTGTGCCCTGTCTCTTATCTACATCGGATCCACTACCGCCTTCAATGATGTGATCTCCCTAACCGTCACCGGATTTTACAGCACCTATTTTCTCCCAAGCGCCTTCCTTCTCTATCACCGGATTAAAGGAAATGTTCTACCCCATGGCACCATGCTCGATGGAAGTCACCCGGATGCGCCCTCTAATGCCCCTGATAGTACAAAGGAAAAGCCTGCAGCCCTTGTGCAACCCAAAGAACCCGGCGAAGGGGTCCTCTCTAGCCCAAGTCCTGCCTCTAGCCCCGAACGCAACAATTCGAACGAAGCCCAGCGCCCAATGGAATTTGAAATTGCCCAAGCACCTCTTATTTGGGGTCCCTGGAAAGTTCCCGGAATATTGGGAACCATTAACAACGCGTATGCTTGTGCGTACATGCTCTTTGTTATCTTCTGGAGTGTGTGGCCTCCACAGGCCTCTGTTGACTACTCGACCATGAACTACAGTATCGTCGTTACCGCCGGTGTTCTGATTCTGAGCGGTATTTGGTATTTTGTTCGAGCTCGCAAAGAATATAATGGCCCGCTTATTGATGAAGAGGTGGCTGAGATCATGCACCTTACTCCAGGAGCAGTGCGACCGAACTGAGTCGATTATGCATTGGAAATGAGGAGAAGGAAGGACGACACGGTCATCGGACAGGATAAGCGAGGAAATATTGTATTATAGTCTTGATCTGCTTGAGTGGCAGTTTAGGAGAACCACCTTGAACACCATGATCTTTGTTCAAGTTCAAGTTATGACTGGGCGATTGAGTATGATGATGATATTATGTGACATAAAAGTGCAGGATACCCCTCGAAATGAAGCATTACTCAAAACTTACATTTTTGACCACACGTATAGAAAATAAAACCACAGAAGAAAACAACAATGTGGCCGTGGAAGTTAGGAGTCAAAGCATCACGAAAGCATGAAATCTGCATATGCTCCAAGAGAAGCATAGACGAATCACATTTTCCCCAAGACGAACATGTTCGCGATCGGAACCGTGTGGTTAATATTCATACTAAGTATTTGCCCCGATTGGCTTCCGAAGCTTACAAGAAAATGGAAAAGCGTATAAAGCTGCAGAAAGCCCCCACCAAGGTCGATCCAACCATAACTTGTATTGGAGCTACCTAAGCGGGAGATTGGCAGCCCCAAGACCTCGTCGGAGTGATTTGCAGGCCAAGGATTTGGACGGATCCTGAACCGTGTTCTCGTATGCATCTTTGATTTGGTCCCTAATACGCCTCTATGCCCACATGCGCCAGTAACTTATGCACTTTACTTCCAGGCATTTTTTTCGGGAAATGCCATTTTCACATGAGATCTGTCAACCTAGTCCCATTATTTTTAATATGAGCCATGGGTCGCTGTGGCTGTCATGTTAGGAGTAATATCCATAGACTCGAATGAATCTTCACGAAATGGAAGAAACATTTGGGCCATACGCGCCTATGAAGCAGTTTGTGTTGTGCTTTGATGGGACAGGGAACAAGTTTTCCGGCGATGGGTCGGACACAAACCTGGTGAAAATTTATCGAGTAAGCAGAAGTCCTCTTAGCTTGTTTCCAGTCATTTTCATTATCCATGATTTCAGTTGCTTGTCAGACCAAGTTAATCTAACTATTGGGGCTATAGATGTTAGATCGCAGTCAAAGCCACCAGTACCATTATTACCAGCCTGGAATTGGCACATATGTATCATCGCGCTCACTCGCCAGCAAAGGGCGATTAGAGCGCATCAAATCCGCCTACAAGAAAGGGATTGACGCAGCCCTAGGTTCTTCGTTCGACGAGCATGTTATAGGCGGATACACGTTTCTGATGAGATATTATGTTCCTGGCGATGATATTTACTTCTTTGGCTTCAGTCGAGGCTCGTATACGGCCCGATTTCTAGCGGAGATGCTGGACTTTGTCGGCCTCCTTCAACCAGGCAATGAAGAACTGATTCGATTTGCATGGAAAACTTTCGCAAGATGGCAACAGCGGAAAGACGCGACGAGGCAAGATCATGAAGAGAAGCATAGGCTGTTCACGTTCATGAAGGCATTCCGAGAGACTTTTAGTAGTCCTGTCGGGCGGATTCGATTCATGGGCTTGTTCGATACGGTCAACAGTGTTCCTATGTTTGAGAATGCTTGGATGGAGAGAAACAAATTCCCGTATACGGCTTATAGTACTGCTAGGGTGATTCGGCATGCTGTCTCGATTGACGAGCGTCGTGCCAAGTTTCGACAAGATTTGATTGCTGAAGCTACTCGATTTCGACTACCGGGTCATACCCATAGACTGAGACACCTTCTGGACCATGCGAAGTCGAGTGTCCCTGAAATCGTTCTCAATGTGCCCGAACATGACAATATTGTGGACGAGAAGGAAGTCCGAGCTTCGCGCCTGGATTCAAATGGAGAAGAACGATATAGAGCTCCTTCACCATCGCCGAGGCGAAGAGCTAGTACGGAGACCCCGACTCAAAATGGTCTCATGCCTGACATAGCATCGCTTAAAAGCAGCGTTTCGAAAACTTCTCTACAGGTTCCAAACATCAAGATTCCCGGAAATGTTTACGATGATGACGAGGACGATGAGCAGGATATCTATATTGGAGGTGGTTGGCAGCTCAATCCGGAGGACAAATGGCCACTTAGCCACATTCCTCTCGTGTGGATGGTTAAGGAAGCTCAACACGTAGGGCTTGAATTTGATGCCGGAAAATTCAAACGTTTCAATTGCTACGAAGAGCCGACAGGCGAGTTTCTTCAGGCTAAGGATATAATGGTCTCTAATGGCCCTGGATCAAACAGAAATAAAAATCATTGTCGGGAGAAAAACGCTTTCAAAGAAACTTACACTCAGACTATGGACCATGGAATTGTTCATGACTGTCTCACATATGCGGGAGGCTCATCCTTCTCCTCAACCTTCGCATGGCGTTTAATGGAATATCTCCTATTTCGAAGAATGGATCTTCAAACGGATGGGTCTTGGGAGCCAATAAGATGGCCATTACCCCGTGGAGAGACGCGTGATATTCCCGATGACGCTCAGATTCACGTGTGTGCTATTCACCGCATGCAAATCGATCCCAACTACCGACCGGGAAACCTCATTATCAGAGGTGGTGGGCGAGGTGTCAAGCGCGCCGACGAGAAATACATAATTGGGGAATGGGAAATTTGCAAGCATGATGACGATCCCGTTAGACAGACTTATATTCGCAAAAAGCGAGAGAACGTATGTCAAGATATTCCACCTTCGGCTTAGCAAGTTTGAAGCGTATAAGTGATCTTGTTGCAATTAATATACCAAGTTCCGCAATTGGTTCAATAAATTGGGATATTACTGTCACGCCCTGGCATTTGTCAAATTCTGTTTCTGAGTCGCTTGGGACTGAGAATGTAATATAGGCTGATAAGAGCAGTAAACAGAGCACCTGTCCGCCATGCCGAAACAATTTTGTGTATTCTTAGATCTGTATGTAAATAAATAGAAGGTGATATAGAGAAGGCGAAGTTCAATAGATCTCGTCACACGGTTACTAATTTTTACGAAACGGGCATGTCTTTCTAGACAGGAACAAACTTCTCGTGTCCATCCCACAGACTGACAAGCAGGGATCTCTTTCCAACCCATGGGGAACGGGCGTGCTAAACATCAATTAGTATAACGGATCAATCAGAATAAAAGAAGATACTGTTGAGTGTGGCTTCATACCTGGACTGTATAGTTGTCGAGAATCGCGACGTCTCCCTCTTGCCAAGGAACCAAGAAACCAATATCATCAGAAATTGCCAGAAGCTTTTCCAAATACTTTTGAGGGATCTCAGATCCATCTCCATAAGTAGTTGGCAGGTGAATACCGCCATCAATACCACGGTGAGGAGGCTTCAGTGCCTGTCGATCTCGCTGTCGGCCGTAGACGCCACCGAGGCCATTGAATGGGACGATCTGATCTGTGGATGCGATTCGCCGGAAAGCAGGCAGACTCTGGATAACATGCAAGGCACCATTAGGCTGCCACTCTGCTTCAGCTTGGAGGCGTGTCTTTAGCACTTCTTCTACTTTGCGGCGCTTATCTTCTAACGAATCATCGGTACTAATGGTGAAACCATAGGAGTCTTGCCAGTTCCACCCAATTGTTTTTGACTCGGGGTCCTCTTTGGCCGGGTAATATTGCCGCCCAATTATTCCTAGTCAAGGTATGTTAGAACCGTAAAACAGTGCCTACGCTGCGTGTGACATATCTATCCTGAACCGAGCGTACCTTTCTCAATCAATGTGTCAACAAACTCGGGTGTTTCCTCTCGCAGTCTATCGTACAGTTCAATAGTAGAAAGCAAGGGAGTTTGTCCACCTATCGCTATGTTAGTTTCTGGAGAATAGGTAGAAACTGGTTTACCTTACCTGATTCAGGAACCACTTGGGAGAAGAAGAACAAGACACCTGGAAAGTGGGCGCTGCGACCATATTCATTATGGTAGTAGAACTTCACATCTGGAGGCTCCTCGTTCGCAGTCTTGACATTGCCACCAGCATAAGTAGTTCTTTTACCTGACAGGCCTACTTCTTGATGAATTTGTGGGAGCTTGAAAGCTTCAGTGAACTTTGATAGATCTTCAGGCTCCTGAATAGGAAACCCGCGAAAGAGTATAGATCCGTCTGATATCTGATTAGTTGGAGAATACTATAGAAGGAAACGGGGACAAGCATACGCCGAGTCAGGATATTGTTGAATACATCCTTTTCAGCCAGAGAACTGATATATTTCAAACTTATGTCCAAGTCTGCACCCACTAAGTCACCCTTCGGCTTGATCCCGATCGGAAATGATCTGCCGTGGACCAACCGGCGGTTCGGGATATCAAATGTCTCGATAAGAAGATCAGATTCTCCCACCAGTCTGGTCAGATCCGCCTTTTCAACTAGTGTTTCGGTCATTTTACTTTTTCTGATCAAGAAAGTTGAGTTTTTACTTTACGATAATTAGAACCAAGTTCCAGCAATAAGTATTTGTGGCTGCGAATTTTGAAGATGCAGAGTTCGACTTCGGATGATATAATCACGTAATAAGGGTGGTCCGAAATGCTAGAGTTGTCGGTGTTTGTTGTACTAGATAACACCTTTAGACTAGATCTAGAGATTACATTAACGGTGTATCTAATGAGAGTGCTCGCTTCAAATGCCGAGATTTCAAATGTCAAGATTTCAAATGCCGAGATTCGAACGCTCCTTTCAATGTTTTGCCTTCAAGCTTGGCTTGCTAGTTAGGCGGACCTGGCACTTTCGAGCCGACACTTTTTTTTATAACCAACTTCGGCTCCAGTATTTCATAGATAATGTTCAATCTGATATATTAACTCGAATACAAACTATTCACTCCATGATAATATGATTGTATAATGAGAATAAAATGCTTTTCCGAACAATGATCCCAAAATGTTGCGAGTCAGCAGTGGTTGCGCCATAATTTACGACGGAATCGTGATAGCTCCCCCCACAAAAATGTATGAAATCTTGCTGGGCCCCAATAGAAACAACGAGTATCGAGCGATGAGGAATACAAGGGCCTTATAGCGATATCATATAGAGCGATCCTGATAGACTAGTGCAACCATGGCTCAACTTATATCTTTCGAAGTTTATCCGCATCAGTTCAAGTTTGATTAGGGCCTAGGAAACAATACTATAAATTTGTCGCATTGAGGGAGAAGATGTCCTCTTCCGCTTTGGATGAAGACCGACGCCAGTATGGCGAGCGACCGGCTAAACAAAAGTCATGGCGGCATTACTTCTGGGACGCTTGGGACAAGCCCGAAGAGGTGAGTAGATTGATGATTAAGATGTTAGGATATGGGTTAATTGATTTCACTCAATAGGAGAGGAGGCTTCTTCTGAAAATGGACTTGACCATTTTGACTTTTGGTTGCCTCAGTACATTTATCAAGTACCTGGACAAGTATGTATGCCGATCAGGAGTAATATGGGGGATAAAACCACTGATATTGTATAGATCCAACCTTCAAAATGCTTTTGTTAGCGGCATGAAAGAGGAAATGGGCCTCTATGGCAATGTAAGGAAGTCCCACTGCAACTTCGACATGATCTAATCTTTCCACCTTAGGAAATGAACTATGCAACTACAGCATACTCAATTGGAAGCGTACGCTAAGGATATCAAAGCTCAAAAAAATAACCAAAACTAAGTAACTAACAAATGCCCCTAGATAATTGCTCTGTGGCCGTGTAATCTGCTACTCACTCGAACAAACCCCAGATACTTTATTCCACTTCTTGAAATCGGCTGGACAATCACTACCTTTGGTCAGTCTGTGATGACAAAGCCCATTCAAATGTATGTGCTCAGGGTAATTCTGGCAATATTTGAGACAGGTCATTTCTCTGCAGTGATTTATCTTTGCGGAGCTTGGTACAAGAAGGAAGAGCTCTCGCGTCGTGTCGCAATCATCAATATGACCACCGCGATCGGACCCATGTTTTCGAGTTATCTCCAAGCTGCTGCGTATAACGGACTCAACGGCGTTCATGGAAGGTCTGGTTGGCGATGGTTATTCATTATCGATGGTACGTGCATGAGAACTTGAAGGTCCTCGGTCCGGTTGAGTGCTCCCCTAACATCAACAGGTTGTATCTCTTTGGGCATCGTTGCTCCTCAGCCTTTTTTCTACCCTGACGTACCAGCTCGACAGAAGCCAGACCGCCTCTTCACCGAAAGGGTGGGTCTCAAAGATAAAACATTGACTTATATATATGTCTAATAATTTGCAGGAAATCGAGCTGGCTCGAGACAGGAACCCTCGCGAGGGACGAGTGAAACAAGGAGCATTCACCATGCAGCAGGTGAAGCGTTGGGTCCTCACGCCGGATATTGTATGTATTGCTCCGAGGTTGCCGAACCTTGTTTGATGCTAAAAGTACTACTAGTGGCTTCTTTGGGTGATTTCTTTGTTGGTGACCCGCGGATTCTGTATTTATTCGAGAATATGCTAATCGTCTTATAGCTGTAACGATGTTTGCCAGCAGCCCGCACTGTCAATTACCTACTGGTTCAAAGCATGGAATACCATCAAGCCTGGCTCATACACGGTGGCTCAAATTAGTGAGTATCGGCCAGCAATTTCAGTACACTTCGACTGACATTTCTATAGACAACTATGCTACACCAATCCAAGCAGTGATTGTCGTCGTCAGCCTTTCTATGGCCTGGGCCAGTGACACTGTCTTTGGTGGACGGAGATGGCCTTTACTCGTGATTGGATCCACTCTCTCCACTGTAGTATTTCTCACTCTAGCCTCTACCCCAGTCTTTCCCGAAAATCGCTCAGGCCGATGGGCCCTATATTATCTGACTGGCCTAACTCAATCTGGAAGTTCCATGTTCTGGGCCTGGACTCAAGATACTCTCTCAGGAGACCCAGCAACTCGAGCGTTTGCCTCTGCTGGCCTCAACGTATGGGCTTATGTGGGTGACGCTACTATTCCCTTGGCTATCTTCCAAACAGTAAATCAGCCGGGCGTCGTAGCGGGCAACTACGGAGCTGCAGGATTTGCTATTCTCCAAGTGCTGACATCGCTTGGTCTGGCGTACCTCCAGCACTGTCGACGAGTGAAGGGTAAAGAGCTCATCGAGGAGGATAATGGAAGAACTGTGGAGGAAGCGGAGGAGGAATCTTTCTCTTCAGGTGTAGAGATCAACAAAGCTGGACCCGTCGTGGATGAGCATGCGGTGTAAATGGTGGTACTGTTGGAAGAGAAAGATTTAGAGCGAAGAGACTCATACATACACGCTTGCAAGAAAGGCATGTTGTTGATACATTTTAGATCAAAGACAGTTCCATGCGGAATTTTGTGATTTGTTCAAGGTTATGGTATCGCCTACCAGCTGCTCCTTCAAGTTGGCATCGAGGTTTCCAAGGGTGTGGTAGTAGAGGACGGCCAAGATAGACAGATGTGTTGAGTCATTTCCGGCAAACCTTTTCCTAGCAGTCATCGACGCAATACGTATGTCGTTCGATTTATCTGGCTCTTCCTGTTGAAATACAAAGAACTGCTCAAGCATGTTGTTGCGGCCATTTTCTAGATCAACTTGTGACAATCCTCGCTAGACGGGTCTTAGCCTCATAGTTGCATCTCTGCCTAGTGCTGTCGCAGCATGGTTGCCTTGCCAGTGCTCCCGATGTTTCATCGACAATCTTCTCGGGCTTCTGCCGATCTGGTGGCTTAAAGCTACTAGCGCTCGGTAATGCAGGCACATCTCTTCAATAGGATAAGGGGCGGGGAGTCGGTGTGAGACAGCCCGGTTAGCAGTCAATCTACAGGCATGTAGATCCTTGTGGGGCTAGGTTACAAATCTTTGGTTTCCCCCGGGATCGACCCGAGCCACATGTGCATAAAAGTACGGCCAGATTAGCTCCACTAAGCTCCCCCAGATGAAGAATGTGGAAATAGGAGCTAAAGCCGACTGGGATTTATACGAGTGTCTATGGCTTGTTCAATGAGTGCCAAGCGATTCAAGATATGTTGCACTTTCTGATGCAGGAGATAAGACTTTTTGATGTTAAGATCCTTGTATACTATCTTAAGAATGTCTTGCACTACTAGTCTGAGCTCGGTTGACGAGAGGGTGCACGTTATCATCAACAACATCACGCAGGCAACTTTAATGAAAATAAGTTTTATTGAAGAAAATATGTCCCCAGGCGAGGCGCACACTCTTTTCCCTTGCATGACTGATCTTGCTGTGATGAAATTTGCTCTGGTTCTGAGATGTGAGAAAATTTGTAATGAGCTATTGACATCCGTCGATCTGCGGGTATCGAAATTTTTGGACCCGTCAAGGAGGCGAAATGGGTATCATTGAAACTAAATTGGCAGAAAGCAACTCGGTGTACTGAATGTTGTTGTTGTTGTTGTTGTTCTTGTTGTTGTATTTTATGTTTCAAATAATTAGGTAGTCATCTTGATGTGGTAGTTCGGAATTATGCGTCTGCAAATGATAAGTAACAAGATCACACCAAGATGCCTGCAATTGAACTTACAAAAGGTCTCCATGGCACATTGTTTCTATCATGGTTTGACTGTTGTGCCCGTGCTTGCCAAACCTTCTCAAGAATGTCCTGTGGTGCATAAATTCCCATTTCAGATCTAGCTTTGATCTCTGCATATCGCAACATGATGTAATGCCGGGAATGCTGAGAAAGGCAGTCGGCACCTGCTATAAAAAGTGGAAGTACCAAGAGTTCAATCAATGGACTAGAAGCTGGAATATTCGAGATTGAGTCTAGAATCTGATTCACCGACTCTTGTATGTGGGGCGTAAAAGCTGATTCAGTATCATCGAGGAGGCGTCTAGTAGAGAGGATACAGGTATGGCGGAAGGCCTCGGCAACCGATAGCCAAAGTGAATTTGCGTCTGGAAAGAAGCAACGAGAGCTATCCCAAAGATAGAACTTTTGGATCGAGCCCTTCAGAACATTTTGAAAGACTTCCGTACTTATTCTGCCTGTCGAGTGAGCTTTCGTATGCTCAAGCACGTTGCCAATCACCAAGACTAGCTCTCGTGGACAGCCATTGACCGACTCAAATCGTAAGTCACATAGAGACAGTAGCTTTTCGCGAAGTTTCTGAGGAAAGCAAAGTCTCTCTGGGGCAGAAAAGGACCGGATGATATCTAGCCTGCAGCATCGAAGGAATGAAAAAAGCAACTTCTTTTTTTTGCAGTGAACGGATTAACTTACCAAGCCAGATTTCCCAGAAAGAAAACTGTTCTCTCATCAGAGACAGTCAGCCGTTGGTCCAGCTTTAACTGGGAACATATAGACATAGCACCGGATATATGAGCCCCGTGCAAGGAGACACCCGATTCGCAGATCTTCCATTCAATTAGAGATGGACAATAAATTGACATAGAGTAACTTACATCATGGAGGAGGAGAATTTGGATCGTAGCGAACACGCCATCTCGATCACTATCGTTGAAGTCTCCCGAGCTTACTTTTCTAATTGCAACGCCAAGCTCAGCAATAGCTTTTAGTCGATAATCCACAGCAACCGCTTCATGGAAATGTTTGTTCGAATTCAGATGACCAAAATGGCAGGCTGATAATGCAAGCACGGCATGTAACAGTCCAATCTGTTCGTAAGCCAGCGAGAGAACATAGACCCGATAAGGGTTTTTGCTTTCGACACGGAGGGCTATTTGATGGGGACAGATCACACGATCATCTGTGGTTGATTTAGCCCAAAGTCTATCAATAGTACCATTTCGAGAAATTACAATGTGTAATGAGCATTCCAGTCTCCGCAGAAGCAAGAACTCTCTTGATTTCTTGCTCATCACTGGGTGTAGAGTTATCTGGAGAAGTGGGATATTCGTCACGAGTGCTTGGCGCAGGAGAAGTATCATTTGACGCATTTTGGACTTGAGTTGTTGGGGATGTAGCAACTTGGTCGACTGGCACATTCTGATTCCTCCACTTTCCTCGGGTGGCAATCCCGCAAAATCGAAACTTGTCAGGATACCCGCCACATTGCAGTCCCCTGCTGATGCAGCGCTTGCACATCGGCCGAGCACGATCGCATCGTCTTGATTTTTGGCGACATGTCAAACATGCAGCGTCTATTAAGATGAGAAGATAATAGTGTGAGGTCAGTGGGGTGGACTTGGAGATCAGTACAAGAGCCGCGCACCGGTCGATCGCATTTTTGTATCTGGCAGCTCCAGGTTATCATTATTCTAGTGGCCTAGATTCGAGAAATCCGCGCTGTATCAGTTGAGAACCATCCCAAAGCAGATGATTCCTCGAGTTCAGCGTTTGGAGGGCATGTGCCTATGATGCGCGTTTAAGGGATGATCCATAAGCCGACGTTGGGCTCAAGCGGAGTGTGTATAGGCGCTAGGTATCGGAACGCCCCGCATTTCTGTCCGTATTTTACTATGAAAGTTTACCCGATAAAACATCACTCTGGCAGCTTAATGTGCTGATAATACAGTATTAATACTAATCATACGGGACTTAGACATAATGCCATCTAAGTCTCTAGTATTACCTTAATTAAAATATTATGAGAGACGACTAGACCAATGTTTGGAAAGACTATTGGAAAGACGTGTAGTATAATATGATGTTAAGCGCGTATTTAAACCCCACCAACTCTAACAAGAAGTGAATCATTTATCGGGGTGACTGTAGTAAATACTAGTACTTGATTGTCGGTTCTTTCTTTCAAATTATTATGAAGTGGTTAAATTGCAGGGAGTGGAAATTGAATTTAGAAAGTGAGCAAACTCATTGATGTGTAGACTATCTGGTCAAAGTCTCGATCCATTTCGAATAGCTTGACCTTCCTTGCTCTGCCAAAACGCCCCACTTGGAAATTGATAGGTGCAAAGCGCTTCAGGCTTATACTCCACGCTGTAGCCAGCTTCCCATGGAGTAACAAAATGACCATTGCTAGTCTGCACCGGATACTTCAAAACCTCGCTGAAGGAGTTTATGTGTTCAAGGAGGCTCTTCTCGCCAGATATGCAAATGTAATTAAGAAGCGCAAGGTGTTGCGTGTACTCGTTCAAGCCAATGCCCCCACTGTGTGGCACAATCGGAACGTTGAATCTGCATATCAGTAAGAAAAGAGTCAAATTCTGTACGATATTTGGTCTCACTTACTTTTTCGCCATGAGTAGAACAGCCAAAACTTCGTTCACGCCTCCGAGTCGACATGCGTCTATTTGACAGTAGTCAATTGAGCCGGCTTGTAGTAGCTGTTTGAAAATTATCCGATTTTGACAGTGCTCTCCCGTCGCTACTCCGACTCCATGCGGCTTGAGAGCTTCCCGGATAGCTGCATGTCCGAGAATATCATCGGGCGATGTGGGCTCCTCGATAAACCTAGTGGTTGTTGATCAGACTACATCTCTTGCGTGAGTGATTGCCACTTATACGGTTGTACTTACAAGGGCTTGAATTCAACAAGTTCTTTCATGTATGCGATTGCCTCAGGTACACTCCATACCTGATTAGCATCCAGCATCATTATACGATCGTAACCAATTGTATCGCGTGCGAGCTTGACGCGACGCTTGTCATCCTCAAGATTGCCACCAACTTTCAGCTTGAATTTGTCGATCCCTTCATTCAAATTTGAGCGGATCAATTCCACCATTCTCTCATCGGTGAAACCAAGCCAACCTGCTTGGGTAGAATAAGCTGGTACTGCTGTATTGGTTTGGGCATCTTGAAGCCTAGCCCCCTTGCTTTCACTCTGTTGTTTCAAGATATCCAGGGCTTCCTCTGGAGTGATCGCATCATAGATGTATCTGAAATCAATACACGCAACAAGCTCTTCTGGTGTCATATCGCATACCAATCTCCAAAGCGGTTTGTTGAGGTATCTGCCCCAGAGATCCCACAAGGCATTTACACATGCACTGAGACCGAGATGAATGACTCCTTTTTCGGGCCCTACCCATCGCAGTTGGGAATCGGCTACTAGGTAACGCCATGTTTGACCCATGTTTTTGGTCAGCTCGCCCAAGCTCTTGTCTACCAATCGCTCAGCAATCTGGGAAGCGGCAGAGACACATAGATCGTTCCCGCGCCCGATGGTGAACGAAATGCCATGACCAACTAGATCCGTATTTGTTTTAAGTTGGACGTGAGCAGCACTGTAGTCTCCTGCTGGATTCATAGCATCGGATCCTGAAGCATCCAGGCTAGTTGGAAATCGAAGATCTATTTTCCCCATTAGTGCTAGAGGATTGGTAAAAAGAGCAAACACGACTGACCATAAACCTCGAAACCGGTAATCTTTAGATCGAAAATTGGCAGTTGATTTCCTCCATGATTGGGGGTGGCACGTCCGGAGTCGAGAATATCGCATTGCATATTGAGAGTTTCGGGCTTCGTCATTTCTTGAGTAAAGAGAATATTCAGAGGATGTAGGGGATAGCTTCGAGATTATTTCATACGGCGGGAGTGCTCAAATATAAGTCTCCAGTGTCATCACTATCTCCTATATAGGCATTGCAAAATTTGTCTCTACATCGCAAAGGCTCTACGAGATGGATCTTCTATACCAGAACTAAGAGCTCGAGCACCGAAAAAGATAGTCTTGGAGCCGATCACCCCGGATCACTCACAGAATCCCACCAATCATGCCGCATTATTCGGCATTTCGGCTCATTGCAGGTGGAGACCCTCTCAATGCTCTGATCTCCCCACATTCCAGAACGTTGACTTGTCAATCACAACCACGATAGCAATCGTATTATCCATATTTCTTAATTTGAAATGCAGTGGAAGGGCGTTTGGCACTAATTTATGCCCATTTGAATCATCGGGCGTAGTTTATGGTCCCAAAAATGCCAGTCGATCCCAGACAAGACCAATCAAGAGATAATCGTCGGTACTTCGGCTTTATAGAAGCCTTGGCATCTTTCCGGGGATGCGAGGCTTATTGCGGGTGACAGCTAGTTGAGGGAACAAGAAATGCCCTTTCAACGCCGATAATTCGGATTCGGTGATAATGGAAGAAATTAATACTTCTTCGTGCTAATTAAACCCCCACCTAACTTTCCATAGTGGTCTATAAAGCTTCCTACAGGACGATACGCAAGGGTTCGACCTGCCTTCCTCTTTCTTCACTAAAGTGCATTCTGTCAGTCATTTTTTTTTCGATTCCTGTTTTGATCGCGCTCTGTGTTATTTTGCACTTGAAGTATTTGCTAATAATACTTCAAAGTTCCCTAGCCGCCATGGCCAACAAAGACGAGTTGACAAGAATGGAGGTTTGCGATACAATTCATGTGGAACAATCTCATCCATCTATTCGCGATCCCGAAATTCAAGTCGATCAAACGCACGCTGAAATATATCGCGAGGCTCTGCAGTTATTTCCAGACGATGATTCGATTGACAAAGCTACCGAGAGAAAACTAAGGCGGAAGCTGGATTGGCATATCCTGCCACTGCTGGGAATGTGCTATTTCTTCTATGTAAGACATCCTTATACCTGTGAAAATGATATCATTGGTCGCTAAATCATGTTCTAGTATGTCGACAAAACCACAATGTCTTACGCTGCTATATTTGGCATCAAAGATGACTTGAAGCTTCATGGCACGCAGTATTCATGGCTATCGAGTGTTTTCTATTTTGGGTGGTTGATCTGGTCTATTCCCTCTAACTTGATCATGCAGCGAAGCCCACCTAGCTGGTACTTGTCAATTAACATCTTCTTATGGGGTGCTCTATTGATGTGTCAAACTGCGGCCGGTAATTTCACAGTCCTTGTCGTGTTACGTGTCCTATCTGGTGCTTTTGAAGCAATCGCAGATCCAGCATTTATGTTGTTTACATCTATGTTCTATACGAGGGAAGAGCAACCTTCCCGTATATCAGCTTGGTATGCATGGAATGGCATAGGAGTGGCTGGGGGTGGTTTAATTGGTAATTTTGAGTGATCAAACATATTGGCACGGAATCTAGCTAATTATTAGAAACTAGGCTACGGTATTGGTCAGATACAGGGTACACTCCCTGCGTGGCGTTATGAATTTCTGATAATCGGGGCGCTTTGCGCCTCCTGGGGAATCGTGCTCGCTTTCCTACTCCCAAATTCTCCAACAACCATCCGGAACTTCACGCACCAAGAGAGACTTATGCTTATTGCACGAATGCGCCATAATCAGACTGGGGTAGAACACCACAAGGTGGAATGGTATCAAATCAAAGAAGCTTTACTGGATTACAAAACTTGGCTTTTCATGTTGATGGGATTTGTTTCCGCGGTGCCGAACGGCGGTATATCCAACTTTTCCACGTTGGTTATTAAAGGTTTAGGCTTTGACACTTTACACACAGCATTGCTTGGCATACCCCAAGGAGTACTCGTCTCTATTTGGATTGGGCTAGGAGCCCTGGCAAATCATTACATGCCGCCAAACAGCCGCACTCTGGTTTGCGCTGCCTTCATGTTGCCAACCATTGCTGGTGCATTGGGCTTCTTGCTTGCGCCTGCAGATGCTTATGTCGGACGGTTGATATGCTTGTAAGTATAGCCAACTTGAGTCATATCCGATAAGTGTGGATTACAGTCTAACATTACCAGCTACCTCACCGGGTCATACCAAGCGTCCTTTGTCATTTGTTTATCCCTAATAACGAGTAACACTGGAGGCCACTCGAAGAAGATGATAGTGTCAGGTATCATATGGTTTGGATCTTGTATAGGAAGTATCTCCAGTCCCTTTTTCTATAAAACTTCTCAGGCCCCTACCTACCATCTAGGTATTGGGTCTTTGCTAGTTTCAAACGTTATCGAGCTCGCCCTGTTCTTTGTTTTACGTTCTGCGTTCAAGTGGGAGAACCGACAGAAGGAGAAGAAACGTGCCACTCTTCAGGATACTGGTGACATCAAAAATAGTCGTGAAGCCCTGAATATTACAGCATTTCAGAATCTCACAGACAAGGAAAACCCAAACTTTGTTTATTGTTATTGAGAGTCATAATCTCGCAGGTGTGAAGAGTGAATCGGAAATGGGAATTTCAATTATAACTAGCTGAACAGGGTAAAATCAATGAGCGAAAGATTTAATGTTGTTCATCCAGTCATATAAAGTTTCTTGATCGGGAAGGACAGTGTTAATCATGTGGTTGAGTGGGCCCTGATATGCTAGCGCCCCTCGGAATTCTTCCAAGGATGAGCCCTGGTGTTGAATATCGTTCCCCAGTGTGCCATCTGTTTCGAAGGACTGCCCAGCAGTATCTAGGCACGTACCGGAATTTTCATCAGGTGGCGAAGGCTGATCATATATTTCCAGATTTCTACAGAATTTTGCATTCACTTGCTCAGCAGCGAGTTCAAAGAGGGAATGGTAAAAACTGGCATGCCAGAAAGTCCCAGCCAGCCCCTGTAGACATTCCATGCAACACTGGAAACCTTTCTTTGCAGTCTCATAGCCTGCTATATCCTCTGGTTCCCACATCAAAGATATCTGTGTTATCAGAGGAGGCAGAATTATGGTCACGCTTCGGTGGTGTTAGCAATTTACAAGTTTCGGATTTTTGTAATTGGGTTTACCTCTGGGTAGGTAGGAACTTGATAAGATCAAGTTCAATCAGTGAACCTAAGAGTCGGACGGAGTCACTTGCCACCAGCCGTGTTTTCAATGAAGGAAGATAGTGGCTTTCTGTGTACCGTCGTTCGTCGAGTGATATTAAAATAGTGCTACTAGTAGGTTAGCAGATATGATCTTGTGAAAGACAGGTGAAGTTCTGACTTCAGTGTAAGTTCGAGAATGATTCTATACATAATAGCAATGGATTGTTTTCCGAGGTCAGGATAGGATTCATGCGGCGGTCCCACAGTCGGAGTTACATTGGAAACCCAGCGTTGGAGCATTCTCTCGCAAAGTTCAACTTGATCGATATCGTGGCCACTCGCTGCCGTAGACAGCGATAAAACACCCTCCGCGCATTGACACAATCGGAGCAGATCAATGTAAACGGCCTTTATGCTACGCTGTTCATCATCATCGCCCACCTCTTCAAGATCCGAATGGTCTGGCACCGGGATATTACAATCCAGAGTATTGATATGCATAGGCCTTCCAGTACCTAGAGCAATAAGCCGGTCGCGGACGACGCAGGCCCACCAGATTCTTCCCCAAAGTTTTTTCTGCGCTCCAATTTTCCCGACACGATGCATGCCGAGACCTTGAGCGAGACCGATAGCTTGATAAGCCCAGAGCCAGGTATGCCGCTGTTCATCTGCGGAAGGGTAGTATTGACTCATCAGTAGAAGTCCTTGAGTTGCTGTCATATCATCCGGTTCGCGATCTAGGCTATAGAGAAGCTGCAGCAAAAATTCATTAAACATGCTCTGTGACTGAAGAATCGAATAACTTACCCGTGCCCTTTTATGAAAAGAACTCCTTGCTTCTCTATGGTCTATAAAGCCCATTTGCTTGATTGTTTGCAACGAAAGATACTACTAGTGTCAGCGACCGATAGTCAATGAGTGTCTTTTAGTAGACGGTGGTAGCTCACTGGACAGGCGGTGGACATAACAGCATACAAGAGGAGCAGGCTAATTTTTCGGCCATCCAGTAGGCCATCTCTGCTGCAAGTATAATAGTTGTTGAGGAATGACTGTCTGTCGATAATGGGGAAAAACGAGTGAAAGTATCGAAAATATGCTGAAAGGCATTCATCTAGGTGATCCTTTGGTGGGAGATTGAAGATATCGGCCTTTTTCAAAAGAGACATCTCTTCAGAGCTGATATTTGAAAGAAATACGGGCGAAAAAGTACAGGAATCATGCATGGGGATTGGAAAGCAGACTCCTGATTGGTCATCTCCCACCCGAGGAGTAATACGAATATCTGGGATGAAGCGTCGAAGAAATGAATAATGAGGAACTTGATAGAGCAAGACATGTTCTGGTAAAGACCGTGGTTGTGAATTATCTGTAGTCTCCTGCCAGTTGCCAGGCTTTCGAACGCCACGGGGCTTTCTCTCGACCAGAGCACATTCAAATCCATGCAGTTGACAACTCGTACAGGGCAATCCTTGTTGGATTACATCACAACGAACTTTGCGTGCATGACAGCTTGTGCAGGCCTTGGAAGCACGAGCCTTTGGTAGGCGCTTAGATACAGTAGTGGTTCGCATTCTTCCGGTCCTAGTTAGCAGGGTGAAGTGGTACGGTGAGGCTTTGAAATTTCCCCGCACCCCGCATAGTATGTAGGCGTGTGGTTATGGGGGCTCATAGCGATCATCGAGAAAACCCCTGTTTTCGCCTATTTCCGGCCAGTAGAAAACCACGATACCTGTAGTACAGTAACTTCAGATATCCAGGCCTATGGGATATTTCAAGTAAAATATTGACGCGTGATTCCAAACACGTTCGCAGTTTATTGACTTGATTATAGCATTGCAGGATGAATCCTATTTCTAATCCTCTTTCTAACCTTCCTGGCAATAGAGGTAGGAAATGGAGATAGAGAAATTGTAGAATCAGTCTACACAATATAAGATAAGACTATTTCATTCGTGGCGTAGTCCCGTGTAGGAGCTTTTATTGCGACAAGTTGCACTCGGGGTAATTCTAGCCCGAGCTTCGGAACCCCTGAATAACCCGAACAAGCGGTAACTCTCCTTCTGTCTCTTCTTCCTTGCAGGCCCAAGTGATGTGTTTGATGCTAGAATACAATGGGTTCTTGCAGTATATTTGCCTTGCGGGGATATGCATACCAATCGTTTAAAATTAAAATCCCTTTCTCTGACACATCGAAGCACATACATGATCCTATTCCTAGCTATTTGCCGATCAACTCGATCCTTGGGCTACAAATGTGTCGACCACGATCTTAAGACCCATTAATGAAGCTCTTTTATAGTTCAACTGAGCGAGATTGAAATGAATTACATTTAAGAAGTTTCATTTTGCAGAGCGTGTACCTCTTCTATTCAAAGTATCGGTACTTCGTATAAATCATAGATAAAGTTTCTCTCGGACAACCCGTGCCTTGCAACGGCAGCATGTGGTGACAAGCGAAAAAGTGGAGAAACGCGGGGTGCCTGCCCCGGTTTTTCTTGTTCCCCCAAACCCCAAACCCCGAATCTTCATTTTTCCTCCTCCTTCCCTCGGCCATTACTTGCTCATCGGACTATCGCCGTGATATTCAGCTCGGCTCAGCCGCCTGCGGAGACCATCCCGTGCATCACATCTAGACCTTGTCGGTGCGTCATGGTCGGTTTCTGATAGGACGGTAGTTTCGCTCTAGCAATATGCCGAACGCTGCATCTCCCGCGCAGCAGTTCAGCCCTGCCAATCAGCAATCTGGGCATATCGATAGAGACCTAAGTCCCGGGGAGTATTCGTCCGGCATCGATTCAGACAATGATCAAGTCGGCGCCAATGGTTCCAGCAGCGGGCGTGGACTGAAGCGGAAGCGTCCCCTCACCGTGTCGTACGTACCTGAGAAACCGAGACCACTGCGCTCGGCGTCTCAAGCCATGGGAATATCTGTTGAAGAATATCTGGACTAACAGTGCTACAAGATGCGAATTGTGCAAACAAAGAAAAGTCAAATGTGGTAAGTAATGGACCGTTGTTGGCGGGTTATAACGAAAGCTAACCTGCAACTCCATAGATCGCATACAACCGAGCTGCGGCTGGTGTGTTCGAAATGGCCAGCTTTGTGAGTATAAGGAGCGCAAGAAGCCTGGTTTAAGAGCCGGGTATGGCAAAGAGCTGGAACAACGACTGGGTAAGTAGATGCCACCCCGTTTATCCATTTCGCATCTAATGATCCGCCCATAGATCGACTTGAAGAAGTCATACAAGCTCAAGCGAGGCTTATCGAGATGCATATATTGCAAAACCAACCCCCAATGCCCCACCACGGAGGATCAATCTCATATGGCTCACCATCCGAGCCATCAGCTGTTCATGGTCCGAGCCCCCGAACCGCACTCTATTTTAACGATCCCACCTCATCAGTAGCTCTCCCTCAGCGACATGCAGACGTCTCTATCACAAGTCCTTCGGATACATCTGTGAAGAATTTGGTCTCTCATGGATTATCGAATGGTGCCCCAGCGTCTGTCATTGGCTCATTGCCACCGGCGCAAAACGGACACCACGATTTTACAGGAAACGAATCGTCCTTAAAGGTCCCCGTTAGTATATTTGCCAACCAGGAACAGTCATTTGCCGATCCAGATCTTGATTTACCACCATATGACTTGTTATACGCGCTCGTGGATTTGTATTTTGAACATATCAACTCTTGGTGTCCGATTCTCCACCGACGATCCACACTAGATACCTTTTTTGGTCCTTCTCCCCTGGAAGAGGCCGATCGCATGGTTCTTTACGCCATAGTTGCAACTACTTTACGCTTCTCGACTGATGCCCGCCTAAGCGATCTAAATCGAAAGCGCTATCATGACTCCTCAAAACAGAAAGTACTTCTGTATGGCCTGGAGAATTCGTCTGTAAAGGCTCTGCAGGCGCTTGTCATCTTGGCATTAGACCTAGTCGGCTCGTCAAATGGCCCACCTGGATGGAAACTATTGGCTTTGATCACCCGATCTGTTGTCCAATTGGGATTGGCAGTAGAATCCAAGTCATCATTAATTGCACCAGTATATCCTTCCATTTATACGCTCAGGGCGGTCACCTTATCGGAGCCAGATTCCTGGATAGAAGACGAAAGTCGGCGTCGTCTTTTTTGGATGGTTTATCTGTTGGATCGATACTCAACTATTGCTACTGCATTCAACTTTGCCTTGGATGACAAAGATATTGACCGAAAGCTCCCTTGCAAAGACGACTACTTCATCAAGAATCAGCCTGTGGAGACGCGAAGATTCCACTACTCTAGTGAGCGTGCCGACTATCTCAGTCATGCGGAAAATGTGGGATCATTTGGGTTGTATATCGAAATTTTGGGAATCCTTTCACGGGTTCATGTCTTTTTGAAACGTCCCGTGGATATTGGATCTCTTTCCGATGTCGAAGAATGGCAAGCCACTTACCGGAAGCTTGACAGTGAGCTGACCACGTGGGAATTCAATCTGCCCGCTGAATATGCCTATGAGAATTCATCTCGTCTGTTCAACGGAACAAAGCAAAGCCGGGCCTTGCATAGTGATTGGGTTCAGCTTCATGCAACGTATCAAACGTAGGTCCAGTATTTCAAAGCTCAAAGCTCAACTTTCAATTTTCTGTCAGATTTCAACTAACCCCTTTTAGCGCTGTGATTCGCCTTCATTCCTCTGCTGCATATCCAACAACTCGGTCGCCTATATTCACACCCTCGTACAGCGCAAGCCAGCGATGCTTACTAGCTGTCGACAATATACTTTCAGTTACTCGTTTCGTAGTTGAAAATAATATCCTCGATAAATTGGGCCCCCCTTTCGCCTTCACCCTGTGGGTATCAGCCCGTCTATTGCTCGTACATGGCTCTACAATTGCCCACACAGTCAGCTCGGACATTATATTTTTCGTCGACACACTATCTCGCATGGGACATCACTGGAAAGTTGCAGAGCGCTATAGCAACATCCTCCAACGTGTTCTCGACGAATATGGTGAATATCAACAGTCCGTTGCTATAGACGGTGAACGATCAACACCATCAACTGTCAAGATCCTCGCAGATATGCGCCGCTGCGCATTTGATCTCGACTTTCTTATCTCCCGCCAACCACGAGAATCTCCATCAACCGCGAGTAATTCCGGAAATGACCCTACCCGGCCAGCTTCGGCTGCTCTGGTTCCTCGTAATCTTGCACCAAACGAACTGGAATACCTGGATGTCTTCGGCTTTTTTAATGTACCCCGAGTGCCACCAGCCCGTGCACCGGACTCTTCTACAGCTGCTGCGCATATGGAAATTCCAGATTCGGTATCTAACCCCATGTCTATCCATGGACTAACGGGCGCTGGTCCCGTCGTTGATGGTCACTCCACCGGTGCCAATGAGTTCAACATTACGAACTACTTGATCCCGACTCCAGAAACAGATTGGCTCTTTCGCCCTGCAGGATGAGAGGCTGTAACAATGGAAATATTTGTATGAATTACTCCGGCACCAAGTATCTGGACTCTTTAGCGCCTTGTTCATTCGCCCCACCCTGCTCCGTGATTGACGAAGTCAGATACTAGGTATGAAATTTTTCTTGATCGCTCGTCAAGACACACGATTGAGCTAGATCAGGCTGATTTAAAGGGGCTTTCTGCGGAAAACCATCGTACATCCCAGCGCAGCTCAAAATGGGTTGCAGATTATTTATGGCGAACGCCTGGATTTAACTCTACTTTGTATTTTAACTTTCCGAGGTTCCAAGTCTGGAGTTTCAAGATAGGTAAAATGTGAACCGCTTTAACAACCTGGTTCCATGAGTCAGTTGGTTAGGGTGGTCCTAATAATGTGATCACCTTGTAGCTTTTCAGGTAAATACTTTTTATTATGGGCCCAGCCCAGTACATAGCATTATGCAACAATCAAGTGATACTGTGTCTGCTTACCGTATTGTATCACCGTCTTCTTCAAGTTTGCATTGGAAAATCCCTCGATCGAATTCTTTATAAACAAAAGAAGTAGCGGCGTAACGAATCTGCAATACAAAACGGTATGGACATATGTTTGCAGTAAGCATGAGGGTACATAATTGAAGAAAAAAATATCATTGAAAGGGGCGGTGACATGCTTGGCCAGCTGCATATCAGAAACAAAAAGGTCCAGTCGGCTGAATAGAAAGAGCAGGGCCGGGAGTAATGAAACCGTCCTGACCATTTGTGTTAGACCAGTGGACGCGAAAGAAACAGTCATGTACATGAGGAAAGGAGAGAGTGTATCATAAAGAAGCAGCAGTGTCCCTGCGGCGCCATTTAAAAGCAGCGTCAAGTCATAAATCTTAAACACTCAAAACAGGGGGCTTGAAATTCGAAATTCAATCCCATTAGGTAGAGCGAGATCCGGCGCCCTGAACCTGTACCAGAACTTCCTCTAGGAAAACGTCAAGTACGGCATCGACACCGCCACCCATTTGGACTTGGTCTTCCATGTCCCAGCGGTGAAGATTTGCAAAACATCGCGAAATGTCTTCCGCTATGTGCTCCATGCTCTGATGGACTCGAACACTTCGCTCCCATCGTTCTTTTTCTTCGGGTGTAGGCTGTCCATTGTTGGGGTTTCTGGCTGGATCGGCACGAGCTAGGCTGCGACCGCGTCGGTTCATAGCCGCACGAAGGGCTGGAGCAATGACAGATCCATAGGCAGTTTCACGCTCCTCACTCGGAGCTTTGACTGGACTCTGTGGGGGTTGCTTGGGTTGATCATTTACGCGAGGGCTTGGGGTGGGGGTATTTGGCCTGCGCGCATCGTACTTAGGTGCAAGTTTAGACTTGAGTCCTGGAGAAGATCTTGCAGTTGGGGATGAAGGCTCAGGTTGCTTTTGGAGAGCGGTAACAGGACCCGATCGAGGCTGGGCTAAACTTGAGGTAACCTCAGGGAGAGGACGTTGAGCAAAGCCCGGCTTCCGGGCGAGCGGGGATTGCTCTCGTCTTGCGTTGTTAGGATCAGACATGCGCGGTTGGGCTTGAGGTGATGCATCGATCTTCAAACCACTCGCGTAATCCATTACAGCCTGAGTGTATCGGTCACTGTGTCGTGCAGGGGAGTTCTCTTCCAGCGAAGGGTTCGGGTTGGTTGAACGTGATGGATATGGGGAATTGGAAATCTGTGAGGTTGTGGTCTTTAAGGGCGAAGATGGTGCAGATGGAGGGAGTGGCTTTTTGGACGGAGAAGCTTCAAGAAGTGAGATTGATGAGGTCTGGCGAAGTGGTGCGGGATGAGGTACCGGTGCCTGTTTTGAATCACCTTCCAAATCCCAGTCTTCGGTGTCCTGGAGGCGAGAATTTGTTGATGAGTCGTTCAAGGCTCGTGGAGGTGGTGCGACTGGTCGCCCTGCCGGTCGAACGGTACCAAAGTCCCAAAGATCTTCATGCTCTTCTGGTTTCTCCTCAATTTGCTCGTACGGCTCATCATAGTCCTCGTCTTCATCTCCTTGACCACGATGCGTAGCTTGCCAGCGCTCCGCACGTTCAATGAGCTCAGTCAAGTATGTTGTTCTTTTCGCTCTTTTGATAAAGGGGTGTTCCAGCAGCTCCTTGGCAGATGGTCGCTCTTTGGGATCACGGCGCAAGCATAACTCAACAAATTGTTTGAACGGTTTACTGAAGTTGCCATTCAGAACGGGGGGAGGATTTTTCGGAATCAAAAATAGCACTTTCATGGGGTGGATATCGGCATAAGGAGGATCGCCACATGCCAGCTCGATCGCTGTAATCCCCAGAGACCAGATGTCTGCTTTATAGTCGTAGCCTGATTGTTTGATAACTTCCGGGGCCATCCAAAAGGGAGTTCCCACAAAAGTATTTTTCTTGGTCATTGTTGCAGAAAGTTGACTGGAGACACCAAAGTCTGCCAATTTAACTTGTCCGCTCGCGCTGAGAAGAATGTTCGCCGCTGCAATCATATTAGAATTTGCCTAAATTTCCAGGATAGCGAGGTGAAGTACCTTTGATGTCCCGGTGTAACTTTTTATCTCCATGTAGATAATCTAAGCCACGAAGAAGTTCACGGAGAATAATCGCGATGTACTCTTCGTGAATGATACCGGGGCGCAACAAACCATGACAACTGCCACCAGAACAAAATTCCATAATAATCCAAAGATGAGAGCCTTTCAGGTATGAGCCATGATACTTGGTGACATATGGGGACTTCAGCTCGGACAGAATCGCAATCTCTTTGATGATGTCGTCCACTTCGTCCTCGGCATTCTCAACGTCAATTATCTTGATGGCCACTGACTCGCCCGTTCTCTTATCCACTCTGTCATAAAATCCCGAAATTAGCTAGTGCTCAAGTGCTGCTGCATAAGAGGTCTCGATGGATTGACGGCACCAGTTCCACTTACCCTTTGTAAACCCTGCCAAAACTTCCTCCGCCTGGGAATTGCAGTATTAATATATTGGACTCTCCACATGTAGGGGCTTGTTCATTAGGTACCAATGCATGTCTGCTTAGTGTAGATGGTTTCGGGGTCGATGGGCCCGGTCATCTTAGCGGCTTATCTGACTCTCTCGAGGATTTGACTGAGTCTGCTCATAAGCAGGAAGAATCAACAAGAATTCCTCAAGGTCATCGAGGTTGTGGGTGAATCGGCTCCGGGTATATTGATCAAGCGCCAGGGAATGAACGTACTGTGATGAAGACTAGTGGGCGGTGAATGGTGAATGGTTGGGAATGAGGGCGGCAGAGGGATGCAGAAAGCGGACTTTAAAGTATGCGTCCTGCCTTCAATGTCTAGGGGTACGAGACAAGTCAGCGAGGCAAAATTGGGCTGAAGTAGGCGGGTTATGATGCGGGTTTGACCTACCAACAACAGTGCGCGAGATATCAACAAAGATGGAAAGAGGTCACGATGTGACCAAATTGAGCCTGGAACTTTCAATTCAACAGCGTATAAGGCTCAATCACAAGCCACCATGAAGCCCAATCAATATATAACGATGATGGCACAATATTTAATCGCTAGGGCGTTTGAGGAGGGTGAGCCCTTGCGTCTGTTTATCAACGCGGGGCCCATTCTGCCAGGCGGTGAGCCTTATCTAAGGCGGTATCCACTACAAAAGTCGTCTGATCTACAGTCTACAGTCCACAGACGACAGTCCACAGCTCCGATCTATAAACGATAGCTAGGAAGCAAATTTCAAATAAGATGACTGGTATTATTCGTGTCGCGTAGATTCTAAGGCCGGAAAAGAAGACGAATGAAATGGACCGGAAGCTCTATTCGTTGGATTTCTCTTTGAAAGCCATATTGCAGAGGCCTCGATTCTGTAGGTCGTTGATCAGAACAATGGCCCTTTGTAGAATAGGCCATTGCTTGAATATGTAAGGGGAAAGGGGTTTGCAGCGACTGATGAATCTTCATGGGATACCATGCCAGACGGCATCTCCAATGGGAAAGAATTGAAGACAAAGTAGCTTCAATTAGTCCTCGAGGTACCCAATGTTGACCGTCCCATTCTTCAACCCCGCACTCTCGATACTCGTGTCGAGAGAGTCTATTAAGTTGGTTCCCAGGGAATTCAATTCAAAATCTACATCTGTCTTTCCCTCAACGGGGGGCTCCGCCTTGAGCCATTCATAAATTCGTTGAACGGGGTCTGTCAGAGCAAACCGCCGAATAACACGACCAGCTGGATGGCGAAATTGGATACGAGTCGTGGTGGTTGGATCGGCGGCGGGCTCGGTGTGCGGCCTGTCATTGGGAATAGAAGCAAATGCGGAGTCCTCGGGCTCATCCTCGGCTTCTGTTCCACCCATTTCCTCGTCGTCTGCATCGGGTGCCTTGCCCTTGCCCTTGATATCGCCCGTGCTGCGCGTCAACTCATCTGGGTCATCCAACTTGGGACCTGAGGTTGCTTCGCCACCAAGACTATTCTTCATTGCCATCTCGAACATTTCCTCTTCTGTCATGGCGTCGACGGTTTTCTCCGGCTTGCCTGACTTACGCTTCGCAACTGGATTGCGCACGTTGAGGTTCAAGCTATAGCGATCAAGGAACTCATGGAGCTGCATGAGAAACTCCGCAGCCTTGACAACAGGCTGACCAGTCCATGACTTCACTTTTTCACCAGTGCGAGGATCAACAATGGAGATGTGAGGGTAATTATCGGAGATTTCGCTTCCTTGGAAGTAATATTGGATATATGGTGCAGCTCGCGGATCATCCTTGGAGAACTGCAGGAAGATAAAGTGTTCCTTAATGGTTTCTTCGACGCCCTTGTCCTTCCAGAGATCTCGGTTCAGGACTTGACAGTCAAAGATTGACTGATCTTGAATGTTTACCAACAGCCATTTCTCGTTGTCTCGACCTTCCTGACGAGCCACGTCCCATGGCAGCCGAGACATGATATCAAATGGTGGACGGTACATTTCTGCCAGCATGTTTGATTTGGACGAAGCTTCAGATGCACCGCCAGTCGCTCGGGATAATTGTTCTTGGTGGGTTGAGGAGCTTCCGGTCCATATTGATGCACTGTCTTGCTGGTTGAAGATTCCGGGTCGGCCTTAAATGTGTTAGCTAGGGGTCTTTTCAATATCAAGAGATCGCATATGATCTTACCTCCACTTCGACGCGCACGCAACTGGCCAAGAATATTGGCGGGCATGTCATCGTCGTCAAAATCCGCACCTGGCCCCACCAAGGTCTCTGTCGTGCGAGCCATAGGTGCCCGCACGTCGTCATCATTATGGATGGCGCCTCCACCGCCGCTTCCTCCTCCACCACCGTATGCCTCTTCCTGAAGACGACGGGCCATGGCAGCATCGTCTTCAAACGTCGCATCCGCGCCATGTTGTGTACGGGTTGGGCGATCATGATCGTCATCGGTGTCAGAGTCGATATGCACCACCCCAGACTCATCTTCATATGCTGCCTCGTGAGGTGGCTGCCGGGCGGGTTCATCGGTCAAGGAGGCGCCTCCATTATCGAAAAAGAGCTGCATCGCCTGCTCGATGTTGAAGTCGGCGAGCTGTAAGTACTGAGTTGCAAGCTCAGGCGTCGACCCGGTGATCTCGGTGAATTGGGCCACCAGGTTATCGTCCATGGTGGCGGTCAGTGCTCAATAAAGTCTAGGGATGAGTAGAGAGGTTGAATGAAAGTAAAAAGAAGTGAGGTGAGTTCGGAATTTGAATTTGGAATCGTAACCAAATCGAATGTGGAGAAGTAGGTAATTGGTGCAAACAACTGCAAACCGAGGAGATCGACGCAATCAGTGCCCCGCGCCAGTTCACTTAGATAAGAAGAGAAATGTCATCCAAGTAAACTTTGATTTATCCAAAGGGTTTGAAAAAAATCGGTCCCTTTCAAGTGACTTTGAGCAAAAGACGATCATCTACAAGTGACGTACCGTAAGGGAAGCCTGGAGCCATACATAGAAGATACAGTAAGTGAAAGAGACCAACAACGCACGTCACGACCGCTCTGCGTCTATGGTCTGTCACGTCGACCGTATCACTACTTATTACCCAAAAGAATGTAGACGCGTCTCACGTGTTCCCGTGTCACGCGTCTTTAATTAGTTACGCGCTGTCTTCGGAGACTTTGTCTCCCACTCGTGCAGGAAGGCGCTCTCAACACCACCACCTTCTTAATCACCCACAATGGCAACTACGGTTCTCGGCAAGCGCGCTCGTGGTGCAGCTGACTTGGAAGGTATGTATTTTCTTCAATTCTTAACTGAATGATCCACTGATTCCTTTCCCAGCATTACCCGTGCGCACCGCAAGCAAGCGCCGAACAATCGCACCCCGTACTAAGAGTGAGACCGTCACTGCTCCGGTACCTCCTCGTCGAACTCGCTCCACTCGACTTGCTGTAAAGAATCAAGATGCGGAACAAATACTGGACCAAGAGAATGAGCGCGCAAATGAGAAGACCTCGGATAAAGTGCCTTCTAAGCACACGCTACATGATGACCAGGGTAGGTCTCCAATCAAGATAAAATCCCATTTCCGCACTTCGAAGCTCGTCGAAGGTAAGTCGAACCCCACGATGAATCAATTCATGTTGAGAACCATTGACTAACATGGGATCAATAAAGTAGATAAACCCGAGAAGCGTGAAAGTCTTCAAGTCCCGACGAAAAAAGAAGTCGTCGTGAAGAAAGAAGCCTCGGTGAAGAATGAGGATCCGGTAAAAGATGAGATAGCACCTCTGGTCGAATTCAAAACACCTCAAAAGGGTCGATTCCGAGATGCGCTTCAAAGCTCACCCGTAACCCCTCGACATCGCGTCCAAGTGGGAGCCAGGAATATCACTCCCAGGACTCCGCGACATGCTGATCTTCCCCCAACCCCTCGTCCGAGTGCCACCCCAAGTACATCACAAACCGTGTACTCGCAAGCTCGACAGCTCTTTGCTAGGGGCGCCACCTCCGGACGACTTGTCGGTCGAGACTCGGAACGAGAGAAGGTCTCTACTTTTATTCACGATTGTGTCGAGTCTAAAAAGGGTGGCTGTCTCTATATCAGTGGACCGCCCGGAACCGGCAAAAGCGCTATGGTTAACGAAGTCTGCCAAGATATGGACCTCTCCGATGTGAAAGTATCCCATGTCAACTGCGTCAGCATGCGAAACTCCCGAGATGTCTACAGCAAGCTTATCCAGGATTTTTGCGACGATTCGGAAGTTTTCAAAAAGAGCGAGGCTGAGCGACTCAAGGAGATGTTTGTTCCGTCCAAGCGAAGCAATCTGTTTATGGTCAGTCTGGATGAAATGGATCATCTCCTGCAGGGGGATTCTGGTGTACTACAAACCTTGTTTGAGTGGTCATTGCATAACAAGTCTTCCCTGATTCTGATCGGTATCGCCAATGCGTTGGATTTAACGGATCGATCTCTTCCTCAGCTCAAAGCGAAGAATTTGAGGCCAACACTATTACCCTTTCTTCCATATAACGCCGCCTCGATTGCAGGTGTTATCACTGCTCGTCTTCGATCACTGCTTCCTGTGGGGGCAGACTCTGACCCGAAGTTGGTTCCTTTTGTGCAGCCAGCAGCTATCCAGCTTTGCGCAAAAAAGGTCGCCTCTCAAACAGGAGATCTTCGAAAGGCGTTTGAGTTGATAAAGCGCGCAATTGATGTCATCGAGCAAGAAACTTTACAGAAGCTGGAAAAGCAAGCTGCGGAATCTGACCTCTCTGTTCTTGCTGAGAACAAGAATCTTTCTTCGCCTTCCAAAGCAGGGACTGTCCCGCCTCCAGCGAGCATTTCTAAGTATACGACAGTGACTGCGCCCCGCGCAAGCATCGCACATATTGCCCGAATCACCACGTCTGCATTTGGCCAAGGCACCGTCCAGCGCCTCAAGAACATCAACCTGCAACAGAAGGCTGCAATCTGTACCTTGGTGGCATTGGAGCGCAAGCGTCGCGAAACGGAAATCCACAGCACACCTTCTAAGTCTCGATCATCCGCCCCTACGATTAAACAGGCATTTGATACATATTGTACCCTTTGCCGTAACGATAATATCCTTCATCCTTTGACAGCAACCGAGTTCAAGGACGTTCTGAGCAACCTGGAAACAATGGGTCTAGTCGGAGAATACCAAGGTCGAGGACGCGGTGGTACTCTTGGTGGTGGTTCCGATGTTCGACGCACACCCTCCAAGTCTGGGAATGTGGCTTCAACACCTCACAAGGCCATGGGCGAGCAAGGACTCGTCTGCTTCGTCTCGCAGTCCGAAATTGAGGGACAAATTGCCGGACCTGGAGAAGGCATTTTGAGACGATTGCTCCGCGGTGATGGACTGTAACACCAGCGCGTTTACTCTCATCCTTTATGGCGTTTACAGGGCCTCTTTTCATTTTTCTTCATTCATATCATCATTTCCTATCCCCTTTCATTTGCATCATTGGAGTCCAACCAGGAACACATTGTCATTCCCATCATGTACACTAACGCATTTCTGGAGTTGAGATTTCATTTTCATGTTTAGCGTCATTTTTACGATTCCCTTTTGTTTCAACTTCTTTTGTTCATAATTATGTGCGCCTTGATATTCTATCCTGTCCCCTGAATAGCCAGACGAGGTTGCAATAAGATAAAATAAAAATTCAAAAAAACACAAGCACGTGGCACTAGAAATGGTCTGTAAAGGGCCATTTATGTCTTATTCAAATGATCTACAATAGCTAGGTGGGCATTGACTTAACAACAGCTGGTAACAAATCTAGCCCTGGAGTTGTTTTGCCAATTATCTTTCTAGCTGTTTTCCTACTACTGTAACCTTGGAAGAGCATCTGGAACGGCTGGACTAGTTATTTACCATATTTGAGCGGTACAATATTACTCTTAACCCGGAAAAGACTAGGATTGGTTTTCCATCCTTACGGTTCTCGGCAAGGAGGTTGAATTCAGTGTCATATCACACAAGATGATCTCAAAAGCTCAATCCAACTCACGATGTCTCACACTTCTGCAATAATCTTTGAGCTGGGCAGTATGTTTGTTGCTCGTTTGGTAGCTTGCCTGACCTTTCGCTTCAGCCGCATTCAGATTCCTAGTTGTCTTTCCAATGGTCTTCCCAATGGTCTTTCCAGTCGCACTACAATAGCTACGCTTATGTGCCCGAATGAGTCGCTGCCAATCTCGGGTACCGCATCGGTGAGAAGACTACAACTAAAGTAGGTATTAAGATATTTAGATTTCTACTAAATCGAATAAATTATCTTCAATCTTTAGATAGTAAGCCTTTCTAAGCTTATAAGGCTTATTTTAAGATATAAAATAACCTTATTTCTTAATAGGATAGAGGTCTTCTCGTATCAAAATTATCCTTTCTAAACAACCTTTACTAATTCCGAGATAAAGCCCTTATATCCCGAATATATCGAAATACCTTTTCAGAGCAAGGAATTTATCTAGTTAACACAAAAAAAGTCTATAAGAGCCTCGAAAATGCTCTTCCTCCTATCCTAGATATTAAAATTAATCTATCGGGAGAGAAAACACCCTCTCCGGAACCAGATCTTTTATCGTTAAGTCTTAAAAACATACCTTCAAAAATCTTTAAAGATATAGAAAAAAGGCAAAAACATCTCTCTCCTCTTCTCTGCCGGCCTAATTTAATACCCAAAGAAAAAAAAATACTCGCACAGGTCTTAGATAAGCAAGAGTTCTATTTTAACGCCTTAGCCAATACTACGGCTACTATACAGGAAATAGCCGCCATCCGAGCCCCGCAGGAGAAAAAAACTACTAGACGGCGTATTATAGGCCTTAGTAATAATAGTGTTATACGTATTAAAGATGCTAAACGTAGTATAGCTGAGAGGAAGGCAAAGAAAGACAAAAAAGATGAGAGACGGGCGGTAAAAGAATTGGAGAAAAAGTAGTGTTCCTACCACACCACGTATAACGAAGGCTCAAAGAGAGGCAGAGGCAGAACCGTTATACAGCGAGTCGGGAGAGGTTATTAGTTTTTATAATAAATTCTAAATTGCTAAAAAAATTGTATATAAAGGCGAAAAAATTACATTCCAGTGAGAATTACATTGCGCTGCGGGACACCAAATGCGGCTAGTCGTGTTTGGTGTCCAGACCGTAGGGTAAGGCACGGCTACCTATAAAAGACAAGACAAAGAAAGACAAAGCTGGTTTGTGAAAAATTCGTACACTTCCGAGAACACTGGAAGAGTCAAGTATACATACAAGGTTACAAACTAAAGATGACAAGGCAAGAAGAGATGCATCAAACCATATAGTAAAGGAAGAGGACAAGGAAAAGGAGACAGACACGGAACTCGAAGAAGAAAAAACCCCATCTGATAAAACACGGGTACGGGTTATCTAGGTATTTGACAAATCGAACATGCAGACAAGGCGAAGGGTATGTATACATGCATGGATGCATTGAAGGCATAAGAACTTGAAATGAAAGGAAAAAAGGATCAAGAAAGTAATCAGAAAGGAACAACAAAAACAAAACAAATTATCCACGGCATGTCATGTGTTGTCTATACAGAAGGCAAATCCGAGGTAAAAATTTGTTCCTTTTTGTTCCTCAGGCTGAAAAAAGTAAATCGTTTTAATCATCCATGGGCTTGTCTTCCAGAGTCACGCCCTTGGGCTCGCTTTCGATGACGACGCTGCTGCGATTGCTTTCGGTACCGCCTCCACTTTGGAAGCTGGAGATACTTCCAAGACCGGGCTTGCGGTTATACCGACCACCAACGGAGCGGGGGATAGATGCACGCTTTTCAAACTCGGTAGACGTGGCGGCTGGAGTGGGTGTTGGGGTAGGAGAGCCGTCTGAGACTGTCTCTGGGGGAGGGGGAGGGCTATTAGAACCATCTGAGAGGGTGGCACTGGAGATTGCCACTGAAGCGGGAGACTCGGTGGTGCCATTAGCTGCAATGTCGGTGATGTGAGTATTCACATTCACGGTTGGAGGGTGTTCGTGGCCGTCGGGGGAGCCGTTGTTAGTTGGCACGTCGAGACTAGCGCCACGGCCTGCGGCTCGGCGGTCTGCAGGGCTGGCTACGTTTATTGGGAATCGGCCCGTCTCGGATGCACCGCTTGAGCGGTCACGACGGTGTCGTTGACGGGTTGAAGGACTGGTAGCACGGCTGCGGTTAACGATTGCGCGCTGGCGAGCCTCCATGGCTGCGCGGCGGTTGCTTTCATCGGTACTGATTGCTCTTGGGCGGCTGGTTGATGAAATTCCCAGAGCGCTGGATTGACGCTTCAGTTCTCCGAAGATGGAGTCCTTGTGGTCGAACAAGTCGCGGAGCAGGCGGTAACTGTGGCGCTCGTCCATGGTGAGACTGTTCTCGGTGCGGGGGCGGAGAATGCATGGAGACAGCACCTGTGCGAGAGAGGTAATAAATTGTTCATCGGCAGAAGTCAAATCGATCAAACGTGTGAAGTGAGTCATGATGGCATCAAGCGTGGCAATGTTAACAAGACGAAGTTGTCCAAGAGTACTTTGTAGGACCTTGATTCGTCCCTCTTCCGTGGTCTCGTGAGCGGTTGTCGAGTAGATTGTCTTGACAATTTCGTAAACTTGCGAAGAAACAAGAGAGTCTGGCATGGTCAGTATCGTAATTTGAACGCGATATAAAGGAGAGACACATACCTGGCAATTCGAGAAGATATAATTTCAAAACGCTAGCAACGGTGGGTATCTCAAATTTGGGAAGAATTTCACGATAATCCACTTTGCTGTTGTTCAAAGCGCTACGAAGCTGATGGGTGTGGGCCAACTTGGGGTTGTGTAGCCAGATTCCGCGACGAGCTTCGTCACCCTCGAGTTCAGGGTAGCCTAAGGAGATAAGTTAGTTCGCCGTTCATGTTTGAAAAGTAGATCGGGTTATCTTACGATTGTCCAGGTAGGTCAGGATAGTGGTCACGAGGATTGGGACACGTTTGCGGTCCACTCGAGCCCTGGCCTCGAGGTCAACACCAAAGTTTTGTTCTGTGATAGGGAAACGTTAGTCACTGATCAATGGTTTATTCAAGTAAGAGAATTGCATACCCTCAACGGAACCATAGTAGTTTTCATAGGCTTGTACACGGGGGATAAAGCCACCAGTCCGGTAGTTCTCCAGCAGATACCTGAGATCTCCCAAGGGCTGAATCGTCTCCTGGTACAACATCATATGATCGACAGTACTTTGGAGGTTAGGAATGACGTTACTGATAGCACCAGAGAAGTCGAGCACAACAGCCTTAATAGCCTTAAGGCGGTCCAACTCGCACTGCTCCATAAAGCGCAGATTGTCAATAACGTCCTCCTCTAAACGGCAACGAACCTGATCAAGCTTGCGAATAGCCGCCTTGTAGCGCTCATCCGCCTCCAGAGCCTCTCTGCGTAGTTTCTCTGCTGGGGTTTCATTCGGATAAGGATTGTTGAGTGGATTCCAGCGATCAATCATTTCTGTGACTGATGAGATAGGCGACTCGCTTCCTTCTTCGCTGGAAGCCTGCGAAGCAACTCGCATAAGAGGCTTCTTTTTCTCGGGAATACCAGTGAGCTGGAAAACCCTAGAACGCCACTGGTAGCTCATCTTCGAGCTATTAGCGAAATTACTACCCATATTTCCAACCAGACGCAAGAAACCACAATCAACCAGGTCTTGCCCAATGCGTTCTGCCTGCGCAAGAGTAGGCGCATCCATATGTTTTTGAATGTACTCCGTAATTTCGGCACCGGATGAAACGTTCGAATATGTGCCAATGATAGGCACCTTAACCTCACCAAGTCTGATGGTGTTCAGCATGTGGAACAAGAGCTTCTTAACATCCTCTGGTGGGAAGACGCGGTCGCCCAGTTCAACGGGCTCCTCCTCCTCCGGCTCCTCTTCGGCGGGAAGCACAATCTTCGGTGTTGGCTTGTTCTTGGGGCTAGACTCGGGGTCTTGGAAAGCCAGCTTATTCTCCTCTTCCAGGTCTTCTACCACTCGGCACTTGTTGAAGTAATGGCTGCGAAGCTTCTTAACCACCTCAACCTGCTTGGCGTGTTCCTTAATTCTCCCTTGAAGATTATCATGGGATGCCTGAACACGATACTCATGCTGATCGCTCCAACGACGGAAAGGAGCCACGACAAGTTCGCGAATGTTGTTGGCGATTTTCTGGTGATTCCGAGAGGCCTCGATCATCTCAGTGCGAACACCCTCGTATGCCTAGAGTATTCAACTATTAGTTCGATGATCTTTTCCGAGATTTGAGTCAAATTGTTGAGATGTCACCTTACCTTTCTGACACTTGCACCATCATCTTTACCGAAACCCGTGGCCGTCAGCCGGTCCACATTCGGCGCAATATCTCCCATCTTAGATCCATATTGCTCCTCCGCCTCTGCCCGCATAGCGGCAATATACAGAATCTGTTTGTTTTCCACCACGCCTTGCTGCAGCTTTCCGTACAGGACCCCGAGACCCGTAGCATAATCGGGTGTCCAGAACGAATCCGCAAAGCCAGGCATTTTGGGGGCCGATTGGGCAAAAATGCCACTTACGTCGTTAAAAGTATTTTTCGAACGGGGAGGGGGAAACCCAGTCGGCGCTGTGTGTAGAGTAAGGTGAGGAGGTCGAGAGTAATATTTCGGAAATCGATGGAAGGAATTGAGAGGGAAGTGTCGTGATGTCGCAAATGACGAGGGAGTTCGGCGAATCTAGCGGGCCCGAGCTGAGCCTCCTCGGGACTTGGAAACCAGCAATCAAGAATTCGAATCCCCAACGGATCGACTAGCGCTGGCGTTGGCGCTAAATGAAGGCTTATAATATGGTCTTGGTCTGCGGGAAGACCTTAAGCTGATGCTTGGATGGAATTGATGATTGAGATGCGGACGGGATCTTCCCCAGGGAAATAGAGAGCGCGCGGCAGGTAAGCGCCAAGGTGCGGCGATGACGGCAGGAGATGGTCCTGGATAAATCGAAAAATAAAAGGAGCGAACAGCCACCGAGTCACGGGGGAGGGAGAATGAAATGCGACAAATAGGGCAGAAAGCACGGCAAAAGTAAGAAAGAAAAAAAGGGGGGGTTGTTGATATGCAGCAGGTGAAAGGCCTAATGGGATGTTGAATTTCCGCTTCGGCGTAGAGAGAGCGAGAGAGAACGGCTTGTAATATTACGGGTACATCTGAGTACAACCACCAGCCCTGAAGCCTTGGCTCCACCTTTTTCTCGGTACTATTTTTGGGTTTCTGGAAAATCTTTGCATGGGTGAGACAAAGAAGAAAAAGAAAATCAAGGAATGGGATGAATTTAGTAATATGACATCTATGTATATAAGTGAAGGTTCTTGTTATGTTATGAGCCTATATAATTATCACAGATGTTATATATAGTCAAAAGGGGAGTCCAATGTAAGGTCCTAGTCACACAGCGTACACACAGCCCGGTACCTGAGCTGAGGGGACGCGACACCCGACTCCTCAGGCCCACGCACTCAGCCACGATTTGATGCCCCCCAAATATGTCAATACGGTACAGCCAAATACATAAACCCAGAAAGATCGACAAGCTGTCAATCTCATCGGACTCAGCTCCAGAGTCGTCCAACTTGTCCGCTAGCCCCTCATAGGCTGAGAATTGATGGGTTGATTTATGTTTACGGATTTCTTAACTTACTCCGTACTCCGATCTGAATTCCCAATCAAGTTACATCGGTAACTTTACAATCTGCCCAATGCCAATCTCTTCGGCCGTAGGGCTGATACAGGTACAATCCATATCCAAATAAAGATAAAGATCTGACAAAGGCTACGGGGAGGCTGAGAACCAAATATTGAATAGTAGACTTTGCCACGATATTCCATTATTATATCTGTCGTGAACTAAATGGTGCCATAAATTCATGTGCAGGGGAAATGAGGAATTGAAGGGTATTAAAAAGAAAATGGCAAAAAGAAAAACGGAGACAAAGCTTGAACTGTTGGGGTCCAAATCTAGGACTCCACACTAACAGAACATCTTGTAAACCTTCTTCCACATAGGCCACTGTTGGCGATCAAGCCTCTCCTGTTCAATCAGATGCTGGATATCCAGATCGCGACGACCAGTTACCAGGTCTGCCTGGTGTGAATGCACAATCTTGGTGCGGTAATAGAGCTTGTAGGGGATGAAGAACAGCAGCACAACAGGTGCAGCAAGGTAAACAGAGAAAAAGTTCTCAACCAGCTCATTTGTTGTCATAGATGCATAACCCACGGGAGCGAAACCAACCCAGAACTGGGCAATCAGAACCAAGCAGTTGAAAATGAAACCAACCCAAGAGCCGATAAGGCCGGGTTGGGAGCGGAAAGCAAGCTCATCCAGACTGTGGCCCTGGACTTTCCAAGCCTTACGGAATCGAATGTGGCAGAGACAGACAGATCCCCAGGTAAAGATTGAGGAAAGGCCAGAGATAGCCATCATCCATTCGAATGCCTGTGTCTCTTTGGAAGATGCGGCAAGGAAGCAGAGGAGACCCAGGGCGGAGGCGACGAAAATAGCCCAGATAGGACGTCCCTTGCGATCGATGTAGGCGAGGAACCGGGGGGCTTGTTTTTGCTCAGCGAGAGCGGCAAGGGTACGCGAGGAACCGTAAACAGAGGAGTTTCCGACAGACAGCACAGCAATCATGATAACGACGTTCATGACGGAAGGCAAACCCTTGATACCGGCATTTTCGATAGCGATGACGAAAGGAGAAGCGTTGGCGTCGGAGGAGGAGGTACCGCTCAGAAGGAGAGGGTCGGTGTACTTGACTAGCAGACCGACAATGGTGAGGGAGACAACGTAGAAGAGAGCAATACGCCAGAAGACTTGTTTGATAGCTGTTGGCAGATCCTTGCGAGGGTTAGCAGTCTCAGCTGCGGCCAGACCGACAAGCTCAGTTCCGGCGAAAGCGAAAGCAGCATTGACGAAGACACTGCAGAGACCCTTGAAACCATTGTGGAAGGCACCGGGATTATGCCAGTATGCTCCACCAATGTAACCTCCTTCAGGACCACCACCGCAGTTGATGACAATGCCAAGAATACTAATAGAATGGTTAGTGATCGGGTAACACAAGACACAAGACGAAGGGGGAACAATCCCGAGGCAAATTAAATCAAAGGAGGAATGCGTCTGTGAGACTGGATGAGCACCTACATGAATCCAAGAACAGCGACAACCTTGATTGCTGCGAAGACAAACTCGGCTTCGCCATATCCGCGAACACCGAACAAGTTGATGGCGACAATGACAACCCAGAATATGATTACCCAAGCGGCATTCGATACTCCTGGATTCCAATAATCAACAGTGATGGCGGCAGCAACGATTTCGAGAGGTAAGACGATAAGCCATTGAAGTGCATAGTTCCAACCCATAGCGAATCCCCAGGCCGGATCAATGAAACGAGTCGAGTAATGGGCGAAAGAACCAGAAACAGGGAACAAGACAGCCATCTCACCCAACGCGTGCACGGTGGTGTAAAGCATGATTCCGATCAAAACGTAGGCGATGACAACCGATGCAGGACCACCCGCTTCCAGTACAGTACCCGAACCAACGAACAAACCAGTACCTAAACCAAGGCAAACCAGGTTAGCAAAACAATTTCGATCAATCAGGTAACTTAGGGTGTTAGTGAGGTATATTGTTTCACTCTGGATTTCTTACCAATCGAACCACCAATTGCGATCATCTGCAGGTGACGACCCTTCAAGCGACGGTGAAGTTGTGAGTGTGCAACATTCTCCGCGGCAGTCTCGAGATCAAAACCCGAGCCATCAGCACCTTGTCCACGCTGTGAAATGATATGCGCGTTTGGATCACGTCTGAAGCTGTCGATGAACCGCTGGCTCAAGCTACCCTTTGTTGGCTCCGAGTCGCCATAAGAAGGAACGGGATCAGAGCCAGCGCGAGTACTTTGCTCGGTGGCGATCTTCTTCTCGTCCTCCATGATTTCAAAATGTCGTTTTTGATCACTCAGATGAGATAGTGTTCTTTAGGAGTAAGGCTGGGGAAAGGGGGTGAAGCAGCTATTAAAATCTGCTGGGAGGGTTTAGTACTGGGTAGGGTTAACCAAGTACTAAGTGAAGGGTAGAGGTAAAGGGAGAGAGGGGGAAAGCGCGATGGCTTCAAAATTGCCACTTGAAATTCGAAGACTAAGTGAAAGGGAGAAAAGAGGGGAGATGAGGAGACTTTTAAACGACTGGGAAGATGGGGATATGGGAATATGGTCCGATAATAAACCATGACTAGTGTTCTTTTATTTCTTTTATTTTATTTTCTCGAATGGACAAATTGGGAAGCTGATTGTGTGCAGCCAATGAGGGATAATGCCCGTACTCAGGGTAAAATGGACTCGAGTTCAAATGTTGCGCTTAGACCAGAAACTAAATCCCGCTTAGTCTCGATGCGATATGATTTGACTGGATCCAATACTAATGAGAGAGAGAGTTTCTATCCCGAGAGGCAAAACTACTTGTCTTGGCTTGGATTTGATGTCTGTGGTTCTGCTTTACGGCGTACACCTATGGTTTGGATTCTCTTTTTGAAGTCTGAAACCGAATTCTACGTAGAAAAAATTATAATCAAACAAAAAATATAATATCAATATTAATAAATCCCTGAATGAACCTCTATCTAGATGCATGATACGGGAATGTTCGGGATCACCGAAGCCGCCAACTCTAGATACCCCAGATACCTAAATTCGCCTCGAACGATAAGATTACTATTCACAGAAAATAATAGTAATAATAATAGAGTAAAATTAAAACAATATTCAAATAAAATAAATTCTTCAAAAGACAAAAGCATCCGTAGTGTTTCATCCTCCAGAGTGGGGATCCAGAGCATCCTACGCCACCACTTATCACCTCCCAGACCTTGATTTGCTCTGTCCAAACGGGACCATCCCACCGTACACTGACCTGCAGATGCAGATGCTGACTCGGGCTTCCAGAACATGAACCATTTGCTTGGAATTTTTATCTTCCGCTCCTTCAGGAAGCGATAACCCTGTCACTGGGCTGACTGCTTATCTATAGTATGATAGTATCACACATGTACACCCGGGCACAGGCATACCACGTTGTCTCTGTTAAACAAGGTACAAAGTACGGTGTACGCCCACCAAGCTTCTGGTTGACCCAGCACAAATACGGATCGATGGACCCACTTGACCCCAATTCTGTACGGCTCTCCGCACTTTCCCACGAGATAGGCGATCTTTACCCAATCAGAAGTCCCAGCCCGAGGTCTCTCTGATAAGAAGCCAATTGCTACCAACTTGGAGTAGAAAAAGGGGGCCACAGCGGGAGAACAAAGAGAAATTCCCCTATAGGCTGCCAGATCAGACTACATACAGTATTAGGATTAGGCTAGTGACGACTAGGATGAAAATTATTGCAACGGACCTCCGCCGTGCAGCAGAATAGAAAATAACAAGAATAGGTACATTTCATCTCGTTTCCCCCGGGAAATCATAAGCGAGTTGCCCAAACGTCCCAACTCCGGATTCCCTATGTTTCTGTGTTTCTGGGCTGGGCTCCCCGACGGGGTCCCGCTGCGGCGCAGTACGCTTTGGCTCTCTGGCTTCAAGCACATGTGGGAAGGCAAGACCTCATCTGAGGGATGCTGGTTACGGGCTGCATGGACCCCACTGAGGCTGGCGATGGAAGCTTGGCGGTGTTTTGTGCAGGTAGACAATCTCTACCTAGAATGGAATTTCAGACTTGTCTACGGAGTATGTCTATATTGCATGGTTCACCGGCCCGGCGCTCTTACTTATCCGAGGCAATTTTTACTCGCCTGGTCGTGTGAAACTCTATCTACACATGCTGGAATGCTGTGCGGAATTCCATTTTCTGATTCGTTTCCCTGGCCATCTGGCTTGACGGCAACCTGTCATTGATATGCATAGAAGCACGGGAGAACCAATGCTAACTTCGGTCTGGATGGGCGCTGCCCCCTTGCGGGGTGTTAGATCGATCACGAGGTACAGAAGGAGTACCAATGATCATTTGATGCTGATTAAAGTCGCCATTTTCCCTGGGCATCTCGTATACAGGCGATCAGAGCGCAACGGAAATGTAAAACATGTAGATTCATAGGTTAATAATTTCTTCTATCTCTATCGTAGTTTAGTTTAGTTTTTACTCCTTGGTTTGGTTGAGACAAATCAAAGTGTAGTGACCTCTCATACTTGGCAGCCTTTGAAGCCAAGCCAAGCCTCCCACCCTGGTGAGGATAATTTACTTTTGCTCTGAAGGTTCAAGGCTTTTCGGGCGTTTGAACCCAATGCACCTTGAGCTTGAACTGAACTTATGATTAATCTCGGGCCCGGCTTGCTCTGTGTAGCTTGCAGGGTGGACCATGGGGCTGACAGAGATAACGGTGGAGCCCACCATAAAGAACAGTGGAACTTTTGTGGCTATCATGGGTCCTTATTAGACTTCTTGATATCATGACATTGACATGCTCATGACATACTGGTCCTTCATAATCCTGGCCCCCAAGACCGAGGGAGAATTAAATCTCTGGGCTTATTTTATTGCTTCACGCGATACTGAATTTCCCGCCACGGGAGGTGATGGCGTCTTACGCGTCTTATCACTGGCTACGGGTTTCTGACGGATAGTCACGGTAGCATCCAGCTGTGTTGGCAATTTCGATCGAACTCCTTGGCTGAGCCTTTTTTCTTCTGAATAGGATTGTGGCGATAGTGTGGCTGGATCAGGTTGTTGTAGATATTGATGAAGACAATGTACTGCTACGTAGCGCAGACACATGGTTAACAGGAATCATAAAGCGAAAAATTAGACGCAACACTACAAATCAAATTATTCAATAAGATCATTTTCATTTCTAGAACCGCATATCTTTCCTTAATAATTAACAAAGATATCCCGACATTTCTAACCCAGTGCTGTAGAATGAAACCCCCTTATCTCTCGCCATTCAAATTAGAGTCGAATAAGCCGACCGCAAAATTCTCTCAGCCTCGAGCTGACACCAGCCAATCCAAATCACACCATTCTTTCAAGCCAGCTTACCACTTAGCTTGAGGGAATCATATCAAATTCAGCTTGAGTACGTGGCCAGTCGTTTTAGAGTTGTCCCGCCCGCCGACGGGGTTGGTTTAGTTCTCTGGTCAGAATGCGGGGATGAGAAGTTGTTAGGTAACAGTTTCCACATGGCGTCTCTGGCCCGTCTGGGGAAATGACTCTCTCATTACGCTATCGAATGGCTAAAATGTCCTTTTGATAATGCGGGTCTGGTCTCGGGCTTTTAATAGATTGTTTGCATGCATATGTGTCACCTGTGATAGTCGATGAATTTGGTTGGCTTTGGAGTTTAAGTTGATTGAGGGATTTCTTGATCGCGTACGATGTACTTGTAGGATTTGACTTCTGATGTGCCTTGCTTCAATGTTGGATGTTATCGCTATCTAGGTCAAAAGTTATAAAGATTGCGTTCGTAACTTGTCTCGCTATTTGACTCAATGTAGTATCTAGGTACATGTACACTTATGACTCGGCAATGACTTCAAATTGGTAGGTCGTCACCTAACCTGGCACTCATGTGTCCAGAACACGAGTAAATCGATAATTTGGCACATATAGGCGATCGCATTTAACTCTAGAACTATTTTAATTTGTAATATATTAGGCTCCGAAGAGTCAAAGCCTCACTTACCCCAGAATTACCCCAGACGAAGCAAAAAGTGACTAACAAAAAGCCTAACTTGCGTTGGAGACTACTGCACGTTGCGATCCACCATCGCTTCATATTTGGAGAAACTAATGCAAAGAATACGCAGGAGACAAGATGGGGAAATATTCGAATAGGTATGCGGTGTTTGAAGATCTACGTGTGGCGCCAAGCTACACCAGGAACTGGGCTATCCTATCCGCATGCATAGAATCTCCTCGTTTTCCCATGTGAATTGAGTTTTAAGGCTTTCGAGGTAGTCAACGCCATCAGGGACTGAGCGCCATTGAATAATCTTGTTGGGAGTTTGAGAGGCCAGCCACGGACAGAGGTTATCGTCGGTGACCCTCCTCTCTTAACCCGGGAGATAAGGCTTTGTGCTTCTTCCGAGGTTAATCCCATGGTGGCTGTTTGACTTGGTCGATAAGACGCGATAAGGAAGAGGTTGATAAGGTAGATTGGAAGTTTGAAAGTTTGAAAGGATAGTCATCGGAAGTTTGCTAATTAAGTCGTTCTATCGGACTTTCATGTCGTTGCATTCGGTATCATAGCACAAAAATGTTTCTTTTTGTTTTTTTTTATCATTCCAGAAACTAGCAAGCTCAATGCGCTTAGCTAGATGATGGGCCCTCTCCACCGGGAATCAACTGATTCATAGGTTAGAGTGTGACTTGATCATGGGATGGATGTTGTGCTTACCATGCAAATGTTGTTTCCGTTCAGTAAAAGTTTGGGCAGCTTAGTCTGAGCTCCGGTGTAGTCGCTAATCAATGTCAGTTTGAAGAAATACCAGATCAATACAATAGATGTATTGTTTAAGAAATGAATTCATCGATAACAGCATTCTAAACCCCTTTCGGAGTATGCTGCTATACCGAAACATGGCAGCTTGCGCCATTCGACGAAAGGTTCGTGGCGAAACTCAAGCTTGAGACATATACTCACAATTCAGTGACATCTTCCAGAACCATGTCTATATTTGCAATTAGTATACTGATATTCGACATACCGGGAAATAAAAAGGATAATACATACTGACGTAGTCATCAAAGCCAAGGAGGGTGCCGGAGAACTCTGCACGCATGTTAGAACACTGCTCATAAGCAGGCCGACTGGACTAGACTTCACTCACCCTTATCGCCCTTCATAACGACCCAGATTCGAGAGCCGACACACTTGTCAATGAGCTCTATCAAAAAAGGTTAGTGGGGTGCAGGCAAGGAGGGGTTGGAAGAACAAACCCAGCGGGAGTAGTTGGGAGGCCATGGTAACGAAAGAATGGTGTAGACCTTGAGAAATAGAAGAATCTCCTAGACAGGCAATGCTTTCACTAATAAAAGATGGCAGAACGCGGGTTTGTGATCTACAAGTCTTCAGCTTCATCTCAGTCTTCGGATTTCAGGAACTTGGTTTTATCCGGACCGGTGTGACCATACCCGATTGGGACTAGCGGCATGCCCCGGACTTTTGATGCTTTGTTGCTTTGCCGATTCGACCTTGACTTATTCCTTTAAACTCGCATTGCTCTTTTTTTCAAGTTCTGACTAGCGCAAGCTGGTAGGTGAAGCTATAATAGGTCCTGAATTCTTTCTTGACTCGCAATATACTGCATGGACCCACACTATGCGTGCGACGCAACATGCGAACATGGGCGAACCTTCCGGCGGGCTTGAGGGCTTCGTCCTGGGCCTCGGCGCCAGCTGGCAACTTGTCTGTCCATTATAATAGGAGATTTTCAAATACAGCTCTCTTATCTCGTGGGTATGTGCGATCTTTTCTGTCGTCGGCCTCTGGCCATATCAATTCCAATTGCTAACTAGAATAGCGAACTTCTCCGCACGCTGGTTGGTGCTGCCCCTCACGCCGAGGAATCTCAACACGCATATCCCTACGACCGTCGTTCAGCTTCCCAAGGTTGCCTGCGCCGATTTTCAACTACTCCTACGTCGAGAATTAGATTAGAGGACGACGAGGATGAGCACAATGAGCTGTCTAAACCCGAGCCCCAAAGGCCGGTCAGGAGGGTGGCGGGGCGACCACTCCCAACCCAATCGAAGGATATGAGAACTCTCATCTTGTCGCGGAAGCCTATACCGCTTAAAACGACGCCAGTCACACCTCCGGAGTCTACAATTACCCAAGAATCACCTCCCCCTCCACCGTGTCTTACCCCACAACAGTTGCGTGAGGAGCTTCACGCTATTGCGACAAAATTCGAATTGCTTCTTAAACCTGATATTTCCCTCGATGATGTTATAAGCTCAAGATATATTGATGCTGAAAATTATATGGCGGAAATAATTTATACCACTCAACGGATATCGTCTGCCGTGGCGGAAATATTGCACATTCACACTCAGCAGCTACTTACCATACTCGGTGAAAGTAGGGCAACTTGTCAGCAGTTTGAAAGGAGATATTGCAATATTGTGTATCACCGAACTCCCCAATGGAGGATAGCCGTCTCTAAAAGCCAAAGGGAGGTTTCTCGTTTGAAGACCGAGTTTTCGGAGTTGCTTCTCCCGGTCGTTGTGGAGAATGTACAAAGGTCGCAGGGAAACGTTACCAAGATGCGAAAGCTGATTAACTCGCAATACCTGTTGCCTCGACAATCGGCTAGAGCAAATATCGACAAAGTTTTATCTGAATCGGAACAGGTACACACAGAATATGCGGAATTACAATCGAAGGGGAAAAAGGCAATAGCATTGCTAGAAGACATCATCCTACTTACTATCTCGCTCAAAAATCTCGACTTGTTAATTCCCAGTCGAAATGGCCCCAAGTTCGATGATTTCCGACTGATGCTCTCGGAGAATAAAAAGGAATTCGGATGGGCTGCTCACTCTTATCGTTCAGTGTGGGTTGAGCGCAAGCAAGCCGAAAGCTCGTTCCAAGGTGCACAATTCTGGAGCGCCAAGGACTTCACCGAAGTTCTTCGATCAAGAAAAATCCGAGAAGAGTCTTGTATAGAAGTAGCTCGATGTCGCATGTTTGCGGATATACTTCGTCGTCCACGAGAGCTGGCTCTCTTTCACCGCGAGGCCGTGATTGCTAAGTATCTGCGCCGTCTATATATGAGTAAATGGACTGCGAAGAGCAAGCGAACCGACAACTATCTATTGGACATTACCTGGCGACAGCTGGACGTGATGGCCCCCTTTGAGATCAAAATAATCCAAGATTGGTGGTTGCAGGAAGAGATTTATTTTTTGCTGAGATCCTTTGATCGACAAACCGGGCCATATGGGCCAATGTGGTCCAATGTTGACTCTGATGCACTTGAGCGGGTCCGTGACTCACTGAAAATCCTTCTAGCGGGATACGCCGCCACTCGAAAGGCCTTTATTGAAGAGATGAGCACGTATAGGCACATCAATTGGCATCGACTGAAAATTGAAGAGAAGCTGCACAATCTCGGCGAGCCGATTGAGTACAAAGAGCGAGGCGTTCTTGTCCCAGCGGAGCCACTCAGTGGTTCAACCATCCGGTTCAATCATTGGCTCAAATTGTACGCGGCCGTTGGATTTAGAGCTTGGGTTCTTAGGAAGTTGAATATTCTTTCCGCGGAATACACTACCAATGAGCTAGGTCATAAAGTGACACAATATGCCAGACTGTCTCAAATATTTCTCAAAACCGTGCAAGCACCTTTTGTACCTGAGGGTGGATCAGTGATTTCTGCCAAACATAACTCGTCTCTGGCAAGGCAGAGAAGATCAGCAGGTCTGAGGGTGCGTCCTGTACTCCCTTTGTTTATAAGGAAGTTTGACGACTCTCTCTTTCCGTCTGATAAGACAGATTCACCCCCATCATCAGATGGTATCAGCCAAGGCGATGCGACACTTATAGAAAGAAAGGCTTCCAGTAAATCATCATCGAAGGAACAGAGTCGCAACTTACGCCGTGCAAACCCACTCAAGCCGAATAATGGCCAGATAAACTTCTTTGACTCGGTTTCCCCAACCCCTAATACAGGACGCTCGGTGGCTCAACACGAAGAAACCTCACAGCCGAAGTTAACCTCAAAGCCCAGATCAAGTGAGACTACAACATCTAAGGCATTCGAAAAATCAAAGACGACAAACTCTGTAAAACAACATCCCGGGCCCCCATCTTCGTCTGAAAACAAGCAGAGTTCATACAGCGAACGGATTCGTTTTCAAAAAAGCCAACATCCAAAGTCAGACTCAGCAGCAAAGCCGAATCAGAACAACCCCTCGTCTCCCACAACTTATACCGTCAAGAAAAAACATTACGGTACCCCCTGGAGACGCAGCTCTTTTGCCGACGCTCCACAAAATGGAAGAAGGCCATACAGCAGCAGTACTGGACCGAGCAATATCATATCGACCACCACAGACGATGACAAAGTCAAGGAAACTAGCAAGCACTCGCTACCATCCGGCGTCTTACCAATGGCCGAAACCATAGAAGACTCAATCCCGGTTGAAAGCAAAGCCAAATCTGCCGCTGCAGCAGCTACAGCTCCACTATTCTGGAGCCATAGTTCGCAACGTAGTCCTTCTGGACAAAAGCTAATCGTTCACTACTGTCGCTCCCTACAAAGCACCGAGGAAGTTGCTCAATTATTCCTCAATAGTAAAATCATCGGCTTTGATATGGAATGGAAAGCACAAGCCTTCTCATGGGACAGTATCCAGAACAATATATCTGTGATCCAAATGGCGAATGAGGAGCGCATTGCTTTGTTCCATTTAGCTCTTTTCAAGCCTGGAAAGTCCAGGGAAGATTTCATTGCGCCTTCGCTTCAGAGGATTATGGAGTCTTCGGATATTACTAAGGTTGGCGTGGCTATTAAGGCTGATACGACTCGTTTGAGGAAGTTTCTTGGGATCAAGACTAGTGCGATTTTTGAACTGAGTCATTTGTTCAGGCTTTTGAAGTTTAGCTGGACGAATCCTAAACTTGTCAATAAGAGAGGTGTTAGTCTTAGTGATCAGGCTCTGGAACACCTTGGGTTGCCTCTTGAGAAAAGTGAGGATGTTAGGTGTGGGGACTGGACTGTTCCTTTGAGTTATCGACAAGTTCAATGTGAGTTTATTTTATTTGGAAATATTGAACGCGGGTGTGGAGTTATATATACTGATCGGATCGAAAAGATGCTGCGACGGACCCATACGCTTGTATTTGCTTATTCAATGTCATGGATCAGAAAAGACAAGCTATGGTCCCTATGCCACCTCTCCCTGCTCATGCGGAACTCAATATGCCTATCGTCCTACCTCGCGGTGAGGCAGTAAATAACGAGGAACCTGTCGCTGCAGCCATGGACGATGCTGCGGTAGTCGACGGTTCATGAAGTCATGCAACTTATACCCTTCCCCACAATCTTCTTTCTTCTAACATATAACCCATCGCATCTGACATATATCTTTTCACATTTCACATTTCACATTTGCATTTGCATTTGCATTTTCTCTCCTAAATTCTGTCACATTCAGCACTGCCCTAGTCCGAGTCGTTCTGAAATACCCCCACGTCTAGCTTTTCAGTTCAAGACAGCGGGAAATAAATCCCACAGGCCAAACAGTGAATATAGAAATTTGAACAAATTTTGAACAGGATGAAAAAACTCGGGGTATATAATCATCTAAATCAAGTATATACATATCCAAAATGGACTTTTCTAAATCGCAAACGCAACATCAATGCGGTTGAACCATATACGCACATAATCAACCCCTAAGGGGAAGAACTTTAGACAGCGGTACATCCTGACGACAAAGCGGACACTCAGGCTTCTCACGCACCCAATCCCTCACACAAACCCAACAAAACACATGACCACAAGTAGTAACACTTGGATCTTTAAACATCTCCAAACACAATGTACATTTCCGCTGCTGGCCCTCTGGAATCCATGAAACCGCGCCCGGATCCTCCTCAAGATCATACCTAGGCGTGGCAGCAGGTAATAATGGTACAGAAGCCGGATTCTGAATTGAAGCAATGACAGCACCACCCTCAGACGAGACACCCGCGCTACCAGCCTCGGTACTTGCGGACTCAGCCTCCGCATTATTCATACTCTCGCCTATCTTCCTTGCATGAAGGAATCCTTGCACGGCAATTTGAAGAACCATCAAAACACCCAGAACCTCATATCCAATGCGTTGCTCGCTCTCGTCAATCTTCTTCGTGAAGACGTACCGGAGACGCCAGATCCGTTTAGAGAGATGGTAGTACGAGCCTGTGAAATAGAATGTCGCAATGCTGAGCGCATATATAGGCGAGAGCGATGTAATCGAATCCAAATGATCAAGAAGATACTGCTGAATGCGCAACTTGGTGAAAAACGGCTTGCTCTGCGGCTGCTTAACATTACTACTAGTGTTTGCATTTGCATTTGTTGCCTTTCCTAAGCCTGGGATTTGCTGCTGCGCCGCTCGGAATTGTTGCCGCGCAATATTTCTCTCGAGCTTATTTCGGACTCGGGACCGGAGTGCGGGGAGAAGACGCTGAAGCCACCACGGCACAAGGATACTGCTGAGGATATATCCCACGCGCCGGGTGATTGCTGGTAACCGTAAGGAGTCATCTTCTAACTGGACCAGGTCGCAGTATTCCTCGCCTAGGGTGCGGTTCCCGATTGCCGTTGTGAGGGAGAGGTAGAGAAGTTCGGTGAGATGTTTGATTGCGTCGGAGTATGTGTGGGCGAAGCGGGCGCCTTTTAGGGACCGGACGATCGTTTGGGCTTGTTGGGTTAGGCCTGCGGTGACGAAGGTGTCTTTTTCATGGGAGCGGATGATATCTGGGGATGTGGCGAAGGGGTAAGAGTGGGATGGTGAGCCGAGGGCACTATCTGGGGTAGGGAGGGAGAGATTGTGGTCATCGTCGGCCATATTTTTTTGTTGTTGGAATAGTGACAGGATGGTGGAGGTGGTTATCCGGTAAGGTGAGGGGTGTATTATTTTCCTCTTCAGGAAGTAATGATAAGATAGAATATAATATGCAATTCTATAAATGAGTCCGAGTTCCGGGCATCGTTGTGAGTCGCGGGACAGAGTAAAGAGATAGGAATGAGGATCAAGCTGCTGGCTTTCCCCAGAGTCGCGGTTTCCCCGAATCAGTTCGAGCCTCGGTCCACCGGGCTCGGGATAGTCAGGTGATCCTGTTTAGTCATGACATACTGGTCACATGATCTAATCACATGCTGCCAGTCTTGGCACGGTGACATAATTGTAATTTATGAATGCGGAAACGGTCAAACACGGGAGAAAACAGTGGTGAATACGGCCTGGATACCCGTTGGGCAATCAAATTGCGACAAATACACTTAGGGGGAGTCGTCAGCTCTGGGAGGCCCAGACCATCCTACATGGCTGGTTCTCTACATTAATGGCTTGCATTTCAAAGTAGGGTTAACTATTAATAGGGTAAACTAGTGGATTTGGGGAAACGCAATTTTTAAATTTGAAAATTTAGTTTTATATGGAGAATTGTACTTATAGAATGATCCATCTTCCTTCTTTTTCCCCCTGATTCGCATTTTCAATCGAACCTATTGTATTTTCGTCTCTTTTATTTTTATTTTATTTTTTGTACTGTATCACCAAATCAAAGTGGAGTTCGCTAATAGGGAAATATAAGTGGGTGCAATGATTACCCATGCCATCATCGTAGTGCAAGTGGATTGGGGAGACCAACCCGCAAGCGCCCCCTGACTGCCGATCCAGCAGGGATCTTCGTTGGCTGCTGAAAGGATGGTGGAACAGAGTGGAATAGGAATCCTCTATTTCTCTGGCTATACCCAATGCGAAGCCCTCGACCCTCTCCCCTTAGTGGAGCATCCCAGTTACTATGAAGCAGCCCACCGCGGGCGCGTATTTCGTCCCGTTACTACCGTGCTTATTAACCTCTGCAAGCGGCCGGGGAAAAGTTCCCTTTTACCTTCATCCTCAAAAGAGCTCACCCCAAGTCGTTCGTTTCGGTTCTGTTCCCTTGTTCCTATACGAAGTTTTTCGCGTTTTTTGGTCTCGTTTGGTCTTTACCCCGACGGAGTTCGTGTGCTCTTAACTCGTTTGGGACCGTCCTACTTATCCCTCAATCCTTCGCTCTTCCCCCTCACCCTCCTCCACACCACACCACACCCCTGATCCATGGAATAATGGGTGCGGATCTCCATGCGCAATTAGATGGATTTGGGATAATCTTTCCCTTCCCTATTCGCATAGCGGCCGTCTTAGTTGCGGGTAAGATTCTTATTTCTGCGACCCCAAAACTACAAAGAAAAAACCTCGCCAGGGAAAAGGATGCCCAAGAACTCAAGTACTGACGTGATGGTGTCTCCACAGGTTTCTGGGGATGGGGATTCAATCTACTGTATCTCAGCAAAGCCGATATTGTAAGTAGTAGCTTGTCGCTGGGGAGGATAAACTATTCCAATGCTAATTCAATTCGCTTCTAGCCCGTTCACAGTCTTATCAAATACAATAAACCAACAAATCCTCATCATATCGCTACATTTCGACTAGCCAGCCTTTTTACGATCCCTCTAACCGTCTGGCTATTCGCCTTCTGGTTCACCACACACAGCTCGCGAGAACTAGTCGAGCACCTAGACTATGTACCGCTGTCGATCTTCATCATCCTCCTCCTGATCCTCATCTGGCCTTTCAACCGTGCCGCCCGCGCTGGCCGAATCCGCTTCCTCCTAACATTCAAACGGATCGTTATCGGAGGATTGGCAGATACCCAAAATGGCAAATTCGCTGATATCCTCCTCGCCGATGCTTTGACCAGTTACGCCCGCATTCTCGGCGACCTCTACGTCAGCTTTTGCATGTTTTTCACCGACGGCATCTCAGCAACATCCAAGCCGAACCGCGCCTGCGCTAAAGATTTCATTGTACCAATTATCGTGGCCGCTCCGAGCGTCATTCGACTACGTCAATGTCTAACAGAATACCTACGGGCCCGTCGCTCTAATTCGGCCCACGAAGCCGCAAAGGCAAATCAGCACTTGGCTAACGCTTTGAAATATGCTACCGCCTTTCCAGTCATCTGGCTCAATGCCAAGATGCGAAATTATAATCCATGGGACTTCCGCGGGCTCAGTGAGATGACGATTATGCGCCTTTTGTAAGCTTCCTGTTCTCGCATCTCATAAATGCGGGCTTCCGCCTTGACCGGACCTATCTAACAGCCACAGGTTTATTTTCTCTGTTATCAACTCCGCATATTCATTCTGGTGGGATGTTGTGAAGGATTGGGACTTGACGCTTCTCACCCAGCAACGCCACAGCAGCCAGTACCCCTATGGACTACGCCATGATCGTCAATTCCGTTCCGATAAGTTGTATTACTACGCCATTGGTGCGGACTTCTTCCTCCGATTCTCATGGCTATGGCGCATCTTGCCAGGTTTTGGGTGGATTCCAGATACCGAAAGTGGACTATACTTGTTGATGGTTCTTGAGGTGGCACGACGATGGATGTGGGTGTTTTTTCGTGTCGAGGCCGAATACTGTAAGTCTCATTTTGAAATTCCCTAATCACGTTTCAAATAAGCAAATAAGCCGCTGCTTCTCATCTCATGCTCTCGTTCTATTCTTTCCCTTGCTAATCGGTATCTTTCTATGAAAACAGTCAGGAATCCAACACCCTCCGACAGCCTTCCTCGTGCCGAATCCCATGGCAAGGAATTCCAGGATTGAATTTGATTAAATTGCTCGTTATTTGCATATTACGCCTGTTTTCTTTCAAAACACCACTACCCAACCTCCAGTTTTCAACTGGTATGAGAATGAGACACAGAACACACCTTGATTAGCGGCCGCCTCGGAGATCAATTATCCTCTCCCTTTCTCTTCCTTCTCTTTCGTCTTTCTGTTACCCGATATCCTCTCTCTCTTTCTACCTTCCCTTTTTCAAACTTAGAATAGTTATAGATATGAGACCCGGACATCTGGTTTTGCTTGGTGTATGAATGCGCATTTCTTGGTTCATCTGCCCGTCGTTGTTTTCCTGACTTCATCAATGTCTGGACCCCACTCGCCTTCGCGACCTGTGTTTCCATTATCTTGTTTCGGGACTTTGACTTTTTGACATGATACTTTGGTTGGCTTTGGCTTTGGCTTTTTCAAGCCTAAATTGGGTAATTTTTGGGCTATGAATGAATTGGTGTTTATGTGGTATTCGTCTTCAAGGCGAATGTTGGGTTGGGTTTCTTTTCCGGTTGTCACTTTCTTTTCTTTTTTTTATCTGGTCTAATGCGGCTGGATGAAATATGCATTTACCCGGTCTTTTGTACATAAATTATTTTCGATTTGCTCTTCTCTTGTTCTGTTATTTTTGATGCATTTGGGGTTTGCTTAGGGCTTCGGGCTACCATGTACATTATGGATTCAACAGATGATTCTTACTTATGGTCTCATTACGTCAAAATTCTGCGGGCACGTAAATGACTGTTTAGGTTTGGTTTTATTCAGTATAGGAAGCAATATCAATTTGAAGTTGCATTGCGGTATGTATATGCGCTATCAAAAGACGAGTATAACATGTATGGTTCGACAAACTGACAAATTGACAATTTCAAGATCAAGTTGAAGCTCAAACTTAACTTTAACGACAAAAAAATAAGAGTAAACCGTAGCGATCAAAGCCAAACTGATAAACCAGCTAGCAAATCTTATCACCTAACCTTTGAGCAATGAAAGAAATATTCGATCTAAGCTTGTCGAACAATATCTGGGAATCGTTTCCCCTCTGTCCATCTCTGCCTATTAACCCGTCAGTAGCTTGAAAAAAAATATAATAAGAAACAGCCTGAATGAGCAGACTGTCACCATTATATAGGAAAGAACTTACCAAACCTCCAATTCCAACCCAGAAAGATGCTCATCAAACTTACAATCCGAACTCGTACAATTCGGTACATAAGGACAATGATGACTGAAACAACAAGCCCAATCACAACAAGTAGGACCATTCGTACACTGTCCTAATCTAGCCCGATACCGATGCACCGCAATCTCCCTCTCAGAAAGCACCACCTCATGCTCCATAGGACAAGCTGAATCCCGCTTACATTTTCCCTGCAAATACATATAATTGCAGAAACCCCTACAGTCTGCGTTCTTCACCTTCGACAACTTAACGAAGTATGTATCGAAGGCGGATTGGTCGGCGGGTTTCTTGTTCGGAGTATCCAGTCGAAGACCTGTAGCGTTGTATTCGATTGTTCGGGATTTGTCGGTCTTTATGCTTATATTTTGGTGGCTTCCTGGCCCGCCGGCAGAGGCGTAGCTTTGTGATGTTACCACTGCTGGAGCTTGGGGGTAGCGGACTGAGACGCCCCCGTTGCCAGAGGAGATGATATTGGACCATTGGGATGGGTGCGGTTGGGGTTGGGGCTGTGCGATGGGAAGGTTTGAGGGGATGCTTGTGTATGCTGGGGTTTGTGGGGGCTGGACTGGGGTGATGTTGATCAGTGTTGAGGGTTTGGGAGGTTCCTGGACTGGGGCTTTTTGGATGAGGGTTTGTTTGTTGGGTGTTTGGCGTGCTGGGCTGAAAATGGAGCTGGGGCCATTTAGGACGACTGATTGGACTGGTGTTGGCCGTGGTGGTGAGGGGGTATATGAGGCTAGGACTGGTCGAACTGGGGTAGGTCGTGTGGGTGAGTTGCCTCCTGATATTGGGGTTGGATATAGATCTTCTCCGGTTAGGGAGGTTGAACGAAAGATGTTGTCGAATCGGGTTATAGCGAAGGGGAGTAAATCTTTGAAGGCGGGTTGTGCTGGAGTTGTTTCGATTAGAACGATCCGATCTGGGTCGCTTGTGTATTTCTGGAGCTCGTTGACGTATCCATTGTCGTGGCATCCGGCGAAGAAAATTCGTTTACATTGAAAGTTGTTGTGGTAGTGATCCAGCATATCTATAGAACGTAAGTTTATCATCTTCCATGAGTATGTGTGCTTTTTGCTTCTCACTTACTTCTTATCTTGGAGTCGGCATTCTCTTTACCAGGACCAACATTGATAAAGTCGAACTCGCCGCGACTGACGGTGAATTGCTCGGCAAACGTGTTTAGATCAGCCCTGGCGGTAATGACGTTGGTCAAGCAGAGAGTTTTTGCCAGGTCATTTAGGTTTGCAAAGATTCGAACAATAACAGTCACTTTATCCGCGTCGACACCGCTGTCTCTAAGCGATATCTTCACATTATGACCGAGTCTTCGGGCTGCTTCGTTTGCTCCTTCTCTTGGTTTTTCAAGAAGCTCATCGAGGAATAGAGCTCCATCGCCATCTACAAGGACAACGACAAAGTTATTCCGAGACTATAAAGTAAATAAATCAGTCTCTGTTTCCATAGATCTTTATATCAATCGGAGATTCTCGTGACGGGATATTACTCACAGTTACGATTTTCTGCGAATCGCCGGCTTGTATCTTGAGTTGCTCAACTTCTTCTTGGTAGCAGCGACGGGACTTCTTTGCGTCTTCCAGCTCAAACGTGAGAGTCTTTACTTCTTGCACATATCGTTCTAGAGTTTTCAAGGTATCCTAAATGAGTCCCCATGTTAGTTGTACTGGAGACTCTTCTGCAACTGCATGGGGAGAGGAAGGAAGGAAGCCCATGCCAGGAAACCTGGCTTCTATATAGGCCAGGGATGCAAACGTCGTATCGGGAGTCTCCATACGGAGATCTCCTGATAAGATGAATATGGCCGTATGTCAACGAAATGGTGTTAGCAGTACTCACGTTGATAAGATCATCTTTCGTCTTTTGATGGGCAGCGAGAGTCTCAAATTGAGCCCTAAAGTTCAAATCTGTAAATTTTTCGCCCAACATGGTTTTTTAAATGTTTTTTTAGTGCGCTGTGGTCAAAAATTTAACTATGAAGGCTGGACAACATGTGATTTGAAGTAGGATGATATTTGATTGTCGGGGTCTGGGGCCTTTAAATAGCTTGGAATGAGGCAAACCGCTATTCCCAAAGGAAAGAAATTACTGTGCAAATTAAAAAACAAGGAAGTTCCAAGAATATCAAAAGCGCACAATACCGCTCTGAAACATGAATATCAGTTTTTAGTGGATTCTACTGTTGGCGTTGATGTCGTGGGCGCTTAGATCCCATAGGCGAGACGCCCGCACTGTATACTGGCACTGCCAACATCACAAACTCAATACTTGAAACAATACGCGCCCGGCCATTAAACCGCTAATTTTGGACCTACTTGGCCGACTTGAAATACCTATTTATGACACATTTTACATTCGAAGCGTTACGCTGTGCTGAATTGCACAGGCAAAAATACTACTTGATCTACCAATCGTGGGATCTAGATCCTATAGGCTACAGCTGTGGGGGTTGGGGGCGCACAGCACTGGGCATTATGCGGCCACAGTACGGGACAGAAATTAAAAAGGCCTAAGGCTGAGATTCCTGTCCAATCCATTGACTGTGGCATTTCAAGGCGTTTTCACTGTGCTCGATTTATTGTATTTTGGGTGTTGGGTGTTGGTATTGATCCCAGGTAAGACGCTGCGGGTAGACTTTCTAGGAACTTGAAGTGGATCTGGACCGCGACGAGGTGAATTTCCACTGGATAAAAGAGATACCATTTGGGCTATCTGTGGTACTTTGGATGATATGTGCAGAGCTATATTCTAGGGTTGAAGGGGCTATGTTAGGCAGAAATAGGGCTATGGGGAGGCTCCAGTCCACCTATATCACGGCGGATTAAATATCCGTATATTAGGCTGCATTGTCTACTGCATTATTATTCGTTGGGAATGTTACAGATATAGAGAGTGAGGTGGCAAGACTTCAGATTGGATGTATGCATATGCCCAAATCGTGGAGCTCATCTGTACCTATCTATCCACTTGTTGTGCTCAAGCTTGCAGGGCATCGAATGGGATGGAGACTTGATGTATAACTTGCTTATACGAGTTGGAGATCTTCAAAATCTGACCTATATTACTTGTTGTCATAATGCTGGATCTACTGAATATATAAGCATGATTCCTGGATTTGATGAAGCTGAAGCCACGATCTTGTGATGCGATGAGAATGATCAAACTTGGTATAGTCGGTACGCTCACTTCTAGACACATGCTTGTCAGTCCGATATTATTTGTCCACGATGCAAAATCAGATGCATATGGGTTGATGCATATGCACAGGAAGTCTTTGGTCTTTGATTTGACTTTGGTGCCTGGTTAAAAACATTGAAGTTGAGAATACCGTCGTGTACAGTAGTTGATGGGTACAATGTATCTTGAAATCCACCGTAAAGTTTACAAATGCTATGGCGGAGTATAACTAACCTCCGAGGCCTAGAGCTTGTCTAATTTGTCTGATAGACATGAGGAATAGAACTGTGGACTTGTAGTGTATTTCCTCTCGCTGCACCAGGAGGTTGCACCTGTGCAGTATCTCGGGATATAACGCCTGGGCTGATGGGTCCTCACTCAAATCGTGTGCCTGATGATCATCTTTCAATATTTGTCTTAAATTTATCACGGTTTCTAACAAGTAAGCATGGGTATATGTTGCGCATCCAGATTTGAACTAGCATTCACCTGGGTAAAGACTCGGGCCGTGCCTCTCATTACGGACCACGGGTCATAATGTAAATGTCCACGGGTATTTTTTTGAGCCATACCACAATAAAACTAGATAATCCATTGTGTTTTTGTTTTATTTGAAGCCTCATGGAAATGGAATGGCAACTACTAAATCAAAATCAAAATGCCGCTCAATGATTAGGTAAAGAGAAACTCCTATTGACATAACAAGGTAAAGACAAATCCCAGGCACTGGATGCAACAGGCGCCTGTGAAACGCCAACTCGCAAGAAGCGGGAAGCACATGAGTAAAATAGTGAGATCGTAATAATTGCGAATGGCCAAATATAGAACACAGAAATAGAATCAAAGCTGAAGTTCGAATGTCGTGAAAGAAACCGCTCATATCATTCCACGTCGTACAAAATACGTAAATCCATAGCTCATAGCGCCTTACCTACGACCATACTCGCTATTGCGAGGCGATGTATGGTTTTCAAACAGATCTTCCAAGTACGCACTTGGTGCGCGACCGCCCTGAGCCTGGTTCTGGTTCAAGTTTAACGAACTGCTCGAGGCAGCTGCATACGATTGTCGCGAGTTATGAGGATTATCTTGGTAACCACCTGTTGGCGGTAGAGATGGCGAGCTTGCAGCGTAATTTGGGGGTGACACCATGCCAGCATGAGGGTTGATAGAGTCTCGAGTTGGCGTGGAGGTGCCAGTAGCAGCGTAGAAGCCGGCGGGGAGGTAGCTTGAGTTTCGGTTGGCGCCGGCGGCATTTACATTAGGATTCGATCCACCGGCATTACCTGCAGTAGGCGAATAGAACAGTCCGCTGCTGTTGCTGGGGACTCGTCGCGATGGCTTGTATGATGCGCGAGTGGCTGTGCCAAGCTTATCGAGCGAGACGTCCATTGCTGGTGCGGCGGAATAAACGGCTGTAGAGCGCTTCTTTCGACTGTGGCGTAATAGGCGCTTCGACTCGGCAGATTGTGCCATGGCTGCGCGCCGTACTGAGCGATTCACGGACCATGCCACCATTCCCCGCCAGGCGAGGACGGCCAGCGCAATAAAGCCGAGGATGGCTCCCACAGCAATAAAAACGGTTCCCTCGGGCGTATTGGATGTTTGTAAATAGGGCGCTCCGACAGTTGGGGGTACGGTGACAACTGCGGCGGCAGTTGTGGTCGAGGATGAGGATGTTGATGTCGTTGTTGTGGAAACGGATGATGTTGTTGTGGTGCTGTCAGATGAAGTGGAGGTGGAGGAGGAGGAGGTAGAAGATGTCGTAGACGACGATGTCGAGGAAGTCGTGGTTGTGGAGTCCATGGTAGTGGAAGTAGTCGAGGACTCCGACGTTGTACTTGTAGATTTCTCCGACGTTGACGTAGTGGAAGAGGTTGATTCAGTAGTCGATTCAGTGCTGCTAGTCACGCTAGGGGTGCTTTCAGTGGTGGAGCGATCGTCGGTGGTCTGGGCGTCGGCAACGGTATCCGTAGTCTTGTCACTCGCCGTCTCCGCTGACACTCGAGCAATGATGGCAAATAAGAGAATTACAAGGAACAAAATGCTCGGCCGAGCCTTTCTGAACCGACGTGATAGAAGTCGCATGGTGCCTGGGTCGCCTGGTAAACAATTGAATTGGTGATCAATTCTCCACAGCGGGTCTCGGGGTAAGCGGATAATATGTATGTAGTGTGAGCGTAAAAAACAGTAGAACCGCCAGTCCCTAGGGGACAAGAAAAGCCTGGAGTATGCAAAGAAATTTCCTGGTAAGAAGATATCTGGTGTTCCCTCTATTCAATAGAACGATCGCTGATGTTGCGGCTTGGACGATCCAGGGGGAGTGCTTCTAGAGGTGCTAGAAGGATCTCTGTACGGGGGCACAACCCATTGGGGATCTTTGTTAAAACGAGTGGCAGTCCCCTCACAACGAGCGAAAAGGTCCAGTAAATAACGAAAGAGGAAGAGAGGGAGAAAAGTTCTTTCTGTGTAAACGAGAAGTCGAAGGAAGCGAAAAGACGCCAAGTGACCTTCTCTACGCTACGCTAAACGGGGCGCCTCAGGCCGATGTGTCACATGATGCTTCAATTCTAAGTGAAATAGCAATTGTGATATATCATACAAGAAAACTAAAATAACAATGCCCCTGGACCCGAGATTGAAAAGAAAAATTCAATTGTAGCATGCATCGAGCAAGGTATGAACTTGCACCAAAAACATTGCAAATGAGAAATGTCACCCAACTTATTTACTGTTGCTTTTTCTGCACAGCACCGGATGTGTCCTTCTCAAAAGCGGCGTAAGAGACCTCAAGGCTGGACAAAGCATTGACACCGATGTAGAGAATCATGAGGAAGAAAAAGGAGGCCAGGAAGCCCATGAAGAGACCTGTTGGGTGATTAGTATCGAAGAACGCCCCTGGTTATATCAAAATGAGTACGAACCTGGCGTGAAATACTGATATGTATCAAACAAAGAGGTTTGACGACCCAAAGAGCCAGAGGGGCTTGAGTCAGCGCGGGCAGAGTAGTCGCGCTTGAGGTCCATGTGGACATTGTCGTGGTTGAATTCTTCGAAGGGCTCGTACACGACAGAGTCGCTTTCAGGGAACTCCCTGGGCGAGGTGACGTAGATAATAGTATACTTAGAGGAGGAAGGAATACGATCGATGATATCGGCAAGAAGGCCATCTGGCGAAAGTTAGAGCTAAATAAATATGACCTAGCGGGGCAGCCCACGTACCATTGTCGGAAAGTTGTTGGGTGCGGCTGGAGCTTAGAGGAAGCATAGCGAACTCGATGTCAATGACCCGAGGGCCAGACTCAAAATATGTGGGATAAGATCCGGCTTTTGAATCGTTGTTAGTGTGAGCTCTTCCGAGGTGTCCCTACCAGGCTCAGGACGGATCATGGATCAACATGGCAACTCACAGGAAGCATCAATCGCGGTCGTTTCAGCTCCGCACTTCTCTACCAGTAAACTCTTAATCTGCTTTGCGTCTAACTCTCCGACAACCTCATTCACGCTCATCTTTGAATGAATCGACTTGTCCTTGCCCAGCATCTTCGCACCGAGGCGGGGTGCGGACTTGCGAGTCGAGAAGTCGGAGCTGTGCACGCCAGGCTGGGAGACGACAACATAGTAGTCTGATGGACAGGTGCTCAGAGCGGAGGAAATTTCATCGTACACGGAAGCGCCATTCTTAATATATGCGGAGTTCGTCAGGAGCCTAGACAATCGATTAGCTGGCGAAAGCTCCCCAAGATTCGCATGGGACATACTCGGAGGTCGATGCCATGAAAAATGGAGACGTGTCACGGAAAGCATCAACTGCAGCTGCCCCAAGGGCGAGCAGCCCGAATTTGCTCAGATGCATTGTGTTTAGTTGGAGATGGTGTCGGGGAGGGTGATGTTGCCAATGGAAGGTCCGACTTGGCCTCGGAGGCGGTCGATGGGTCCGGCCCGCCTTGAGCTTTTTAGAACCAACTTTTTTTTTTCTTCGGTGCGATCAAACTACAACAACGCCGTCACATCGACATTTCCTTTAATTGCTGTGAACTAGTGCTCTACTAGCACATTTGTGTTCGCCATGGGTCCCTATTTCAATAATAAAAAACGCAGAGTGACCGTTGACAAAGTGGAGGAGGTCAATTTCGACAACGATGCCCGCCATGAATATCTTACTGGATTCCACAAGCGCAAGGTGCAGCGCGCCAAGCATGCACAGGATATCGCAGAAAAGAAAATGAAAGAGGAGAAAAGACAAGATAGAAAAAGGGTATGTGGTCCTCTTACTCAGGCGGTCGAAAATCATTTACCAACACCCAGGAATTATTAGCTTCGTGAAGAGCGAGCGGCGGATTTCAATCGAGTCATGGAGGAACACAAAAGGCAACTTAAGCGCATGAAAGAGGAAAACGACAGTGAAAGCAGCGGCTCGGACGACGAGGACGATCAGGAATGGGAGGGTATTGAGGAACCACCGGCCGTTGACTACGAGGCTGAATACATCGACGAGGACAAATACACTACGGTGACTGTTGAGGAAATGGACACCTCCCGAGAAGGACTCCTGAAGTCGGTCCGCGGCGAAGACTATGCAGAGGAGGAAGCCAAAAAGGCGCCAGCCGAGACGGCAGAGCCAGAGAAAAAGCCTGCCAAAAAGTCCTGGAAGTCAGACAAGCCCAAGAAGAAGAAGAAGCAATTCCGATACGAGAGCAAAACAGATCGCAAACTCACGGCGGCAAAGCAACGGGCATCAAAGTCGAAGAAAGCCAAGGCCCGGAGAGAAGAGTGATCGCTGGCTACTTCCCCCGTTTATATCTTTTTATAAGTGCGATTTGTTGATACCATGTTATCTAAGTTTCTTTGGAGTTATAATTTTGTCATTGAAAGCCCTGATTGTCAATAAAAAATTTCTATGATTCACGAGAACATTGACCACAAGAAGGCCATTAATTCGTGCAACAGGGGATGAGGCGACAACGTAGTCAACATGGCATAAATAGCTAGAAGACACTGTCCCCAGCATGATAGAGCGGCAAGTAACGCAATCGGTCACAGTATGAGAAAAAAATAGCTGCTGGAACAAGGGGAAGAAAGCCTGCATCCAACCCAACCTGACACCCGACACCCAAATTCGGAGACTTTCCCAGCTTAAACGTTGCTGATGGAGACCTCGAGCTCTTGCAGCTCCTTCTGCAAGTCGTTGAACTTCTTTGACATCTCCTCGTACTTGGACTCCCACTGGTCGCGCTCGGTCTCAAGTGCTTGCACCTTGCGCTCGAAGTGACCAGCCTTGACATCGGTTTGGCGGAGCCTGATGCAAAGGAAAAGAAAAAAAAGTTAGAAATGCAGTCTTGTAATTTATAGTGGAGATGAATAGACCATACTTCTCGTTGGATTCCCGCAGGGTCTTCTCGTTCTCCTCAGCCTCCTCCTCAAGCAGCTGCACTCGGCGCTGAAGAGCCTCGTTCTGGGTGTCGTGCTGGGCACTCGTGGTAGCAGCATCCTTGGCATCCTTCACGGAGCCCTCCAGCTTCTCGACCTCCTCTTCCAACAAAGCATTTCGGTGGTTGAGGGATGTGATTTCCTGCTCCTTGGACAGGTTCTCTTGCTCCAGAGTCTTGATCTTGCCTTGGAGGTCCTCGTTCTTCTCGTGGGCTTCGTCGGCCTCAATACGGAGATTGTTCATACGCTATTCCCAGAATTCATTAGCATTAGTTTCCATGAGTTGTGAATGTTAGAAAATTAGGGGACAAAAGTGTGATGCGGGCGATATGCACAGACGGGGGGAGGGGAAAAGAGGTACAGCTGTCCAAGCTACCCCGCCAGACAGGGGGGGTTATAAACACTCACCTCCTTGATGCGATCCATTTTGAAATAGTCAACGACGACAAAGTAATATGTATGAGTGAAAGGAAGAAAAAAGGGCTATCGCTCAGCGAAGCAGGGAGAGTTGGGATGAGATGGTGGGGTTGGGTGGATTGGGGAAGGAAGAATAATTGCTGACTATTTACAGTGAGTTAAGTTACAGAGCACTTGAGTCAGGCACCACTAAAACACTCTTCACCTCTTTCACCCATTTTACGCTGGTACCGTACAGTGGACTCCCCGCTTTCACCGCCTAGCCAATGACAGCACTACGATCGCCCGCGTCTCCACGGGCAACCGCTTCCCGACAACAAGTCCTTCCATCTAGAACTCGACCCATCCGCGTCTTCAATTCACCGTCTTTTCGAAGCTGCATGTGTATCCACAATCCAAATCCGCCAAAATGCTGGCTCTCCGTGACCAGGAAAACCTGGTGAATACTCATCAAACTGTCGCCGCAAACAAGCCTTTGAACCAAGGAACGAAACAACTAGCGCCAAAGACTCCGGGAAGAAAGGTTCGCCTGAATGATGAAAATACTACGATCGCGTTCGGCAAACAGACTGTGAAAGGCAATGGAAATCGCTTGGAGAATGGAAAACCCGTTAAAGATGTGTTCCAGACCCCTATGGGTATGTGAGCTCTGTTGTGTGGGATACAAATGTGTTGAATGGACAATATGCTGACCCTTCGGCTGATACAGACACAAAGAATCGTGCGCCTCTGGGTAACAAGACAACCAATCTCAAAGCTAAGGGTCTCCAAACGCCAGCTCCCTTCGGAGGCACATTGAAGCCTGAGAAGACCAACCGAAAGGCCTCAACTCAGAAGGTCAAGAAGGCTGCCCCGGTGACGCAACAACCTCAAACGAAAGTCCATGTCGATACGGTCCATGACGATGTGCCGGATATTGAATACATGCCACCGAAGCCTAGAGGTACTTACCTGATCAGATCATAAAGAAATATGTTTGACTATGGTGCTGATAATCTCCAGATCTCCCAGACATACCCGATGACCTTGCCTACGATACCACCTACCCTCAATTTAAACCCCGGAACCGTGCCATTGGGCTCGAAAGCGTTTATGGAAGACAAGAGGTTGGCAGTGATGGTCTCACACGAAAGCAGCGCAAGTTTCAGGAGGACTCTATCAAGTGCGACAAGTATGTCGATGAGATGATCATGAAGCAATTGGATAATGTTGGATTTGGCGAAGCAAGCGAAGACGAGAATATCAGCCCGCCTCTCCGGGCACCACAGGGACCGACTACTCGCTCTAGAGTAGCATCACCCGCCCCTCAACCCGCCCGAAGCATATCTACCCTTCGCTCTCGAGAGGCTGCTGCTGCCCTGTCTGCACCCAATGTCAGGTCTACCCCAGCTAGGGTCGCCGCTGCTCCTAAGTCAAGCATTGCATCCTCTATATTGATGCCTAAAAAGCACGCTCGAGTCCCATCTAACCCATCAACTATGCGGAATACCGCTGCTGCTGCGAACGCCAACACTACCGTTGGTTACTCCAAGGGCCGAAGTGTGTCATCTACACTGCGCCAGAATACCGTCTCAGAGCAAAGCGCGAAGACCAAACTCTCCCCTGAGACCTATGTGCAGCTTTACGGTCTTCCCTCTATGGGATCAGAGATGTGGATCCGTTGCAAGGCCGCTGGCTACTTCGATACCGATGAGAATGCTGGACAGGAGCTTGAGGAGTCTCCGTCGATTTTTGAGGAAGATGATGAGGCAGACAACTTTCAGCTCACGCTGTAGATGTCATACCTCTTTGATATTACTATTGGCCATAGCAATGGACTTGATTCCTGTTACTGAATAACTTCGCAATTGTATTTTCTTTGAGTTTGTTTACTTTATCTGGGCTGGAGTATGGGAAGGATGAGTCATGAAATGTGCTTCTTATGAAGATACCGCCGGAGGACGGTAGAAGATTATTTTGGGGGCTTTGAACAGACTTCTCCGTATTTGTCATGCTTAATTTGCATGAATTCAATTTTTTTGGTCTCCAACAACTTTGATCCTACCGCTCGTTTGTCTGGGTCATACATTTTCTCTATACGTAGCGGTTTCCAACCTTATTATTATTAAAAGAACCAGAAGGAGGATAGCTACATACCATCTTTGAAATTAAATTCAGTTGTACAACCACCATTTACTTTTAAGTTGAACAATCTATATGGTGCAACTCTATAACTTGAACTTGAAGGATCTAGTAACCGCTGCAGAGCCAGGGTAGTACTCTATCTATCTGGAGTCTTCACACGTATGTAGTACCTGTAGTATGTACCGGATTTTAGGCCACATACGTAAATGCGACCAAGCGCTGTCATAATATATAGACGCCTACCTAGGTATGGGGTTCTTAATATAATTTTGTATTCGGCGGGAGTCCCTCCGCCTGGTCATCTCTCTGTATTCGTTAGTTAGCACACTAAATGATTCCAATATAGCAACGGAACCCATACCAGAGCTTCCGCAAACCCAGATATCTTGGTGAACACCCGCGCTGTGTATCTCATTCATGCCCTCAATTGCCTGGGGAGAGAGCGCGTCCGAGTAGTTCACGCAGTTCAAACCCTCAGCATTTGGGAAATATTCTAGCAGTATTGCTCTCAGTTTAGCTTGTCACGGGCGAAAGATTGTAAAGCAGGATAAAATGCAGCGGGATCCATTCAATCGATATAGCCGTAGAATTTTGGCACGAAACCGCGCGTACAGACACCAGAAGCGAGAAGCTTCTTATAAGCATTTGATTCGCAGCGAAATCTGTTCACATCACGACCTTTTTCGGTATAGCCGCCGTTGTCGTGGAAAAGCTTCAATGCACACTTTTGTCCATCCAGATCTACCTCGAATATAGTAGACGAATCAGATCACGTGATATACCTCATAATATAGATATCAGAGGGGTCCATATGCTTCAAGGAAGCGCTTCTTAGATACATTGTTGTGTAGGAAGACATATTTCTCTCCAGGCGGCAAGGGGTGAGCGCTAAGACGGCCCCGGGGAAACGGAAATCCAACTTGCGTGGCCTAAAATCCGGTGTATATGCTTCCAAATTTATACTTCATTTCTCTATTTCAAAGGTTTCAATGTTTAGCTGTAAGCCCCAGGGCTGCAGCTATCTCATGGTATTTTCATATTGAAATTATACTTATATAGAAATTCTATTATACGGTATGAACAAGATGTGTCTAACCTTCATCTATTATTTACAGTTTACTCTTGGGGAAGTCTTCTCTCTTAGTCCCGGCATTGATCTTAGCAACCAACAGCGCCTCTTCCGACAACCTAAGCATATTCTCATCCGAATGCCGGCTTCGATACTCCTTCCAAAACTTCTCATCCGCCAACCACCCATTATACCACTTCTGTATCCATTGACTCGAGACACCAGCACACCATCCTACCCTATCAAACACAAACGTGTGCTCCCCATCTTCCAGAACAGCCTTTTCCACTGCCCCAGCGTCAACACCCCCATTGCCCCCCGCAAGTGTGCCGGTAACCTGCATCTTCGCATCTTGCGCACCAGGCGGCGAAAGATAGCTCTTACCAGCGAATACAAATTGAACACTTGGTCTCAAATGTGGCAAATGTCGAAAAGACGACCAGCATTCTGGACGGGAGAATAAGAATGGTCTCTCTCGTTTGGGACTCCAGTCGGCTAGTAGTAGTCTGTCGAGAGACTCGGGCTCAAGGTTGGGTGTGGTGTAGGTCCATGATTCTTGATGTTTTGTTGTTGTCAATGTTACTGCTTTTGATCCGACTTTGGGATCTGCAGGATCATAGATAGCTGTTGGGACATTGCGAAGACAGTAAGTGAAGTATCTTTCACGTGCTCGGGGGTCCCATCGCTTGAGGCCTTTTGATAAGGCTTCTTTTGCTTTTTCGGCGCTGGGCCAGAGATCCCGACGGCGACTTGAGAAGATCGCTGGGTTTGGGGTTGGTTTGGAGCTTGAGCCTCCGAAACCTTCTGCCATGATGACGGGATCGAAAAGAACCAGTGTGGAGAAAAGACGTGGGTGGATGATGGAAAGGTTTACTCTGCTCATTTTGTTAGATCGGTTTCCAAGTGTTTGGGGAGGGAGGTAAATTTTGTGGTCTTACAGTTGGGCACCTCCCATGCTATGCGCGACGCCAATTATTGGACGAGTGAATTGGTCGCGAAAATGGTTGACCATATGGAGGAGATCACGAGAGTGATCCCACCAGCCCGCTTTGAGTTGGTATCCTTATTAGCATCCTCTTCTTGCGCTGGTCATCGCCACGGTGCTATGATACAGAAATTTGAATGGGAAACATACTTTGATCACCTTGGGTATATTCATTGAGAACTCCACTTGCTCCTTGGTTGGATATGTCGGCTACCCAGATTCCACGTACCGGAATTTGTTTCTGTTTTAATTCGGCGTATAGGTCTTCCCAGAGAGGCTCGTACAATTCTTTCGGAGTACCATTCCCCGGTGCCCCGATAATAGTGACAGCATTATCAGGGATAGGCATAGGAAGATCCAAAGGGATATATTGCTTGATAGCGATTTGGAGGACAGTTTCCTGACTCTCCTTGGTACTGTTCGGGTAATCTCGAATGTGTTGACCTGGGAGCGTATGCTCGACTATCTGGAAAGGGAGAGTCATCGTGAATAGGTAATCCGAGAGAAATTATCCCGAGACAAGAAGCTCAAAAGAAGATTAAATATGGATAATGGATAATGTATAAATGTCCTCTCGCTGAGAGAGGGTAGATATAGAGTGACGTTCGTTGCCAAGCGGAGATCCAGACCCCAGTTAATGCGGAGCGTGATCGCCTATAGTAACCATCCAGCCCCCGCACTAAACGCTGCCCAGAAATGCCGAGGCTCAGGATCAGGTACCTCCTGAATCGGACGCTATTGTTTATTACTAGATAAATTCCAGAGTAACGGCCAAGTGAAACCGAATAGCCCCCGGGGCCGAAGTGACGGTATTTGGACGTAATCGTATGAACTATATGCCCGCTTGGCACTTGGCTTTCAGGCATATTTATAAAGTTTAGAGTTGATTTTCATTCTATACGGCCCCCACGTGGGATGGGGCCACTGCATTGACTTCAAATGATGGGTTTACTGTGCGAAAACTTGAACTCCATGCCTTCAAGTTTGAAATAGTAGAAACTAGGACTGGGCAAACGTAAGCAGCACATTAATATAATTTAGCCGGGCATTGCGAAGTCATTACTAATCGACTCTACACATGTCATTCTCTAAGGTGAATATATGTATGGCCTGGCTTGCCCAAACGAATTGAAGCTCAACAATCGTTAAAGCAAGTGGTAGCGATACTCCATCATGATAGTAGCGTTTGTTACATAGCATCTCCACCGGATCTTCATACAAAATTGTAGTATACGTAGGCGGGTAGTTTGTAGGCGGGTCTAGGCTTTAAGTGCACGGAGCACCACTTAATATACTCCTCACCGCCCCTGGAACTGCCATGATACTATTTACACTCTGGGGTTCTCCTATTTAGCTCTTTCGTACTCGTCTCAATTGGAAACCTCGCCGCTATGACGACCACTCATCCGGAGTCTACTGTGGACTTCGAGTTCATCCAGACTCCACCTGTTCTTGAGCAGACCAAGCCCGCCTTCGACTGCGGCGTTCCTACTACTTTGGTGAGCAGATAGATAGCTAGTATCTAAGCTCGGGACCAGCTCTGAGCACAGCCTTTTGTAAAGCTAAGGTTCTAATGATTTTTTTGATAGTATCCAGCTATCAAGAATGCTCCAGTCCCGGCCGATTCCCCTGGTAGCGACAGCTTCTCCAATGGCTTAATGATTGCTCTCGTCCTGTTGGTGCCTTGGTGGCTTGCTCGCCAGGTTGGCGGAGGCTTCTATACTATCATCTTCTTTGCCATTTTCACCACAATCCCCGTTCTTATGGCTTTCTGGACCGTCTCCTCCTCTATATCTCCCCGCAAGACCGAGAAGGCCAAATACTGCGGCCGCCCTGTCGAGTATTACTTGAACTTCCACAGCGAGCATGACAAGGCTACTTACCGTGGTAAGAGCAAGATTCCCATGGAGGTCTTCTACGAGAAATACTTCAATAGTGAGGTGGACTTCAAGATCGATGCTCTAGAGGCACTTGAGTATCGTCATGACTGGGCAAACTTCAAGTTCACCATGGGTCTTTTCAAGCACTTCTTGTTTGGTTTCATTCCTGAAATGCTGCTGCACACCCGTTCTCAGGGTAAGTTGTTCTATATAATTGAATTTGCTCCATATATTCTCTATTTCCATTCAAGCTAACTGTTATATAGATGAGGAGCAGGTTCGTGACCACTATGACCGCGGCGATGACTTTTACGCCTGGTTCCTCGGCCCTCGCATGATCTACACTTCTGGTATCATCAGTGATGTCAACAAGGAGGAGACCCTCGAGGAACTTCAAGACAATAAGCTGGCTGTTGTCTGTGAGAAGATCGGTGTTCAACCTGGTGACAAAATCCTGGACCTTGGCTGTGGATGGGGTACACTGGCCAAGTATGCTTCCGTCCATTACGGTGCCCACGTTACTGGTATTACACTCGGCCGCAATCAGACTGCCTGGGGTAACAATGGTCTCCGCAAGGCTGGCATTGAGGAATCTCAGAGCCGTATCGTTTGCGCCGATTACCGTGATTCTCCCCGTGCCGATGGTGGCTACCAGAAGATTACCTGTCTTGAGATGGCCGAGCACGTCGGTGTTCGTCACTTCTCCACTTTCTTAAGCCAGGTTTACGACATGCTTGATGACGATGGTGTCTTTTTCCTTCAGATTGCTGGTCTCCGTAAGTCCTGGCAGTACGAGGACCTTATCTGGGGTCTTTTCATGAACAAGTACATCTTCCCCGGTGCTGATGCTTCTACCCCTCTGGGCTTTGTTGTCGACCGCCTTGAGGGCGCTGGCTTTGAGATCAAGGGTATTGACACCATCGGCGTTCACTACTCTGCTACCCTCTGGCGCTGGTACAGGAACTGGATGGGCAACAAGGACAAGGTCGAGGCTAAGTACGGCAAGCGCTGGTTCCGAATTTGGGAGTACTTCCTTGCTGCTTCCACCATCACCTCCCGCCAGGGTGGTGCTACCTGCTGGCAACTCACTCTTGTCAAGAACATCAACTCCACCCACCGTGTTGAGGGCATTCAGTCCCAGTTTGGCCTTACCGGTGCTCGCCAAGCTGCCATTGACCGTGCCAACGGTACCCTTCCCAAGGCTCACGTTGTTAAGAAGGATCTTTAGATTCTTAAGCTGTTGTCCGTTCTCTTATGTGCTGGTCCGATACGATCTCCGTGAACGGTAATATATCAATCAAATGCCCAATGAAGTCGGAACAACGGCAATGTGCTCCATTAATCGCAGCGCCGAACATGTTGTACATAAAATTATTTAGACTCATGATACGACTATGACTCTAAGCAAATATACTTCAAACTGCCTGTATGATGATGGAGGGTGATATGGCACTGTGGTTGAAATGCTTGGGGCCTGGGGCCTATCAGGCTATGTGTCATCTTCATATGGCCTAATTATCCTAAGCTCTTAATTAAATAAGATGTTCTCTTAGAAGCTCTTTTTCTCTTACTAGTGTGCACAAACCCGCACAAATCTTGGGGGAACTTTTCTGGCTGGATATTTGACTTTGGTAGCAACCGTACCAAATGCAGGAATGCGACTAATATTAAATCATCTAAACTTATGAAACCATCACGAGGCTGTATATGACCAATCGCCGGTTCTTCCAAGGAAGGAAACCATGAATCCCTTTAGTGCGGTAGACAAGAATTAGCCAAAATTTTTTACAAAAGTTCAAACTGGGCAGCCCATGGTAGTCGTATGTAATCATGACCTAACACCCAGATGTATTTCTCCGTCCCTCCCGGGCGGTATAGTCTCGTCCATACCAATTCTGAACTAGTCCTCGGCCAATAATGACTAATACCAGGCTAATATTTACAATACTAATACAGAACCTATTTCTCAGCTGAGATCTACGGGTGATACCCACCAATGACAATAAACTATATCATCTGTATCAAATCAAGTTTAAGACAAAACTGACGTTTGGAATTACAGGATCTTACATATAAAATGTCCTTTGGCGCACAGTCGAAGAGACCTTCTATGATCAACCTTTTCGACACATTTCAATATTTTATCTACTCTCGCAACGTCTGCCGCTCCTCTCACAATGTCCAATCAAGATAGTAACCAGAAGTTCAAACTTGAGAATGTCTTCAATGTCAGAGACAAAGGTATTGACCTTGAAGGCTTTTGATTATTATTTTGATCTAATCATTGACACATAAATTATAGTTGCTCTTATCACAGGTGGTGGATCAGGAATCGGGTTGATGGCCACACAGTCCCTCGCCGTGAATGGTGCGAAAGTCTACATCGTCGGTCGCACAAGTGAAAAATTAGAGCGTGTAGCAGAGATCCACGGAAAGAATATTCCAGGTCAAATTATTCCTGTTACGGCCGATATCACCTCGAAGCAATCAATCCATGAGCTGGTTGAGGAAATTTCATCCAAGGAGTCCAAATTACACATTTTGATCAACAACGCCGGCATCAGATCTGCATCTCACGATACCAGCCTCAAGGACCCCAAAGAACTCCAAAAGGAACTATTTCATAACACGAGCACCTTCGAAGAATGGGAAGAAGTAATGCGCACCAATGTCACGCATTCCTTCTTCACTACTACTGCCTTCCTCCCTCTCCTTACGAAGGGATCAGAGGACCCCGGTTGGTCCAGCACGGTGGTTAATATGACTTCAATTTCTGGAATCATTAAAGATGCTCAGAATCATTTTGCTTACAATACAAGCAAGGCGGCTGCTATTCATCTTACGAAGATGTTAGCTCATGAGATTACTACCTCTGGGCTGAAGATTCGAGTCAACAACATTGCACCGGGGGTTTTCCCGTCGGAAATGACGGCTATGGAAAGTGATGAGCAACAGAAAAGTAATCTTCCCAAAGATAAATTGCAGGGCAAGGCGCCTGCTGGGCGGCCTGGTAAAGATGAGGATATGGCGGGGGCGGTACTATTCACTGTTTCGAATCAATACCTTAATGGGCAGACTATTGTTGTGGATGGTGGATTTTTGCTTCAGACTGGAACTGTTTGAGATCTATTTGAATGTTACTCTACAATATTGCTCATGCTATCAATCAGGATAAAAGTCATTAGTGACATTGCACTTCACTTCCTGACTCATAAATTACAAATGATCATTTTAATGTGTCTGTCCTTCACCACCCCCCCCCCTTCCCCTTTTTTTTTTGCGCATGTTAATATTGAGATGGTAATTTCGCGTTCAGAATTGTAGATGAATTCGTGTATATTCACTAGTATGATGAAACCGACATAAGTACCAAACAAACTGTCCTTCTCAAATTGATGTGAAAGCCCAAATAAGAAAAGATCGCGTCTATTTAACGCGTGACACCTCAATTTCATCCTAATAGCAATAAATATTGTGTTAGCTGTGTCACGAAAGAAGAAAGCTCAGTGAAAATAATTACCTCAAAGTCACCAGGCATGATCAAGCCTTTAATACCCCAGCTTTCCACCCCGGCATGCTGGCGCATATGCTCACGATACTTGGGAGCTCCAGGCCGAACCACATTATCCGCCACGATCAAAGATCCAGGGTGAAGAAGCTTAAGGTCTTCACAAACCTGAAAATCAGATAGATAAAGTTCCTCGTCATGATCCAGAAACACAAAGTCGATACTGCTAAGCTTGCCCTCAGCTTGGAGTCTCTTTAGCGAATCCGCCGCAGACCCCACAACAACCTTGACAACATCGCTCAAACCAGCGAGGTCAATCAAGTTCATAGCAATGGATGCAATAACAGGGTCAAACTCAAGACTCCAAAGACGAAGTTCCTGTCCTGGTCCTGCAGCCTGACGCATAGCATCACCAAACGAGATGGCAGAGTAGCCCACATACCCACCAAACTCAACCAAGACAGAGGGCTTTTCCTCCTTGATCAGGTTCACCACCTTTGGCCCTTTGTCTTTTCCAATATTGATGAGGAACTCTTCCTTTGCAGCGAACTCATCCATCACAGCACAGATGGCGGCCGGCGAGCCACGCAGCTGCTCCAGCGAGGGGTGACTGTAGATGTATTTCAGGAGGGTAGCCTCACGGCCATCGTGGGATTCGACATCAGTGTTATTGAATTTAGCTAGTGAGGGATACTTTGCAAGTATATCAGCTGGGATTCCGGACATTTTGGGAGGTTGGATGGTGTTTTGGGGAAAATAGAAAATTGGAACTATGAAAGTGCGGAGTAAAAGTAAGATTGGGGGAACGCCTCCTTTTATACTTGTTGCCAGGTTTTAGGCCTCGCTCGGCCCAATTTTTGGCCGCATTATTACTTTTTCCCATAAGCCTGTATTATCTATTTGTTACATTGTGGTTTATTAGTTTCCTGTTCTTTTGGTCATCATTGGGTTGAGTAACGTGTTGCTTTTGGAGGGGGAAGATTGCCCCTCTCTTTTTCAGCTTTTGGCAAATCAAGCTTCATCTTTCCACGCCCTCTACTTACGCTATACAGTGTCTTTTTTGATACCACTATAGGATTGAAACCTATTAAACAATATTCATGTCATATTCGTCAAAGAAAATTATAGATGAATGTGAGTATGTATGTGGTGAGTGAGAGGGTCAGAGATTTTTGTTTACTCGGCAACAAGTAGATGGGCAGACGCAGGCTAACTTCTTATGGAAACAATTACCTTGTCAATCTCAATAGAAGTCTCAATTTGTCTAGGGACGACTGTAATTGCTATTTAATTTCTTGTGGTACAGAAGAAGGCTGTACAGAATCTATTTGAACTAGATCTATGGGAAGCAAAAGTGGGGATAAGCGAGAATGGAACTCGAGCGAAACACATTGATACCACATTACTAACACGTTTTATAAATTACAATAAGATTCATGCACATCTACCTGTAGTTAACTCTCCGGGGATAACGACAAAAACGCGGTTCTAAAGACCCGTGAGGCGCGTCGTGCTCTCTCCTTGACCCTTCACCATCTAAGCATCGTTCCCACGCTTGTGTATTCTATTTTTTGTTCCTCGTATATATAAAGATCTCATTTTTTTTATACTTCTCATATCTTTTCTAAAATTCAATCCATCTCAATGCGCAACAACTCTTACCTGATTCTCCGCACACTGAGAAATCTACAAAAGATTGTACGATAGTGTATGCTGGAAATGGTTTAGCGTCGGAGAGCAAGCGGAGGTAGGCGGAGCCCGCGTGGGGGCGGTTCGCTGATTGGTCAGATCTATTCTTTTGCCACAGCACTTGAGCGCGCAAGTTGCACCTTGATTTTTGGATAACTTCAGGAAAAGTATATAGTAAACGAAAGAGGTATATCATATTAAAATGAGATTACAATCTATGTCTATATATGCCGTTCATTTATTAACTGTGTAGAGCTCTGTTGCCCCACACCTGGGCACGTTCTATTGCAATTCTCCTTTGGGTGATTTGGCATCGGTAGCCTGGGCAACCTCAGCTTGGCCCTTCTCCTCGTCATTTTCCTTCTCTTCGGACTTTTCGCGTTCAGCCGCGACCTTCTTCAGAGACAGCCATTCCATGAAGATAGGGCCGACAATCGAAAGACAACTGGTAGCAACAGCCACGTAAAACGTCTGTGTAAGGGCCTTGTTGTATGCACTCAACGCCAAAGGAAGCTGGTCTGAAGAAAATAAACTCCTGAATCCAGTTGCACCTTTTGATACTACTAGTGATGCATCGACATCAGGTAGTAATGAGTTGAAGTTTGCAACCAGTTGATTTTGAAACACAGATTGACCAATCGGCAGAACAATCGCACTGGCCAAAATCTGGGTGAATGTCAAGATAGAAGTAGCGATGGGCATATCTTCCTTAGGAACAGCTACCGATGCAACCAGCATCATGTTTTGAGCACCCAAACCAATACCCGCGCTCAAGAGAACTTGATAGCCGAACCAAGGTCCAATACCGGAGTTCAGCTTGAGAGTAGTGAGAAGGCCTGCACTGATCGAGGTAATCACCGACGAGATGAGAATTAATGGAGTGTAGTATCCAACTGTCGAAGAAATAACACCACCAATGATTGCAAATAAAACCATTCCCACAAGACTGGGGAGGTTGTCAATTCCTGATTGCTCTGCGGTTGTGCCTTTGACTGCCTGGAACCAAATGGGGAGCTATGAAAGTTAGTTGGGGGCTTCAAATTTGCTTAAACTTAATTAACAGTAATATCCAACTTACATAAAAGATTACAACGAACATCCCAGCTCCCATAAAGCCACCATACCAGGTGGCGCCCCAAATGTTTCGATTTTTAATGACGCGCGGAGGCACAGTGGCACGCTCGCCTTGCCAAACTTGAATCCCAAGAAAGACAATGAATAACACGCCAAAAACGACAAACAAGGCAATCACTCGGCCGCTATTCCATGGATAGGTAGAACCACCCCATTGCAAGGCGAGAACTAAACAGATGATAGAAGGTGCCAAGATAACGAATCCCGGCAAGTCGAATTGTTTCAACTGCTCTTTCCAACTAAGACGAATCACGGTGCTCGAATTGGCGGGGAGGCATAGCAAGATCAATATGACGGCAAAACCACCGAATGGAAGGTTGATATAAAAGCACCATCGCCAGGTAAGTCGGTCCGTAAATACACCTCCCAGGCTAAGAATGAAAATTCAAGATTAGCGTTGAAAAGAGGACGGAAGTTGACGAGAACTCACATTGGTCCCGCTACACTTGCGATTGCGTGCATACTGGATACGAGGCCCAGATAAACAGGACGGATTCGCAAGGGCACCAGTCTGTTTATAATGATAAGTGCCCCTGAGAAGAGACCAGCAGCACCTAGACCTGCGACGGCTCGCCCGACAATGAGTGCCACGGAGTTTGGTGCAGTGGCGCATACAACTGAACCAACTTCAAAGATAAGGAGTGCAATGAGATAAACCCATTTGGACGGGTAGAATGTGTAAAGTTTCCCATATATCAGCTGCACTGAGCAGGTCGCAAACATATACGAACTGCCGTACCATCCCACATCGTCGAGGGAGTTGAATTGAGTTGTGATTTTAGGGATAGCCGTTGCGAGGATAGTTCCATCCTAATTCGAGAAACTGTATTAGTTTATGCTTCTCTTGATTAAAAATCTCCTAAGAAAACCTACCAACGACATGCAAAATAATGATGCACAAAGAGCGGCTGTTATAGGAACCAAACTCCAAAGCGATAATGGTGGTTGAGATGATTTTTCTTCTTCGCTGGCCGTAGTTGACGTATCGGTTGGATCTTGTTCTTTAGGTTCTTCGGTTATTGTAGTTGTCTGATCATCATTCCTGACAGATGGAATGCTAGTAGTCTTGTGTGAATTGCTCTCCGCAGTACTATTGACCTCGAGGGTCATATAGTTCCTTTCGTGCATATTTGTAACAAGGAACAGTAAACTCGATAAAGCAGAATCGATAAAAAGACTTTTGTAAACAGTCAATGTGTCCTTTCTTCCTTTGTAGTAGTGTTCAAAATGAAAACGTCGATTTCATAGTCTTATACATTTTTTCTCCGACATTAGTCGCAGCGTCCACCCGATTTGGGTAAAGGGGGAGGCCTAATTCGGCCCCACGGAATCCGCGGGCCCGTGGACTCCGACCGGACCAGTTCTGACTCTCCTTGACTCATTCTTGCATATACCATATACGCACAAATCGTCATGGCTGAATCCGATAATACAGAGCCAATTCATAGTAAGCGGCAAAGATTATCACTAGTTCCAAGAGCGGTATGCCTTCTTTGCAGCATGGATTCTAGGTGCATGGAAGATCGGGCACTAACAGCGGGAACAGTGTGAAGGTTGTAAGACTCGGAAGGTAGGGACCATCATTTCCAGTGTTATTATAGCCTCTTAATAACCCGGAGAACATGGAAATTCAGATCCGATGCGACCGGTCAATCCCATGCTCGAATTGTCGAACATCAGGAATCTCTTGTGAGAAGGTTGATCCGGCGCCCGAGAAGAAACCAAAACCCGGCCGGAACACTCAGTTGTAAATATTGCTGATCCCCAGATGAATGGCAATAACTCATATTTCATGTAGAGAGGACCATGTCACAACATTGGAAGAGCGGCTCCGTGTGCTTGAGAATGAACTCCGAAGCCACCGGCCTGCTTCGGATCCCTCCATGAGCTCCACACCCAACACAGATATTACGCTAAGAAGCAATTCAAGGACTATACCCATCTCCAACGTGCCGATCACTATATTTGAAGGGGATTCTTCATTCACAACTCAATCCGCTTATGCTCGAGAAACAGCCGAGAGTATGGCCAATTTGAATAATTCTGCAGCTGGATCTAACCTGGACGCAACCCTTCATTCGCTAAAAAGCCTCCTACAAGCACCGTCACAAAGCAATAGAGCATATGATACAACAATTCACCACTCTGCTCAAATATCTTTACCTTTGCCTGTTGATTTGGTATTAGCAATGCTTAGGAGGTACCAGGGTATGTCCGCCTAGCCACTCGGATATCTTTGAACTTTTTATTGACTCTCTATCTTAGTGAAAAAACCTCTTTTTCTTTCCTCTTACCCTGTCAATGATCTATCGCTAGTGGAGAACATCTGTCAAAAAGTATATTTTCCCATGCGCCCTGTATCTGCAGGCACTGTTGCAGCGATGCACGGGATGTTTTATTTCCTGATGAAGGAGTCCGTCACAATGAAAGATGAAATGGCAGAACGACTCAAATTTGAAGACCATATAGACAATTGCAAGAAGAGCTTCGAGGCCGCCATAGAGGGATATGATGTTCTTTCAGTGCCCACCTTCGAGAACATTATTGCGCTGACTATGGGTGTGAGCATCCATTCCTTGTCTTCAATAATATCACACGGGAACCCCATATGCTGACCTTTGAAAAAGGCCATGAAAGCCCAAGACGAATCGAAACCACTCGTTTGCTGTCAAATGGTTTCGGCTGCTGCTCGCCATTCTCAAATGCTGGGGTACCATCGAGAGTCAACCTACAAGAGAGACCAAGACAGAAATTCGGAAAATAAACGTCGAATTTTCTGGTGTATTTATGTTTTCGATAAGATGATGTCTCTTCTTCTTGGGAGAGCCTCTTACATCCAGGATTTTGACATTGATGTCCAATGGCCTTCCTCGGCTTCAGATCCGACAATCAGACCCTGGGACGACGCTTTTTGTTATATGATCAGACTTTCCTCAGTGCAGGATCAGATATACAACAAACTCTATTCTGCTAGTGCTTTAAAGGCCGAGCCATCTGAACGAGCAAAGCGTATTCAGGAACTTGAATTGGAAATGGAGAAATGTCGCAAGCAAAGATATGAGGTAATTGATATATCCTAATCATCCTCATATCACGCGTTGGCTAACTACGAGCCCTGTTCAACTAGATTGACGCGAGCAAAATCGACAACCCGAGTCTTTTTGACATATGCCAAAGAACATGGGACATCTTGTATTACTCGGCTATGACTTCTCTTCTGCGAGCATCGTCCTTGTTGGACAAAGGTGCTGAAATCGGACCCAGGTGCTTTGAAGCGGCGCGCTTGAGTCTACGGAGCCATCTGAAATGTTTCCCTGATTACAGGGACTCTGATATTTTTACGATCTCAGACTATGCGAACTGGTTTGTGTTTTCCCTTTCATTCCACTTATGTAACAAAATAGTTGATCGCTCATCCTTTCTCAGGGTCTTGCTGTACTCGTCATTCACGCCCTTTGTCGTGATATTCCTCCACGCCATTGCCGCGACCAGCATAGAAGATGTCAAATTATTAGAGGAAGTCGTTGCAACCTTACAAGTCGCCCGCGGTGTTTCTAACGCATCGGAACGCATATACAGTATTGGTGCCAATTTTGCTCGGGTAGCCCGAGGCTTGGTCGAAGCTCAAAAATCAGTAGGGAGGTACAATGAACAAGAAGACTCGTTGAAACTATCTGATGATACGAGAAACGCCCATGTTTTTAACCCTGATATCACACAGGATCCTTCTATTGGGGTTGATATGATGGACTATCTTACGTATCCCGAAGCCCAGGATATGTCTGCGCTCTTTGGAAGTTGGGATAGTGGACAGCCAACTGCGATGGAGCTTTTTGGAATGGGAAACGAGGCTCATCTTTGATTCAGATTTATTCTTAATGAGGCATAAAGTTTGGGTAATGGTAGATAGCCTTCAAGGGAGATTTACACCAATCCTTTCATTCAGATTTCATCATTTGTTCCATCTCTTTACTCTATCCACAGCCCAGCTGCATATATTCCGGGTGGTATATCTATTAAACATGGGATAGAAAACAGAATTACTATCGTATATAATATCTGTGTGCTTGTATACATTGAATTGCCTTTCAACAAAAGTCAAAGGTATTACTTAAACAACAGAAGTCCCGTCACTGGATACGGGAAGTATTAGCTGGGAAACACCATTTGCCAAGCTGACAGTATGCTTCTGAGGCACTGTTCGATCACTACGGATTCGATCTTCTTGCGTGCCAAGATTTCGAGCATACATCGGAAACGAGCCTCCACACACAGCGAGACGAATCCGTGTTCCTGCTCGGAATCGGTGAGCACATGCCTGTAGATCAAGTTTTATAGGCTGTGACATGTCGCGAGTTGGATCAAGTCCTTGGTACATATCCGTGATGTTATGAGAAACACCCTTAGGGTTTACCTCGCTCAGTCGCAAGAATAAATCTGCGAATGGTGGATCACTTGAATGGGAAAGCTGAACAGATGGAACACCTATAACCTCGAGATCCTGTGAGAGGGGCTCGCTCGTAAACGCCAGAACATCAGATCTCTCCCCATAAGCGCTGTCATCAACTCGGCCGCCGGAGGACATTTGATTACCACCTATCGATGGGGTGGGATTCTGAGGGTCGAAAACAAAAGAAGCGGGTGCGGCATCCCGAGAAGGTTGTTCTGATCCAATGCCGGTATTCGTTTGGAGGTACAGGGTTCTTGTTGGGACTTCCGGGGGCCATTGAGGGAGCGAGGACCAGTCTTCCGCTCCGGTGACAAATATCCGAGCCTTACTTCTACCGTATTCTCCAGTCTTAGCAACATGTTGGGCGAGGAAATCCATGATCTCTGGCATGGAGCGCAAGCCACTGCCTTGGGCATGTGTCCAAGGTCCAACAATGAGACTGACATTTACTCCTCTTTCAGATAGGTGCTTGTATTGCTCCATAGTCTGTGTTGTAAACGTATCATACCACCCGCTGATTAGCAGGATTGGAATGTTAACCTTTTCAAGGGCGATCTGCTGTCGTCTCTTTTCCCAGTAGGGATCTTCAACATTCGGATGATTCAAGTAATCAAATAGCCATGGAGCCTTGTCTTTGAAATAAGTCTTCAGACTAGCTTCAAGTGGTAGGCCTGCCACGGCATCATCGAGCTCAGAGGACCGTAAAAAGCTGAATCCAGGCAAATTCGCCAACCGCGTAAGGAAGTTACCACTCTCGTCACCTATACGCGACATCAAATCACTCCAGGACGCGCGATCAAGTCGAAAGGAGCCGGTACCCCATGCATGCCAAGCTTGGTCATGCAATGCAACAGGAATAACAGCGGCGACACAGTCTTCGGGTGGATCACGCAAAAGTGCCCACTGACTGTATCCCAGATATGAAGCTCCAAGAGTTGCAAACGTGCCGGGATACCAGGATTGTTGACGCATCCAGTTGACGATATCCTGACTATCATTCTGCTCATGAACTGCGGGACTAAATTCGCCCTCTGAGCCATAGGTGCCTCGTGTGCTGACAAAAAGTGCCCGGTAACCACGAGCAGCAAAGACACGAGCGTTAAAAAAGGATATTCCTGACCCACGGCCATAGCAACATTGAATCATAAGCAAGCCTGCAGGCTCTTGGTCATTGGGTAGTATCGGGTTGTAAAAATCGGCAACAAGGTTGATCCCGTCGCGCATGGGGATTCGGACTTCCTGGCTTGTGTAGCTGCATTTTTCATCGGGCACACCTAGGTATTTTGCTCCAATATAGTCTAGAGTGGCCGCCGAATAACCGCGTTTTACCGGTTGGTTTGACATTCTGATATCTGTGTTTTGAAGAGCTCCACTTCCAACGTTCTACACGTTTGTCGTTGGCTGAAGCTTCTTGGTTGCTGCAAGTGCGTACTTAGAATAGTACTTCGGCTTCGCCGGCAAGTAGGATCGATGGGTTTGATGATATGTAAATGTACTTGGTACCTAGACGGGGGTAGTGATAATCTTCAAATCATGGGAGAGACAACATTCCAACAGTTTGGCAAACCCCGCAGCGACCGCGGATGGACATCGGTCAGCGACCCACAATTAACTAATGGCGACTCAGATTGAGGATTCAGCATTTGTTGATCCAGCCACTTTCGAAGCGTTAAAAGACGAAATAAAAATCGGAGTTGTTTTATTAACTGATCGTTATTGAATGCTCAATATAGAATATTTATATCTCTAGTACTACTCTGTTGGGATATCACCCAAGATTATCAGGATAGCCCGAGCACTTGAGGCCCTTAGCCACTCCCGGGCGTCTTCAATTAGTATTGCACTATATTGTACGAACAGGGCGCTGAACTATGCCAATGAATTCACAATTTATGTCTATTACCAATTTGAATTCTTTAAGTCGAGGTCTCGCGTACGTCATGTATACAGTGACAGATAATCGTACCACGGATATCAGGTTCACTGCCATCAGAATTGGGCGTCGGCCCACAGAATTGGTAGGACATGTTTATAAAGCACAGCAGCAAGACACATCCCTCAAGAACATGACTCTCGGTGGGAAAATCGGAAACAAACTATCAGAGAAATATTCCTCAAAAGATGGCGTGCCCCGATTCGACATTTGAAACCTTTGCTTTAGGTTTCCGCGACCTCATCAGAGTCCCTGCAAGATTCAAAGCGACAAAACATTATGGGAAGTCAGTACTAGACCCAAAGCCAGGCCAGTCAAAGTTCGATACTAGCTGTGCTATGCGCACTGAATACCGGATCCAATACGGCCTGCAACTCAAGTATGATCGCGATATCTTTATTGAAGTCATTTTGAACGATTTTGTCCTCCGGGGAATATCCCAGCGGATGGATAAATTACAAAAGGGATTGAGAATATCAGAGAAGCTGTCTGATGGTGGGCTCATAGATCATAAAGAGCTTAGAGATCTTCAAAGGCAGTATCTCCTTCGAGCGCATTATGCTTATATTTCGGAGACTATGATTCCTCAACGTCCTTTGAAGCATAATTATGATTTGATCAGGGAAAATCCGACGTGGTATATGAATAAGGCTCTTATCCAAGATTGTAAAGATCATGGTGGCTGTTGTAGTAGAAAATGCGGATGCTGTGCTCAACGACAACGGATTCGCACAAAGGCAGCTGGGCATTGTACTTGGGAGTGTGAGTGCTGTTCTGGCCATCGAAGGTATGAGCTGTCGGAAGACGAAAGGATGAAGACCAAGCCAGAATTCTCTCAGAGACTTAAGAGTTCGAATCCGGCTTATCTTTTGAGAATGATAAATGCGTTTTTTGTGAAGCAGCCCATGCAATAACAGCTCGAGGAACTGTTTTGAATCTACTTCAAACGATGCCTTCATGAGCGCCGTACGAAGAAAAGGAGTGGAAAGGGATCAACTTCATAATTAGCTTCTTGTTAGATCCACAAATAATCTGAATCGCTTGTATGCCAATTTATTGGCCATTGGAAGAAGAAAAATAACCTGTGTGGGTTACAAATATCCATATCTGCACAAATCTCACTTGACCGTAGTATCATCCAGCAGTTTGTAATCAGTATCTGAAAGTACCCACGAACTTGAAGTGCAGGCATTTTCTCTTAACTACAGCTTATCATTGTCAAAGTCATAGATTACACACAGTAAAGGTATTCATCATTTTGTTGATTATACTGAATACGTGACGTCAGAACTATTTATATATATCGCTCACGTGACAATTACTTGGCATGCGCGCGTCTGGGGAACCTATCAGCAGTGGAGCCTCCGATGTTGTCCCTCTTTCATTAACACAGCTACGTGCTACCTGGGACGCATTGAACCGTGAACCTGCCCAGGCGGGACATCCATAAAATATGCACGAACCAATGATACTGCGACTTTTGTCTTTCGCAAATAAAACATTACAATCCCAAAGACCATGGTCGGCATATTCCTCAAGTTTACTACTTGGTCAACCTTGTCGTTTGAATGGTCGGTACGTGAAGAACTTGAATCTTAATCAAAGTCCACGCATTTACAGTCGAGGGATCGCTACCTCGAATCAATTTCAAAGATTTTGCACAGAGCATGACATTCGATCTCCCGATGAAATCGATCGCCAAACTGCTTTCAAGCAACAGGTGTTTGACCAATCCATCGCACTCTCTCGCAGTCGTATGAATGACTCGACTGAATTACGATGCTCTCTTTTTGTCCCTAGCCAATCCACCAAATTCCAAGAAACTCGCCTTACAAAAGCTGAAGTTGCTCAGGTATATGGAGTCGACGGTCGAGAGCTGCGAAATGCCGACCTGAAATCTCAGGGTATTCCGCATATACTGGTTCGACCTGCTACAATATTTATCAGCATTCTCAGTCTACGTCTTCTCGTTCAATCAGATCGAGTACTTCTATTTCTTCCCAACTCCGAAGCAGACGGTGTTAGGATGGAAGATGTATTTGAACATAATCTACAAAGTAAAATACAAGCTGAACAGGGGTCTGGATTCACACCAACTCTACCATTTGAATTACGGGTTCTGGATGCAGCGCTCGCCTCTGTCACTGCGATTCTTGAGGCCGAACACTTGATTCTTCAGGGAGAGGTTGAGAACCGTCTACGTGTTTCGGCAAAGGAGGACTTAGCCCATCTGACTCTGGTTGAGCTTTTAGAGCGTGGAAAGCGAGTGGCTACTATTGAACAACGTGCTCGTCAATTTCGCTCAGCCCTCCAAGAGCTTCTAAATAATGATGAAGATATGGCTCTTATGTATCTCTCGGATCGACAGGCTGGCAAGCCACATGCCATTGCGGATCATCAAGAAGTCGAATACCTATTGGAAGCTTATTATAAAAATGCCGATGCGATTGCGGAGGCCGCTGGTGCCCTTGTGGGTGAGGTTAACCGTACTGCTAGAGCAACAGAGTCTATGCTGGATGTTCGGCGGAATCAGATAATGGTGTTTGAGGCTCAACTGGAGATTTGGATGCTGGGACTCGCGACTTCGACATTCGTGGCTGGCCTGATTGGGATGAATGTGGTGAACTATATGGAAGAGACGCCCTTTGCTTTTGCCTGGCTTGTATCGGGCTGTGCAGTGGCGACTCTGCTGATCGCGAGGTTTGGGATGTTGAAGCTCAAGAGGTTCCGCAAAATGCATCTTTGATTTCTTCGTCGCGTATACCCCATGTGTGAATTATCTGAGATATGACCTTGCTAGATTATAAGATTTATACTTTCAAACATGATCCTTATATCCATCTGATAAAACGACAGAAAAGCTAACTTCAATCTGCACAGGGTATGTTCAATTAACTATGCTAGCACTACGGGTAATTTCCGTTCCAGCACAACGCTTCCGACGCTCCATCATCAAACAGAAACTCAAACATACTAGCAAAAAACAAGAAACCCATCAAGACAGTAATCGCCAAAGCTCCTTTTCTCCAAACCAAGCCCCCAAACTCCAGACAGACATCTAAATGCGATGCTATCCACAAGCAATTATAGGGTCTTCCAGAAACCCAATGACCATCCCAAACTCAGCTGTACATGAATGTAAAATGCGCCAGGATATCCCATTTTTTGTAATCCAGTAGGGAATAAGTCACTCTTTACAGAACCTGGCTCAGCTGGCTGGCAGTACCAGCAGCGTTCTCCTCAGCCCAAGAGCCCCAGAGCGCCTCCTTGCCGCGGATTTTGAGAGGAGCACCGATGGCCTTAGAGCCCTGGTCAACCTTGACGGCATCCTTGGTAGCCAAGACCAGAACTTCGAAAAACATCTTGGTGGCATCAGCCTTAGTGGTACGCTGCTCAGGGAGAAGATCTTGGAAGACAACTGCCTTCTTTTGAGCGGAAGATGAATCACCCAGCTGCTCACGGAGGATGTGAACGGCGTGCTTAGTGCCAATAGATACGGGCTCAGTGTCCACAGGTCTGATAGTGTCATCCATATCGGCCAAAGGCGCACCCATTTCTCCGTCGTCGCTGAAATGCATGTCATGCTGATCGTCATCCCCAGGGAAGTCGATCTCACTTTGGGGTTGGATAGTGGTGTCAAGATCAATTCCCTCGTCAATGGGAACAATAGCCTCCTCGTCGCCCAGCTCGAGCTCGAGGACATCAGCACCAGCCACGTCCATGTCGGAAATTCCGCTATCACGCTTTCTCTTGAGTTCGCCAGCTTTCTTCACGGAGTCCAGAGACAACAAACCGCGCAATTCAGGAGCCCAACCACGTCCACGCTCCTCGCCAAAGATACTAGAGACGAAATCGCCATTTTGCTGGCGAGTCATGAGAGTAAGGAGGACAGGATCGCGGGGCAAAAAGCTGGCAGGTTTCAGGATGGCGGATCGATCATTGTTGAGATCCTTAATCTGGTGACTGGTGAAGAATGTTTCCTTGTCCCACTCAATAGTCTTGACGCGTTTAGTACGTTGCGCACGCTGGGGATGTTGAGCGGCGGCAGCGTCGGGGGTGGCAGAAGGGTCGCGGTTGTACTCCTCCTCAAGATGGTGCATTTGAACAGATCCTGCGTCGGACAAGGGGCTCTCGGTATCACGGTTGAACCGGCTAGCGTCAGCACGCGGTGTCTGACCGCCGAAGTCATCATCACCGCCACCAAAGTCCATTGGTTCATCAATAGGACCATTGAGGTTGTCGTTGTTATCGTCGAGGTCCATGTTGTCCAATGGGACATCATCGTCCCCGATATCGATATCCAGGTCATCATTATCAATAAGTTTTCCAGAGTCACTGTGCAAGTCCTCCTCCATGGGACGAGGTGGAGGAGCATCTCGACCAATTTCCAAAGTAGTGTCGTTTCCAAAAGGTTCACCGATATCAAGGTCCACCAAGGAGGGGTCCTCAAGGTGGAGGGGTTCCTGAGACATTGATCGACGGTAACTGCTATCTCCCAGAAGCTGGGTACCGAAATCCAAACCGCCCGGCTGCTTGCCTGCAGGCTCCAGGTCCAGGTTTTGAGGGAAGAGAAGTGATGTATCCAAGTTGGTAAACAAGTCAGATTCGGTGAGAACATCGGGCAGAGTAATACCACCCGGTGCGACAACTGTGGAAGTCAAGTCATTGTTATTTGTGAGTCGGAAAGCCTATGTCATAAAAGATTAGCATCGCGAAAAAATCAATATCAATACAATCGAGAACATACCATCCTAATCTTCATCAAGGCTTCATTGCAGTCGTCCAAAAGGTAACGCGCTTTGCGGCTGTAAATACGGACGACACCAAGCAACAGTTGACCACTGAGTCGCAGAGCCATAGGCGCTTGGCCTTGGTCAACAATGGCATTAACACTGCTATCAATATCGGCTTGCAGAATGTGCGATTTGGACAATTTGCGCTCGATGTTCGCGGACAGCCAGACGCGAGCCAAGGGGCCCGTCTTGGACAGGAGAGTCTCCGAGTAGAACATGATGTATGTAAATGACTAGATGATACCGTATAATATCAAGGGCGTGTAGAGATGGAAAACCCGCCCGGCGCGGGGTGAGGCGTTGCAAACAGTGACGCGCGCAGAAGCCGGGAAAACAAAACACTAAGCCACACGCTTTTTATCTCTAATCGCGTCGCCGCGATAAAAATATGGTTATTTGCAAGTGCAATGGGTAAGAGATGTAAGTCGAGAAGTTCGTCGCGGTGGAGTCACGTCGTTTACGGGAGGCGCGAGAGTTCAGTTGGCTGAGAAACCAAGAAGAACGAGGGATGCGCGTGGGAATTCGGGCAAGAGCGAGTTATGCTGAAGTAATCAGGCAGGAATCGAGGGGGCTGGAGCGGGGTTTGATTGGCTGGCAGGTCTGGTACGGGTCTAAACCCAATGCGGCGATTCTCGGATAATCATATTATCCGCACCAGCCACACTAGTCCCAAACAGGTAAAGCATCATCATGGGACTTGACTGTTTCCAATCGCTTTCGACGGTGTGCAAAGCTTCAATGCGATTTCTGGACATTTGACTTCAGTCCCGTGCATCTTCTTTTCTCATACTGTTTTCATTATCTTTTTGTTTCTTTGCTTTTCACCGTTTCATCGGGGTACACTAGTCTCTCCAATTCTACCGGTCTTGTACGCGGTCCCCAATTCCCACCCGGGCTCCATCGCCAGTCGGGAACACAACCCCCGTTCAAGCTGCTGCCAGATCGCATCTCCCTGATCGCAACCAACCCCCACTCCCAACAATTCCAATTTCGACGGGATGAACAGTGGCCTAAAATACATATAACGGTTATCCTAATATTCGCCACGCCGTTTTCCTTTCCCTGTATCCTCTGGCAAGAGCATGAGAAATGTCAAGGTCCGCAACACCCGCGTTGCCGCTGCATAATGCACAAACGTCCGACTCGCCGCGACCCTCGTCCACAAATCCCTCAAATGGGCGGCCGGATGTTCCATCATCGGTAAGTAGGCGAAATCATATCTCTTTGCGGTTGTAATTATGCAATTGCCACTCTCTTTCGTTGTGGCCAACACACCGCTAACTGCTGAGACTCGCCGCGTTAGACTTCAACCTCCACATACTCGTTGCTCGAACCTTACGAAACCGCCGAACGATTACATACCTCCCTGTTACATGGATTGGCTCCTGCAGAAGCGGAGATTCGACTAGCCCGCGATGGCCCCAATGAACTCCCTCATGAAGAACCGGAGCCTATATGGTTACGGTTCTTAAAGCAGTTCAAAGAGACACTCATTTTGCTTCTTTTGGCTTCTTCGGGAATTTCCTTTATAATGGGAAACTATGACGACGCTATCAGTATTACTCTGGCAGTTACAATTGTAGTCACAGTCGGCTTTGTACAGGAATATCGGTCGGAAAAGTCTTTGGAGGCTTTAAATCGTCTCGTACCGCATTTTGCTCACCTCATTCGCGATATCCCCACAAACAATAGTGCTGCTAACAACCCAGCCCATGTGTCACCCAATCGTCGAGATGAGTTTGAAGAACTTCGGGCCAAAAGCCCGGGAGCCACATCTGCAGCCTTGAAGGCATCCACGACCGTTCCCGCCGTTGATTTGGTAGCTGGTGACTTGGTGCTCTTCTCAACTGGAGACCGTATCCCAGCCGATATTCGGATTACAAACGCGACAGATCTCAGCATTGACGAATCTAACTTGACCGGCGAAAATGAGCCTGTTGTCAAATATGCAGAGGCTCTTCGCACCAGTAATGCTAGCGCCGCCAAGGCTTTAAAGGCGGCTAGTCCTCGGGATTCACCATTCTATGATGCACCTGCGACTGGAGCTGTTGGCGCTGATATTCGGTTAAATGAACAGCATAACATTGCTTTTATGGGTACTCTGGTTCGCTCGGGATACGGACAAGGAGTTGTGATCTCTACTGGCGCAAAGACCGAGTTTGGAAACATTTCTGCCTCTCTTCAAGAAATCGAAAGCCCTCGAACTCCACTACAATTATCTATGGATCGATTGGGTCAGGAATTGAGTTATATTTCGTTCGGTGTTATTGGTCTGATTATGGTCATTGGTTTGCTTCAAGGCCGTAAAGTCTTGGAGATGTTCACGATTGGCGTGTCACTCGCCGTCGCAGCTATTCCAGAGGGCTTGCCCATCATTGTTACAGTGACTCTTGCTCTTGGTGTACTTCGTATGGCCAAGAGAGGGGCTATTATGCGCAGACTTCCTAGTGTGGAAACTCTAGGTTCTGTGAATGTGGTCTGCAGTGATAAGACCGGAACTCTTACAATGAACCACATGACCGTCACCAAAATGTGGCATTTTGACTGCGACGAAGCATTCGAGGTACAAAGGGACATGGCTTCGGTGGTTTCACCGGGACCAGCAGCACGCACTATCCTCCGGGTGGGCAATATCGCAAACAATGCTCGTCTCTCGCGCACTCATGCAAACTCTCCCGCAAACGCTGCTTCGGCGGCAATCCTGTCCTCAACTGTTGATCGAGATTCGAGCGCTGTGAAGAGCCGATGGGTTGGCCAGCCGACTGATGTCGCCATTTTGGACTTGTTGGATACTCTGGGCGAGGATGATGTCCGTGACCGAATTAGTGCCCGTGTGTCCGAAACGCCATTTAGCTCTGAGCGAAAATGGATGGGCGTCATTATTGGTAGCCCTGGTGAGACTCATGGAGGTTCTGATATGGCTTATATCAAGGGTGCTCTTGAGCAAGTCCTGGCTCGCTGCGATACATACTTGACCAAGGATGGACGGGAAATCATCCTGGATGAAACCCGGCGCAAGATTATCCGAGACGCTGCAGAGCACATGGCATCCGAGGGTCTTCGCGTCCTTGGCTTTGCCAGTGGAGCTGTTCGCGATGCCTCTCGAGGCATGAAAGGATTTGGAAGCCGATCAGGAACCCCGGTATCCAAATCCAGCCCCAAAGATGATGATGATCGTTATAACGGCTTAGTCTTCGCGGGTTTGGTCGGCATGAACGATCCTCCTCGCAAAGATGTCCATAGGTCAATTCGCCGTCTTATGAATGGCGGAGTCAGAGTTATTATGATCACTGGTGATGCTGAGACAACTGCAGTGGCTATCGCAAAGAAACTTGGAATGCCAGTCAATGAACACTCAGGGGCACGATCAGTCATTCGTGGTGATGAACTCGACCATATGTCTACTGCTGAGCTCTCTCAAGCGATCGCCACTACTTCCATCTTTGCTCGCACCAGCCCGGATCACAAGATGAAGATCGTGAAGGCATTACAAGCCCGTGGCGATGTGGTCGCCATGACTGGTGATGGTGTCAACGACGCTCCTGCTCTGAAGAAGGCTGATATTGGTATTTCTATGGGCCGACTCGGCACTGACGTGGCTAAGGAGGCAGCAGACATGATTTTGACGGATGACGATTTCTCGACTATTCTCCGAGCCATTGAACAAGGCAAGGGAATCTTTTATAATATCCAAAACTTCATTACATTCCAGCTGAGCACCAGTGTGGCTGCACTCAGTCTGGTATTACTCAGCACTACTCTCGGTTTCAAGAACCCCTTGAATGCCATGCAAATTCTATGGATCAGTGAGTAATCCCACTTCTTCAATGTCCCACTCAACTTACTAACGTCAATCGCAGATATTCTCATGGATGGACCGCCTGCGCAATCACTCGGTGTTGAACCCGTCGACCCCACAATCATGAACCGCCCTCCACGAGCCAAATCAGCCCGTGTATTGACAAGACCCCTCATCCAACGAGTCCTCACATCCGCCATGGTCATCATGCTCGGCACACTCGCAATCTACATCCACGAAATGGGCGACATAACCGATGGCCAATCCATCGATAAACGATCTCGCACCGTCACCGCCCACGACACCACGATGACATTCACTTGCTTTGTCCTCTTCGACATGTTCAATGCATTAACCTGTCGCAGCGAAGGCAAATCCGTTCTCCGAGGCGAAATTAAACTCTTCGGCAACAAAATGTTCAACTACGCTGTTCTTGGCTCATTAGCCGGACAAGCTTGTGTCATTTATCTTCCTTTCCTGCAACGGGTTTTCCAAACCGAACCCCTCAGCTTTGGATCTTTGATTAAGCTTGTTATCCTTGCAAGCTCTGTATTTTGGGTTGACGAAGGTCGTAAGTACTACTATGCACTTCGTCGAAGGGGTGGCCTTGGTGTTGGATATAGCGTCAATGTCTGATGCAGCTTACCTACTTCTGGGTGAATTGCCTAGATTTTTGGGATTGGAAGGGATACGGTTTTGTGTAGCCTATATGATTGGATTGATATCCCCTATACATAATAGATTTGTTTTGTCATGCCACGAAACGTTTGTCATTTCTCGAATTCTACATATATTAATGGATTCATTGAGTACATCTGAGCACTATTCCACTTCGTGATACAAAGCATGAATGACTGGCACCTTGCACGTCCACTAAAGAAGCAATATATCTAATCCATCCATTGTTCATTCGCTTCGCAACCCACAACCCCCTCTTCATAATCAGAAACATCCCACAGTCAACAAAGAATCCATACTCAAGATCCAAACTGCAACAAAAATAAAGTCATATAAATATATATATATATATAAAAAAAGACAAAAAGATTGACCGACGCAGGGGTCGAACCTGCAATCTCTTGATTCGTAGTCAAGCGCCTTGCCATTGGGCCAGCCGGCCTTGTTGAAGACAGAAGAAAAAACTGCCAATATGAACGGGGCTTATCGGATTCTTACGGCTGAACTTGTAGTGGCGGTTTTAGATCCCGGGTTCGGCCGATGTGGCAAGTTGGACCAGCTTTTTGGTGGAATTGAGTTTTGATTTGGGTTAGTGTCTCCAAGGCTTGATGGCAATTAATTAATTCAGTACTATGGATGTTAGTGGTGGGTGTTTGATTATCCGATCGAAGATTTGAATTTGAATTTGGAGTGGCTTGTCTTAACCTTGGAATGTAGAGTTGAAGGTTGTGGGAGGCCGAAGCCGGTACTTGCGATATATATAGGGTACCTATACAGCATGTACTAGTAGTACGCATATCATGATGCCTCACAATTTGAACATTCAAGTTGAAATTTAAGCACTTTGAATATTGAATAGTTCACAGTGAAAGTTAAGTTGTGAAAAAGAGTCAAGCAATTAATCCTTTCAACCAAATTCACTAGTATTCGCACGTAATAGACAACTGGGCATCAGGCCCATATTGAATTGATGCCCATGCATCTCAAATTCCAGGCTTGGCAAGCTACTAGTACGGCAAATCTAGCCCTAGTATGAAGAACATTATGCAACTCAAGCGTTATCGGTGCCATTACCCCGCCATCTGCCCCATGTGAATCTAATTTGCACTGTTTAATCCGGAAAATTATGTTTAATCAAAATGTGTAAGCTGTCTAGGTGATAGCTGCCGAGAGGCGGAGGATGCAGCTGAGATCATAGCGGATCCACCGCAGTGGATCCTCACATGTCAGTGGTTGTGAAGAATGATTGGGGAGAGTGACTGGGCTAGGAAGCTACTGGAGCTGGTGAAAGAGATTATATAGGGAGTACGTATAGTAAGTAATGGATCATGTAAAGTGTAGAGTAGTGCTTGCGTCAACGATGCTGTGACTTCGAGGTACATACTAAGATAAAAACTTTAATTCTGGAAAGCTCTGACCGGGGTCGATATGGGGATGGATGGATTTGATCACGTTCTGTTAATCTAGTTTAGTTCGGCACTAGTTTCTCACTAGATTGTTATGATGACAACATGTGGATTGTATTTCCTTCATGTACTCCAGGGCTATGTACCCCGTACTCCGTACTCCGAAGGGTTAGATCATTCTGGTTCATAGGGATGGGAGTGATAGGGATTGTCAGTGATACGAGTGGTGTGTCCGAAAGGGGTTAGATCGGGATAGGTGTCTGATAAGCCTTTCCTCCCTTCAGAGTCCCACATAGAAATCGATGACCATTCCTGCTGTTACGAGTGGTGATTACCTTCAGTGATGATACTACAAGTGGGGAAATGGAAATAGTAGCTGAATTATTGTGAATAGTCTGGGGTACATAGAATGTAGATTAAAAATAAAATCATGGGGAAGGGAGATCATGTACATGTGTACATACGAAGTACTAAGCCCTGGAGATATGATTAATGTAGATTGACACATGAGATGAGTCAAATGCTCGATATGCAATCCCGACGCTCGGGTTGAAACAACCAGACAAACTTTCCCGAGAACCGGAAGAAGTCGGTAGCGGCAAACCGCCGCTTATCTGGAGCCAATGGCGGGAGCCGGCCATATCGTCGGGGCATCACCTAATCGGTGGACTATCTATGGCTATCTATGGAACTAAACCAAATGCGGAAAGGCTTGGCAGGGAGGCGGCCAGACCCACTTAGTCACCGGGTGGCAAGTCTTTATCTGGAACCAATCAGAGACGCGATAACACATCCTCAGCTGTCCAATTGCTGTAGATTGGATCGGAGTGGAGAGATAAGAGTGTCAGTTCTTACTAGGGCACTTACTAGGGGACTTGGAGGACCCGAGATTGTACTGTATAGCTTATCAGAGGACCGAGGACTGGGAAATATGGATCACGATTGTAAAGAACTAAAGAACGGTGAATGCCGTTCTGAATGCAGGTGTATAGGATATAAAGTCAAGGCTAATTGCTGAAGAAGTTCTCTTTTTTGGGGTTCTTGTCCCCACTGCAGTGGCTTTTTTCTTCTCTCTCAAGGGCTTGGTGTCTCGCTCCCCAGGATATCTTCCCCGGAGAGTGGCATCACTGCCGAACTTGAACCGGAGTACTTCGTACTAGTTCTAGTTTCAAGTCTAAAACTGGGCCAAGACTGCTTGGACCAGGACTGCTTGGACCAGGACCCATGGACAAACGGAGACACCGTATAGAGAAAAGAAAAAAAAAAAGCAAAAAAAAAACCCATAGCAGGGAGAGAAATGCCGCAAAGTCACTAAAATTAACCTTGGAATACCGCACTGTACAGGTATTGGTTTATTGGTTTTATTTCCGTTGCCACTGGACAACCACCAGATCTGGTCTCGGTAGCCTACACCGGGGGCAGTGTTCATGATGATGCAGAGATGTATTCGAATAGCAGTTCCTCGATCTTTTATTATTTTATTTTTAGCTGATCAGAATTATATAGAGAATGTGAATCCAAATATTAACAAATCTTTTTTATTATATGTTATACATATATTATGTGTGAAATCCCCCCTTCTTCAATGTGGTTCTAGTATATAAGGTTATCGGGATTGTATGGGGCATTTCCGGTTTGTGTGTGGTGACCCGATTATCCCATTGCTATTGTCATAATCCTAATCTTGGCCTGTTAGCTCTCTCTAGTTGCCCCTAACAAACTTGACGATTTCTTCACTTCCGTTTTCTCTCCCCCACTCTATTTTTATTTGATTTTATTTTATTCCTTTTTTTCTTTTCTTTTCTTTTTCTTTTAATTAAACAGAAATCCGTTTGGTTCATCAATTCCCCAAATCGAACACGAGTGCCTTTTTCTTAGTGGCCTCATACGGACTCATTCTTGGGGATCCGATTTCAGGCCCTGGTGGACCCTCGGTGTCGATCCGCTTTTATCGGGACTCCGCAACGTTCAGCCAGTTTCCAGAATTCTTTTATATTTCCCTCGCGACTTTCCCCCCGTGGCGACTCTTTTCTTCCATTCTTCTCCACACGACCAGACTGACCTTGGGAATCTGACCTGTGTCTGCGCCAATTCCCCCATCCCGCAGCATTTCTTCCTTTCTCACGCCAACCTTTTTATTTTTTCTTCCTTGAAAAAACCACCAACAATACAAACTACCTACATACCACAATCACCCACATCGCAGTACATTGTTTCTTTAGTCGACGAGCTCTTCGGAGTTCAATTACGACCTCTTCATCCTCTTCATCTTCATCATGTCGACCTTCAACGGGAAATCAGACTATGCTCCCGAATACGCCTCCTACAACTGGGTCGGTGCCCCTTCTGACTACTCACTAACCACCAACGAGGCCCTGGGTGGAAACTCTCGCGCCGAAAACCTCAACAAATGGTTCCAATCTGGTGATCAGGCCTATATTATTGTGGCCTCCGCGATGGTGCTGGTCATGGTGCCCGGTCTGGGCTTCCTATATTCAGGCCTGGCTCGCCGAAAGTCTGCTCTGAGTATGATTTGGGCGTGTATGGCTTCTATGTCCGTTATTACTTTTCAATGGTATTTCTGGGGTTACTCCTTGGCTTTTTCCCCGACCGCAACAAATGGTTATATTGGCAATTTACGCAACTTTGGAATGATGAAGACTCTGGCGGCTCCTAGCCCTGGTTCGCCTTTAATTCCGGATATTCTTTTCGCTTTCTACGAGGTATGTTATGATATGATGCGAAACCCCGCATAGCTTTTTTTCCCTTCATTCGACTGGCCAGTTTATTTACATTTTTTTCTTTTTCTTATTTATAGATGCAATTCTGCGCTGTTACTGCTGCTATCGTCATGGGCGCCGTGGCGGAGCGCGGTCGGCTTCTTCCGGCTATGGTCTTTACCTTTGTCTGGGCAACTATCGTCTATTGCCCTCTGGCCTGCTGGGCTTGGAACTCGAACGGATGGGCTTATAAGTATGGTGTGATGGATTACGCTGGTGGTGGCCCCGTCGAAATTGGTTCCGGTTTTACTGCTCTCGCCTATTCCATGGTTCTCGGTCGCCGACAAGAACGCATGATGCTCAACTTCCGCCCTCACAACGTTTCGCTCATTCTCCTCGGCACGGTCTTCCTTTGGTTCGGATGGCTTGGATTCAACGGTGGCTCGGCATTCGGTGCTAACCTGCGCGCGACCATGGCTTCCTGGAATACCAACCTGACTGCTGCTTTCGGAGCCATCACTTGGGTTCTGCTCGATTGGCGTTTAGCCCGTAAGTGGTCTATGGTCGGTTGGTGTTCTGGTACCATTTCCGGACTCGTAGCTGCGACTCCTGCCTCGGGTTTCATTAGTCCATGGGCTAGTGTGATTCTCGGTGTGGTGACTGGTATCGTGTGCAATTATTCGACTAAGATTAAGTTCTGGATCCGCATTGACGACTCTATGGATGTGTTGGCTGAGCACGGTATCGCTGGTATCGTCGGTCTTCTCTTCAATGCTTTCTTCGGTGACGACTCTATTGTTGGTCTTGATGGTGTTAACACTGGTACTGGTGTTGGTGGTTGGGTTATTCACAACTGGAAGCAACTCTACATTCAAATCGCTTATATTGTCGCCACTGCCTCTTACTCGTTCATTATGTCCGCCCTGATCGCTCTCGCCATCAACGCCATCCCAGGCCTTAACCTGCGTGCTTCAGAGGAAGCCGAATTACTCGGTATGGATGATGACCAGCTTGGAGAGTTTGCCTACGACTACGTTGAGGTTCGTCGTGATTACCTTGCCTGGACCCCTCAGCAAAAGGACCAGCTCGAAGACGGTCACCATATCCCTGATGCGCACCGGTATGGCATTGGCGAGCACAGTGAGATGATTGAGGGACAGCCACCAAATGGAGAGATCAGTCAGAGCAGCCGCGGTGGTAGTGAGGTTGAGGCTATTCAGGAAATTAAGGTCACCCCGGGACCTCGACAAGTCGCCGAACAGCACCCAGCCGATGCCATCCCACCCAGTGAGCAACCTTACATGCTCCGACCCGTCAACGAGAAGACAGAAGACGCATAAGCGTGACATACCGTCTCTTCTCTCTCTCGCCTTATTCCTCGTCCTCATCCCCAACTCACCACGATCCACCTCCTCATCTTTACAGCCATTTTTCTTCTCATTTCCCGATTCGCATCTGTTTGATATCCCACTGAGCGTGTTTCTGTTCCTTTCTCGATAAAAGCCTGGGGCTCTTACTTGTTTATTTTCTGTTATGTTTTTCAACTTGATCCTATCACCGATACCTCGAAATCCCATCTATAACCGCCTCAACCTCATCACCTACCTCAACTCAACATACACCTCGACCAACATCATATCCGATACCTCCCTCTTCGACAACCGACATACATCTTCTTCCTCATTGTTGACATTAAGGCTTGGTTTCAACGGGAAAAGTGATTATTATTCCTCCTTCCTTCTGGCCTGGCGTTTATCTCCGGCTCGGACTGGCGTTGTTATTTCCAATCCGCTTTTATATCTCCTATATCTCCTATTGGGATTAAAATGGACTCATGCATATATCTTTTGACTTTTGTTTTTCAGCCTAATGCGAGGTTTTACGTTGTGCGGAATTCTGAAGATACCTTGTTTGCAATATAGACAATCTTGATTTATCCTTTTTATACTACGTATATCCACCTCTATTGTAATCTATTTATGAGGAGCGCAATTTAGGCTCGTAGGGACATGATACATATACTTGGTCACGGTGCAGGAAGAATATCGACCCCGGATGGATACATGTTCCGCGGGACATATCAAATGCCTTCACAATCCGTCCATTGGTCACCTGACCAGACAGACATTCACGCTTCAACACCCAGATCATATGACTTTTATTGATTATTCATGGCTATTTCCCAAGTTCGAATCCGCACTCCAACCAATATTGCCGTGGCCTCGCGTAATGCTAGGAGCAGGAGCAAAGAAACGAGATCGTACCCGCACAGCTTGCATTTGCTGCTAAATCCGCAAGCGCAAATGCTCTGGCACTCAACGCTGCACAACTGATGGGATAGCGTTATCTCCATATGACCATGTGACAGGTCTCGCTTGCCTTGTCTTCCTCCTGTATCTCTCTCTCCAGATAGCTATATGAGTTATTTTCTTCCCGCTCCACCACGTTCCCGTGTCTCTTCAACAACATGTACTCATCTAAGATCAGAGTGTCAATATGACCGTAGGATTAGGGTGAGAAGAGGACTTTGACTACACCTTTCGCCAGGGCCCTTAATTAAAAAGCACATATGGTACATTTCGAACAGAGATGTTAAGATCACAAATTTTCCTGATGGGACCTAAAGCATGCTTGTTTTCCGCTGAACATGTAATGGCAGAAACCCCCAAGTTCTGAGCATCGTACTAAGCGATCACGAAGAAGAATGCCTAATCATCTTCTTCCTTGGCGAGAGACTGCTCTTTCGTGAGCTTGGGGTTGCGAATGCAGAGCGCAAACGCAATCAACGGTATAGTCAGACACAGCCCAGTAATGCAAAGCAGCCTCTGGGTCTCTTGGTACGCCATAATAACATTATCTCGATCCGCAGTTCCAACCGGAGTCACGGCTGCAAATGCCAATGGCTCTGCATAAACCTGGGCAGCGAGTGTCTCATTGCCGAGTCTTTTGGTCAACTCCGAAGGAAGTACCTGAGTCCAGATAGCGCCTGAAATGGTATTTCCAAGGGCGCTGCCAATATTGTAGGATGCAAGGTAGATTCCAGTGACAACGGCAAGATCTTTGGATTAATTAGTAGCTGAAAAGGTTTGATTTTAATCTTTAGGGTTTACTAGGAAACTCACGTTCATGTTTGCTGACAGCTTGAATACTAGCCTGTGCAGGGTAAGAGAACATACCTCCAGCTTTTCGGCGCGTTAGCAAAATCTCATTTAACGAGTGTTTGGAAGCGATCTTACCAATTCCAAGTAAAATCTGTCCTCCAATCACACCGGAGTGGCTTGAGCCTCCTGTTCCGCCCCGGAAGTAAATCAGAATACCAAAGGCCACCATAAATAGAACGGTGCCAGTGACGATAAACGGCTTGAGTTGGCGAACTCGGAAGACAATAAAACCGAGTATGACACCGGTAATAACTGATGTGAAACTGTAAAGGGAACTGATGCGGGTTGCACTCAGAACAGACTCGCCGAAGCTGACGTAGAGCACGGTGTAGAGGAAGTCGCCCTGTAGATACCATGCTGAAAAAATGTCAATTGTCAGTATAAATTGCCAAGCAACTTTGTCGAGTGGTGCTCATACCAGTGTTAAGCATCACAGCGATACCAAGTGCACCCCAAACACCACGGTTTTTCAAATGCTATAAATTGTTAGCTTTTAAACTTGGTCCATTCTTACTGAATCATTTGTGCTTACTTTGAATGGGAGCATGGGATGTTTGCATGTTCTCTCCCAGTACATCCAGACAGGGATAAGGAGAACACCGATCACGAGCGGCGCGATTACCTTTGCTGTTTTCCACTGCGCAGTCACTCCACCAGCAAGAGTAAATGGCACAAGGATGCATGCAAAAACTCCAATCATCAAGATGATGCCCACGACATCCAAGTGCCAAAATAGCTCTACTGTCAATCGTCGAGCGCCCATTAGTTCGAAGGAACTTTTGAACGACTCCAGCTGACCAGATGCCTTGGCGCGACGGTGAACAACCCAGAGCACAGTGATCAATGGGATAGTAGAGACGGGATATATTATAGCAAACATTCCGACGCCCCATCTCCAGCTTGTGACGCGAAGTACGGCAGCGGTTAAGTTCCCACTGATCCAAGTGTTGATCTGCGAGAAGAAATATACGTTAGAGATGCAGTAGAGGTTAGCTGGGCCAGTTTACTCACGATGAATGGTAGAGCAGGAATGTAGGAGAAGAGAAGCCGAGATCGAGTGGATGTGACATCGGCAATCAGCACCTCAACAAGGAGCATGATACAAGTATAGCCAATCTATGATTTTGTTAGAAGAAGTTTGTATGTCTGGGGGTCACTGGGGATTACCTGGTAAATCACAGCGCCAGCCGCGAATGCCTCGACGCTCTTTGCGAACGTTTCAACAATAGTACCAATAGTATAGAATATGATTGAAATGATAATCAGCTCGACTCTGCCGAATACATCTGCAATTTTTGCCGCGGTTGGCTGGAAGCAAGAATAAGTTGAGTTTCATTTCTGATATTAATATGGAGTGAATATGCATACCTGAGCAGCCGCTGCAATGACTGCGCGTAGGACATTAACGGTCGCGAGTAAGCTGTGTTGACCATAACTCTGGGTTGCATATGGCTATACAGATATGAGTAACGGGTCATTCAAAAGGGTTGATTATTCTCAATTGGATTCCATATTTACCTGGTAAGTATAGCGAACCGTTCCATCTAGACCATAAACGTAGGCAACAAGAAAGAGACTCGCAAAGAGGAAGACCCGGTCCCACAGACCAAAATGCGAGGCTAAAATCTCAATGCGTCGAACACCCGGACTCCCATCACCTAGTAGTGGAGCTTCATAATCTGGCGCGGTCCCAGAAGTAAAGTTTGCTGTTTTCTCCGACACCTCTCTCTCCAGCTGTCTGCCACCTTGGTTAGTCGTTAAGTCGGACATTATGACCTCTGGACGCGAAATGAGAAAAGAAGAATCCTAAATCAACCGAAGGTGCGTACTTTCACCTTTTATTTCATTTTCAATTTCGTTTTGTCCAGCCAAGCCCGACCAAAAAAGTATATTCAAAAAGGCGTGCACTAACCTAGTCATCAGCCACAAAACCATCTTGTTATCTGATGAAAATTCCCCTCGGGCCCACTCTCCAGGGTCTCAAGGGTCCAATAGGCGCACCCGATGTGACTTTCCCTGGGCGCTAACGGCTCGGTGGTCGTATTGTAGCCAATGAGCCGGTCCAAGCGTTCTTCATAGGGGGTTTTTCCTCGCGAGAAGCACCAGAGTGAAACATTTTCAAATTTCCAACTTAAGTCCTCGGGTCGTAAGGAATATGTTGGATAGGTCTAGATTAATGTGGGGCTGATGAAGCCGTAACTGTCAGAGATAGCCGGTCACCGAAGTGAATTTAGTTTTTTCACGCCACGCGACAATGCGATCCCACTGCGATCCGGACGGACCTGCACCACTCCACTGTCGCTAATGCCGGATCTGCCCACCTTTCTTTTCCAAGAGCCTAAAATGGCGGGCGCGTGACAGACGACTTTTTGAAGCTTCCCCCCGGTCGGATTCGAGGACCACGTTGTTTACTTATGTCTTCAGGCTTCTTTCTGTTCAAATAGCTCGATGGGTGGAACAATCTCACCCGCCATGTGCATCGGACCCACCGTCCAGAACATTTTCGGCTTCGAAAGTACATCTTCTGTTCATAGCCGGGATGAGTTTTGTCAGGCAACCCTTCACCTCGTGGTTCTTATCAGATGATTGGTTTCTTGGAAAGCCAAGCGCACAGTCCATGGCACCACAGCGACATGCAAATCTGTCAAGCTTAAATAGGTAATAAGCAGAATAATTGGCTGTTTTTCTTGTTCCTATGTTTCTGGCAGTTGATCTGCTCCTTGAAAAAGCAAAGTAGCGGGACTCGAACCATTGAATTAAATGTTCCAATATAATGCAAATGGGATACTGAGATCTGCACTCCTTACTTATTGTGCCACCAGTTGCATAGTGGTGATCGGCAGACATTCAAGGCTTTACAGTCTGCACCTGAAATCGCCTTGTGGTAATATGAGCCAAATATCTCCAGCGTGTTAACATTCCCCCCAAGAAAGCATCCAACTAATATGATTTGGTGAATGAAATCCCCTCTACACATCAAAGTGGGAGATTCTCAGGCTTTCAATCGTCGTGCTGCAAGGGGGCATGAAGAATGTGGTCGTCAGAGATCTTCGAATAAGCATTTTTCCCGTCAAAAAAGTCGGCATATTGAATATAGCAACATTTATAGAAAGCAACTTTCTCATTTCTACTAATTCTGGGTTTTTAGTATTCTATTTTACCCATAATTATCCCTTTACTACTACAGGACAGGCCCGAGATGCCCGGCCTCAGTTTACAATCTGGACCATCATGGCTTCCAACTCCCGATCAATTAGGCTTGGTAGTCGCCAGATACAATGAACCCCTTGACCCATGGGCTGAAGTGGCATCCAACACATATCTCTACGTTAAATCAAATATCAGTCAAGCCAGCGATAATGTATCGCACGATTCATTCAGACTTTACGAACAACTACCAAACGAAGGTCGAGAAGGTCAAACATACTGCCACCATATTTACAATCAGTATGATTCGCTCCAGCCCATCGTGATTTTCTCCCAGGCAGACCCTTTCGATATGATCGGTCCAGAAACAAACACTACCCAGCAAATGGTCGAGAAGGCTCTCCAGAAGCCCGAACCCGAGTACGATCCTGTGACAATCTATAATCACAATCTTCTCCACGACCTGGCACAGTGGAGCAAGATCAATTGGTCTTCTCCAGAGGAATCGTATTGGATCACGGCCAATCAGCTGAAGTCCCTAACATATGCTCCGTATGACATGGCGACTTTCTGGAAAACCATCTTCGGGGTACAGCATCCTGCTGCAGTGAAGGTGTTGCATGGTGCTATTTTTGCAGTGAGACGGGAAGCGATTCTGCAGCACCCTAAAGAGCTGTATAAGAATTGTTTAGATCAGTATACCGTCACAGGGAAGGGAGCTGTGAACCCGGAAGTGGGTTTCTTCATGGAGCGGATATGGCTTGCCTTGTGGGGCTCTCAATACTGGTTATCTAATTCGTCGACAGCCGATCGATTGTGAGCTTACCAAGAGGAAGAAGCTACGTGATTTCCAGGAGAAGAGAAGGGAAGACTCGTGCAAGATTTCTAGTGATTTAAGAGAAAGGCTTGATGCAGCCTTTGAAGGGCGGACAATTAAGTCTAAAGTGCCAATACATTTGCTCTTGAAATTTACTGTTTTTAAAGTCATATTTCACGTTTATCTAGACGTCGGGAATGGAAGCATATGTTGAAAATTTTAGAAAGAATAATTTGGTGATCGCCACTAATAGGATAAATCTGAGACACGCTGGTACAGAATGCAAAACAGCTCAGAGCACTAATCCCGTCTTGAATGAAACATTGAATGACTTCTTCAGCGACATACTCTTCAGATGCTGTAGGCGTTGATTAAAAGTCCTTCCTATATTTTGAGTCAATAATTAGGCCATATACATGGAAGATCTTAGAACATACCAAGTTTTAAGCTCGTAAGTGGAGAAGTTTAGGGCATGCAAGTGCCAGGAGTGCTGCCAGTGCTGCTGCAGGCACCGCTACAGCATGCAGTACCGGAAGCACAGGTGGTACCCTCTATATTTCCATGAAAACATTGATTAGTTCTCATTCCTCCAGATTGGCAACTAGTGCCACTAAAAAAACAGGTAAAAAGACTAGAAATGATCAAACATACCGGCAAGGCACCGCTTTTCAAAACCAGAGTTGGCCGGGCCAGCGGTAACACCGATGGCGAAGATAGCAGCAATGGCGATGGAGAAGAACTTCATATTGATGATAGATGGAGAGATTGATCTGAATTGTTAAGAATATCGAATATGAAAAGGACAAGGGGTATTGATCACTATTTATACCTTTTCCTCTCCATAGGAAATTGTGTAGTTGTGTTTCTCGAATAATCCCAAACTTGCCGAAGGCCGAAAGGATTCATAAAGGATCTAGTTGACCCATCTCGCAACCTCCACGGACATTGTGGGATTTTATCTGATTGAATCTAAAGTTATCTGCCCCCAAATTGCTCCACTTTTTGGTGGGGTGCAGAGTGCTGCGGTTAATCAAAAGCGTAGATCAGGTTCAAAAACGGTGAAGAAAACTTGGCAGATGCTTAAAGGGGCGGCCCCCGGGGCCGCCCCTAACTCACTAAAATTTATGCTTGTACACTCCAAAGAAGGTATAACAATAAAAGTTATACTTTGCTTATTACAGTTGAATATTCTTCACTTGAATATCCAGCCCGTGTTATATCACAACTTGATCACAGAGAAAAGACAGGAGGCCTTGATAGGTTGGTAACAGGCTTTATCAATAGCAGGTTTCGAATTTTCAGTACATCCAATGTAAATGACACTCTTATCAGGAGATCTCCTATAGGATCTCGTGCACTTCGCCACATCTCGAAGTTTTATAGTTAGTCGCGCACCCCTCCTCTATACTCCCGCTCAGAGGGTGCTTACCTGTTATACTTAGTGCGGACTATTGAGACGAATCTTCGAAGCTTGTATACCTTTCTAAGCAGACAAATTTTTGACAGCTTTCTTGAGTGCCTGCGCAATGTGTTTGCAGTGAGAATACCAGTCGGCGCTGCCTTCCAGAGCGACAGCTGAGCCACTCTTGATGAGCTCATCTCACTGCGAGATCTCGAAAGTACGGTGTGGTGGCTAATAACAGTGGGGAGCCCTAGTGGAGGCAATAGATCGGCAAAAACAATAGGTTCGGCCGGAGTTGAACAAATGATCAGATTAGATACAATAGCAGATGACGTATTTATGCCTGTGTGGGTCTTGAGAAGAGGGGAGAGCAGTGAAAGAGAAAGAAATAACGAGCTGAACCCGCCGCCCATTTTCACAAGTATTTCAAATTCATCGGCGAGAACTCATTCCTCAAATTTCACGGATCCCATAATCTCGGAATTCAAGCATGCTTTCATTAAGTTTCCACGGCCTTAAAGACCGTTCATAATGGGCATTGAGTAAAGGAAAGTCTTGTTAAATTGTATACTAACTAGAATGCCGGTCTGTTTTGGCTGGCATTTCAATAGTGATGATAAAGGCAACGAAGTCGCATACAAAGAAAAAGAAAAAGAAAAAGTGAAAAAAGAGAAGTGGAAAGGAAGAAAAAGAAGAGTAGTATTCTGCATTACGCATAGGTAAATATACATACTATCGCGTCTATTGCAACCGAGTCTATCCTCCCATCCTGTCCGCCACCATATGCCTCTGTCAGATTGGCTTCATAGATAACAACTTCGCATTTGGAATTATCGTTTGAGCTGTCTTTGTTCCAAGCGACAAAATCTGAAATACAAGATTGGAGTGTATAGCGAGTGATACGAGTAAGATCTTCAACATTCCCGATCCCAGATGAAGCCCGCTCGCCCCCAGGCCAATCTACGGCGCATAGAAGGGTAAATATAGAGCCATCAGATCCGGTAACTGTAGTCAAGTTTTCCCCCGGGCAAGGACTTGAGGCTATTCCAGTCGTACCCGATGTGACAGGGGCAGAACTAGTAGTAGATGTAGTATGAGTTGTCGTAGTCGATACTGAAGAGGTATGGGAAGATGCAGAAGAAGAGCTAAAGATGATGATGATATATTGTCAGATATGGTATAATTGTTACATCCTTTCGAGAGACTAATAAGTGACCTTGATATCGTTGAAGACTCAGTAGTATGCCGATTCGCGAGTGTTCCCCCTACTCCTCCACCAACCGCGGCTCCAATGATTATCAACAGGGTGATACCAAAGAGTGTCCAAAAGACCATCGGCTTTAATCCACATATCGTCCTCGGGGACTTTTGTTCATCTTCAGCTCTGATGTTGGGTCTGTGTGGCCCGGAGACGTAAATTGGGTGTTGATTCTGGCTGACTTCTCTATCGGAATAGGACACTACCTGGTGCCTGGGTCATCATTTCTGAATTTTTCTTGCGATTCTCTCAGTTGAAGTCCATCCATGACCTGTTTATCAGATGAGAGAGAATTGTGACAAAAGAATTAAGTGTACTGAGGGCCATGAATCTGTGTTCTCGCGGTCGCAAAGTATAAAACATCCGGATATTGCGGCTCTTAAGAGCGCGCGACAGAAGAATTAGCAGGTGAAAAAAAAAATTACAATTTATGTTGGCAATTTGCGACTTGGAACAAGGGGGATAACTAATTGTATGCAACTCTGGAAATCAACCAGTCGCATCGACTCTTTAACCGACATTCCCTTTCGCAACTGCTGGGGCCATCATACTATGCATCTCGAAGCGCCTGGATCGTTGGGCGAGCGGGCTGGAAGCGGATCTTTGCCGCATTGGCTTAGAGGCCGCTGGCAATAGCTCGGCGATTGAACTCATGTCGCTATTTTAGACTTGAATATTGAGAAGTCCTATATAAAAAGTCTGACAAAGTCAAAAAATATACTGTTTTCTGCAGTCTGGGTAATTACACAATCGCGTATGTGTACTTCGTATTCGAACAGGCCTAGAGGGGAGGGAAAAGTCGCGTCGGCGCTTCGGACGCGCAGGAAATTGTGGAGCAATTTGGTGGCGTTCAGGGCGCTTGGTTTGACGGCCCTTAATTACATGTCGGGTAGTGAAAAGGGCATTACTAAAAATAAAACAAAGACAAAGACAAAGCACAAAAAAAAGAAAAAATGATACAGCAGATTTCGCATGTGGTCACCCAATACACTACTGACTGACCGACGTATGGCAAACCTTGGAAAGGTTACCGATGTACACGTGCATGCCGGCTTGGCCTTAGTATTTGTTTCGCCTGAGGGGCTCCCCGCATTTCTATTCTACCATACCCACCACATGGGCAGCATCCAGGCATCCGCTCTTCCTCTGTGTTCATCCCTATACCCGTCTCCCACGTGAAAGAAGGTTGAGAGGTTGCCGCATGATGTTCTTGACAATTGGAGCTGGCTTTCGTTGGAGTCTTCCGGATTTTGATTCGGGGTGATGCCTCCAACGGCTATGTCGAGTGATTACCCAGTAGGTATTGTCTTCTCAGTGTCGTTCTTGTGGCTCATTCCGAGCGTGGATCAGAAGGTTGAAAAAGGCCCTTGGTTTAGGCAGGTGGGAAATGCGGTGTTGGGGTATCCAATTTGACTCGAACGTATTGGAAAAGGCCGAATCCAGAGGATTGTGCTATGCCACCTGCCGTCAGTGCCAAGAAGCTTTTTGCAACGATTTCGACACGCGACAATCCTCAAAAAGCAGTTGACAAACCGGATCTGGCGGACAGTTCGATCAATGTGTTTGTGTCTGGGATCCACCATTGCATTGAGGAAAGAATTCAAGCCATGAACTGAATAGCTGATCCCACGATTTCTGGCATTGAAATCGGCCAACGAGAACAATGTGGTAATCCTTATGTGGAAGGGCAGCGTCAACTTGTCAATTTCAGGGGAAAGGGATGATGAAATGTCGAAAGCGAGAGAGGTGGATTCTTCGCCCCTTGAACGTCACTTCATTGTTAGCAATCCATTGCTAGAATGGATAAGCTTCAACAAATTTGTTCTCCATATGAGTCAAAACTTGTCCAGCCGGCGTTGTCGCTGGCATAGTGGAGCATCAAGAGGGACGTCGCTAGGATGGGCAGGTTAAAAAAAACGGCCCACTGAATCATGCCCAGCAGTTTCCTCAGCCAGGGCCTTTGGCGGGGTATCATGGCAAAACGAGCCCTTGGGCAAGGGCAAACCGGGGTTCTCCTCGGGCGCAAGCAGACAATATTACACCAGGCAAGTCGGCCACGGCGACGGCGACAGCGAATACACACGGAATATTGAACCAGGGTTGTCATTACCAACAACCAATATTGAACCAGGAGCGCTGGCGAGCACGAGCAGACAGACAGTATTGAAGCAGGGTTGTCATTGGCAAACACCAACAACAGATATTTAATCAGGGGCGTCGGCGTGAATGACATGACACGACGAATGACATGACACGACGAATGATGCTTAAACGGGGTCGTCGACTGGGGTGCCGAACTGACTTTTTTCGGACATTTTTTAGCCAGGGTCGTCCTGGGACGGTCTAATTTTAACCAGCGGGCCATCACGCTTGTGAGGAAACAATCGGGCCGGATTGTGACTGGTCAGGAGGCGGGCAACTTCGAATTGTGATGGCCAAAGCAATGCGTGCAAATAATTTGACCTCCTCATGATTGTTCGAGTGGTATGGACCATACCTCTTCGCTGTAACAAAGCCGTCGTCTGGGCCTGGTACCGTGCTCTGACGAATATACTTGACATAGGCCTCATCAAAAGAAAAGGCTATGACAAAGCATTAACCTTGATTTTGGCTTAACAGGAAGAAATGCCTATCATGAGAAATTGGAGTCGTGGTACTTTTGAGAAAAGCCACGAACTCCCCAGTTTCTTGCAAGCATACTTTGGGCTCACAATACTGACGACAGCGTCTCTTTGCCTCTAACAAAACCTTCGGCGTGCCATCCCGGGCTACAAGTAGCCCATCGACAAATACCTTAAGCTTCTGGGCGCCGAAGTCCCCCGTGATGGATTGCCGTCTCGCTGACCATCCGCAACGGACATGGGGACAGAGGACCGTGATTCCATCCAAGAAAGAGATGAGGGATGATATAACCATCTCCTCATCTGCGACTCCATCTGATATGGCTTTGAACAGCCCACTCTGTCGTGATCGAGCTAGCTGCATAATGCCCAGACTGAGGGCTGTCTCGGAGGTTCCTGGTGCCTCGGGACTCCAGAACGTTGTTGATTGATTGTTCCTGACACATTCCAGATAGGCCCGGAATGGTGGAAACAAATCTAACCAATTTCTAGCAGTATCCAACTCTCTGCGAAGCTCTGTCTCAAACTCCCTTGCAAACTCACTGCCGGACACGAGAGTGGGCCAGATGCCTCTCAGCGACAGGAACTGCACATGGCTCATATTTGATCCACCATGCCAATTGATTCTACTTGGAATGGGAGGGCGTCCTTCTCTCGGAAAAGCTGTCGCGACTTGAGACTTCCACTCATCTCGACACGCCGGGACGTCCGGATTGCTCATCGTAGCTCGTGCTTGGATGAGAGCGAGAGGAAAAATCCGAAGAGAAAATCGAAATTGGGGGTCTCGGTCGACTGTTGTGGGGGAAATGCTGTAAGGCTGAGCGTGGCGTTGAGGAGAGGGACTTATCGAGGAGGGGAGTTTGAAGGTATTTGCAAACTAGCCTAGTAAGAGTGCTTCTCATAGCTTCCTCCCTGTGCAATACAACTCACTACGCATCGTGCCATCTGCCCACTTCCACTAGAAGGAAGCTCACCTAGGCAGCCGTGTCTCCAACGTACCTTCTCAATTCGGATTACAGGCAACTAGGCCCCTAGACCCGTGATGGTACAGCCTTTCATTCACTGGACAATCAAGAGTACGACAACATTGAAGAGCGATTTCAAAGTTCGACCGTGTGGCTCTCACTAACTGCAAATTTGACCTTGTCTTCACAGCAGGTAGTCCAAAGTATTGTTTATACTCATCCAAGCACTACCCGTGAATTACCATGGCCCTAACCGTGCCTAGTCACCTGTTGGTAATATCTCTGACAAGATTTTTGATCTTATTCCTGTTTATTGTGTATGGGGTATCCTTGACTTAGAGAATATGTGCTAGGATATAATGAGTACTTAATAGGGTTTAGATAGCTAAAGAGATTATACTATAAAGTTGCTGATCTAGCTTATCCTTCTTAAGCTTAAGAATTTCGACTCAGAAATGGGGGCAAAATACCGCTAGACCAAAAATGCATCATGGGCTATTCCTAGTCTATATAGTTATTGTTATATCGGACAAGAAAGAGTAGAGCTTATTTCGGTAGGCGAGCCTACCCTGGGCGATATCTTGCTCGTAATATATTGTAGATCATTATCACTCAGTTACTATAGTCATTTGATATCGAAGCTGGTCTGTCAGATACTGGAGAGCCTACCATAGTCGACCCTATTGCATACACATATAGCCTTGTTATGTGAGCTTTACCTTTTAAGGCTTCATTCAAACCCCTAGGGCCTTGGGTGCGTAATGTCATCACCAAAAATGGGGATACATACAACAAAGATCATGCAGAAGTGCTAAACCAAATTGGGAAATCATCCAGCAAACTCTAGCGGATGATTCTACCAAAAATTTGGGATGTATATGACTTTTAAAGTCGCCGGTCCCAAAAAGACCAGACCGGTCCCTAACGGGCGGGCGCAATCCGCTGAGAGACCTGACTAGTACTATTTTGGACGGCCAAACGCCATGTTTATGGTTCGAACTCTGCCGTGACTGATATCCGATAACGAATTTAGCTTAGTATTATTTTCAAGCTTTTAGTTGATATATCCATTTTTCTTGAGAAGTTTTCCAGTATTTGCATAATCTCCAGGACTCTACTCCACTGACTTTTACAACGGATTTTCTTTACAAACTGAAAGCTGCTTTATCTCAAAAACTTCAACATGCCGATTCCCCCTCCCCCAATCTGGTTGCAAGTTGGAACCGTCGTGTTAAATTTCGCTGCACTTTCTTGGAAGTGGAAATTTCTCAACGATTATAATGAACGAGGCCGGAGAGTGAATCTCCTCGAACAAGAATTAGCTCAATTGAAACTTAGCAACAAGGCTACTGGAGACAAAAAATATCCACCTACATCACCAGCAGAGTCGCATTCGACTACTGGATCACGCTGAAGAGAAGTTTATATTCGATCAAATGAATCGCGAAAAAAAAAAGATTCCGAACAGGTTGCGTCACGGTGTCTCGTGGCTGATCAACTGCCAAGAATGCAGCTTTACAAACCAGACAATAGTTGCACCTCTTTTTTTTTCGACTTGTGAATGTTGAATCGAGTGCAAAGGCAACGTGCAGGGTGTGAGTTTGTCTCCATGACTCATGGTTGATTATTGCTATGTGTTGCTAAATCTGGCATCAAAATTGTATTATAGTATCTATAATTTTTTCCATATACCCAAGACTGAGTTACAGTTTGCAGTCATTGAATTGAATTATCTGATGGTCTGGCAGTGTCCACTTCCTATGTAGAATACTTATTTGTCAAATTTTAGACCGTCACCTCGGGCAAGAAAAAAGGTGCGATATTATATACTGTAGTGAGAGGCAGCGGTATGGCTAAGCACATTTTCTGTATGTAAAGGTGTATCTTAGCTAGTATAGTAACCCAGATATTCGCTTCTCTTCTTCAGCTACTCTTAGAGTGGTCAGTTTTAGTCTTCCACTAACCCCAGTGGAGGTTACCTGTCGCGGGAAGTCCGTTCTCCAAAGAGCACGTCCCCCTCTAAAGCATTAAGGAAACAAACTACAACTTTTTGAGTTTTGAGATCTACCGATTTCTGTTGAAAGCGTCTACATCTAATAATGAGCCCTAGGTCAGTGTTGAAAGGTGAAGATTTTGTATTTTCTGTTCTAAATTAGAGGAATCGGTGACAACCCCCCGGGCGATGCTAGTGTCTTGGTGTCAACGCTGAGCACATTGCTATTCCCATGCATCTATCTTTTAACAACAGATGATATCATTCGCGTGTTGCAATAACTCGATAAAACATCACTTGATGGGTTTCAGAGCCGATGTACCAGTGGTACCTCGAGAATACCTATTTTGATTTGTATGTACTGCACAAATTAGCTCTTGAAAGTAGAGGATGACTGACAGGGAGGGGAAGCTATAGACTCAATAAGTTTCTTAAAGGAAGAAGATATTGCAAAGAGAATGACAGTGTGTCAAAAGGCCGAGTGGAAGGGAGATAGTCCCATGAACGGTCTTTAAGTGGACAGCCGCATTGTTGGAGCTTGACAAAGATGGATAAAAGCGTCAATTTGCCTGACTGGTGTCCAAGATATCACGGAAAAGAAAAACCCAACCCCCTTTGCGCTCTTATTTTTCACCATGGGAGACAGAAATAGGACGCTGATGTCAATGTCCTTCTGAAAAAATCTGTGATACAAATCACATGCGCTGAATGGTGTCAGGAAGGCCATTTAAATGCAAGCGATGAACTAGGAGCACGAAGATTCTAATACTGAGCGGTCCATGGCAGGTTCCTTGAATATATAGGGATACATGAGGCGGGTCTTCTTGGGTTTCTGACAGGCCTCATAAGAATTTTTCCCTACCGCATCAACCGGAAAACAGCCAGGATGTTGCTAATACACCGATGGAAGCTTGAAAAGGTACACCGGGTACTATGATCTCTCATCCATAAGTATGATGGCGCTATCTTGGTAGATCTCAGCACTGACAATATCTTCACATAACAAGCTAGAAATATGGCCGATCATCATCGCCGTGGCCCTAGAAAGCGAGATATGGACGGAAGAAAATTGAAACTCAATCTGAAAGATCTCCGTATGGATCGAGAGGAACGCAGTGTCGGACAAGGAGGGTGCTGACTTCAACTCGTGATGGGAAGATTGGAGAGACATCATAAAATCATCTTGATAAGCCACAAAGAGAATGCTCTTGGTTAGCAACACGGTATCTTGGTCAAGGTATTCGAGCTACTTATCTTGCATTAATCTCTTGAAGATGCCCTGGCCCGACCCAACCTCCCAACCCTCGGCCACGGGCACCGGTTTTTTTGTGGTTTTTGTTGATTTTCAACTTTTTTGTTTTCTTGTGAACGCAGCAAGAGCAAATTATATCGCAAAAAAATGGATAGCGAGGCGCCATGGCATCAGCGGACCTGATCAGCCGAGAGGCAGGCCCCTATGGCTCCTGCAACCGCCGTCACAAGCGAGCTGCGATGCCCACCGGAATGTAGGCCCCTATGACTCCTACAACCGCCTTAATCGCAAGTCCATTGAGGTAACATCCGCCCGCAATGAACTCATTCAGGAAAGAAGCATCAGCTCTTCAATCACTGAATAGCTCCACGATGGTTTTTTGACCACCTGAGGTGTTTGTGGGGGCTCAAGAGGCTGGCTTCGTTCAGCTGGCACACCTCTAGGCTGAGCCCTTTTGAATTCAACCCACACCATCGCGCCGGCTATGATGTGTCCGATCCACCTGGAGTGGGCGGGCTTAAAGTAAACGCGTTTCATTGCTGAAAAAACAGTAGAGAATGTGGTAGGCATATTTCGCGACTTAGATGGCTACGGGAGAGAAAAAATGAAGAAACAAGAAGAGTCCGGGCGAGCATCATGAGATCTATGTTTCTTCTCGTACGTGCTAGGGAAACTACGATGGTGGTGAATCCAAATGGCAAGTGCGGGCACTCGAACGATGGATGGCTCCAAAAATGGTAGATGCGGGCACTCAACGGGTTTAAGATACTTCGTGAACTAGTAACAATATCATGAACAAGTGTGGGTTGCTATTGATTTTGTATCCCAATTTTGAAGTGCCTATTCTGCATGATGGAGCTTCCAACGAGTTTCAGCACACCAGAAACCTGCTAATTCCGGACAGAATATCTGTGGATTTCCCACCTGTTAATCTTCTCACTTCTACTATGATCATTGATAATTCTCATACTGGTATCGTCATTAATACCATTGCAATTTCGGACCATTTCTGGGTTTTCATATTCTATGATGTGTAAGTTATTCTATTCATCTGCCTGGACAATGCAAGGAAATTCAGACTGAGTATAAGTGTAATTAGATCGTAAATACAGCTACGGACACAACTATGTCAAGCTCGGGGTTGTCGAGGGCTCTTCTACAGGGAAATACCGGGTAAATTACCAGCCCTCTGATCCAGGTACTGAAGCTGGTGGTGTTTTGGACGGTTACAAAGGACGGGTTCACTTCCCAGCCGCCTGCTGGGGCTTGGTAGCTCAGCTACAGCTCGATAGTAATGGATCAAATGTAGACGCCATTAGGCAGCTTCAGGACAAGATGGCGGTGACAAAGCCAGCCGTGCCAAATGCTCCTATGGCCCCCAGCCTGACCGTTAATTTGCTGACCGAAGGCATTTTGGGGGCCATACTCTGAGAATTTTACATTTGACCTGTAGATCATTCGATATAATCCTACTCTTGCAGTTCGGGACGTTCTATTTGTCGTTTGCAGTGTTCACGCAAGCCGAGTGCTCCAATGGTCATTTTGAAGCGGGAGAGGACCCGGTTGCTCTCCCAAGCGTTTTGGTGTTCAAGACCCAACTGCAGGGAAACTACGGCAATAATTACTGCATCAGGGCTTATTTTGCTCAATCAAACTATCTGGCTATGGATACGAGCCCGGAAGTCTACCCTATTTACTCCGATGGGGAAAGCAACTTTAGTCTGGGCTTGACAGAGGTATATCTATTAAAGTTTAGTTACAAACCTCCCAATGGGGTGTCTAACTTCTGGAGCCTTACTACTTACGGCGCCGATCGAGATTTGATTGCAAATCCATTGAATCAATTCTCACTCGGAATTTCCTCCAAGCTGACGTATTCTGATAGAGCCCCGGCATATGGTGGAAATGAAAACAGAGACGATCAATTCCAGGGTCTCATTCAATCATCGTACAATAAGTTGCCCAGCAACTGGTCCTCTAAGCAAGGCACCACATGTGTATAGCTGTGCAATAGATCTCAGCATTCCCAAATAATGTGCGTGGACACTGATTTTTGGCTCGCTTTGCAGCTGGTTACAGGGACCTGCCGCTGGGGGTGTACTTTATCTTGCCCGTAAGCTACATCTGCCTTAATTCCGCGATTTCAAATGTTGCAAGTCTAATGCTAATTCCCAAAGTGCACTTTTACGGACCCGCAAGTGCGCTGAGTGATGAGTGTTGGAAATATCATGTGGTTGAAAAGATTGGAGCAATCACTGAGTAAGTCTTGGGAAATTGACTAGGGACGGAAAGCAGATTAATGATAATATTTATACAGATGATCTCTTTCGTCCAACGCCAATAACCAACAGCAAGTCTTGGATCATTCTCGTGGTGCCGATCTCTAGCATTGCCACTCATCCTTTCGGACTGGAAAACTTGAAAGTACCTGGAAAACCTTACTACTTGAATTTGGCCTGTTGGTTTCTTTTTCATTTTTCGATTCTACCTGGCAATATGAAACAACTGTTAGTTGTTAAAGGTGCAATGCGGTAGAACCGATAGCCAGAATCTTGAAACCGAACTAGCGGAAAGTACTTGAGTATTTCCTGTTTGATCTAGTACACTTTCGGGGTGTATCATATGGTACTATTAATTTCTTATCCTTTGGTTATAAGAAACCACCATTTGTCATTTAGCAAGTAGTCCACGTTAGAGATAGTAATAGTAATCAACTAGCAGGTAGGCGGCTAGTCTGATCAAGGGGTTATGCTACCTATATCTCCTCTAGACAAAATATCAGATGGGACTATCGTTAGTGGATTGATATAATATATCTGGGGGTGCTTGCTAACTGATATTTCTTCTATGGGTATTATACTCTCCTACCAGAACGACCTTCTAGTATGTTGAGATAAAATTGAAATATGGGGAAAGGAAAGATAGGAGAAAAATGAAAAGAAAACTAAATTCGGCCCCACCAGGTATTCAGAACTATGTAAAAGAATGTGAAATAGCTAAAGGAGGGTAGATTGTATATGATATGCTTATGTAAAATGTTCGACGAGCAGAATGTAAATTTCCGGAGTAAATGAGTGAAAATGCAAAGCCGGAGCATAATTTCGCAAAGGCTAATGGTAGTCTTCGAATGGTTGAGATAAAACATACTTTAAAGCAGCTGCTTGGGAACTCGTCACATTAAGGGTGTTTCTGCAACATCTCTTCGAGTTTCTGGTTGAACTCGGTTTCATTGAAGTCGACGCCTCGACCGCGTATTTTATGGCGCGTTTGGCTGTGAAGATTTGCTTCTTTAGATGAGAATTTTCTTTCTTTTCGACGAAAAGTTGATTCTCAAGTGCCAGCCTATCCTGCCAAGACTGCTCGTGTACAGACTCAGAAACTCCCTTTTGCATGGCCAGGGCATGTTTCAACTGTAAAGAGGTCATGAAGTCTGAGCTCTGTGACGATTGGCCCTATCTAATTATTTATTATCCTTCTATTCAATTTAAGGAATACTCAATATATTTAGATATTAGAAGGATTGACAGCGGGGAAAGGGGAGGGGAGGGGGAAATAAATAAAACACAGCTGCTTACTTATCCTCCCCTCAAAAAACCAAAATATATATTTTATACACTACCTAAAGATTCAGGTGAAGAATATTCAGGTAGGTGAACAGCTGCCTGAGCAGCCCTGAAGAAGGGCTGAATAGAGCGGCGAGCCACCCACGCCCAAACAGTCGGCAGCTGTGGGCGCTAGGTGACTATCGAAGTAGTTTTGACTGTTGTATGTTTTTGTTTCTTGTTTTTTGTGATGTCTAAAATGATCAACTGCGAGATGTATATGCGGGGGCAGAAATGTGTTGATCGCGAAACTGGGGAGGTCGGATATCTTGTACCTTCCGAGGATTTTAGCACGGTACTAGTTTTTGCTGGAAATTGAGCGCCTAGCCTGAGAAAATTATAGTTGACGTAGAAGAAGGCAATTTAAGAACACAACCCTAAATGATTTACGTCAATACAGCGTCGCGATCGATACAATACATCCATCACCTTGGTGGTTGTAACATTGGAGTGGGGGAAAAGCATGGGGGCCATTTCTGCTTGCCCAATCATCATTTTCGGCCCGAATCTCTCTCATGGGGGGAAGGAGCTCCTGACACTGTAGCCCACCTTAATGCCGAGTCTAAAGGGGCGGTATAGTGGACTCCCATTTGGCGACGGTTGAACCTTACCTTCTTGATCGTTCTAACAACTTGACTCCATATTTCTGCAAAGTCTGACCCTCAATTGACCGCCGAGCTAAAAGCGATTATATACTATTATCCCGACCAATTTATTTTCTTAAGATCCCGGGTGACACGGGATTCACAAAATGATGAACTCTAGGCGTTAGTGAGCCTTGACGAGCGACTAAGAAGGAGAAACCAAAAATTTGGTTTTTATGTGAAGATATTGCCCAGGGTAAATGACAGATTTGATCATATGTTGGGGGACTGAGCAGAACAGTCCATTCCTGTGGGACTTCCCCGGATAGCCTCGCGTTATTAAAACACCCCCCGCTCTTCGAGCTTTCTCCCCCACGGCCTCTGATAATCAAACCTTTGTCGTAGGCTGCAGGTCAGGACAAATGATCCTAATCAGCCTAGTGGCCTGGCTTCAAGAAACCGACATGTCTTTGGGGATAAGCCTTTATGTTGATTCACCGCTTGATACGTCTCTATAGCTGGAGGTCCCAGAGCTGAGCTGGGTATGCTCAGGAGGCGGTGAGTCGGAGCAGAAGAACAGGACGGTAAAGAAGTCCGGTCCCCACTTCCCCCGTTTGGCTTCCCCTTTTTCCTAGTAGCCATGCCTTACCCTACGGTCTAGATACCTAGACCTGGCACTCACCCGCCTTGCGAGTCTAAGATTAGGAACCTCTACCTGCACCTTAGAGGGTTAGGGTCCAACCTTATCGACCCTGACCCTAACTCTAATCCTCTAAGGGTCCCTTAAGGGTTATCTATATTGACCCTTATTAACCCTTAAATATATAATTTCTCTGTGTCTTTCTTATTTAAGATATATAAATTTGATAATTTAACTTACTATTATTTATAGCTATTCTAGTATATCTCTAAATTCTTTTTATCTTTTATTATAAAGGCTTTTAAAATATAAAGAAATTAAATTATAAGTTAATATTTTATATATTATTATCTTAGGTTTCTTAGTATTAACTAGAAATATCTTATAAAAGATTAGTTTTAATAGATATTATAGAATACTTATAGTATAGTAATATTTAATCCTTCTTTGTAGAGATTATAATAAAGTATTAGTATAATATAACTCTAATTAAGATTATTTTAACTCTAGTTATAATAGTAATAATTATTAATATTAAGATACTTATAGCTTAGTATAGAATTCTATAATAATTTATTATTTTTGCCTTACTTATCCTTCCCTTTTTTTTTTTTAACTAAATAATCTTATCTAGTATGGCTTTTCTTTATCTAGTATTAATTTAAAGGTAATTCAAAGGGGTTTCAGGGGGTTTTTAGTATTATTAAGATACTATTTTGTAAGCTTAGTTTTTCTTAAATAAAGCTATTATATCTTTTACGTTTTCTAAGTATTCTACTAGTTCCTATTAGTTATATTCTAAGGATTATCCTATTTATTTCATATAGTAATATAGTACTTTATTAAAAACTCTTTTATCTTAAATCTCTTTAACTTTCTATTCTTCTTTATCTTTAAGTTCTAGTATTAGTATTTATAAGTTATTATTATTTTAGTTATTCTATAGTTCGAGAAGAGAGATAGAGAAGATATTATATAATCTTAAGTATTTTTCTAGTAATATAATATAATAGATCTAAGTACTAATTTTTATAAGGATATAGAAGAACCTGATTCAATAGGAGGATAACTTCTTTTCTTTAGCTTTAAAGTAAAGATTCTTTATTAAAAGGGATATAAGGATTCCTACTTTAAAGTCTTTTGATTTATAATTTTTATTATAGGATCTCTATTATATTTCCTATATAATTTAAAGCTTATTTATAGTCTTTTTATAGATATTCTAGAGGTAATTTACTTATTTTTTAGTATTAGGAGTCTCTTTCTTAAGTATTTTATTAAGAGTTTAGATTTAGAAATTAGGATTATACCTAAATAGTATATAAAAAGAGATCTTATTAGTTAATATATTAATAATATTATTATATATAAATTATACTATCTTAAGGAGTTAAGCTTAGTTTAACTATTTCTTATTAATAAAATATTTAAGATAATCTTCTAAAACCTAGTTAAGTCTTTCTATTTATCTATTAATTTAGAAGTAGAATATAGTAGAGAACTATAGTTTAATCTTAGAATAGTAATAGAGTTATAACTAGAATCTATTTATAAAAATAAGTTTTTAATTAGAGATAATTCTCTCTAAGTTTCTATATTTAAGTT